TGCTCTTCCTCCCCGTCAGTCGCTATGTATTCGCTATCTAGATCCTCGTTGCACTCTGCGTCAGCCTGCTGCACTCTAGCCTCCAGAAGAGCAGCCACGCTCTCTGGCTTGGAAAGATTGCTCAGAAGGTCTGTGAACAGATGGGGGACTGGCAAATGGTCTAGAGGCTCCTGTTCGACGTCTTGCAATGCAAGGCCTAGGACGGTTCTGATGTACTTTAGGGTTTGGCAGTAGAAGACAATTGTTCTTTCTGTTCTTGTTCCTTGCTTGTTCTCCTCAAACAAAGTCTTTATAATCGTCTTGTATAGGTCGGTGTATGCTGCCTGCAGTGGCTCATCAGACGAAAGCCAGTGACTTATGCACTCTGTAGGCTCAAGGGCCTCGGCAATGAGAAACTTAACTACATCCTGGTCCATGTCAGTAGGGGAAGCACTATCTGGAGTAGTATGAAATGCAAGCTCAATGTTCTTCAGTTGCTCGTGCAGATGGTTTCTCTTCTGCTTAAGATAAAAGAGTATAATGCCCGGGGCGTATGAGGCACATGGAATAAGAGAGGTGTTTTTCACGATGTCCTCTATTTCGCGGATAAACTCAGAGAGGCAGAAAACCACTGAGATGTCGTCCTTAGCAGCAGCCTTTGGAAGATGTGTCTCTTCTTCTGCGGTCTCTTCTGGAACTGCGAGCTCTTGGGCACTTGCTGCTTCTACTGGGACCAGAGCAGTCTCAGTGTGAGTTACTGGCTCTGCTAGTGCAATGCATGCTGGCTCCTCTGTTACCTCTGCAGGTGCTGGCTCAGGCTCACTTGCACCAGTCTCTGCTGGTACAGGTGCACTCGTCTCAGCTGGCTCACTTGCACTAGCCTCAGCTGGCTGTTCTGCCAGATCTACACGGGAGTTGTTCCTAGAGGGGACCGAAGCATAGATGACTTCATCTGGTATTTCCTCTGTCACAGTGCTTGCAGAGCACATGGTGAAAATAGATGCAACTGTGTTGAGCTGGGTGCGCATCGCGTTAACTGTTACCTTACAAACAGCTTTTGCTTTGCGCCCTACTGATCTGACATGCTTCCTAAGACCTTTCATTTTAGAAGATCTTTCAGGTGCTTCCAATTCATTTTCAGGTATTGAAACTAGTTCCGTCATTTGATAATCCGCAAATGCTCTTCCTATTTATCTTTTTTCTCTGAAACATAAACACACCGGTTGCTAAGGAGTGCTATGTTTTAAAAATATTGACCAGAAAATAGATCCTTCCAAATGCAGGTCTATTTTCTGTGGTAAAAAAAGAGTAAACAGAGAATAAACAAAAGGAAGTTCAGAGTCTACTTTGCATATTTTTTATGCTCACAGTTTCTGTCTGCTCTGTGCTTCTGGAAGCTTGTATATGCAGAGTGTTCTCTGAAAATTGCAGAAAAAAATTAATTGTGAGGCCAGAATGTGCTCACAGCATCTGCCAGACAGAAATAAATATTTTAATTTAAAGGCTACAAAAGCACATCAGTAAAGTCTGTTTTATTAAATCAGAGAAGACATGTATTTTTATAGAGTTAGTGCAGTGCTATACTGCAGGCAGAGGCACATATTTAGACACAGCGGTGGGCTGGCATAGAACTTCTCAGCACTATTTATATGTATAAATAGGCGCTGCTTACCCATAATTGTTAGAATTTAAATGATTTTTTCTATCCATCATATATGAGATTCAAATGTCTTGGGCTGGATTTGATCTTTCTTGTGCGCGTGTGACCTCTCGTATGCACCAGTATAACCACAACAGCCCATCTCCTCTGGTTGAAGGGTCTTCAAACTTAGTGCTTTTTTCGATTTTCCCTGTCCTTTGCCAATTTTATTTAAAAAACCTCTCCATGCACATATATATTGACCCATATGCATACACTTTTATTTTCTAGACACAGATGTATTAAAATAGAAATCATATGAGGAAAGGCCTGAAGACTATAGCTTGCAAGATGTGTAAGAAAGTACGCTGAGATGTATCATAGAAAGGCTTACAAACAAGAAAATTGAGACTTTGTGGCATGTAGAGCATAGAATGCTTGGTACTATATTGACCAGATGCAAGTTAATAGCAGTGTGTGAGAAGAATTCTGCATTAGCAATGTAGAATATAGGTCTAAGCAAGCAGATGCTGATAGATTTTTTTACATAGTCTTCTAGCCAGACAAGCTAAATGGTTTAGTATAGCAGTGTGGCTTGATCATGTAAATGCAACATGTACTAATAATTTATTTTTACAGTTCATGAAAGAAGAGAATAAGCAAACCTTCGTTCTTCTGCACGTGGATAGATACAATTCATTCATACAACCAGAGCTAAAAAGTCTTCTAGATAGTGCGCAAGGAAAATACTTAATACATAAAACGAGTATTGAGAGAGAGATAAAATATTCCATAGTCACAGCATGCCCATCAACCATAGAGCATGTTCTGGAAAAGAGTATGCTAATTAGTGAAGCTATAACAATGCTTAATTATGACCTACTAGAAAAAAGAAACAATGATACAAATGAGAGCACAAACATGAATATAATAGAAAAGCTAAATAGATCTTTAAATGCAGATGTTATTGCAAACATAAACAGTAAAATAGAGGGCAATTATAAAATAGATTGTATATGTAGCAGTAAGCCGCAAGCAATTGAATATCTTATTAAAAAGATATGTGTGAACTATAGAGTGGATTTGAACAATCCAGCAAGCACTATAAGCGTTATAGAGGACGATGAATATTGCATGGTGGGCATGCTATACAAGAAAAGCAACAGAAAAGAGCTTTTGAAGTATTCAGTGAAGAACAGAAAATTTATAGGAAATACTTCAATGGATAATGAAATATCATTTATCATATGCAATATGGCAGGAGTGTCGGAAAAAACAATACTTTGGGACTGCTTTGCAGGAAGTGGAAGCATTTTGCTATCAGGAGCACTGTGTGGAGCAATGGTGGCTGGAACAGACATAAATGACAAGCAGTTCAGAGGTAGAGAAGTAGCGCATACAAACTCTAGAATAAAAACTCAGCTTCCAAATACAAATATCTACAGCAACTTCGATATGTATAACATAATTGATAAAGTAATGATGATAGGAGTGCATGATATATTCAGTGAATGTTTATTTAAGGAAAACACAGTAGATGTAATCTTATGTGATCCGCCATATGGAGAGAGAGAAACCATTAAAAAGAAAACAACAGAGGCCAATGAATATGTAGAAGGAAACGATAAGTATCTTATCCCCTCAGTTCCTTTTTTTGGGAGAGTAATTGAAATAGGAAGAAGTGTCTTAAAGAGCAAGGGGCGAATAGGTATATTCATGCCGCACACAACAGGAACTACCCCGAAGCTAAGAGAAATCAAAGGGTTTACTCAAGTAGCACAAGCAGAGCAGTATTTAAACTCACTTTATTCCAGAACATTCTTCCTATTGGAGATTAATAAATAAAATTTCGACTACTATTCTACAATGACATGGATAAATAGGGCCTGAAACCTGCACGCGCATAACACTATATAGAGTAAAATAAACTCATAGCCCAAGAACTACTGTAGAAAGCATAAAGACATTTTCTTAAACGATAGGCTATTATCATACTACTTTCTATTTATAGGCATAATAATTATCAGTCTGATCTGCATCCAAGCAATATAATTCTATTCGGATTATAAGGATAAAAACGATTGTTTCTGGATATATTCGCGCAGAAACTGAATATTTATTCTATAATGCAATGCTTTATGTAGAAACCACTTTGTTATTATAGGTTGCTCAGAAGTAATTGGTTCTTGAAGCAGAAAAGCCTGCTTAATACACACAGGCTTTATTTTTCTATAAATATGCTTAAAATTGTTTGCTATAATATACATGTAGTATATTCAGCAAAACTAGTTAATAAATATATTTTATTTCTGTACCTATCTTAAATGGATGGGCTTGATCTACAAAGTACAGTAATTAGTGTTAGTAATGAGAGAAATAAAGAAAATATACCAGAAAAGCACAAGCAACCCAGCAAAATAGCACTATATGCAAACATCTACAGCTCGCTAACAGAAGCATATGAAAGAATAGATAGCAATAAGATAAAATACGTAGTATTTGCAATTCTATATGCTCTGGCTATAGTAGTTTGCATCACAGGAAACTATATATCGATTAAATACACCTTGCCAGCCTATCTTCTGCTTTATAGTGCAGTTTTGCTAATGATGCCAATATGCGAAGACAATGAAAGCGTATAGACTTGTTTCTAAATTAAAACTTAAAGGCAGGGTAGATTAGAATGTATTTTTGATTCTAAGACACTTACACTAGTTACTGCATAAAAAGACATAGCAAAATGTAAATAGTTCTATATGATGTTAAAGACATAATGTAAAAAGTGTATATAATATCAATTTAATTCAGTTTGGATCCTGCTTGCGTAAGAGAATAACTAAAAACTTAATTCCAATGAGTTTATTTATCTTATTAAGGCTCTATTTGCGACATCCTAATTGTAAGTCCTTATACAAAAGCTAACTCATCCATAGCCAAAAACATATATATATGGACACATATTTTTTTGTCTTATAATCATGTTTATTAGATGCCCATTCCATTAAAGTCAAAGTGTTTCTGTCTTAGCTATTAGGACTGCTGTGTATTTTGCTTAAAATATTATCTGGCTATGCTATAAAAGAAAATAAACATATATAACAATCAGAATATGCCCAAGCATATAATTTACAGGCCTTTTTATATAGTAGAATGTACCAAAAACATTTTATATTATAGAGAATTGTACCGCTTTACTTATTTTTACAATATTTTTATTTTGTATAGCAACGAAAGCATGTGTATTTAAAGATCTTATGTGGGGTTATAGGGCTTTCCTGATAAATATCATAGAAGAAACTCTGCCAAATGCATAATGCTTAGTGCATACTCCTTTCTAAAATATCTTCAAGCTCCTTCTCTTCTCTCTGAAGAATGCTTAATTGGCGGATTATAATGTCTGTTTTTTTTCGAATCTGGCTTTCCAATCTGTTTATCTTTCTATATATTATGTCAGTCGAGATTTCCTCATTGTCAAGTAGCTCTTTGTATAAGTTCTGTATATAAGAGTAGTCCTCTTTCCATTTCATTTTTTATGATAAAAATACTTTCTAATGAAGACACCGCTGCTATTCAGACAGAGCAAATACTTCCAGATATATACACACTAGTAAACGAGCTAATACGCAATAGTATAGATAGCAGCTCCACAGCGATAGTTGTTACAATATGCGCAACAAATAAAAACATAGTATACGCAGTGGAGGACAATGGGGCAGGAATAGAAGTGAATGAGCACTTTCTAATGAAAGGCGGAACCTCCAAGTACAAAGAGCCCAACAAGTATGGGTACAAAGGCATGGTGCTGTATTCGCTCAAAACAGTGAGCGATTTTACAATAAACACGAAAAACAACGGAAAAAGCACAATGATAAGCGCGAAAAATCAAACAGTTTGTGTATTGGAGGGATATAAGGACACAGAAGGCACTAGCATTAGCATATCCAACTACTACGCACTAAAGCCTATTAGGCACAATTATTTGCTTAGCAATTTGAATAAAAATATGCAGCAGATTGTGGAGATGCTGAGAAAGTACAACACAGTGCATAATGTGCATTTCAAGCTATATAAGAACCAGAACATATTGTATAACACTCCATACAATCTGCTAAACCAAAAAATGAGCATTACAGAAAAGCTCATTCAGATATACAATGTGCAGCGGTGTAGAGTTATAGTTTTTACAGGACGCCATTCCACTGTAGAGTACATTGTAGAGATGGAGTGTATCCAGGAAATGAAGAAAAATAAAAGAGAAAGAAAAACAGTGGGGGTCATTCACAACAAAGTGCGGCTGTTTGAGAACAAAAGAATAGAGAAGGCATTGCACGATAGTGTAAATATAAATGGCAGGGTCTATTATAATATAGAAATAAATGAAGAGAAGGAAATATCAGTGTTATCTGAAATTGGCAGAATTAGTAAGTATAACATACAGAGCATAATAGAAAACAGTGGAAGCACTGAAAAGATTATGATCAACCTTAATGAAGAGGAGGTCAACCAAAACGCAGGCAGTAATAATGAAGTCACAAAGACATTGGGCATGGAGAATGAAAAGCCTAATAAAATCGGGATTAGGAACGACATCATGCAGGCTGGTGTGTCTAAGAGCAGTAAAGTCGAGAATTTAGAAGATGGTGCTGGAGAAGAAAGTGAGCGAAACATATGCGATCATAATAATAGAAACTTTGAGGAGGTGTATAGCATGTGCCCTGGAAAGACAAAAAAAGATGAAAGTGTGCAGGCGGTTGTTATAGATAAGAATGAATGTTTAGTGAGTCATAAATATGAGGATGGTATTGGGCTAAGCATACAAGAGATATCCATGCTAAAGATAGTTGGGCAGTTTAATAACGGTTTTATACTGTGCACACTTGTGAAGGAAAGTAATATACACATGTACATAATAGACCAGCATGCAGCTGACGAGGCAGTGAATTACGAGCATCTGCGCAGTACTATTGTGTATAAGCGACAGAAGCTGATACACCCAATAGCAATAGGCATATCTGAGTATGATGCGCATTTATTAAGAGAAAACACTCGATGTATTGAAAAGCATGGATTTATTCTAAACGAAGAAAAAACACAAATAATAGAAGCACCAGCATATGAAAACACGATATTTGGAAGCCAAGAATTGCTAGAAATAGTTGAAAGAATAAAGGAGGGGCGGTTCAAAGAGGAAGAGCCCGTGATAGTTTTTACTAGCCTAAGAAAGGTGCTAGCAAGTAAAGCATGCCGATCAAGCATCATGATAGGAGATGTTTTAAATATGCAGCAAATGAATAAAATAGTAAAAGGGCTTTCAAAAACCACTAGGCCATGGAACTGCCCGCACGGAAGGCCAACCATTCTTCTTTTGCAAGGGAAAAAAGTAAAGTTATAGGATAAGAAAATAGTCAAAGAAAGAAGCTCAAGTTTATCTTCCATCATGTGCTTTATCAAGGTTTTTGCCAACTGTATGATTATTTGCGTCTAAGCATGCAGAACCCCATAATAAATAATTTCAATTAAGACTATACAAAAAGCAGCTCTTATCTTGAGTTCTACTATGAGAAATGAATAATCACTCTAATAAGCTAGGCTATACTTCCAGCTATAATCTTCTTATAAATAATAGAATTTCAATAAAATTGTACAGACCTATAAAGAAGCATTCTTTGAAAATTCCCAGTATGAAGTGATGGCTCATGCATTCTTCTATTCTGGGATGGCTCTTGGTATGAAAAGAATTATAAGATCCACAGCTGTGATAATGCCAAAAAGAACTAGAATAAGGATCCCAAATGTAGTCTCAGGATAGCCTGAATCCACCTTGTTTGGGCTATAGGTGCTGTTCTTACTTTCCATCTCAAAGATTCTTTGCTCTGTTTCGCAATATAGAAAAGTATAAAACACAGCAAGCCAATGAATTTCTTTTCTATTTTCAATGCTAATTACAACAGAGAAGCATGAAGACTTTGAGACAACTCTTCTAGAATGGGGGCTCGCCAAGGGTGCATCTGCATACACTGGCACTATTCACTTGTACACAATTGGCGGGAAAACAGTTGTAGTGTACACGTCATACAATTCCAACAACAACTATGTGTACATTAAAACACAGAATTTGCCCAATGCATCGCCACAGAATACATATCCCGGATTTTTGCGCGTACAGCTGAATGAGCAGGTTCTCAATTCAATTCTGAAGGAGGCCCATAAGCCAAAAGAATATAAGATAAAAGAATCTGTTGTTTCCAACGCACAAATGGAAAGAAAGCTAATAAACATTGAATCTGGGGACATTAAAGTGCTAACAGGAATTGAAGGCCTTGACCATGCAGTTGAAATATTCAATGACATTCCGCTCCAAATAAAGCCAGTTGCGCTAGGGTCTTTTGAAGAAACACTTTGTAAACTGTTTATGGACACTTTATTAATATAGCGCTATCTAAATAAATAGCTGTACTTCTCTATAGAGCCAATTGCATCTACCATATTTTCAGAGATATATTCTGGGGTGTCTGCGTGTACTTTAGAAAGAACAAATAGCTTTGTGTCAACCTCTGATATAAGATACTCGCATTCTCGGATTATAAGAAATATCTTGTGAAGCCTTTCCTTCTTTCCAGTAAAGTCGTCTAGCAGCACAACTTCATCATATCCAGCACGCAGCATGGAATAGTGATCCTTCAAAGACTTTAGATGAATGTTCTTAAAGACTGCGTATGTACTGAGTATTTTTTTAAAGTCAATTTTGTCGCGAGTTGTGAGAATTATAAACTCAAGCAAAGAAAGCCTGCATCCCTCTTCATTGATGATTTCAGCTGCGCATTTAGAAAAGGCGCTTACGGAAGAAAGATAAAATCCCTTTGCAGGAGACTTATTTGCAACCTCAGCGTACTTATAGTTGACTAGGTTTCCAAGTCGCAATAAAATCACCAGAAAGGCAGGAAACTCTTTGTCATTTTCAACAGAAATTAGAGAGTTTCTGATTTCCTGCAAAGTGGCGATTAGAGCAACAAGCGAAGAATGTGCCCAGTGCACGTATTTGATTAAAGTAAGTCTTCCCTTTGTGCAGTTATTCTGAAGAAATAGCTTAACTTTGCTCTCTACCTCTGTCAACATATGGGTGGCTTCCATGATTTTTATGGACTCGCTTTCAAGAGGGAAAACTAAAGACAGATTAACTAAACTATCAATATGGGGCGCGTGCTCTTCTGTTTCTGTCCACCTTATAAGTTCGTTGCAGATGTCTTTTAGGGAGACCTTAGACTTCTTTATTGCTTCAAAGACAATTGACAGAAGAAACTCCTGCCTTTCGCTCAGAATCCTTTCTTTTTTGCCAGGCCTGTCTCTCTTCAGAAAGCCTGTCTGTTGTATCCCTCTTTTTATACAGAACTTTTTCTTGAAGTCATCTTCAATTTCTGTCCATCTATCAAGCAGCCCGCTTTCAGAAAGCACAGGGCTTTCATATAAAGATCCCTTAACGGACAAAACAGGCTTCCAGCCAACCTTTGGAAATAAAGTTTTAATACCTACGTCTGCGCCTTCCAGAAGATCAACAGTAGGGCGCACTCGCATTCCAGGAGGGGATGGCATCTTAGAAAAGATCTTTGCAGTACTATTAGCTGGTTGCTCAGTAGATGCAGGTGAAGGAACTTTCATACTCGATATGGCTTGTGCGACTTTCACTATTGGAAGTGGGGTTTCTTTTAATCCAGACTCTTTGCTTTGTACTATACTGGGGGTTTGCGTGCGTAAATTATCCAGATTATTTGCCGATAGATTAGTGCTACTTGCTTCCACCATGGGAACAAAGTCTGGCTTAAATGGGGCTGGCGAATCTGCGAAGTTACTGAGGGCAGGTGCCTTCTTTACACTTGTATATGATGGTATTTGGTTAAGCGTCTCTGTGATGGAAGGAATCCTCTCTGATGTAGTAATATGAGTGTTTGAAAGGCTCTCCACAATTATATCCAAAAATATGTCGTCAGGCAGGTGTCTTTGAATCTTAAAGTCCTTTTTGTAGTATCTGCCTATTCCTAACGGAAGTTTTGCGAGTGTAATAGAGCCGACTGTTATGTTATTGCTGATGATGCTGATTAATGTGTTGTGCCCGATGTCGATCATAAATCCATCTGTGTATATTAGCCAAAACTCATCTACTTCTATAAACGCCTTTTTCCCTGTGGGAAGCATACTTTCAGGGGTATATGACCGCTCCATCCCATCCACCATAATATGCACACTTGGGCACTTTATGCAGGGTGGCCTGCTTATAACCAGCTGTGTAATGGAAAACTGCATACTGTTCAGCCGCAGAAAGAATATATACATCGAAAGAGAAAGAACAAATCATTAGTCTGTTTATTTAAAACACTTTTTAGAAGTGCCCAATTAAAGGCACATCTGTGCAGAAAACCCTTCAGGCAATTACAGCCACGGGTGCCACTGTGGATCCATCATAGAAAGTCTTTCTGGACTGGTTGCATTTCCAACCAACTTAACAATGCTCATTGATGGGCTGTCATCCATTCGAAGCAGTTCGTGCAGCTTATGTCTGGCTATTCGCATACTATTTTCTGCATGCTCTATGCCTTCCTCTTCTCTTGCCAGGACATCCATATACCGCATCAAGAATGTTTTCTTGGACAATGCAGCTGCCATGTGGTACATTGTAGTAAAGAAAGGCCCTTCAAGTCCTGCGCGCCCTATTATCTTCTGTATGTTTGGGGTCATTCGGAAAGGAACCTCTTCAAATAGTGCTTTGTCACTGAAAGATGGATAGAAGTCTATAGAGTATACCTTTCCTGTGCTTTCCCCGACAAATAGACGGGATGGCATGCGCGATCCTATTGAAAATACATACGACATAAAGCAGTGGATGCTGTAGGAGATGGACAGCGACTTTCTAAAGTAGAAAAAGTCACTTTGCAAATTGAAGCTGTTCATAAAGTGCTTATAGATGAGATCTTCGCCTACTCGACTGCAGGTATTCAAAAACATCTTCACTCTCTTCTCTGGGTCGATTGCATCTGCTTCCTGCAGCGAGGTTTTATTGTCAGCCCCATGGAGCTCCTGCCTGCATTGGAATATCATCTGGAAAACACCTTCTGCCCCCATTTCATTGTGAAGTATGTCATTAAGCGATTGCATAGGCTCTGCTTCTATGAAGATCTTCGTCTGGTTGTTTAGAGACACAATCTTTTTAATTGGTATGCACCCTCTTCTCTTTTTTATCTCCACTGTCTTGGCAATTGATGCGTTGAAAAGTGCAAGCGCCTGTATAAAGCGCTCTTCTCTTCTTGCGGTCTTTCCAGATGGCATCTGCAGAAGTATTGGGTACACTTTTCCGTTGGTTCCACGAATTGCTAGCTCTCTCAGGCTTATGCCTCCTCTTCTCTTTATATTGATGCTGGGCTCGAATCTGGAAATCTTAACCATCTGGGGTGCTCTGTCAGATATATCGACATACTGCCCAAAGACCTCAATATCGTCGTTGCGCTGGTCAAAGTCCACAAGTCTTCTAGAAATATTTTCAATGCTAATAGACCTAGGATGCGATAGCAGCAGCCTTTCCATGCTTTTCTTCCAGACAAGCAGCTTTTGTGCCAATTCAAGAATGCTCTGCGGTGGCAAGCTCTCTGACACAAAGAAAGAGAAGTCCTCATCAAAAGAGCTTTTGTATTTCGGTGCCAGTGAAGACATCCCTATCATCTCAGAGATCTTCTGTATTGCTATAAGCAGAGACCCGTTCTCTCTTGGCTCCTTTCCAAATAGCTGCTGAAGTGACTCAGACAGCAGAGCTGTAAGCAGCCGGTAGAACTCTTCTTCAGCAGACGCCCTCAGCCGCATGGTAAAACTCTCCACAATGCCCTCAATGTTTATGCACATGAGCGTAAACCCTGTCTTTAAGAATGTCCACAGATCCGATATGGGTCCCTCCTTTATGCCTTTTCTTCGCTCCTCTTCTAATGCATTTCGCACTGGGAAGTACACAGCCTGCGGATATACATGCGCCACTCGTGAAAGTATCGACACTGCCATTAGCGAGCCGCTGCTTGCCAGAATAGAAACTATCTGTATGATGAACGGCACAAAGCACCAGCAGTCAATTTCTGTAGACGCTGCCTCAAACACCTTCTCAATTTCCTTGTTGGTTGCCTCAAGATCCATCAGCGCAACTATCTCCACCACTGCTTTTCTTGCTAGTGATCCTGGTGATATAGACACTGCCTGCATAAACGCATTGATTGCATTTGCGCGATTTGTTTTGCATGAAAGAAGCCCCCACTTGTACCACACCTTTGCATTTGTTGGATACACCTGCACTGCCTGCGCATACACCTTTGCTGCATCGTCAACTGCGCCCTTTCCTTCTAGAAGCGTACCGCGTAGCAAAAACACTCCGCTTTTCTGTGCTGCTGTAAAGTAGTTCAAATTGGTCATACCAAGAAGGTCAAGCCCTGCTGCATACTCCTTCATCTGCAAATAGCACTTTCCGTGCTCTTCCAGCTTCATGTACGCATCTGATATTTCGATATTTGGAAGCGTGTATATGCTGTCTAGGTTAGATAGAGCAGCAGGAAGAATCTGATGCTTTCGAAGGGTCTTTGAAAACAGATTCAGAATATGTGCTGTCTCGTGGTAGCCTCTGTACTGCAGAGTTTTCTCTTTTGCCTTTCCGTTCCATATGGAAGAAAACACATGTGTTCTCCACCGAACCAGCATAGTCCAAAACGAGATGGATGCCCACTCAAATGGAACTCGCTCCTTCCAAGCCTGCAGAATCCCTATCAGATCTCTTCGCAGGTCATCTGACGCTGTGATCTGCCATGACTCATTCATCTCCACAACTATCTGGAATCTCTCAATGGCGTGCAGCTGTCTTGGTGAAAGCCGCGGATACTTTGCTATTTCATCTATTGTAGACGTGACAATTCTGTAGAGGAACTCTTCCGTCTCATCGGTCTTTTCACCAACCACGAACAGATAGTAAAACGTCTTATCCACCAAAGATATGTCATCTAGTAGACCTTTGAAGGCGCTTTTATCTGACTCAATTGAAAAGTCAAGTGTGTGCCATTTGGCTTTTACAGTTAGGCTTGGATTCTTTGTGGCTATTCCAATCTCAGAGAGCAGGTCCCACTGCTGCATTTGCTCTGCGCATTCGATCCACTGCTCTTCCCAAATCTTGTACTCTGACTCATTGTAGAGAAGAATTCCGCTCTGGGCCTTTGTTTGAATGTCCTCGTATGCTGCCTGTGCCCCCTTAATGTCTCCAATCTGCTGTAGAAGAAGTGCCTGGACTGTTTCTGGATAAAATGCAGAGATCCTTAGCTGTGCAAGGAAGTAGTCTTTCTCTTCAATTGCATTGTAAACAGTTGCTGACTCAGGTCTGTCATGTAAAACATATGCAGAGGCTGCCCACGTTCCCGTGTGATATGCCACCTCAAGAACTCTGCACTTATCAATGCACTTCCTGTTCTCATCATGCTCCTCACTCTGAGATCTCTGTCCGTTATCCTTCTGCACAAGCGAATCTATCGAAGTATATCTAGATGCACCTTGGCAAAGGGAGGATATTCCTAGAATAAGACATTCTGCTGTTTCTGCTATGCGCGGCACTCTGGATTTCCCTAAGCGAATAAGCATGTCCTCAATCCTTACATGCAGCGATGTTTTCGTGCGCTCTGGCAGATGCTCAATAATTCCAGGAAGAAGGCACCTAATAATCTGCGAGGACGCCTCTTCATTTCCGTACAGAAGTGACAGAATGCTGCCCATAATGGTCTGCTTGCTGGCTTTGTATCTTTTGAACTCCTGGAAAAGTGCTGACAGAGACTCAGGGCTCTCTGAAAACGATGGTGATTTACCGTGCCCAGATAGAGTTCTGCTTGCATGCCCGTCTTTCTCCAGAAACTCCAGTCCGTTCAGGTCCCAAAATGCCACTGTCTGGAAAGCCACTACGTCAAACAGTCCTAAAACCATTCGGCAGAAAGCTGGAAGCCAAGTGCCCTTCTCAAACAGATCCCACTCAAAGGTGCTCAGGTACAGAAGCCTTTCTTCTACATGGGAAGACACACTTTGGTCAAATATCTTGAAGAAATCCGCCCGAATTCTATCTGTGGGGCATGCAAGCCCCTTAACAAACAGCGGCTGCAGGCCTGCAACTATATCCTCTCTGTGCATCTGCGGGTCTATATATGCAGTGTAAACCAGGCCCAGCCTTATCTCCTGGTGCTCTTCTGACTCCATGGCCAGCAGCACGCTCTGTTTCAAAGACGAAGGCACGCTTGGGCTCTGCACTATACTGACCACGCCCTCTGCTGTTTCGGAGTACCTGAAGACCTCTGGGTGCCTGGAAAGTATCTGCGCAAGCACTGTAAGAATTTCAGTTGTTGGATACTTTAGGGCAAGCTTCAGTCCTGCAGGCAGAGAGTCAGACAGCGTAGTAGCCCCATCTTTCAGACCTTTTTCCAGCATGCGCATTGCCTGCTCTGCAGCCTCTTCTCCATTCAGCAGCTCTGCACATGTTATAGCCAGCTTCGGGAATATGCCTTTTGTAATTAGTCCCTGGAATATCTCACTAATGCACTCTTTGTCGATCTTTGCTGCTACTGGTATAATCTGCTCCAGTGCTGCACATCCCTCCTCCACCAAGCATGCATTTACTGCGCCTCGCAGGCTGAATGCGAGTACTTTATTATTCTTTGCTACCTCAGTGTATAGATTGGCCACAGACTGCGGGTTTATCCTATCCGGCGAGACTATAATTGGCTCTTCATAGAATGGAAGGGCAGATATGCCACTCACCACATCCCCGGGCTTATTGTGTATATAGTACAGAACATAAGAGCTCGTCAAAATCAAAGCAACTCCATCGCATATTGCGCCTTCCTTATACCAGACAATTGAGGCCTGCAAAAGAAGAAGTGCGATCTTTGCGCTTCCAGAAATAAATAGCCGTTGTATCATGGTGCACACAACAGCCTCTATTCCTGAGCCTGTGAATAGCTCCGGGACCTTCACTATTGCTGGAAGGAAGATGTACAGATGCGTTCTATAAAGAGTGTCATCCTCCAGTGCAGACGAGATGCTTTCAATAAATGGCTCTACTCCATATCTTTTTAAAAGCGCAACTATTCCTTTGATTGCATGCTCCGCATACTCAGGATGCGCAGTAATAAGGGGCAAAAACCCGTCTGTGTTTGGTGTTGGGTCAAACTCAACTAAAAAGGCAGTGATTCTTATTGCATCCACGGGCTCCAATGCCTCCAGCTCCAGCACTTTTGTTAGGTAGTCTGCTATAGTATACCTGTCTGCAGTTGCCTTTGCGCTTCTCATGTTATCATTCATCATGGGGCTGCCTCCTCGGGAGTTCCCTGTGCTTTTTAGTCCAGACCGTGCAGTTGCTCTTGTAGGCTGTTTTGTCTTAGGCTGCGGAGTGGCTTTCTGTATGAGGGGCAGTGGGTCTTCCTTTATAAGCATCAGAGCCACCTCAATTCGCCACGCAGGAAGCCCGTCCACACATAAAATAGACTTGTCTGTGATGAGGGGCTCAACCGTTTGGAGAATTCTCTTCTGCACTTTCGGCTCAATGTTCAGTATTATCTTTTTCTCAAGTGCCTCTAAGAACAGGGAAAGAACTGTCTCGCCATTCTCTTGCGGTGTCCTAATTGGTGCAGTCCTGAGTTCTTCTGCAGTGTAGTATCGAATAAAGCCCTCCACTGACTTGAAGCACCACTTCCTTACAATTCTCTCAAACTCTGCATCTCCTGAGGTTTCTCTCCACATCTCAACCATTCTTTCTATGCTGTCCATTGAAAATATCTCGCCTGCTGCGTCTGACAGCACATACTGTCTCCAAGTGGACTGCGCAGAGACTGCCATTGGGTGGTTATTTCTGTAGTGTCCGCCTGAGGTGCTGCTGCCTGTCTGCGTGTTTATGTTAAGATTGTTTATCCTAAATGCACCTCCTGCAGACGCCTCCTGCAGATGCTTGTGCAGAATGTAGTATGCTGTGTCGTCGTCATTTGCAAGCCTGAATAAAAAGCTTGCTGCAAGGGGCCTAAGAGACAGGTACTCAGATATACCCTTTCCTTTCTTCTTTGGCAGCATTGTCTTAAAGTGGTGCACATATGTTAGCACTGACCTGGTGAGAAACTCGCCCTCTGGTAGTTGGGGTGTTTTTGCGAATATTTCGTAGATCATGTCTACAATCTCCTCTGATAGACTTTCACCTGTTCCTTGCTGCCCAATTATCTCAAGCAAGCTGCTTGCCAGTCCTGTTTTAAAGATCTCTCTATCCAGGTCTTGCAAATGCACTAGCCCAGAGATGATCGACTCAACATTCTTTTTCTGTCCTATGGTGTTCACAATTGGGACCAGCCATGTCTGCAAAAGTTCTCTGTCTGGCTCTCTTCCCAAGATGTACATCTGACGCAGTCCGTCTCGGCACACCTCGCATATTTCCTCCTCTTTTGAGAACAGGCCTTTGATCAGCATCTGCGATATCTTCATCAGCGAGTGCATTGAGCTAAAGTCTGGCGAAACAGCTGCTGCCACAAATAGCTGCACTGCTGCCTTTTTCATCTCAATTGTGCCGTTGGGTGACGCGATAATTCTGAAGGCCTCGCCAATAAATCTCTCCAGCCGTTCGTCAATGCTCATAAGAGGCGGCCGCAGTCCAAACAGATATCTCATCACCTCCATGTTTCCTATCTGGATTCCATCTGGCAGTGCACGCAGTGGCTTACTAAGAACCTGTGCCAGAATCTTTTCTTTGATTGGCAGAAGGAATGCAGAGACATCTGACCCGAATAGCTCTGCACTGTAGTCCAGGCACTCTCTAGCCACCATGCGCACTCTTTCCAGTGGATGGCTTAGTTCCTGCGCAAATGTGAATATCAGCTGCATAAAGTACTCAGACGATATTGGCTCTGTTTCCACAGCTGGGTCATGTGCTGTTCTGCATATGTGGAATATTCCCTCTCTCACTCTTTCAACATTGTTGTACCGAATTGAAGAGAGCGAGAAGAAGAGTGCCTTGACAATGCGGATCTCCTGGTACAGCAGCCAGCTCACGCCTATATCCAAAGACTGTGTCATAAATAGAATGCCCTGGATGCCGCACATCTTCTCTCTATCGCTGTTCGCATAGCATGCGGAGCAGAACGAGTGGAGTATGTTGTAGAAAAGTGTCATTTGTGATGTTTTCTCACGAGACCCGCATATGTTAAGGGATATGCTGTACATTGTGCTCAGTACAGACTGCGCAACACCTTCTGTCTGCTGGTGCCCAAAGGCCTGGGTCAGTGATGTTATCAGATGCGCCACATCAACTCGCACTCTTTTCTGGAACTCTTCAAAGTAAATCAGCTCAAGAGACTTGAAGATTGAGACAAATGAGTAGAGCAAAATCAACAGCTTTTTTGCCTCTATGGAGTTGGCAGTTGCCTGGCCTGCACCATCTCCGTCTCCTTCCTCTGTCTGTGCGCTGTTTTGCAGTCCTGCAGAGAGCACGCTCCCTGTGTACATGTCAGTAACAGTTGTCATTGTATTCTGTATGGGCGTATTAGTCTTTTCTCTTGGATCTGCTGCGCACTTGAACAGCGCATTGATCAGCTCGCATGGTATGGTGATAAGCTCTTCTTCAGTGGGCCACTCGTCGTCCACTGGTGTGAACACTCCAGACCGCACCTTGCTGTGCAGTTCCTTAAAATCTGCCTCCTTAATAATCTCTATCTCCTTGCTCCATATGTGAAGAATCTTGTCCGACAGGTCTTCCCACTTAAAGAACGTGTAGAAGTAGTGCCCTACTAGTGTAAGGGCCTGCTCCTGGCTGCCTGGCTTTTCTCCTGCAAGGACCCGGGCAGCCTCTTTCAGCACGCCGTGAATTGGCACGCGAATTCTGTCTGTCTTTCCTGGGATTATTACTGTGAGAGATGAGCTTTGCTCTGCCTGGCTGATAGCCGGTACATTGAATGACGCCCTTGCCTTCCCAGAGAGCTTTCCAAGCAGCTTAATTGCCATAACAGAGCTTTCTTCCTCGTGCACAAGGTTCACCAGCGCAGTGAATATGCTGTCAATCTCCTCGCTTAAATAGGACATCAGAAGCTCTGCATTTAAGTTATCCACACAAGTCTCGAGTGTCTCCATGGCAAGTGCTGACAGCTGATTTTTCATTCGCAGTGCGCACACTAGTGCCTTTGCCATCTGTCCTAGGAACGGAAGAAGCCCTGATATTTTCACTGATATTGTCAGAATTAGTTCAACTGGCTCAACTCTGTTTGGGTAGAGCCTTGTGATCTCTTCTATTTTTGCAAAGAACCCAGGAAGCACCAGAGCCATTTCCTTATGCAGAATCTCAAGCTTTTCCTTTCCTGCCGCATTGAACAGATCTTTTACGATCTCAAGCGTATATAGAAGCCGCTCTTCCGGCATCAGGCACTTTTTAAACAGCTCTGGCAGATTGCTTGCCACTACGCTCTCAATCTCTACTGTGTGCACTGTGAATGATGTAAAAATCTCTCTGAATGCAAGAATAATAAACTGCTTGTCCTTTTCGTTGTGCAGAATCTTTAGGAGCTCTTGTATGATCACATCTGCAAACTTTCTTGCCACACCGGCATACGCCAAAAACTGCCTCCATATGATGAACATGTCTTTGTTCTTTTTTGTGCTTTCAAAAAGGATTCCTACGTTGTCTAGTAGCACCTTTTCAAAGAGCGCTGCATCCAGGTAGAAGAAAATCAGCAGAAACTCGCAAACAATAATAATGTCTGCCTTTTTCTCCAAGTCAAACTGGTTGAAGGGCTTGAAAGCAATGCCTAGGTTGTTTGACAGCTCCTGCACCTCATACGGGCTAAAGCACTTGAGAGAGAACACAATTGCATTCGAGGGAATGTTCTGGAAGAGGGAGAAGTAGTGCATTGTGTTTTTCATGCCCCGGATGATTGAGCGCAGCACATTCTTTGTCTCCTCTGTCACTGGGATCTCACTGTATTGTCTGAACGCAGTGACAAACGCACCATAGTTCATTCGGATAAAGAAACCCTTCTCTGCTATGCTTATGTTGTCGCTGATTGTTGTGTCGTTTATCTGCACCAACACATTTGCGCACAGCTTGTTCAGCGTGTGGTCGTTTGATTCGCACATGATCTTGGCTGCCTCTTTGCACACCTTTAGGGAAAGATGCCGGTGCGTAATGTCCCTAAACATTATCAAAAACTCTGTGGACAGCGTGAGCCCAAGCAGCTTTAGCACTGAGTGCTTTGGCCGCAGAAGAATCCCGTCCTTGAGAATGATCTCTGAGTACGAGGCAAAGACTCGCTTTTTCTCTGTCTTCAGAACACTCAGATGGTGGTATATGTCCTTCTTAATGTTCACTGCGTCATCAGGGCAGTACCCAAGCAGGAATATGCTCAGCTCTGGAATAAAAGAGGTCATTGCTGCAATCTCTGGCGGATTGTCTTTAAGAACCCCCATGAAAAGTGAAATAATCTGCGTAAGAGTCGTGATGCACTGCAGCTTTATATTCTCGTTTATAAGGTACAGATTGATCGAGTCCGTGCGCTGGATGAAAAAATGCACAAAAGACGAAAGAGCCTTTGCAAGAGGCACAAAGTTCTTTATAAACTCCTCCCTGGCTATCTGGGTCAGAAACAGCAGCAGAACAACCGGCTCACTGCTCAGCAAAAGTGCCCGTTTTGTTTCATTTTGGTTCTCCAATGAGTGCAAATCATCTGTCAGGTTTTTGAAAAAGTTCGCAATCGCAGATAGAATCCTTACATGCTGATGCACAGATGGCTTTGTCTTCTTGGTTATCTCAATTAGACACCGCACAGCAAGAGATATATTCGTCAGTGCGTCCTTCTCAAGTATCTCTATCAGCCTGTCGATCAACTCATGCGAGATTGTACTGTTTATTCTAATTCGTATAAGCACAGACATTGTCTTTTTTTTATCTTCCTGCGTTCCTGCTAAACCCTCTATAATCAATGGTATTATCTTGCTGGCTACCATACTACTGTCCTGTATGTATTGGAAGAAGTACTCGGTTGCCCTCCAATTGTACAATGTATCAATTCTATCGGATAGCGATAGATCCTTGTTATGTATCTCCTCTATCTTCATTCTTCTTACTATTTTAAAATTTAAAAATAAAATATAAATACGCAGTGTCCTTTCCATGTGGATATTCCCTTACTAGAAGAAGGAAGTTTTATTTTAATTTTCAGTGCACCAGTGGTCTTTGCTTTGCACTGGCATATTTGTACATATATTCTGCCTATTTTTTTCTTTTCTGGAGTATTTCTTGCATTGAAAGGTGCTTTTTTTTGCAGTGCACTGCCTTAATTGCTGAGCCCTTTATGTAGCACTCTTCTATTTCTTCTGTTCCATTTTTAATTGCATTTTTAATATGGATGTTCATCCATAGGTCGCACTTGTAAAGCATTCCTGTGTATATGCTCCCGCTCTTCATTTCCACCTTTACTTCGTGTCCTCTTGCTATTCTTATAACTGTGAGAGGATACATAAAAATATTCTTGCAGCTGGAAAAGTATAAATATGTGTGCTTAGACGAGACAGTCAGAAATAGCAGATAATTTACAGGGAAATTAATTAATTTACTGGGAGTGCAGTAGTGTACTTATTTTTATCTATATATACTACCTTCTGGTTGCATTGTTTTAACCTATTTTTAGTCATTGTCTCATATGCATTTGGTTATTTGGATTTTATGGATGTATAAATATCACTTAAACTTGAATTTGTGTATAGATTTTCAAGTTGTGCCTTGTGCTGCAGTGTATTTGTAGGAAATTTAGCATACATATGGATAATTACTAAGTATTCATACTAGCTATAAATGTGCAGTGCTTCTAATTTGTTCGGATTGTTTTCTCATATACTCTTTGTGTCTTATTTTTGGATGGTAGACATAGAATATTTATAGCAGATAAAGGGAAATTATACTGATATTTTAACCATGGTGAAAATATAGGCAGCCAGGTGTGTGCTTATACGGAAGAAGAATTCAGATGGTTTTATTTATTTTTGGGTATAATTAAAATGCATGGTATTTTGATCTGTCTCTGAGCATTAAATATATAATATGGTATAACACTGCTGTAACTTCCTATGTGTAGAATTTCATTTGAAATGAAGCATATTTTATGGTGCATTCTGGATTTTTAGACTAATTAGTTCTTATCTTATTTTCTTTGCTATTTAAGGGGTGTCCTTTATTGATAAACGGTAATATCATCTTGTTACTAGTACATATGCATATACTTTAATGTAACTGTATAAGAATAGTTATTTTGGTGATAATTAATTATTCAATATTTGAGCATACTAGTCTATACTATAGCCTAGGAAATAAATATTCTTTTGGACAAAGAATTCTAGTGGTATAAAAATAAGATAGAACAGTTTAAAATCTCTAAAATTCCTTATAAATCATATAAAAATATGTGCAAAGAACATATCACAGATATTTTAGTCTGTTTATTACAGTGCACTGCCTAACATCTGCATGAATATATTTTGTATAAAGAGTACATTTGCATGAAACCCATGAGAATACTATCTATTTTACCAAGAGTGTGAATATTTGTTTTCCAGTAGAACACTTGGTTTTGACTGTTTTTACAGCCTATAACGGAAGGATATTAATTTTCACGAATTTCTGGCTTCTGAGTTATATAAAAATGAAAATATATACAGAATAAATGTCTACACTTAAAGAGTTTATTTTAGAAAATAAAGAAAATATTAGGTAGAGAGTACTAGAACAAATATCTTCTAATAGATGTAAATAAATTCAGACATCCATCTTAGATAGAAATATAAACACTAAACAGAAAATTATTGTGAATATAAACCAGAAAGTCAGGTATTTTATAGTACTGCAGAGGCACTAATAGTTGAAGTAGTGGCTATGAAGAGAAATATTCTTATAGCACTGTGTATGGTGCAAAACTCATAGATATAAATGGTTCTGTATAAGTGGAAGCACTTTAGGCTGGAAATAATAGTCTAATAAGACTAAGATACTGTTGAATGAAGAACTTTTATTTTCGCAATAATATCTTTGAGCAGTACTCTTATTCTGAGTTTTTCTGTCAGGTTTTGTCATTTTCCGTTATGTTTTTTCCTTTTTAAAATCATATCAGATTTATAGATATGCTCTGTCTGCATGCTTGTTCTAGTCCTATTTAGTCATTTGGCTGGATCCTTATGGAATAGCCAGATACTTTTGAAAAAGCAGCAATTTTGCTGCAGAGACTACTATCCATACAAGAGTTATTTACGACAGAAGTCTGCCCTAAGTTCTTTAGACTATAAATTAACCCTTTCCAGGCTAAAATGGTATAAGCTCACCTGGGCAGACAGTAATAAACTCACTAGAGTCGATCCCAAGTGCCTCCCTATCTCTTATGAGATCGTCTCTTGGCTGTAAGAAATCTTCTGTTGTACCCATGTCATAGGTTCCCCAGTGAATAGCCACTGACTTCTTTGCTTTAATAATTTGGTGAAGAATAAGGGCTTCCTTTGGGGAGATGTGCTGTGGATATATAAACCAGCTTGGTTCATAGCACCCAATAGGGATGAGTGCTAGATCAATGTTAAACCACATTCCTATCTTAAGGAATTCCTTTCGGCACATTCCCGTGTCTCCTGCAAAGTACATGGTTTTTGAAATAGACCTATCCTTGGCATCAGACACAGTGGCAATCCATCCACACCATAGTTCCCTGAATATGTCAATTCCTGTTCTGCACCCCCAGTGCTGGGCAGGCACAGATGTCACCTTAATCCTTCGCTTCTTTCCACTTTCTAGAGTGTATGTATGCGTCTTTATCTCTCCCCATCCCATGCAAACTATATTTTTAATATCGTACTGCATCAAGTGCGCGTCAAACCCAAGGGGAACAAACCAGACAGCATCTGGGGACTTTTTGCTAATGACTTTGACTGCCTCAGGATCAAAATGGTCATGGTGACTGTGCGAGATAAGAACAGCATGCACAACGGGAAGGGCTTCTGCAGTGCATGGAGGGGGCACGTGTCTTATAGGTCCTATAGTATTTGGGAAAGAAGATGCTCTCTTTGAGAAGACAGGATCTGCCAGAATATTTATACCAGAAATAGTCACCAAAGCAGACGCATGCCCAAGCCATGTAACAACTGCACTCTCTTCTGTGTTATTTATGTATTCCTGTGCGTCAAGTACGAAGGCAGGTGTGATTACTGGCAGCTTCTTCTCAATTTCACTCTTCTCTGGGATAAAAGGCTTTTCTTTGCTGAGCATCCAGGTAATCAGGTCCTTTGGATAAATAAACCTTGGGAGCCAGGTTGAAAAGCTTTTTGGGTTACTGTATCCTAATTGCTTATTCGTAAATGGAATGCAAAGCTTACCAGCCTCCTGAAATGTGCTCTCCTCCAGGTATACGTTATTCTTTTTCTGATTGATTTTTTTATGGAGATCACTTAAATCTTTACTGATATCAATTGTATCATTAAGCACAATTGCACTCTCAAGTACTGAGTCACTTTCTGTGTAAACAAACATTTTGGTCTTCTTTTCATCTGGTGTCTTCTCACTGGGATAGACAAACATATAATTCCATTTAAGTACCCGGGATGAAAAGTACATTGTTAGAAAGTGCATTTCATTGTACTCTATTCCTTCTATGCTGGACATAAATTTTTCTTTAAATTGTATTTTTGTCATTGAGTGGCTATGATTCACAGGATTATTTGCTTCATATTGGGCAGATGGTTTTCTTGCAGGCTTTGCGCATATGCTTCCAAGTAGCATCAGAAATTGCAGAAAATATAAATGTCCTTTTCTCATGCTTAAAAAATTTCTGTGATTTTGCAATTATATTTAAAAATGCACATATAATTGGTTAATTTATGCCTTTTAAACTGAAAATACCAATTATATCATATGCACTACAAAGGAGAAGCCAGAATATACTGGAATTAGTACCCTAATATATACAAAATCTTGTTTAAAAAAGAACTTTTATTTGTTCCTTGTAAATATTCTTGATTGTTTGGCTTCTGAGTCTGTCTAGAATATTTTGGCATCTTCATTTGCAGAAGTATATATGACTTTATATTTAAAATCTGATTTTAGGTTATAATTATCTTGCTATTAGTCTATTTACTATATAACCCGAAATTACCCGTTATTTATTTTTCATGGTGTATTGCAATCTTGAGAATAAGTTTTTGGAAGCATATTCAGTCTTCTCTTTCAATATAGACATGAGTTCATGTAAGCAAACAGAGCCTCTTATGGTGTACTAGCAAATATCTGCATATATTGCAGATCCAAGGAAAAGGCTTTATACCCACACAGTAACTGCCTATGGTTTTATAAATACCTTGCAAGAAATAAATTGAATAAAGGCATACAGAACAAAGTCAAGTAGAATATTTCAAAAGACCTAGCTGGGTACTCTGAAGTATTCAGACTATTTATATGATGGTCTGCACTGAAAGAGAACAATTGTCTTCTTGTCTAAGTGCATAGTAATTAAATCTAGATAAATTCTAGTCTATATTAATATTTCTGTACTAGTAAAAGTCCTTTACAGTAGGAGTAAAATATATTTCACTTGAAAATTCCATATTTAAGGATATTCTTATATTCTTATACAGTACAAGCACATGAAGAGTACAAAAAGTAGAAAAGATTAGAAGAAGTTCTTTATTCGTAGTATGAAGAAGATCTATAGTTAAAAGTTATAAAGTGTCTTTAGTGTATCATAAGGACTAGCTAAGTACTTGTAAAGAAAAACACTAACCAAATATGACAGAAAGATACATGGAAGAATAATCACTAGTGAACCTGCAGAGAGCAAAATAGTCACGGAAAGAGACGGGTGCAGTCTCTTTATCGTATATCCCTTTTGCTTGTACTCAGTGCATATATCATGCATATTATCCTTCCTTGCTCTTTGCATTTTAAGCTGCTTAAGGAGTTCATCCTTTTTCGCAAATCTATTGTATATCCATTCACTAGAGTTTTCTGCTATTTTAGCATCAAACTTAATGTTCTCGCATATAATAAGAGCCTGTATGCGAGAGCATCTGCCAAGAATGATATTTGTGAGTGTAAAGTGGTCAGATGGGTACATCATATCACTTCCGTGCATATTAAGGTATATTGTGCAGTCCATGATATTTTTGAGTGTGGGTTTTAATTCATCCACAAGGATCTTGAATCCCTTTACTCTAGGGAATATCACCTCCTGGAAGACCTTGTTTAGACTATGCGGTATGGTTGTGTGTATTTTCTTCTCTTCAATTTCTTCTGGTGAAAGTGTCTTTAAAAGCCCTCTGTTCTCCAGTTCTTTCTTTAGAAATATTTCATCTTTCTTTTTTGTGTCTTGGTCAATGAATGTTCCCTCTGGGAAAATAACCAAGTTGTAATTGTTGCTTTTATGCAGTACACTGCATGCCTTCTTAAGACGCATTTGATCATCTTCCATCTTTCTGGTGAGAAGTACAAAATTAAGCATGTCAATTCCCAGCCTCAAAGGATAAAAGGCCCCCACTGCCTCCTTTGCAATAAATGAAATGCTCTCCCTGCCTGTCTTTAGAAGTAAAGACCATAGGTATATCCAGTCCACATAAGAAGTGTGATTTGAAATAATCAAAGTATTCCCCATCATCTGATCTTCAGGTAATGGCTTATACAGGATATATGTGTTATCTCCAATTAATATGCAAAGAAGAGACTGCGTCACCTGCAGCCAAAGCTTCCCTACAATGGCCTTAAATTTCTCCATATTTATGCCTATGCAGGAAAGGCCTCTGTAGGTCACATAAACTGCAGGAATTATAACTATGCACATAACAAGATAAAAGAGACATGCAAATGAGAAGTATACAGTTCTGAAGAGAGACGTAATATTTCGTAAAGTACCCGTGCTCATTCCAAATTAGTATATAAAAAGCTTTTATTTTTCTATAAATATTCTGCTGCATGAAGAAACAAACAAACCATAGACCGATAATTCTAGAATATTTTTACAGATCGATATGATGCTAGGCTGACATAAGCACATATTACTGCAGTGGCTTATGAATATTTGTGTACCCTACACCACATGATTTGATAACTAGCAGATTATCAGGTACTCCAGCATTAATATCTTTTTCTGTCTTCATGTATGGCTCTACAGTGTATGTGTATTTTAATATCCTCTCTAGAAGGAGCAAAATCTCCTTGTCTTTCTTTGAGATTCTCCTAATAATAATGGAACTTCCATCTACTGTAGTAAGAGACAGCAGAATAAACACGAAATACTGCACAGTGTGACTGTAGGATCCACTTGTCCTAATATTCTTGTAGAATTGCTGGACTAATCCATCCATCCTTTCTTCTGCAGATCTGTCTAGTACAGAGTCTGTTCCATCTACAGTGTATTCTACTCCGTATATGGAACTGTGACCAAAGGCAAGCAATAAGCACCCATGGCCTGGTGTTCCTCCTGTTGTCTTGCTGTTCCCTATGTCATTGTATATTTTCACTGAGGAGCATACTTGGCTTAGATGGCTTCTGGCTACATTGCTTACAGCATGCACAGTGTCACTGTTTATTTTTGCAGAGTAATTTATTCCTATTATGCGTCTTAGATCTTCCCTTTGGTCCAAAATAACAGGAGACAAAGAAGATGCAGTCTCTGCCATAAGAAGAACCTCCCCATCATTAGACGGGAATATTGCTCTTTTGTTAATTTTAACCTCTGCAATTACCCCAAACTGCCCAAGTAATTTGCAGTACACAGCCCGGACCATGTCAACAGACGTAGTCTCTTTCTTGTTTGTGGTGCCTTTGAGGGTAAGACGCAATGGGATTCTGCAGAATAAAGCAAGTGGCAGCAGACTAATAAGGACATCTGCTACAGTATTGTGGGTGCACTGGAAAGATGCCTCCCCGCCCTGTATTGTTCCTGGCGTATATGAGAAGAAGCTTTGGTCTTCTTTAATAAGAGTTCCTACAGTGAGCTTCTTCATGAGCTGTATATATTCTTCAGTTCCTTCGTTGCCCTCTGGGTGACTTAGTTTATCTATGTGAATGGTTCTCCTGGCAATAGTACTCAGAGTAACAGCTATTTTGTGTTCATTCGAACTGATTTCCATTTGTTAAAAAATATTGTTTGCAAAACAATTTCTACAATGAGAGCCAACGACTTGCTTGAAATAGAAGAAAGAATTTCAAGTCTTTTAGCTAAGGAGGAAAAGAAGAAGGGAGAGCGCGTTGCCATGCTAAAACAGATCCAAGAGAGCATTGACAAAAGGCGAAAGCTATGCCAAGAGCTCGAGCAAGAGAAACAAAAGCGAATAGATAATCTAAACAAACAAAAGGAAGCACTCGAAAAAGCAAAACAAATAGCGCAAAATAAAGAGAATGAAGAAAGCGCAGAAAGAAGGGAAAGAATCTGGAAGGAATACGTGCAGGCAATTGAGAATATAAACAAAGTAGAGCTTGTTCTCTCAAAGGACATGGCAGGCACAGTCAAAAAGATAGTTTCAATGGGGCACGAAGCAAAGGCATCTGGATTTGACAGTCTGGCGCACGCAGTAACACAGCATCTTATGCAAGAAATAAGAAGGTTTATTGTTGAGTGCAAGAAGGCATCAAGCACTCTTAGAGTAGACAGACTGATTGGTCTTGTAAAAGGACTGAATAGGTCGATTGCTTTATGCGAGAGCAAAGCAGGTAAAATAGAAAATAGAAGAGATGTCTATCTAGATGGATTCTTTGCAGATTTAGAGGAAAACTTCTCAAACCACTTCTTCAGCCAGTTTGAGACAAATAGACTGGACAAGCCAGAGTGGTACCTGGAGTACCTTATAGGCAGCTTGGCAGAGCACGAGACAATATTTTTGGTTCTATCACAGATTGATGAGCTGGAGATGGAAAATGAAGAATCAGAGGTCATAAGAGAGAAGGTGTACTTCCATGGGCTAATTGACAGAATCTTCAGTAAAATCATCACAAAGAAGCTGAAGGAGTGCATTTACAGCAAGTCCAAGCAGCAGAAGGAGCTAATTATGCACCACTCGCAAGAACTCTCCGTATTTGAGAGAGAATTGCAGACGCGTTATAGATACAAAAGAGCAGAAAAACTTCAGCAGAAAGAAGTCTCATACATAGAAGACTTGTTCATTGGGCTGGCAGAAGAAGAACTACAAGGCATTATGAAGAAAGACTATACTGAATGGAGTGAACTGTTTATGTACCTGATTAAGACAATATTTAAGCAGTCTGCCACACTCTATTCCGTCCTACCAGATGCTCATGCTGTTCTTCTTGAGGCTGCAATCAAGAAATATCTGGAGGGTTTGGCTGCATTTCTGAATTCTTTCTTGTATCAAAACACTGAAGAACAAGATATTCTAGTGCATTTCATAGAGGAAATAGCACATTTAGAAGAGGAACTGATCGACATTGAGACGGAGTTTGGTATCTTAATAGGGGAGGTAACCATTCTAAAGGTGCCATATTTAGGAGTGTTTAAGAAGGACATGCTAGATATCTTAGAAAGAGTTCTAGAAGAAAAAATAGAAACAGCACTGCACCCGCTTGCTAGCTACAGGTACATGGAAGAGCAAGAAGAAGCAAAAGCCATAACTGAAATAGAGGAAATTGTCGAGTATGAACTCTCTCGTATAGAAACGCAAGGACTTGGTGATTGGATGCGAGGCACAATTGGCGCACAGATGGACAGATATATTTCTGAAAATGTACTGTCTGCCTCTATTGAAGAGGAGTCTGATATTGCCAAATTCAAAGAAATACTTAAACGCCTAATAGAAATACTTAAACAAAATGGCATAGAAAATTCACTGCCCCAGTGCGAGACCAAATGCCAAGAAATGCTTGCCAAGTTGCATTAAATATCAGAACATGTTAATAAAATGCCCTTAACAAACAAGCTATCTACATATTTAGGCCACTATTTATTGCAATATGCTCATGCACTGCATATTTTGCCTATTTCGCCATCTGCAACAAGTGGGTTTTTCTCACAGTTAGATGCACTTTATACTGCATTCCTTGGGTCTAGTTATTTCAGAAAGACAAATAATCCTATAGAAGTACAGATTATTTCTTCACAGCAGGTATTCAATCTCCTGTGAATTCACACAGAGACTAGAGTATATGTATTTATGCAAGATACAAACTATTTAAGCTATAAATTTAAATAGATCAGTTTATTAAGAGCAAACAAATAAACACATGTTTGCAGTGATTCGTGTGAATCGATGAAAATGCACATTTCATTAAGAAATAAAGACAGATCTATAATACTCTCATTATATCCATGAATATTCCCTCTTAAACAGATATAATTAAACTCATGCACTTAGCACTAGAGTACACTGTAAATTCATTTAAATGAATTTTTCTCTTAAGATGTAGTACTAGAAATATTTCAAGTCTAATGAAATTTTATATGAAAAAAGTATACGAGTGTAAGTCAAAATGAATATCCAAATATAACTAAAACCATAGAGAAGAGTGAGTTATCTTAAGACAGATGGGTTCCTGTGGAAATAATAGAATGGTTATTTTTGTTTTATTTTAGGCTGAGTTTTATATAAAGTCCTTGGAGTAGTACTATGACAGAGTCTTTAATGAAGCGTATGACTGTCTAGACTGTATATTAAAAAATTAATACGTGTCATATATGGGATATTTTATTTGAGTGTGCTCTTATACAGAGATATTTACAGTGAAAATAACTATGTCCTTGTTGCTTCATACGCCTAGTGGTTATAGAATACTCTTGTTTGCACTAGTTTGCATGTACATTGGGCCTATTGTGATTTAATTTATTTTTAGACTCTAGTGAAATTGTGCCGCATAGGCATTGATTCTGGGTTAATTAAATTTAAATGAATTAATCCTGGGATGTATACGGGTGCATAGTGCCTTCAGCGTATGCAAAAATATAGAGTCTCTGGAGATCGTAAGTGCGAGTGTGGAAAAGGACAAAAAGTGCAGCACTCTGTGTTCCCACGCGGTCTCCCATCGCAGTACTATCAAAGCTGTCACGCGCTTAACTTCAGAGATCGAACGGGTTCTGGTGTGTACGCAGGCATATGGCCGCACGAGTATTAGTTACCTGCTGGCTCCTTGTGGGCGGCATGTTAGTCTTAGATGAGCTTTGTCTTTTGCTTGTGTGGTTTTTTAAAGTTTCTTTTTGCAACTTTTGGCTTGTCTGTGTATATGAGCATGTAAATATGTTTAGGCCCTTATATAAGCAATCCTGTGATGTGTATTAATTCTGAGTAAATTTCATGCATTTGGTATAAATTATGTCTAAGGAGTAATATAGACTAAGTTATCAGATGAAAATAATATTAAAGAAAACACACTATACAGATGCAAAAGTCCTTTATATGCAAGGGTTTATGTGGTAAAATTCCCACTTTCAATAAACCCTGTGACAAAAGGACATCTATGATAAATGCACTTTCCGGACGATTTCTCGTATATCAAAAACTGACTATATAATAGTTAGAATAATTCAGAAAAAAGGAATATGTCCGAACCCAAGAATACAATTATCAAAAATGCATCCGGTCAAAGGCACCGCAGACATCCACAGGATTCCAATAATAAAAGTCCCTGGACAACCTCACTCTCTATTCTCGACTATTATCTCCGGACTAGCTCGTCGCCCCCTTTTGGGCACGTCAGTTTATATATACTACTAGATATATCTGGATATTTCACTGTTAACTTTTTAATATTTTGACATATTTATTTTCTGTGCTCTTATTAATCTTCTCTACTAGAGCAATAAAGGGCTTATATTTGCATCTTTGAGATTTTGTGCAAATATAAGAGTGCTGCCATGCGTATACAGAAAGAACGTGCATAATATTATTTGGGAGATGCCAGTATATTTCTGCATATTTCTGCATATTTTTGGTGATTTTTCTGTGCATTTTGGTGATTTTTAGACAAAGTTTTATAACGGATCATAATTTTATTTTTATGACAGAAGACAAGAAACATGATGTCAAATTTGCCCAAAAAGCAGTTGTCTTTGATGAGTTTAAAGTGGGTGTTGAATTCTGCAAGCACAACAGAGATGAGCTTCTTGGGGAACTTCCAAGTAACCATCCTTGTGTGAAAGAAGGCAATATTTTCGAGAGAATGAGTACGTACTTTATTCTTCCTCTTTTAAAAGATATGCTAACTTGGGTCTTTGAGTTTCTTAGGAATCTTGTAAACTTTGGCTACATGGAGTGCCTTTACATTCTGACCTTCTATTTCTACCTTTCAAGTTATAGCATCTATTCCGAGCAGTTTCACGGGATGAAAATGTTCATGACAACTGCCAGTGATATTCTATTATACGTACCACTTATTGCAGCCCAGATTGTGCACACATGGGAGAATTCTGGGAATAGTATACTTCTACCTATTCTCTACACTATCATATGCTATCTAATTATTCTCATCCCAAGATTTATTTTAATCATGGTGGAGAACGTAAAAAACGGTCTTTGGACATTTTCTGTGAGCACTGTTAAAACGGAAAAGCCCATTTATGGGATAATATGCGCATACACTGTATTTCTTGCTGTGCCCAGTATATTAGCCATATATTCAACAGGCTTTAAAATGCTGCCTGATTCATTTACCATGTTGGAGACAACGGATTTGTATATTCGAGAGTGCATTGCTGGCCTAATTTCATTCTTGATCATTCGGATTATATTCCTGTATTCAGAATGCTTTATGGACAGGACCCCGTATAAGAAAAAGAATCTACTCTCATGCGAAGAGGATGCTGCCAAACTAAGACGTGTTCTTCTTTTGTTTATGGTTTACACCACCTTCTGCATTGGTTCTATTGCATTCATGTACACATACTATTCTTTCCAAAGAGCAGCCACTGACACAAATATTGTTGAAGACATACGGTGCATCAACTATGCTGCCACTAGGGTTATGAGTGATCCTGTCTCAATTGTTGCCTCTCTTGCAAAGAAGGGCTTCAAGGACTTCTGGTCTGGCATTAAGAATGTTGCTAGCAGCGCATGGGATTCAACCAAAAACAGTGTTTCTTATGCACTGGGTTCAGTTGGTCGTTTATTCACAAGATTGGGTAAAGTTTAGTTCTCATGCACTCCCATCCACACAATATTACAAAAATATCTGCCTTTAGCAGGCACTGCGAGATATAATCAATGGCTTTAGTTGCAGCCCACAAATACTATGCGTGCCTGCCTACTTTTTATGTAAGCTTGATTCGTTCCTTTATATGAAGCCTCTGCATCACAGACAAAATTAACTAGAGAAATTTCTGGTCTCTAAATGACAGACATTTCACTGCAAAAGAACTATTTAAATATGCAGTGTCTAAAAGAATTTTGACAGCTTTTTATGTGACAGCATTAAGCAATCAGGCAATAAGACACATACAAAATAATAAAGAGACTTTCTTAATATGCAAATTATTCTAGAACTCAGCTGCAAAGGAAGACTCTTTCTATCACTTCATATGCAGTCTGGAAATTCTATAATACTGCTACTATATACAATAGGCCTGCATATTCTAATGAGTTAGCACTAGATATCTGTGCTTATTGTAAGACTGGTTTCTTTATTTATTTTATTCATGGGCGTGCAGGCAGCCCGATATAACAAATGAACACTGCTTGGTCTGGTGACCATGACAGGTTATGGTGTTACTGGTCTGATGAAAGACTTCCTTTTTTGTCTTTTAGTAGGCCAGTGAATAAAAACTGTGCCCTCTTCTGGAGATCATGCGGTGTGCGCACCTTCAGATAGTAGTCAAAGCTGAACTCTTCTGCCTCACGAATTCTGTTCCATAGCTCGTCGTAGCACTCTGGTGTGCCCATCTTTTTGTTCAGAATCCGCAGAATAAATCTGTCTGCCTCTTCTGTATATCCAATAGACTTATTGCTAATTGGGTATGGAATCTTAAAGTTGTCGCCTTCTTTCTTTATCTTTTCTCTTAGATACTCCTTTATCTTCAGAGACCGCATGATCTTGTGCTCGCCCTTCTGCACTTGTAGACGTATTTTGTCTGCGTCTGCTAGTTCATCTATTCTGGCCCAGAAGACCTTTCCGTACTTCTCTACCTCCTCTACGCTCTTGTCAGAGAGACTGGCTGAGATCTTTTTTACATTGTCTCTTCCGTACCGCTCACATGCTTTTACATATATCCAGAAGTCTCGCTTTGCCCAGTTGTTAAACCCTTCCTCGTAGAGTGTCTTTTTTTCTGCCTTCTCTGCTGGTGTTAGAAGGTCCTCTGGGTCTCCTGTGGCCTGGAACTTTTCTATTTCTTTCTTCTGGAGGAGATGCAGCCGCTGTGGATGGAACTGGTAGTCTGGGAGATTAAACTGCCGAATGCCAGTTGACTTTCTCTTGGTAAGGATGCCCTGCGTAATTCCGCGGGTTCTTCCTCCCTCTGGTTCTACAATGTACTTTGCCAGCTTTTGCTTTGCACTTTTTACGCTATAGTCTTCTCCCTCCCACTCGTATGCCTTTATCTCATTTCCGCCTAGGTCCTTCAAAACTCCCTGCTCATCGATCTTTGAGTTCATCAGGTCTGTCTTCTCCATGCCAATCCGAATGGTCTCCTCAATTGATCGATCTAGCTTGCTGTCCGTGTCAAAAACATTATCCACTCCGCTTGCCAGAATGCTCAGCAGCTCATTCTGCGATATTGCATTGTCCTTTTTCTTTTGGTTTTGCACAATGATCTCATCAAGCTTCAGCTTTTTCATCGCTCTTTCCAGTATCTTCTCCTCTATTGTGTTCTCTGTCAGAAAGTTAAAAACGAACACCTGCTTCTTCTGCCCTATTCTGTGCGCCCTGTCCTGCGCCTGCAGGTCCATCTGTGGGTTCCAGTCGTTGTCATACACTATGACCACATCTGCTGTGGCTAGGTTAATTCCAAGACCACCTGCTCGGGTACTCAGTAAAAAGATGAACATCTCGCTGTTTGGCTTGTTAAACTCCTCAATTGCCTCACACCTGTCTTCTGTGCTTGTGCTTCCATCAATCCTGCAGTATTCATGCTGCCTCAGGTTGCAGTAGTCCTCTAGGATGTCAAGCATGCGCGTCATTTGACTGAAAATCAAAACTCTGCTGCCCTTTTGCTTTAAATGCACCAGAAGCTTGTCTAGAATGAGCATCTTCCCACTGTTATCTATAATGTGCTCTCCTGTGGTGTATGGAGGGCCTGGCTCAGCCCCATCAAATAGGTACGGATGGTTGCAGCACTTCCGCAGCTGGCACACAATGTTCATTAGCTGCATCTTGGACCCCTCATTCACCAGATTCTCTGCGTCTTTCTCCAGGATCATTTTGTACCACGTTCTTTGCATCTCTGTCAGTGGAGTGTACAGGTTGATGATTTTCTTTGGAAGCAAGGACTTTTCCACGTCCGCCTTCTCTCTTCTTAGGATGAATAAGCCAAGCAGGTTTCTGAGCTTATCTACTGTTTCATTGTCTACGTCATTTGAAGAGGACTCCACCCATGCATCAAAGCCCTCCCCATCAGAGAACACCTCCGGCGCAAGAAAGTTCAGAAGAGCCCACAGCTCGTGAATGTTATTCTGCAGTGGAGTACCTGTAAGCAGAAGCCTGTGCGCGCACGGAATAATGCGGACCACCTTGCTCAGAACAGTCTGCTCATTTTTAATTCTGTGCGCCTCATCAATAACAATGTACTGCCACTCCACAGACTGCAGCTGTGTCTTTCCAGCCAAGCACATCTCATATGTAGTAATGCATGCAATATAGTCTAGCTCCTGCAGCTCTTTTGCTTTTGTTCGGATGTCCTTCCGGCTGCAGTGGAAGATAATGGTCTTGACCCCTGGCATGAACTTTTTAAACTCATTCTTCCAATTCTGCAGAGTTGACTTTGGCACTATCAAAAGATTTGGCAGCTTGTTCTTCTTTGCAGTGTACAAGTATCCAAGCAGTGAAATTGTTTGGAGAGTCTTTCCCAGACCCATTTCGTCTGCCAGAATGCAATTAATCTTCTTTTCGTACATGTTTATAAGCCAGTTCAGCCCTTCTATTTGATAATGCCGAAGAGTCCCCGTAATGTACCCAGGCGAGTGCGTGAACGTAAATGCCTCTGAGTCGTCCATTCCGAACTCATCCTCTTCATTCTTTGTGCTTCGCTCTAGCTTGGTTTTTTTGACCGCTCGCTTAGATGTTTTTTTGTTTCCCAAGAGGATTTGGAAAAGCATATTGTCCCCAATGAATTCTTTGTACCTTTCGATTACTTCCTCTTTCATCCCCTACAATTTTTTAAAATAAATAAACTATCTAAATATCTTTGATACGTTGTATGAAGAGATCTAAACGTGATCTACCCACTGCCTGTGAAAGTCTGCTCGATTTACCCCTTTTTACAGAAGACAGTTTTCTGCGTGGTGCTTTTCTAAGAAAACAGGCATGATTTCTACAGAACAGCACAGTCCAAGTGAACTACTTTGTAGGCAGCAGATTGAAATATTAATAAACAGACTTAGAATTTTCTGAAATTGCATGCTTCTATGCAAACATGCTTTCCAGTTCGTGCAACAGAAACATAGTGCATTTTATTGCAGGGTGAAAACCTGCACTGCTTTTTGCAAAAGACTAGAATCTGGGTCTGCATCCATAATTAAAAAGTGTATAGTTGAATTAATGGACCTTTATTACTACCTAACAAACATCTTGTTTCACCATGCATCGGGTATATACTTTCTGATGCAAAGATACTCTTGAGTTTGATATTGCAATTAAGATATTTTGCTTGTTTTCTGCTCTATTTATACTTATATTTTTGTAATTGGTGCAAATGCTCTTATTAGTTTCTTCGGTTTTGCATCAATCAGAAAAACTCCTGTAATACACCAACCAGATGCACATACAGAGCATAAATATCCACTTAAAGTGGTAGAATACTGAGAAATCCGCTTTTTTGAATGGACCTATCACATTTCAATGTAAGTAGCTACTAAGCCTTTCTTTGGCTCTAATTGGTGTATATATGCAAAGTGTAAATTTTTTAGTGCAAAGAGCAAATAACTTCACCCACCTTCTTTGAAATTTAGGCTATTGGTGCTAACAAGCGAAGTAGACTAGCAAAATAGGACATTCTATTATGGCATCCAGAAAATTATGATTTTGTTTTAAGCATGTTAGAATATTATGCTAATTTCTCTGCCTTAAGAGCACAAATTTCTCTATATGGGCTAGAACTGTAGGGTATTGAGTCATTCGGGTTAAATCGGGTTTATTTTTGGCTAACACATTCTGAGGACTTTGCTTTATTTATGTGCTGTGCTACTTTACAGTCTATATTTTTAGCTTGTTTTTCTGGTTAAGCCTGGCTTTATGTATCTTTCTAATAGAGATACTGCCTGTTGTTTAAATCATGTACCAATGCGTTGGCATTCTGTCTATAGATAAAGAACAAAGATAAATAGAATGCAGCAAGATATTTGCATATTGCATATACTTAAGATAAGCTGCAGCTCACTAGAATTTCACTAGAAAGTGCTTATCTAAAATGAGGTATATTTAGGAAGGTTTTATTCATATTTGCTGGCGGTAGATGCTTTTTGGTGCTGTCTCTGTATATATCTATTTGTGCTGAAAACTATATATATCTATTTGTGCTATTATTGTTGTGTGCTGTATTTTACATGTTCTCTAGAGAGTATAAAACAGAAGTCATCTGATTTCTAATTTTACAAACCCATTTGAAGATCTTTATGCACTAGGGAATTGAAAATGCCCTTATATGTTATTGTATACACTATCTCTCTTATCGGCTGATGGTTCTTTAAATATATGCGTTTTTAGGCTTTTCCAAGATCTTTCAATATAAAAGTGAATAAACGCTACTTTCTAAAAAATGTGTAAGCGAAGAATAATTTTATTGAAATTATTTGAAAATAATTTGAAGAGAAGCCTTTATTATAATTAAGAAAAAAAACTCTTTAAAGTAGAGAAGTGTCTAATTCAACGCACTGCACAAAGCAATAAGATATATGCTTTAATCAAAAGAACACATTAGCACAGACTCTTAAGGTCTTTTATCATCCGGTTAAGCTTATTAATATCATTTTCATTTCTGCATATCTGGTCCTTCAGATTATTGAGCTTATTAATAACTTTCTCGAATGGAAGGGTTGATTCAACAAAAACAATCCATTTTTCTGAGATGTACTTAGTATCGCAGGCAATATAGAAGTTTCTCTTAATCAGCTCTATATTTGGATTTTCCTCTATGCAAAGATATACAGTGATTACATATCTCATATATGCTATTAGCTCAGATTTTCTTTCACAAGGGGTTTGTAATATTTCTCTATTAATTATGTTGGAATATTCCATGTTTTCATCTCTGAATATATATTTATAAATAACTCTATTTGCTGTTGAGTCTAGCAATGGGTGTAGATATATATCGTGTAAATTGATTAAAAGCTTCGTATGGTAGTTAATCCACCTTATGAAAATATTTAAATCACAATCCATTATGTAATTGCAGAAGTATTTGTTGTTTGAGCGCATGCCCAGAGCATTACATCTTCTTCCTGACAATTTTATATTCGGGAAGTTGAGGTTACTACCATTTGTATTGTTCAGGCCTGCAAAAAAAATTGAGGGAAGCAGCAGCCATTGAGTATTCCAGTTTCCTAGTTCTGAGCTCCCTAATATGTTGGAGACAAGACGAATAACAGGATGTTCTGGATATAGATTTTTTTTCATGCTGTATATGATGAAACAGGAGACAAAGTCCCTCTTATACGTTAAATCATTCATCTTCTTGATCAGCAACAGGCTATTGATCTCTGCGTAGTTATTTTCTATGGTCTTGCGAATCTGAGTCTTCAAAAACTTTTCGTTATTCTTAGGCGTGTTAATCTTTCTTGCTTCATACCCAGCATATATAGAGAATAGATTTTCAATAAATGTCTTTCTATTTCTACAGATAATTTCCATTTCATTCATTTTTTCTACTCGAATATCCTTAAATTCCATAGCAGCAGCCTTCTTATTAACAGTACTGTGTCTATTGGATATGCTTAATACTATCGTATTCTTAATTGAGCTGTGCTCAAATGTAATCGTAATATCTCCAGATATATCATATCTTCCACCATTACACTCCATGCTTCTAATCTTTGCAAACAATACTTGTACACCTTCTGTCTTAGATAGGCGTTTAAATAGCACTTCTGTGAACTTTTCAATTCTACCATGTAATTCATTTTTTAGTACTCCTTTCTGTTCCTTTAAGCTCTGTGCAAAGCCAAGTATTTTGTCTTTTTCTTCTCTAGGGGCATTTACTACTTCAGCAATAACCATGAGCATGTTTATAAGACCACAGTCTAACTCGTTCCTTCCCTTGCAGTATGCAATGCTAGGCTCATCTAGATCAGAAACAACTGTGCACCAATTCCTCTGGAACTTAGCCTTTGTTGTGTCAAATGACTTGTTCTCCTTTGGGGCAAAGAATTCTTCCAGACTGGAAGAGACATCTCCCATGTGGTCTGTCCGATATATTCCTTCTACAGGATCATATGCCATACAGCAGAAAAGAGAAAGAATCATGCACTCTACGCAGTTGCTGTAGTCTTGCAAATAGTTAGTAGAAAATGAGTTTGTTTTTCGGCTGTACATAGGAACAGATATATATGCAGGAATCTGCGTGCTATCAGTAAATGGAAAGGCCTTCTGCATATTCATAATATGCTCTACCTCCCTCACTAAGGCAATGCAGTCAGAACCTGCTTCAGTCCCAGCTGACTTAAACAGTCTGTCATACACAAAGTCATCTTTGCTTGGTGTCTCTGTCTTAGGTGCGTATTTCTCTGTCATTATGTGCACTGTCTGGATAAATTCTGTTGCACGCTCTGCACTCTCAATAAATCCAAATATGTACGACTGAATCAGAAACTTAAGACTATCCAAGAACTTCCCAGACATAACTTCTTCCTGTGAGCACTTGTCCTCCATCATTCTAAGTACTTCCTGATTGGCTGCATTCTCCTGGAAGAAGTTGATCAGTTGCTTAACCTTCTTCTGTTGGAATGTTTGTACTTTGTCTTCCACAGGGTTTAACCATGGAATAACCATGGGCACTTCAAAGTATATTTCATCTTTTCCATTTGTTTCATAGACCTTTAGTACGCTGTTAGTGACTTTAATGGGAATATTCACTCCTTCTGAGAAAAGAAGCAGCATAGCCAGAATTTTTAAAGAGTGCTTCTCTGTGGTCTCTGCCCGAAGGAACTGAACAAAGGACTGGTTTCCTCGTGTCTCAATTGTTATGTCGCCATTGGGTGATGGAAACAGCTCAATCAGATGATTGTGGTATTTCTCAGTGTACACATCCATTTTATTAGTGGATTGTTGTGCTGTGTACGCCCTGTCCTTTTGTCTATTTCGGGTATATAAAGCATCTTCATAAATATCCAAAGTATATTCATTGTCCTCCACAAAGTATTCTGTATTAATCTCCGGGGAAAAGAATCTTTTGTTATACATGCACTCTATCTTCTGGTAGATGAGTCCCCGTAGAAAGTTAAGAGGTCCTTCTGGGTTTATTTTTATAGAAGAAGAATCCGTTGTAATTTCAAATTTCTGAGTTAACTCCACTTCATCCAATGTTATGTCTGCCCTGCAGATGCCCGTAAGCAGAATGCCAATTAAGGCAACTGCCTTGATCAAAATAATGAAAGAACCCATTTTTAGAAATAAAATAAATCATTTTTCAATATATTAACAGATAGGTTCAGAAGAGTATTTATAAATTATTTTCCATTGACTACTTGCATGTTCATTAGTAGTTTCCACTGAATAAAACCCAATATAATATGTATATTCTAGCCATAAGAAAGTGGTCTAGAATAAAGCATATTACCATCATCTTATTAGTGTGTATTTCTATGTCTACACTGCAATACAGCCATTCTGCTTAGTGGTTTGCTTTTTTATTCATTTTTAGTATTCGGTTTCTCTTCCCACTCTATAAAAGTCTTCTTGTTTTTTGGTTTTCTAAACTCATTCCAAGCTAGTTATACACTAAGGAGACCGTGGCTCAGAGTAAAGAACTAGAAGATTTATCACAAGATAAGTATGCCTCTTCAATGTGAAATTGTCTTAGTACACCTCTTGCATAGCATGCCATCTTACAGAAATTCACTTAAGTTTATGTTAAACCATTATAAAAGTAGAGAATACAACAGTAGCACGAAACTCTTCAAAAATGCATAGTATGCCTGGATGTAAAATGAATAAGCATTTAACATAAGCATGCACTGTTAAAAGCTACTGCAATGGTTATAAGTCATTCTTTATGTAAATTCTATTTTAATCATAATATGGTATTTTCTGCATAAATGTAAAAGTTTTTTATCTAAGTTAATGAAAAGAACAAAACTCTTATCTACATTCTTGAAAATAGCAGGTATCCTGCAGGGAAGCCTAGTAAGCGCACAATTTAAAGCGTATAATGACAGAAATACAAGGTATTCTTATATAGACTCTAATACTCCCGTATTTATAAGCACAAATTTGGAAATAATAGACACACAACCAGATAGTTTATTGAATTGTGTATACAGTTATTGCATCGATAAGCAAGGACTTTTCCAGGAACATAATGACATTGTGCTTGATTTCCAGACAAATAAGCCCCTTAATGCCCGCGATGAAAGAGTTATATTCATGGGAAAATACTGCAATATATTTCAAGTACTATTCCCATTCACTAAGCCAGAATTCCCCATACAGAATACCAAGAAAGGATCTTTTTTTCTTTTCTTGGTGAGTCTTCAAGAGTCCAAGAATGACATTGCTTTGCTTATGTATCTTCTACTACTCTGTGAGGGTGTTGATATGAGAATGGACAAAATAGTCGATATGGAAGACTTGAAGAAAGAAGATATCACAGCCAGAGTAAACCATTTGAATATTATTTTTCAGTTAGGGAATAATATTAATACAGAAAAAGACACTAAGAAGAAACCCCAAAATAAAATGGCTACAGTAGATAGAATATATCTGCCAGTGTTTGAGCAAGTATTAGGGTTTTTCCAGGAATACAAAATACATCCAAAAGTAGACCTAAAAGGACCGTGTGATATGCCCATTCAAAAGTATAAATTGTTACAGCATATTCATCCAAGCACAAAGCTTCTAGTCCGAATGTACGTCTATTACTATTGCAATTATTTCAACTGCTGGGATGAACTTTTTAAAAATATCTACTTTATATTAAGGCCGTATTCAGACTATGCAAAGAATAACTCTTCTACTAAGCAGTCTGCAGATAAAGATTGTATAATTGTAGATGTATTTAAGAATGAAAATGAAGACTCTAATATTCAAGAAAACTCTAGTATACTAAGTTCTGAGGAAGGTGTTAAAAGAAAATCCATTAAAACACCTGCTTCTAAGGCTTATTATAGAATATTTAGGGAAACACTACATGAAAAGAGCAATTGTTCAAGTATGTTTAATAAGAAGTTCTTTACCCTTCTATATGCAACTCACCCAATTCCTTATTCTACCACGAACAATCTGCCATTTTACACAAAGACACCATCTGGCACTGCAGTAGACCAGTTTCCTTTTAGACAGTCTATTTATAGTAGCAAATGCTGTGATGAAAGTTTACTTGTGATTTTTTCTTGTCTTGCATACAATCCTGAAACCTTCAGTTATAATTATAATGGTGACTTTTATGGAGATAGAATATACAGTTTCTTAAAGAAATACAAAAGAATAACTGCTTCTCGTTGTAATAACCTAAATATGCACTGGTCTAAGGAAGTTATAAGCACGACCTTCAATAGGATTGGAACCACAGCCAAATCTAGGCTTAGAAAAGGGACTATTAATTTTCTAAACAGAATGCGACAACTAATGGATGGCCCAAATTGCAGACTGGGTGACACTTTAACCTTTCTTATACAAGAAACCAACAAAAAACCCATTGAACCAGATTATATTGAAAGGATACAGACAAAACTAACCACGTTTTTTAAAGGATATTCCACAAATAATAGTCTTACTGTTAGGGTTAAAAACCTCACTATAGCAAAAGTTGAAAATATGTTTGACTTTTTCGGGGATATTGAGCTGGAATATGAGCATAATGGAATATCAGGCGGAATAAATATAAATGTAGCACTAACTGGAGTAAAAGTCACTCTATTAGAGTCTAAGATTTCTAACCCTAAAAAAAGAAAAGAAGCCCTAGAAGAACTTCAGAAATTATGCTGGTACCCAGAGAGTGATGCAAAGAGTTTATTTATAGTACACACTAATACTCTAATACAAGAATGCAATTATTATCCAAAAAATACAACAGAACCAGTTGCAGGCCCTAGTGGTATATCTAATTCCAACCGAGCAACCAGAATCTAAAGATACAATGCTTTATGTCCTGTGATGTAATAAAATATTATTCATCTATATTCAGTCTCATGCGAATTTCTAAGAAATCCATATAACCCGAAATATATTTGCAGTCTAAAATATTTCTTGAATAGAATTATATGGTAGATATGTATTTTAGTGGTAATTTGTCTTGTATTCCATGTATATCTCAGTATTTTGTATTTTCTTGCTTTTTCATTCCCTTTATGCTTTATGTTCTGTCTGTCATCTTCAGAACTGTTTTTTATTTGTGCTATTTGTATTTTCGCCTTTTTGTTTTCATATGTCCGGAAGGGAAGTAGTGCACGGCTTGACTATTATTGGTGAGCATGGGAATAGAATAATAGGGAGTCCTTTGGTTATTTCGCAGCACCAAAGAGAAACAGAAAGAAGGATGTTTGAAAAGGCAAAGGAAGCAGACGACTCAATTATTTTGTTTGAAGATAGTCTTGTCTTGTACAAGATAGTAGGAGATTTATGCATCTTGCTCTATGCCCCTATAAATGAGAATGAAATTGCACTTTCAAATGCACTTGATGCCTTCTACACGGCAGTGATTAAAACAGTCAGTGGGCCACTTACACAGAAATCCTTAGACAAGCATTATGATGAGGTTTTTATGTTAATTGACTCTTTCATCTACAAATCCACTATTATCACAGATAGTTCTACTGACCTTATAAGCACCCTGCAAAGAAGGACATTTGAGGGCCTGGATGCAATTCCTATGCCATCAAAGCTCTCAAGTGCTTTTAAAAAGGCACAAAAGTCATTTGCATCATCCTGGTTTAAAAAGTAAATAAATTCACAGGCCAGGCTCTTTATGTTCTATTCCCTGGGTATTCTTCTTATTGAATACATCTGCAATATGTACACTCTCTATATAAAACCATATATTTATTCTAAGAATTCCTTATATCTGGATAATTTGACAGTTCTGCTCGTCTGTATTCATCAATGACATTCTGCACAGATATCCTGGCTGGCTCAAACTCATCTATGTACGCATCTCCTTCTCTCCTGTACATGTCCAGAAATGCATTTCTTCTCTTTAGAACATCGTACTGCGAGGATATCTTCTGCAGGGCTCTGGAGAATCCTGTGGTATTTGTGAGGAGCATGCCAGAAATACTCTTGCTTGGTGACTTTGATACTGCCACCTGGATATTTTGCACAGTCCATGGGGCAAACCTAATTACCTCTCTTTGCCGCATTCTTTGCATACTTTTTTCAATCTCCCCAGCATCTACGCCCATCATAATATTAACAGCAGCAATTACTCTGTTTGTTTCACTCTCTTCAAATCCCAGTAGCCCAGCCTTTGGGAGAACAAGTCTCCTTTGAACATCAACGCAAGTTATTTTTCTGACTGCGCATGTGCCTGCCCCAATGAATGGAGCATACGAAGGCACTAGAAAGTGACAGCCTGGAACAGGTGAGGCAGCTGATAGAAGCGTACTCATGTCACTGAATCTACTGCCAGGAAATCTCACAGTAACTGTAGATGCAGCTGCAACAGAAGATGCCAGTTGATTTGTATGTGCGACCGTTGGAGCAGACACTTTCAGGGCATCTCCAATTGCTGCCGTCAAAGACCCATTGTCCATCGAAATAACTCCATCTGAATTCTCTATCAACCTTCTTAGTGAGAGCATTGTGTTATATGGCTGGACAACAGACTCACTCACTTCAGAGTTATTTGGGAACACGGAAATAGTTTGAATAGTTTTCTTTGGATATTTTTCCCGGATTTCTTCAAGAAGATATGACCCTAGACCAGATCCTGTCCCACCACCCAAGGAATGGAAAAGAATAAATCCATCCAGGAAATTACTGCTCTCTGCTTCTTTTTGAATAATTTCCAGGATGGTCTCTCTGCTTTCTTTTCCTTGCTGGTATCCACTAGACCAAACATTCCCTGCTCCTCTGCTCTCTGCACCCATCCATATATTTTCTGGACTGAATAGATTTGGCTTACTATTTGTGATTGATGTGATTACACGGGGCTCTAAGTCTATTAGAATTCCTCTAGGAAAGTATCTTCCATCGTAAGATTCATAGAAGAATGCGTCCTTCCTATCACCTGCTGTCTGCTGCAGTACTTCCCCGTTGCTTGATATATTATGTTCACTGCACACTTTCTCCCAGAATTCACTTCCTATTTGGTTTCCACATTGCCCTACCTGCAGAGTTATTATGTTTCCCATAAAAATATTTTAGTTCTTTCTGTAGTTCAATAGACAGGTGCCCCTTCAAATAATATCCCAAGAGGCAGGAATTAATTATTCTTTAGGATATTTCATAGGAATAAGCCGTATTATCTGTATATTTATAAGATAATTCATATATTTATACTATAATTAGTGGCAACAGCAAGACATACACCCAGGAAAACCATAAAAATAACAGTCACTCAAGGCCTTCACAGAAATAATACTCCTTTGACAACTACCCCTATTAGAATCTAAAATACTACTATCTCTGGCTGGAATATTGCCCATTAAGGCATGTTAATTTGGATAAAATTATCTCTAAATGACTTTGTATTTATTAGTATCTGGTGCATCTTATTATCTATCTATATAATTCAGGTTTAGATATATTTATATTTGGGTTATACTGGTGAACTGTTATTTTTCTCTGAATTAATTAATTCTTTAATCACCTGCCTACAAATATTTAATGAAAATTAATACTTCACTTGAAATAAACTGGATCTAAGACAAAACAGTAGAAATGTGCTTCTTGAGCAGAATATGAATATGAGATATAAGCACTAAAAGTCATCCAAAGTGTGAATTTTCTTGTACACATTTCACTCTAGTGCATTCTAGTACAGTTCATTCTTTAGTAAATTTCACTCTAGTACACTCTAGTATATTTCATTCTAGTATATTGCATTCTAGTACATTACATATCTTTCATTCTAGTACACTCTAGTACACAATTTCACATCTTTCACTCTAGTGCACTTTTACATTTTAGTAAACTTCATTTTAGTACATTTGACTCTAGTACACTCTAGTAAACTTCATTCTAGTGAATTTTGAATGAACTTAATTGAAAGCGTATATAGTACATTTTATTCTTCTGCATATCTCTTCTACATATCTCTTCTACATATGCCCCTCTACATATATCCTTATATTATGCTGTATCCCCAAGAGACAGTGGTTTCCTTCTATTATCCTTCTTTTCCATATATCTTTCTTAGTTTTCTCCTTGGAAAAAGAATGCTGCAGAGTACGTATGAGAGTCTATCCAAAGGCATAATGAAAAAGATCTATGAAACTATAGATCAAGTAGTAGACAGTGTCTCCTTAAAGGATAATGTAATTATAGTTGAAGTCCCAAAGGCAGGCATATTCGTAATAAACAGGCAACCATCAAAAGAAGAAATCTGGTTGTCATCACCTCTCTCTGGCCCATACCACTTCGCTAGAAAGAAGAACCAGTGGCTAGATAGAAATGGAAATAGTCTTCTTAAGATTATTTCAAAAGAAATCCTTAATGAACAAAGTCTAATTGAATAACTATTTATTGTGTCTTTGTCTTTACATTCATGCGCCTAAATAGCTCATAGTATGCTGTGACTGGAATAATTAGCATAAGAATAAATGCTTTGCACCCAAAGAATACACTAGATACCTTTATACCATAGAATGTATATAGAATATCTATTATAACCCGAATTATCCCTCTACTCTGCAAATCTATTCCACTCTCCATTATTTCAAGGCCCTTGCTTGTTTTAATGTACTTCGGGTGCACTAAGTATGCAAGAATTCCTAGCACCAGAGACTCAAATACTACAGTAACCACTAAGGGTCCACTTACCAAACTCTTTCTAAATATTCCATTCCCAAGTACTGCACAGATACTCAATACTAATGCACTCCCAATTAGTATTTTCAGCTGCTGTGAATTTCTTTTTATTCTTCTTTTTGTTGACTCAGATGCCATTCTAAAATTGTCTCTTTAAATTTTTTATATGAAGCCTGTCCAGTTTACTACTACAGGCCTGTCTTCATTGGAAAAGAGTCTTATCATAAGGCTATTCAAAGGCACAGAATATATCCTGGAGGAAACAATGACATCAAGTATTTCGTATCTTTTATCAAATAAAAGTACATTTACAGAGAAGAGAATTCTTGCTGAGAGGTGGGGTATTCCTGTGATTAGCATTATGTGGGTGTATAAGTCACTGTCTCAAAAGAGCATCTTGCAGTTTAAATTAAGAAAGTATGAAGGATGCGTCTTCTGTACATCTGGAATTACAAATGACTTATTTATAAACTATTATAGATTGCATGGTGCATACCACTCATCAGTTCTCACTCGGTACTGTGACTTTCTGGTGGTTAATTCATTAGAACAAGATACTGATAAGATTATGTATGCGAAAGAGTGGAATATTCCAATTATCACAGCAGAGACAGTCTTTGATGACAGAATTACATTCTTCATGAAGACCATACAGTACGAGAGTTTTATTAGTGAGCCTCTTACGGATGAAATATTCAATGGAAAGATATTTTACTTTGAAGGAGAGACAGAGATACATAAATTAGTACGGCGGCTGATAATTGAGCATGGTGGGAATAGAGTTGAGGAACCAGGGCCTGATGTAGACTATTCAATCTATTTTGGGAGTGATGGAAAAGGAAGGAATCTTGTGTGGTACCAATGGATCTTAGACAGTGCAGACCTAGGGACCCTTCTGTCCTCTGAAGGATACGAAGTGCATCATGCAGAACTTCCTTCACTTCCATTGGAAAATATGATTATTTTCCCTATAGTCTGCAAAGAAGAAGGTCTTAGAACAAAAAACAAAGTGAATGCCCTTGGGGGTGAAGTGTCGATGCAAATAAGCAGCAAAATAACCCATTGCATTGTTGAAAGGAAAAGCAGACAGCTTCAAAGCAAGATGCAAGTATACATGAAGACGTACAAAATACACGTGTGCTTTTTGGAGTGGCTGAACCAGTCTATATACTATATGAAAAAACTAAATGAAAATAAGTTTGAAATGCCGGTGGGCCTTAAAACTATCCCGGAATCAGTGATGGACAGGACGGAAATGCGAAAAAGGGCATCTGTCAAATATATGCCTGGAAATCTTGATGGATGGAAGGTTCAATTTACAGGCCTAGTGGACACTCTGAAGGAACAGGCAGTTAAAGTACTGCAGGAGAAAGGCGTGGCAGTAATTGACTCCCCAGAGTACTCGCCAGAATGTACTCATTTAATTGTAGGGGCAGTGAATGTGTCATTGAAATTCCTGTGCGCAATCGCATGCGGGGCAGTTCTTATGGACTATCAGGTCATTGATGACTTAAAGCAGAATATCTACACGGCAGAGAAGAGCTACAATTTGGAGACAAGAAATATAAAGATTGATGCCCCAAGGAACGAGAAGATTATTCGAAAATTAATCAGGGCAGCTCCTGTATGGAAGGCCAAGAAAGAGAAATGCAAGAAAAAGGCATTTACAGGCTGGAGAGTACATATACTAGCGACCAAGGACACAGCCAGGATAGAACAACTAATTGAAAATGGTGGAGGTGAAGTGGTAGTCCATGGGGGTGATGAAAATATTCATAAAAATAGTTTCTATTTTGTGGATGCTGCAACCAAAGTGCCACCGGAAATACCGCCTGCACAAATTATTGAAATGAAAGATATCATAGGACATCTAGCACAAGCTAAGCAGATTGGATAAATAAATAGATTATATTATCCTTATATAATATTCTATAGAGATATAGGATTCTTGTGGATTTTAGTCAGGATAGAGATCTTTATGACTAAAATCAAGAATTACTGTTTTCCAAGTTGCAACAAAATACTTATATATTTTAAAGAACTCCATTGTATATGCTGTTTATTCCCATGTAAATCTGTTTGTTCATAGGTTTCTTACTCCTTCTACTCTTCCCACAAGAATTTTATAGTTCTCCTTATGTTAATAGAATATATTAAGGTTTTTTATAATTATTTAAATATAAACCTGTTCATTTTTATTTTCTTATCTTTACGAGTGTGAAGGTTTTAAAAGTTTCAGATACCCAGAATATAATCAAAATTAAGATAAAGTGGTAGTTAAGTTATAGATACCCTGAAGAAAGTACTATAAGAAAGACCCTTATAAAGAGTAAATAATTAGTAGAGACAGTATATCCTGTGGGTAAAGTATTCATGTGATTTATTTAAATTTGAAAGATTCTACTGTACCACAGAGAGCACAGTATAGTCATCACTTGTGTATTATGAATTATCTGCAGTTTCCTTCTTATCTTTAAGATATTCTAGGATCTTTGGGATAATCATCTTCCCTACAAAGAATGTATCTGTCTCATATAGAGTCAATTCCGGGTCATTGTTTATCTCTCGCTTAGAGACTTCTTTCCCATCAAATAATATTTTCTGTGCAAAGTCATTGCCTGGGGGTGCATATATAAAGAACTCTCTCTTACCATTTGCAATGGAGTTTATAATGTAGAACTCATAATTTCGACTCTTTCTGAACTCTTCTATTTCCTTCAAAAATCTCTCTTTTCCATCCCTTTCTATCCACTCATTATAACCGTATTTAACTGAACATATTCCAAAAGACCTTTTTGATTTGTCTGGATATAAATACTTCTTATTCCGCATTCCAATAATAATCCGAGTACTTCCAGTGCATTTTGCTTCTTCCTTCTTTTTTATTGTAGAGTGTATGGCTTTCGCCTTGTCTATAGGTACTTTTGTCATTTTTAGTATTCCTTCAATCGCAGATATATCTAATTTATGTGTTCTTTCCGTTAAGAATGACGTGTCTGTAAGGATAGGGATACTTAGAAGAAACATAAACTGGTAATTTCCCGGGTTCAGATCAATTTCTGGCTTATAATACATCTGTATATAGTGAAATATTAACGTACAGCAGGAACCAGCATGCAGGTCAATCCACATGCCTTGAACATGAGGAAATACTCTTTCTTCCTCTATTATACTTCTGTGATCAAGAATTCTCTCTACATGAAAATTTTTGTTTTGAAGAAGTTCTTCTTCTGGGTTACTAAAATCAACAAGAAATGCATTAATTTCTGTTTCTTTAACGGAAATAGAATCTCTGCCTCTTACAAGAAAAATGTCTTTTCCTTTTGTCTCCAAAAAAACCAAGTCATCCAAGGATAAGCCCATCTGCTTAGTCACATAGCACAGGTCTTCTTTGTATTCAAATAATTCTCTTGAAATATTTACCACAGGAACTCGATTCTCCATCAGACCCAGCACACAGGACCCAATGAATGAATCTTGGTCGCACCCTGTATTCCCTAACGTAATCATGATCTTACCAGTTCCCTTGTAAATCTTGTATATTTCATCAAATTTACGTGCAAGAGTGCATTTTTGTAGGATTTCTTCTAGTTTATGCATGAATTTGCACTTAAGAAAGGCTTTTATACTAAGCAGGGGAATATACGTTGATTATTGGCCATATATTCACATAAATAATTGGCGATATAGGAATATATTTTGGTCTAGAGGTTCTTTTGAACTGCAAGCCCATTAATGCACCAGTCTTTATATTAGTCTAAATTCGGGTTATATCGGGTTATATCGGGTTTATATTCGGGATATATTAGGGTATTTCAGTGAGTTTTAGTCTATATTTCAATGAGATATTTTTATACTCAGAATTCTATTGGTCTCTCCCTTGCCATAGACCAATTTATAGAATAGATTTATAGAGTACTCTAGAGCCTTTGTTTCTTTGAATTTTCTGTAGGAAAATCACATGAAATATAGACAAAAAGACAGTCTATTTTACACAAAGAGTTCAGCAATTATATACATACAGAGTATACAGACTTGACTTCTTAAAAGGAGCCATTGTTAGAGTTTAGTATTTATTGAGAACTCAACTCTTTAATTATTTTGATTTTTAAGTTAATTTTGTCATTTATCAAACTGTTACTAATTAAAACTAAAGATAAAAATTCAGTTAAAATTACCACTATATAGACACTAGATACATATAATATTAATATGCCATCTATCAAAGTAAATGAACAAATATTAATTTGTTATTCTAGCCAATATAATCCATGAAATTATATAATTTTCTGAAAATATAACGTACACCATAAGCACTACAATTTTAAATATACTCGATAAGATATGACTTAAATTGCATATATATGAGTTTATACAGTATTTTTACCTTTCCCCAAGCAGTATACCATAGAGACTACTTATTTCTTTCTGTTAAAATTGAAATTAAAATATTTATTTTTTTTATTTTTTATCCCCTGGGCTTAAAACCTCACTCTCCAAGACATAACTGAGATGATCAGCATGCCCCTGCGCAAGGACGGCATTTTGCTTTGAGAAGTACAGGGGAAACCCTTTAGTGCTTAATATCCTTATTTAGTCTCAATAATTATATGTACCTTTGTGGTTGTAGCATAACTTAAGTCAGAAATTAGCTTAGGCGTAATAACAATTGCTTGTTTATCACTGATTGACTTATCTCCAACCAGCATACTATGGATTGTTCTTTCATATCCTGCATCCATTCCTTGATTTATTTCATCCACCAGCAAGAACGGGGCATCAGATAGTTTCTGCATAGAAAGAAGGTATAGAATAATGGAAACTGCCTTTTCACCTCCACTATGCCGTCCTGCTGAGAGTACTTCTAGTTGTCCTTCTGTTCTAAATTGCACCTTCAGGACTAATTTCCACCTACGAGGAAATTCGCAGTACTCTGCATGTACTTCAGATCCTATCCCAGCTGCATGGAAGAGAGAAGTGGCTTTTTCATTGATATTATTGATTAATCTGTCTATTTCCACTCTAAGTTCTGTTTCTTTCCTGGTCTTAATTATCTCATGTTTCTCTTGTTCTGACTCTTCTCTTTTAATTGATCTTTCCATCTGCTGCAGTTGTAGTTTACAAGTCTCATACTCTTCTATTGCAGAGTAGTCTACTATGGATATTTCTGCCTTTGCCTTTTCTTGGGCCAGCATTGAGGTGAGTGTCTTTATGCAGGTTGTGAGTGATTTTATTTTACTTTTCTTGTCCTCTGTGTCTATGGTGTACGTTGCATCTGCTTCTGCCTTCTTTCTGGTTGCTTGTCTTTTTAATTCTTCAATCTCTTCTGATGCCTTTAATATACTACTGTGGTCTTCCTTTAAGGCCTGCTTTCCATTAAGTATTTCTGTTTTCTTCTTATTCAGGTCATCGTACTGGGTCTCCATGATTCTTGACTTCTGGGCTAACTCCTCAATACTGCTGTAGAGAGCAGTTAGTGGCAGGTTTTTCCAGAAAGGACCTTCTTCCTTCTTTATTCTTCTTAAATCTGCCTCTATTCTTTCTTGTTTCTCATTCAAATCTGCACTTTCTTTTGAAATTTCTTCCATTCTTTCTTTGTATGCTTGTTCTTCTCGCTTCAATCTTTCATATTTCTCTTGCTCCATAAGATCTGCTTCTTTTATTTTCTTCAGTTCATTCAGTCTTTTTTCAATTTGCTCCCTCTTCTGTAGTACGTTCTTCCTGTACTCTGTTCTTTTTTCTCTTTCCAAAATTAACCGTTTTAATTCTTCTTTTTTTTCTGTTAGATTATATGGCTTTGAAAATACGTCAATTCCCTTTGATATTGGATATATAGTGAGTGTTTCATCCTTTGTGTACTGTGATCTTCTAATTTCAACTACCCTTTTGTTCGATATTATTCGGGTTATCTTCCTGTACTTACCAAAGAATTCATGTTCATCAGAAAGTGACAGTTTTGTAACAGGAATATACGATAATTTTGAGAAAATATTCAAGAATTCTTTCACTGCATCTGGTGCCTCAATGCACTCAGAGAGATAGACCATTTTATATTTTTCATCCAATGGAACTGACTGCATCTTTACTGCTCCTTCTGTACTGTTAATCTGTCTTTCTGTTACATTAATTGCAAGACCTCTTTTATCTTTGAATTCCTGAATGAACTCATGGAATGAATCTTTTGAGTGACAGACAAAACACGTCAGTGCATGGACATTCAACTGACTGGAGACTTCTTCTTTATATTCGTCCTTTGTTATCTTCATTGTTAGAATTGCAGGCAGTGTCACATCCCATTTCTTCTCACTTTTCTTCAATATTTCTACTACAGTGTATGTATCTCTATGCATGGCCTTAAGGGTTTCCATCAGTCTTTCTTCTGCTTCATCTCCTTTTTTCAGTTCTATCTCTAGATTCCTTAATTCAGATGCCTTTAAAGCAGATTCTATCTGCCATGAACTATCTTCCATCTTACTACGTTTATGTTCATCATCTAATCTACTGTACTCTTCTTGTAGATGACTAGTTAATTTTATCTTTGGGATTTCTATCTTTCCATTTCTGTTGGGTACTGGCATCTCTACTTTCTCTTTGGTTAGACGAGATATTCTACCTTTTATCACATGAATTTCTTCTTCTACTAGTCGTTCTTTTTCTTCACTTCTTCTGATCTCAGAGATATTCTGTGTGAATGCTGAGATATCCACCATACTCTCAATCTCTGCTTTTATTCTTTTTATTCTATCAGTCTCTGCTGCATATTCTGTCTCTAGTACATCTATTCTTCTCTGTTGTTCTTTGTATATTTCTTCTTCTTTCTTTAGTTTTTCCCTTAGTTCATCTCTTTGGTTCTTTATTGTCTGATACTCCACCCACTTAATTTTACTTTGCAGCAAGCTAATGTGCTCCTTTCTCTCCAAGAATTCTTTTAATTTCTTCTGTTCTTCTTCAAGTCTTTCCATCTTCTGGTGTAGTTCATTTCTTTGTGATATTTCCTTCTGTAGTTTCTTTTTGTAATCGACTAATCCATCTGAAATTTCCTCCAATTCCCTTTTCTTCTGCAGTAGATCTGGCTTACATGCAGTTAAGGTTGTCTCTAATTGTTCTTCTTCCGTGAGAGTAGAGAATTCAGTGACTTTATCTTGAGGCAGAAATTGCCCAAGATTATTTATTTGGATACTCAGGGCTTCTGTTATTTCTTTCACTTGGTTTAATGTGGCAGGTATACTATTTATCTTATACGATGATCCATTTAGTGTTATGGTTCTGGTTATAATTATGTCTATTACTCTGTCTTTCCCGTTGATTTTTACAATTTTAGAGACTTCACTCCTTCTGTCTGTCCTAATAACAAGTTCAGAGACAGCCTTTGTCTCTCCGTACTTTATAAGCTCATGTACACCCAGAGTCTTACCCATGGTTTTACTGGTGCCCCCTAGAGTTAATGCAATTGCACCTGCCACTGTACTCTTACCAGAGCCATTCAATCCTGCAATTAAATTCCCATGCGGTGAGAAAATAAATCTAGTATTCGCGTACTTCTGGAAATTCACTAAACTCAATGAGTGCAAGAAAGTGTTTCCCATGTGCAAAAATATTTATATTTGTTTTTATAGAAATATTCAGCTGGAAATCAAAAATATAATAGAGTAGAAGAGAGATATTTCTGAATGAAAATTAACGGAAAATATACCTGATATAAATTATATTTTATATCTACAGGAATATCCACTCAAATTAATAAGAGTGACTTATTTTATAGTAGTATAAGGACTATTTTATTCTATTATATTTGAAAATAAGTCTTATTGACGTGACTAAAGGGGGTGACAAGCTAGTCTGGAGATACTAGTCTAAGATGGTTAGATAGTAGTTGTCCAGTGAGTTATATTATCATATTTTTTCAGTTGGTGACTAAGACCTGTTGCATACTTGTTGGATGTACTTCTTACTGTTGACATGTTCTGCCTTTTCAGTATTGTTCTTACTATCTTACTATTATATAGTCAGTCTCTGGTATACAAGGAATCTTCTGGAAGTTGAATTTCTCATTGATGGACTCTTGTGGCTTCAGAATAATGAAAGTGGTATTTTTACCACACTTATTTAAGAAGATATTCTACTAGTATACTATATACTGGGTATAACTAAAATAGTTAAATTATTTGTGAGTTTTTATATAGTATGAAAATATGTTGAAATTAGTCCTTTTGTGTTCTAGTTTTAGAGTGCATTATAAGATGTAAATATGTATATATATTAACCCACATACTCCTAGACTAATTAGTACTATTATTCGGGTTATATCTGTATATTTTTGAAGGTCTTTTTAGTAGAGACTTTACCATGAAAAATAAGCACTAGTTGATCGAACTGGAAATAAGCGAATCAAAGAATATTACTCCTTGATACAGAATTTCATGAATATTTGGCTGCTCCTATAGAGTGAAAATTAATACTGCATTTAAAATGGCTTTTTTTGACCAATTATTCTCTTCCTGTGCGAAATATTTCCTATGAAAAATATTCAATTGGGCAGAGAGAAGAAGGCCTTTGGTCCATAAGGAATTTGAATGATTGGTCTACCCCAGAATAAAATACTCCTTATACTACGTCCAAATAGAAGATATGCCTCCCTTCGACAACACTGCCTCTGGAGATAAAACAAATCTAAAACAAAGTGTTTCAGAAGACCAAAAGCACGTACAACTGGAGGAAATAATTCTCAAAAGCATAAATGATCAGGAAAGTCTGTTTACACGTGCATTCTTCACGGAACAGCCTAAATATGAATATACAGACACATATGCCAATGATATAATTGATATGTGCTCAGCCTACAACCTAGACGACATAATGTACAATCTTCCAAACATAGGTGTAGACAGGTTCGTGCACAGTTCATTAATTCATGATGACCGGGAGAAGGAAGACCAAATATTCAAGGCAAAGTGCCGTCAGAAGCACATGCCAAAAAGAGATGGCGAAGAAAATAGGCCATTCACCTGTACGTATTCGAATTGTCATAAGGCATTCAAGCGGTTTGAGCACTTAAAGCGTCATTACCGCATCCATACTGGCGAAAAACCCTTTAAATGCACGGTATACGGCTGCAATAAGTCATTCTCAAGGTCTGACAATCTTATGCAGCATGAAAAAATACATATAAACAACCGAAAAATGTAGCACCAATGGATGATGCACTAATGTTTCATTTTCGTATGGTAGGTTACGTCGATTCTGAGAAGAACATCTATCCTTGGAGGTGTTCATATTGTGAATAAAATTAAAGAATCTTTTCTAGTTATCAGGTGATAATTTTTGTTATCTGCAGGAATAAACGGTTTATTCAATAATCCTAACGGATTTTGCTATTTGAAGATGCATTCTCAAATGTATCTGGTAAGAGATCATTTTGATTCAATCAAATTCTTCCATGGAGATTGTCAGTTACTGTCTCATTACCCAGTTTGTAAGCAGTTTGACTGGTCTTCCAGTGGCACCCTTTCCATGCAGTTCTGGTGTCAGGGTATTGAATGCTACGCCTGCTATGTCAAGGTGTGCCCAAGGTGTCTCCTTAACAAACTCCCTCAGGAAGAGTGCTGCTGTAATTGATCCTCCTGCTGGTCCCCCGACATTCTTTAAGTCTGCAACCTCGGATGAGATCAGGGACTTGTACTCGTCTGTCACAGGCAGTCTCCACAGCTTATCCCCCACCTCAAAGGACGTACTAGCCAGGGACTCAGCCAGTTCGTCTGAATTACTGAATAGTCCTGCCATGACAGGCCCAAGTGAGACTGTAATTGCACCTGTTAATGTGGCAATATCAATGATCTTGACAGGATTGAATTTCAATGCATGATCAAGTGCATCAGCCAGAACTAATCTTCCTTCTGCATCTGTGTTATCCACTTCCACACTCTTCCCTGCACTCCCAATATGTACATCTCCTGGCTTGGTTGCACTCCCGGATGGAAGGTTCTCTGTCAGAGGGATAATCCCAACTACATTTACATTCGCAGACAACCTGGCAAGTGCACCTATTGTACTAACTACAGAAGCACCTCCTCCCATGTCACCCTTCATGGCTGCCATCTTAGCAGAAGGCTTTAAGCTGATACCACCTGAGTCAAAGGTAATTCCCTTTCCAACCAAAGCAATACACTCCTTCCCGTCTTCCTTGCCCTTGCTGTAGGAAATCTCAAGAAGCTTAGGCTCTTCAACAGATCCATTCGAGACCCCTAAGAAGAGATTCATGTTCATCTTCTTTATTTCATCCCTTCCATATACCTTTACAGTTACATCCTTTGGGAGATATGCCTTAGAGTATTCCACGAATAAGGTTGGTGTCATTTTATTGGCAGGCGTATCCACTAGGAACCTGGCAAAGTTCTGGGCCTCAGATACTTGTATGGCCTGTAGTACATCTATACTTTCTCCTGTATACACTAGTCTCAATGGAGTATTCTTCTTGCTGTGCAGTAAATCATATTTATACGATGAGATAATAATACCTTCTACTACCCAGGGTGTAATTACAGACTCTTTTTCCTTGTCAATTACCACAAACTCAACCTCTTCCTTCAATAGTCTTCCAGTTGCCTTGGCTGCTATGCTTCTGATTTCCGTCAAATTGTTCATTTTATCCTCTGTTACTTTGCATAGAACACAAACTCTCTCGTTATATACAGTCCACATATTAGATGGATTACCAGGGAGTACAGATGCAATTGCCTGGATATCACTGGGTAACTCACTTATTTCTTTAAAAAGTATTATTTCCCCTTGTTTTCCTTCTTTTATTTCTGTCTCACTTCTGCAGCATATTCTCTTCCAATCTAAATCCATTAATATATAAAAATAAAAATACTTTTATGCTAAATTAACCTTAATATACATATATTTATTTAAGTAGACAAGAAGATAGTAGGTAGATAGTAGTATAGGTAGTAGTATAGATAGGGTAGTAGTATAGATAGTAGTATGGGCAGTAGTATAGATAGGTTAGGTAGGGTAGGTAGATAGTAGTATAAATGGATAGGTTGGATAGTAGTATAGATATTAGTATAGGTTAGATGGGTAGTAGTATAGGTAGGGTAGTTGTCAAAGGGGTTTTATTTTTACCATATACTTGAATATCTTTGGTTCCTGTAGTATTTCTTATTAGTACTGAATATATTTCTATTGAGAATATTTTACTCTAGTTCTATTAATATTTTCACACTAGTATATGGTATTGGTATAGGAAGAATCCTTCTGGAGAGTGAAATTGAAATTAAAATTAAAATTGAATATTAGCTTACTAGTACTACAGACTGCAGTCAATATATATATGTAGATATATGTCTTAGTATAATATATGCCTTAGTGAATTCCCTCAAATATACCTAGATATAAGTACTTCTGGTTTATACTTGCATAATTTTATTTTTCGGTTATATTGAAGTATGTTGTGATTTGTGAGTTGCTTTTATTTTGTCTTGGAATTAGTTTTATTTTATTCTGGTCACTGCTGCTTCTAAGTATCTTTAATTTCTTTTCACTTTATTTCTCTTTTTTTTCATGAAAAAAATGGGAAAAGTCTGGCCAGGCGAAATATTAGAGTACACGGATGACTGCCTAGAAGGACATGGAATATATAAAGAATTAGACAGTAAAAATGAAGAAATATTTGTTTCTAGCATAGCAGGCACTGTAAAACAAGTAGATAGACTAATAACAGTTGAAGCAAATACGTACTGGTATACTCCTGGGGTAGGAGATATTGTAGTAGGAAGAGTCACTGGCATAGCAAATAAAAGATGGTACATTGAGATAAACTCAAGACAGGAGGCAATTTTACTCCTTAATGCGATCAGTCTCATAGGGAATGTTCAGAGAAGAAAGGGTGAATTAGATGAAATAATGATGACTGAGTACTACAGCATAGGAGACATTGTAATAGCAGAGGTGCAGTCAACAGGGAATAAAATACAATTGCACACAAGAAGTTCCAGATATAGAAAGATATCCTTTGGGGTTCTGATTAAGCTAGAGAATATATCATCTGAGAATGGAGTGCAGTACCACAAGGAGAAGATCAATGGGAAAGAGGTTGAAATAGTCATAGGCAAGAATGGATATGCTGTAGTACATAGTGATGATCACACTGCTCATGCAGAGATAAAGGAAGTGGCACTATCACTATCCAACTATACATAAAATATAATGAAATCTCATAAACTTTCAATAATATACAATTAGATATATCTAGATAGAGAGTGACTTTATTGTCTCTTTTATAGGGATGGTGTCTAAATAAAAGTCCTTTTTAATGTATTTATTGTGCTTTGTATATACTAGTATACTAGTCATATAAATGTCTGTTGATTTTCCTGGTATAAAATCAATTTATAACACAGTGGCAGTCAAAGAGACAGAAGTATTATAGTCTCTATAAGGAATACTGTTGATCTTATTGTTTTGTTCTTTGTGATCAGTAGATTTTTATAAGTATCCTTTATAAAGTATCTTAATCAATAGATATATATTTCATTAAAAATCAGTTTATAACATACTATATTTACTGTAGTATTTATATCTTTATAAGGCATAAGACACAGAGATAGATGGAATATTTCCTTTATGTAAATTTCTACTAGGTTTCATAATATTCCCTTATACTGTATTATTATACAGTAGTACATACTATTCTAATTTTCTGAATATTTCTAGTTGAAAATAAAATATTAACTCTCTTTTTTCTTCTGAAGGCTTTCATTTTCATTTTAAAGCGAGGAACTAATGAAGAGAGAAAAAATAAAACCACGGCAAGAACTAAAATAGAAATGCACAAAATTAAATAATAAGTACTTTATTAACAAGAATACCATAAGATAGAGTATTTATTGAAGACCCAGGACTGCTCTGATTCTTCCTTGAGCTCTTTCTGCTTTAATCACATCAAGACCACCTGCTAATTCATGGTTTATGTAGACCTGCGGGTATGTGGGCCAGTCTCCATATTCCTTGATACCTTCCCGTACTGCATCCGTCTCCAAGACATTTACACTTTTGTAGTCTCTCTCTGGGGAAAGACCTTCTTCCTGGAATATCCCAAGAAGTTCTTTTGTGAACCTGCATTGCGGCCGGGTAGGTGTTCCCTTTATGAATATCACTCTTTTTTGCGTCTTTATCAGATCTATAGCTGCATCTAGTTGTTTTTTGTTGAATTCTCTTTCAATCTCTTGTACTGCAGCTATTTCCTCCATAGAGAAGACAGATCCATACGCGAGTATGCATGGGAGTGAATCTATTTTATAAAGTTTCCTAAGGGTTCTCTCTAAGTCTGGTTTTCCCTGCAGATTTAACTCATTAAATGTGAACATTTCATCAGTCACTTCAAATTCACCGTAGTACAAGACGATAATAGACTGTTCCACCAAGGACTTTATTGAATTTTCATTTGAGTTTTCTCCCATGGGATAAAAGAAAATTCTCTTTGAAAAATATTTCAGAGAGAATGGATGAGCACACGACTAGAACAATTCTTATCACAGACTTTCCAAAAAATATAGCACATGCGCACTTACTCAGGATCTGTAAAACAGTTGGAGCAGTAAAAGAGCACTTTGTCATGAACAACAAGCACTCAGTCTTTTTTGTCTCATTCTATGACTTAAGAACAGCAAAGAAGGCAAAGGATGTGCTTTCAGGGGAAAAGAACGGGTTTACAGTGAAATATGCAATATCACAGCGAGAAATCCCAAAAGGCAGCGACAGCTGCACAGAAGACAAGAACCAAGGCAGTGTGGTCTATATGGCAAACGAAGCAGTAGAGCCAGAAAACCAAGAAGAAGTCATGGATAGTATTAAGAAAGGAAAAGAACACACAGTCAGGTTCTACAACTCAAAAGAAGCCTTAAAGTTCTTGAACTCCTTAAAGACAGAGCACCCAAGGAGCCAGCCTAAGATAGTATGGGACAATGACCTAAGGAAGAGAATAACCCTACTTAAGGCAGCAGAGGAAATTGTAAAGACAGCACCAGCCGGGTTCTTCAAAGGAGTCTCAGCAACAGAACAACCAATGAAGAGGCAAATGGAACAAGAGAATGGACCTGGCACAGAGACAATGAAAAGAACAAAAATGTCAACAAATTGGATGCTTGCATTATTTGACAGTTTTATCACAGAGAATGCAGATAGAATCCTAGCAAACCTAGGATAGACTATCTCGGTACAATCTAAATTGAATCTTGCACTGCCACCCTTAAGAATATTTACACTAGAATGAGAGATAGAACAGAAGACTGTAAATAAAGTGAATTTCAATGAATATATAAAGATATTACTGCAAGAAACCCGTTATTACCAGTGCATAAGCTGCTAATAAATGAAATATTGCCAGTAATAGGCCAGGAATTGCTTCAGTATAGAAATTTAACTGAAAAAATATTTTGATTTTATCGAAATTTAACTGTAGAAATGTTTTGATTGAAATATACCTATTTACATGGAGATAATAACGTATAAATACAAAGATATACTGAGATATACAGAGATATGGTTATTTTGTATCCATGTAGAAATGATTTTATTGTAAGATATTTTTATTAAAGAGATGGGAACCCTGCTAGGGTCTTCTTTGATTCATTGTATCTTTCAAGTACTTCAGATGTACCTGCCAGACTATCTGATATCTGCACACCTGCCTCTTTAAAGAGAAGCAATAATTCATTCCTCTGGTACTCCTTTAAGTCAGCGCATATTTTGAAAAACCCGTCTTTCATTGTGCTTAAGTCCCCTAGTCTAGAGCTTATGAAGAGAAGCAAAGAGAGTGTTAATTCATCATATGATAATACCCTGGATTTATGTCTTTTTTTAGATGCACCACTTGTCTTTATATAAAGGTACTTTGCTGCATCTATGACCACCTGAGAAGAAGACTCTTTGAGTTCTTTCTTAGAGAAATCTCTTATTATTTCGATTGTTTTATCTGTAAGGAGTGCCTTATCCATTGCGTATGTCAAGACCCTAATGATAAATACTTTCATTTTATCATCAATACTTGCAGCAGATGGAAGTTTTGTCAAGGCAGTTATGAATCTGTCCGTTATTTTCATATCTTTTATTGAGATAATAAAATCAAAAATCATTTTTCGTCTTTTTTCATCTACATTTTTACCTTCTTTTGATGATTTATGGTACGTTCTTGCATTCTTTAGTTCTTTATGCATGTCAGTCCCAACTCTTTTAAAGACAATTTCCTCAGAAACCTTATATTCTTCTTGTTTTGTCACAGGATTGTACTCTTTTGTCTCATGCAGTTGTACATCCACCCTATCATACGAGTCAGTCTTCCTGCTGTCTGCTGTTAGGCTGACACCACTAGTGCATGACAGGTCAATTTCCGTTATAAACAGTGATGCAATCGTATTTCTTACAATACTCTTCACAGGAGTATAATGATTCGGGTCATTTGGCTTCTTACTGCCTCTCTTTAATTCCTTTTCCGTATATAATCCATCTAGTTCTATAAGTCGTCTTGTAAGCAAGGCAAGTGCCTCTTTCTCTGCTGTCCCTATGAATGTTCTTACAATTTTCTGAAGGGTTGAGAGAAAGTCCTTATGTCTCACGTACATAGGAAGGGTCTGAAGGAATATCACATCGTAAAGATGGCCATTCTCTAAGAAGACTGAGACAGGAGGGAATGTAAGTAGATGTGCACTGGCAGATATTTTATCAAAGAGTTGATGTGGTGATTTATGACGAAGAATATCCTTTGAGAAATTAAGTTCATTTGAGGTAATTAGTCCTTCCTTTAATAAGAATCCAAGTGAATTCCATTTCTCAGAGAATATTCTATCAGCCAGGTCTTCAGTGCCATCGTACTTTTTTCCATCAAAAGAAGCAGGAATATTTATATTTGAAAAGAGAGAATAATGGTCATTAATAGGGATTTCAACAGAACCAGATACTTTTGACAGATAAAGCAACAGATGAAGTAGTTTTATATGTGCCATTGCATATAGTAATGTATCGTATGTTGGTCTTTTCTTCCATTTAATTGCTTCTTTTACCTTCTCATATACAGTCTTGTATTCCTTGTTCAACATTGTAGTGAATATTAAGAGTGACTCTTGGGTTATTTTCACATTATTAAGTCTTTCATTAGTCTCTGGGTGAGAATCTTCACTTTTTTCTGTTTCATCACTCTCTTGTGCACTTTCATCAGAGTCAGAGTCCTCTGAGTATTCAACATCTTCCATCTCTGGGATAATACTTGCCTTAGTTTTCTTCTTAATTACCTTCTTTTCCACATAATTTTTTAATTTTTTTTGGTGATTTTTTTTGCTTTTTTCACCTGAGTGAATTGTTCTGTTGATAACAGAATTTGCAAGAATTTCAATTGTATCGATAATCTCAAGGACATCATCAGCTGACAAGAATTCACAAGAAGTATTTGTGAATGCAGTACAGAAATATCTAATGTACTTTATGGTATCATCAAATCTTTCATTAAATCCATCCATATGCATATGCAGGAATGCCCAGATACCACGTGAAAATATAACTGTATTTTTTTCAACTGTATTTTCAGTTATATTTTTATCTAGTCGTTTAAATACAGGTGATAAACTAGTTTCCACCAGGGTTTTATCATTGATTGTGTGCATTATAGTGTAAAGAACACTTCTCTGTATATTTCTAGTGAATAATCCAGCAGTAACCTCCTTGTAGTAGTTCACAATATGGACTCTTCCAAATAATTCAATCAAAAGATCACGTGTACCTTCTGTTTGTTCTATCTGAGAGAGTAAATCATAAGAGTGTTCTACAGTTACATCAGGTAAAATGCACTTTTCAAACAGATTTTTGATAATTTCAGTATAAGGGATTGTCTCCAAGTAGATCGATCTACAAGACCTGACAAAAAGTGATAATTCCACAATGCACTCATCTGATAGAAAGACAGGACCATCCTTTAACCTAGATAGAACATACAGTACAACATAAGGACTATCTGATTTATGAAGAATATTCAAGAATATTTTCTGAATAGTTTCAGTACTAAGTTTCCTAACAGTCTTAACCAAAGTATCTACCTTTGTAGTAAAGTCTTTGTTCCTGCTGTAATATAAAGATATTCTTTCTACAATTTGTTCTGCCCTAGATACTCTCTTAAGACTCTCACTCTTACTACTTTCTTTTTTCTCTTTTTCAAGTTTCTTAAAGTCCACTTGAAATTTACTCTTAGACTTCTCCAAGAGAGATGTTCCAAATTCTTTATCCTTATGCCTCAGAAGATCCTCTGAGATTGACTTAACTGTCCCAGATTCTACATTATTTCTTATAGATATATATACGGATTTCTTATTATTTTCCATACTCTCCTTTCCCTTTAAGATATTCGCATTATCTTGCAGGATCTTCTCACTAATTAAATGTGATCCATCAACCTTTTCCAACTGAATTTCTTTTTCACTGATTATCTTTCTTTCTTCCGGAATATTTTTTGTCTTATCATTTTTTCCGTTTGATTTTGTTTTTTCACTTGATTTTGTTTTTTCACCTTCATCTTCACCTTTATCTTTATCTTTATCTTTATCTTTGTCTTCACCTTCACCTTCACCTTCTGGCTCTGTATTATTGCTTTGATCATCACTGGCTGTGTCATCATCACTAGATACGTCTTCCTTACTACTCTTTTTCACATTCTCATCATCTTTACTACTTTTACTGTCCTTCTTATCCTTACTGTCTTTACTACTCTTATCCTTTGTGTCTTTGTCTTTGTCTTTGTCATCTTTACTACTCTTACTATTCTTGTCATCTTTACTTTTTTTCACACTTTCATCTTTCTTGTCTTTCTTACTGTCCTTGTCTTCTTTACTACTCTTACTACTCTTGTCTTCTTTACTACTCTTGTTCTTACCATCTTTACTCTTCTTCTTATCCATTGAATTCTTGTCTTCTTTACTACCCATTGAATCCTTTGAACCCTTACTACTCCTAACATCTTTACTCTTCTTATCCATTGAACCTTTACTATTCTTATGAGTTTCATACTCACCTTCACTACTACTATACTCCTTCGTATTCCTACTGTCTCTTTCTTTCTTTTCTTCTTTCTTTTCTTTCTGTACTACCTTCTCTCTCTTTTTATCTTTTCCTTTGTCCATTCTGTTTTCTTCTCATTACACTGTCTATATCCCTATAATTCCCACATTGCTTCATATCCAGCCAATTATAAATAATTATAAACTTGTACTTTTTTTTTCTCATATGAAAGTGAGAGTTAAATTATCTCCGAAAAGAGAGAGTTTAAATGTCCGTATATCCACTATCATATTAAACCAAATAGAACCTAAAACAACAAGCATCAATGAGATAATATTAAATAAAATGAAGTATTTATTAAATCACATATATTTAATAAATATTGAAGATGTAAAGGAACAAGAGAAAAGACGACAGCTAATTAGGCTATATATAAAAGAGACAAATGAGATAATTAAAATAGTAACAATGGTACTAGCCATAAAACATAGTCATAAGATAAATAGTCTAGAGAGAAAGATACTTAGACTACAGAAGTATAATATGGAACAGGAAGAATTAGCAGATAAATTAGTCTATTTATGTAATGATTTGAAGATGGGAGTATCTTCATCCTTTGATGTAAGCAAGGCATTTAGTGTTCTTTTAACTGGAAAAAGTGATTTTTCAACGGAAATTATCAGGATGGCAGAGACACTCAGTAAAGAGAATGAAGTGAACCCTGGTGAGAATGCACTTGGGACTGTAAAGGATGAAGATATTGAGAATTATAGGAGATTAGACCAGATACTTATTCTAAATGTTAAAAGGTCTGGTATATGGAACAATGAGAATGTCTCATATACGGTTAAGAATGGTGTACTAGAACTATTTTCATACGGATTCAAAAGTAAACTTATTCTGATGATGGTAAATAACCTGTATACTTGGCAAGTACTAAGCATAAAGCACTTGGATGATACAAAAAATATTCCTATAAAAGGTATAGTATTCAATAATACGATTAAAGAGATAGTGCATATGACAAAATACACTGATTCCGTTATAAAAATAGAAGAAATATTCAAGATATTAAGGAATAGGGCAGATAGTAAAATATTTGACATGGAAATAACCGGAACCACAAAGAGTTTTACTGCCACAATCCTAGGGATCTTCAAAATATCCTTTACTGTGGGGAGTAGTTGGGATGGACCTGGGATTATTTGCCATGCTATATACAAAGGTACAAGAAAACTCGTTAGAGATGATTTCATAGAAAGAAGCTTTTCCGTTTTAAATGAAAACCTGAAAAGTACAATCTCAGAACATGCTAGGATTAGCTTTGAAAAAGGCCTTTTCTACAAAGATAAGCCTATATTCACACTAAGAGATCTTCAGAAGGAAGCCCAACAGGAGACAGGAATATACAGAATTAACATCCCAGGTGTCATCATAAAAGAAAAGACTAATATTATATACGCAGGAAGGGCACTCCAACTGAATATATACATGAGAATGAATGGGAATGTATTTGTTGGTCTGCATTGGTCAGCTGACAAGAAGATGGCCAGAATATTCTATGGTTTGCACCAGTCAGGTACCCTGCAGACAGGAATAGAATTACCCATACGGTACATAAATCCAGTAGGCAGCAATATACAAATAGAGAAAACAGCAGAAAAAAATCAAAATGAACAAAAAAATAATAACCTGAAAAATAACGGAAATTACCATATAGAGAGCATACCTGAAGATATCCCAGGTTCATTTATTTTGGAGACACCCAGTAGTTCAAGTAACCTTATTAATAGAATCCTACAGACCCCACAGCACATTCTTCTTGCTGTCTCTGCCTTCTACACAGCACAGAAGAATAAATTCACAGCACCATTCCGTCTGGTAATTAAAGAGACAGGAATATTTTTGATTTTTGCAGAAATAACTGTATATTTAGGGGCAGTAGAAGGGAACAATATTAATATGAAGATTATCTCACCAAGGGTAAATATCCAAGACCCTTTATCTTTAGATATTTTCCTGCAGATTATTTGGCTGGCTATTGTAGCACAGGTGCCAGGTAGAATATCTGTACATGGGAAACTACATGAAGATGGTAGTCTTACACTGCATGATAATATATCCCTTACAGTGACATATTCAAATAGAAGTTTAGTCGCATCATCAAGTAATTCTATTGCATGTACATGGGCAGATTCAGTCCTTAGAGAGCACAGTAGGGCAGCCTGCATCTCCTTCTTTGCAAATCACAAGATCCTTCTATTCCCAGGCCTAATTACCACACTACCACTCCATGGTACCCTAGGGGGTTCTCTTCAAAAAACCTGTAAGACATCAATCTTGTACAAAGTAGGTCAGAAGATAGAAGTATTCTGGGAAGAAAGATCATCAGAGATTGAAGAGTCAATGAAAGATATCCCAAAGATATCACAGTCAGAAAAAACTGCAGTATTTCAGTTAGAGTACCTGGATAAAGTATTAACTGCAATTTCAAAATTACTGTCAATTGAAAGACTTCAGGTACTAGGTTCATCTGTACGTATACAGACAGAATCACAGGAATATGCAGTATATAAGATGGAATTAGTAGGACATAAATTGAAAGCACAAAGGATAGAAGGAAATATATTTGTATCAGAAGCAATTATCACAGACATATTAGAGAATAGTCCATGCCCTGATAGAACCCTTCTAGAACATAATTTATACCTTACACCACAGAAATAATTAAAATTAATTATAAATAATTATTAAAATTGTTTTTTTATGATGAAGCTAGGGCTAGTGATCTTATGTATTGGAATATTCTTAGGGAATGTATTTGCACTGGGTGAAGGTGAAACTGAAATAAACAAAGAATCAGGACAAAGTGACCAGGGAATTAGTGAAGTAGGGTCTGATATAAATATTACTTTTGATGAATTATCCATAAGTGAAGTAGAAACACCTATTCTGACTGAAGAGAGCAGTGAAGACAAGAAGATCAAGCATGCTGAGAGTCTAGCAAGAATGAAGGCAATTGCAAAACTAACAAACATGGACCTGGATGTAGATGGAATCTTTGAAAAGATTGGTAAACACACTCTAACAGAGGAAGAATCCAAGTTAATCTACAAGGTTGATGAAGATATTGAAAGAATGGGTATTCCTGAGGATTCTGTTGTCTTAAAGACTATTTACACTGTACTCTTACAGGAAGAGAAATCATCTGGAAAGAAAGTAGCAACAAAACTTGTACTAGGAATGTACATCTATGAGAAGAAACAAGAGAATCCATTACTAAGGAAGACACCACAGATTCGTGTCTTTAACATTAATGAATAAATGATAAGTCTCATTGGAATGTAAGTCCTCTTTAGCAGGCACGAATTGTTTTTATACAAACTTTCATGCAGTTTATTGGTTTATAGTCAAACAAGGGGTAGATAGATAGTACTGGAGAGATAGGTAGATAGGAGATATATAGTAGATAAGGTAGTTATCAGAAAATAGTAGATAAGATAATAGTCAAAAATAATAGATAAGGTAGTTATCAGAAAATAATAGATAAGATAGTTGTCAAAAAATACTAGATAATAGATAAGAAATAGATAGATAGGATAGTTAAGAGAATAGATAGATAGTAGATAATACTGAAGAGATATTAGATAAGGTAGTTATAAGAAAATAATAGATAAGATAGTTGTTTGAAAATAATAGATAATAGATAAGAAATAGATAGATAGGATAGTTAAGAGATAGAATAGATAGATAAGGTATTTATCAAAGGGGTTTTATCTCATATACTCGAATATCTTTGTTCACTGTGATTTTTTATCTTTTTGTTGATTTTTTATCTTGTTGTTAAAATACAGTTATTTTTCGAATCTCACACTATAGTACTGATATACGAAGAATTCTTCTGAAAGGTTGAAAGGTGAAAGGTGAAAATATCTTAATGAGTACATTTGAGTCTAAAATTAATTATGAGATATTCTACTACATTTATTATTCTGTATGCCTTGATACTAGTGGGTATGTCAGTAGTATATTTCTTAGTATTAAGGAATATTTAATTAAGTATTTCTGCAGAAATATCAGTCTATTCTAGTATGCAGGTATTTGGTCTCCACTAAAAACTCAAATAATTATCATATACGTTGTATCTGTGACTAATATAATCTACTCTACTTATACACATACACTGCATATATAAACCATATTATTAGTACAGAAAAAGGCATAGAAATAATGAAGATACAAAGTGAAGTGAGTTAATAAGTAGATATAAATATAGTATAACTGTCAATCTATAGATGGCCTAAATTAAGAAGATAAGTTTAAATATAAATACAGTGTAATTTTAGTCTCTAGTTTGTTGTCAACTAGAAATTTAAAGACAAAAATTTATTTAAATAGAGTACTAGTACTACTAGTACTACTAGTAGAGAGACAACAATTACTAATAGACAAAATATAAACTAAAATAGAGATAAGATAATTAACAAACAAAACAAAAACAAACAGGAATAGAGATAAGATAATTAACAAATAAACATAGTAGTATTTAGTATATTACTGATAGACAGTAATATATGTGCTGTACGACACCAAATTTAATTAAATATTCGCATGAATACAAACAAAACAACAGTAATATGCTTGGGAAAACAACAATTCCATTGTTTAAAACAATATACATGTGATAATAGTGATATATTTAGTCTATAAATACAGAAGTAACATAGAAGACATAATGCCCAGATATATAACTGGTAGTTATATTAGTACATTTAGTGCTAATGAGCCACAGGGAAGTAGATTATTTGGTGAAGGAGGATATTATAATGAAGATGAAACTTCATCAAGGATGTATAAAATGAAAAGATGTTTATGGAAGGTATGTTCTAGTAATATAATGTGTGTTCTAGGTTATATAGCAGGGATTATTCTTATGATAGTACTGATTGGAGTATTTTTCTACCTAAATAGAATCAAAACCCCAAATACCGTTATAAATGGACTTAGTGAGAAATTAGACTTCTTGGGTTAATGGAAAATTCAAATAGTTCTACGAAGGAGTAGTTATAAAGGCAACAAAATTACTACTTTCTGTCCCTAAGATACAGTCTTTATACCATAAGATGCTCTATTTGTATTATAAGACAGGAAATGATTGAATTTATGCTACATATTCACATAAATATCAATAATATTTCATTCCTGCAGGATATTTCCAGCTAGACACAATAGACAGCAGAAGTAAATTATTTTTGTTGTCGTCTTCTCTTCTACTACTACTACTACTAGTAGTAATTTTAAATAAATTTTCATTTTTAAATTTCCAGTCGACAACAATTACTAATAGACAAAATATAAACTAGAATGAAAATATGAATTAATTAACAAACAAAACATAAACAAAGAAGCATAAATAGATTAATAATTAATATATCACAAACAAACATAGTAGTATTTAGTATATTTCTATCTTAAAGTGACTAATTAGTGCTCTTAAAACAATAAATTTAATTAAATATTCACATAAAAACAAACAAAACAACAGTTAATATACTCTAAAGAAGAATAATTATGCCATTCTAAACAATATACACATAATAATAGTGATATTTAGTCTATAAATAAAGAAGTAACATAGAAGACATAATGGTCAGAGAAGAAAAAAAGAGAGAAAGTGCCATATTTAATGAAGATGAGAATATTATATTATTCCCTATGGCTGGTGCACATTATGATGATGATGAAACTCCATCAAGAATATATAAAGTGAAAAGTTCTTTATCAAAGTTCTGCTCTAGTAATATAATGTGTGCTGTTGGTTGTATATTAGTAATTATTTTTGTAATAGTAATACTTGGGATAATTCTATATCTAAATAGAACCAGATATGAAATTACTTTTATAAATAGACTCAGTGAGAAATTAGACTTCTTTGGTTAATGGAAAATAAAATTCAAATAGTTCTATGAAGGAGTAGTTTATAAAGGTAGCAATTACTACTGTCCATAATATATAAGGTATTTATACTACAGAGTGTCTTATTTGTATTATAAGACAGAAACAATAAAATATTTCAGTCAGAAGACACTAATATAAATATTGATAGAAGTTGTTAAAGGGGTTTTATTTTTACCATATACACGAATATCTTTGGTGACTGTGATTCTTTGTCTTTTTGTTGAATATTTCTATTGAGAATATTTTACTCTGGTTCTATTAATATTTTCACACTATTAGTCTTCTAGTATACGGAAGAATTCTTCTGAAGAGTGAGTTTATCATTGATGTACTTTGGTCACAGAGTTAATGAAAGTGAGAATTTTCCCACAGTAAAAGGTGAATATTTGTTATCTCAGTGTAATTTATACGTACTCTATATCTTATATTCAGAAATAGTTAAACTTTAGTATTTATTTATACTCAATTACTTATGTAGTATTTCTTATAAACCAACAAGATAATAAATGACTTAATTAATCTGTTGGAAATAATATGTAATTAGACTAAGTCAGGTGTATAGTACTATTTCATGCAGAATCCTCTGACTCTGGATTCTTTATACCAATATATTCCATGAAATACTTTTTGTTGTATATATATAGAAATAATCCACCTAGGAATAAAATGAAGAAAATTAGTCCAATGGCTATTGCTAAATAACAGAAAAATAGTACAATTAAAGATAGTAGCCTTTTCATTGATGAGCAATCACATGTTAAGGATTTATCTACTACCTTAATTTTATCACTTATTTTTGAGTCTGTTGTAATCTCGTATATATCACTCATGCTTTCACGTGATCTTTGAATATTCTTCTTATATGCACTAGTACTTAGTGTATTTTGTGCTGATTTTGTCTTTATTACACCAGATACAGATGGATTTTCTGATACTTTTTTATCACTAAGCCTATGGATGGAATGACTTCTAGTGGGAATATTATCGATGGTATTTTTAGACAGACGGTCTCCCATTTCTATATACGGGTTACTGTCATCTTGTGAGGTACTTGCTAGATTCTCTGCTTTGTATGACTTTTTTAGGTTTGGTTTTGGGTTCACTTCCAATGACTCTGAGTCAGATTTGCAAGACCTGGTTAAAGAAAGTTCATTTTGTTCTTCTACAGATAAGATATTTTGAGTATTTTTATCTTTAATATCTGTAGATCCTTCTATACCAAGGGTATTATCTAAATATTTTAGTGCTTTTCCTTCATTTTCTTCTAGTTTTCTACTAAGTCTTTTTTCTCTTTCTTGAACTGCCTTTGAAATATCCAGTTTAAGTTGTCTAGGATCCATATTAAATATTTTAATTTTAGATTATATAAGCAGCAATCATAATCTTAGATTAAGTATTACAGTGAGTAGTCAATCTGATGTTCACTTTTCCTCCTGGAAATATTACTATTTTTCTTCTAATTTTTCACCTATTTATAGACTATTTAGTCATTAATATACGAATAAATATGATATAAACTACAGTGGAAGTATGAGTTAATGAAGTATAAGTTAATTAATGACAAAGTGAATTTCTTATAGAGAGTCATTATTATACTAGTTTATTTGTGAATTAAATTCTTTAATTATCTTGGTTTTAATTAACTTTGGGATTAAACTAAACTAATTAATGTCATGTTTAGTGTAAACAAGCACAAATATATTTAATTAAATTTAACGGTTTTATTAGATATAACCCGAAGTCAATTTATAATCTACTGTATTAACAAATATACTACAATTATATCTAGTCTATAACCAGAATTACTAAAATACACGTACTCTTGTCTTTGCATAAATTCATGTTTATGTTCATATTTATAAAGAGAAGCATAAGAGGGTTAAACAGATAATAGAGATATATGTATACTTTTGTGTAGTATTAGAGTACTTCCAGGAATACTTATGTATTATATTGTCACAAATGGTTTAGTATAAAGAGTAAAAGGAATAAAATAGTTTAGTATAAAGACTGAAATTGTACAGAATAAAATTTAAAAATAATTTAGTTCAAAGACTGAAGGGAATAAAATTCACTTTGAAAAGACTAAAATTTAAAAATAGTTTACTATAGAGACTAAAAGGAATAGAATAGTTTAGTATAAAGACTGAGCTTGTACAAAGCCCAAAACTCACAACTATTAAGATGTATAAAAGAGTAAACCTGTACAGAGTAGATTGTTTATTATTCTCGGCTTATGAGGTCAAACAGAATATTCTTTACTACGTCATTATCCGGGAGTATTTTGACTGTCTGCTTGCTTAGTGCACTTGATATTTCAATTGCCTTTACTTTTTCTGTCTCTGACAGTAAGTACTTCAGCAGTGATACTTTGCTTAGTAGGTCTAAGTATCTTTGAAGGGTGTCCTTTTTCTCTTTCAGTGGAGTCTGTGGGTCACCTGTGCTTAAAGACTCTAAAACAACAGAGAGTGCATCTAGTAGTAAATTAGTCTCAGTGTATACTGTGTTCTGTCTGCTCTCAAACCAATAGATTATTTGGTCATTGAAAACCTTCCAGTGTTTTACCTTTGAGATAACCTGTGGGTAAACGGAAAAAACTGCAGAATAATTATTTCTAAAGTACTCGTAGAAGAAGACGTGCAGATACTGTGCATCTTCTAAATTTGTCTGTTCAGAGTAGAATCTCTGCACTAATCTCTGCAGTAATTCTTTTGTTTGGTCTTCTGTGCAGAGACCTGTTAGAAGGATTTTTGTGATAGATTTATCCTGAAGCAAAAACTCTGTTGTTTTTACAATTTCAAAAACTAGATTAAAAATATCTGTTTTTTCCCTAAAAATAATTGCTAGATCAACTAGTGCACACAATGCACTCTGTGAATTCTGTTTGGCCAGTGATAGCAACTGCTCTAATGCATCTGTACTCTGATTCTTCTCACAGGCACAAAGAACCTGTAGCCTAATACAACACTCTTTTATCTCTGCATCAGAAGAGAAAATTGCTGTTTTTGATTTTTCTTCAATCAGTTGGAAAACTGAAGGGAATTTTCCAATTGGAAGCTCCTTTGACTTCATCAGAGACTCAGCAAATAGAAGCTGTGTTCTTTCTTTTCCCACAGAAAGTGCCTTAATGTAGAATTTGTCATTTTCTGATCCACTACATGCTTTTATGATCATTTTGCAGACGGAGTCAACTACGCCTTGGAGTAAATCCACAGGCTGAGACAAGATGTAAAGTGCACATTTAACAAGAAGATTTCTTTCACTGCCCTGGAATACATCGTAATATTCCAGGAGTGCAAATAATGCATGGACTAAAGTCCCTTCATACTGGTCATCTACTCCCACAGAACAAGCAGCATCTGCAATTGACTTCAGAAGGACAGCCATGTCAGGCAGTGAGATTGTGTCTCTTCCTCTCTCTTTATCAATGTGCTCCAGTGAGACCCACATGAGAAATAGAAGAGATGGAGTGGCTCTCTCCAAGAATTCTTCATTAAAACCATCTGCATATTCGTATCTTTTCATTAATTCTGCAAGTACTCTCTCTAATGACTTATTATTTCTGTTCTCCAAATAGAATGCGTTAGTGAATAACTCGTACTTCCCATGGAATATTTCCTCGAAAATTATCTCAATTCTTTCCATACTTTTTTTTCTAATCTCTTCAACCCTTTCTTCCTCTAGAGATTGCAGTAGTGAAGACTTTTGTTCTAGATTTAAATCTTTTTCCCATGGGATAACTGATAATTTACTTGTAGCAAAGACCATTCTGACTCCTTCATTTACATCTGCTGCCCTGCTTATAATTGCATCTATTGTGCTTTTATTAACCACAATATATTGAAGAACTAATTTGCGAACTTCTGCTGATGCGTCGTACCGTAGAAGGTCTTTAAAGAGTTTGTAAAATTGTAAGCCATTTTCAACTGCAGTCTCCTGGTACTTTGCTGCTATCCTAATTGCCTGTATCCTTACATTTACCTCTTTATCAAACAGTTTTTCACCAATTTTTATCTTAACGATCTCCCAAAGACGTGGACTAACACTGTCTAAGTGCTCTATACAGCTCCAAAGTAAGGATAAACTATTATACCGAACATGTTTTAGCTTTGAGTCTAGTCCACGCACTAAATACTTAATTAAATTATGCATGAAATTTCTCCCAATTTTCATATGCTTCAGTCTCTTCATTAACTCATTCATGAACTGAAGAAGACTCTTTGGAAGGTCACCCTTCTTGCATCCTATGATTATGCTGGTGCACTCACAGAATTCCTTAAATATGTCAGTCGTATCACCCTCCAATATTAATTGTTCCAGTTGCTGCAGTGCCTCCTTGGACTCCTGGATTTTCTCTGTCTGCACTGTATTCAACAGACTCCCAACACGCATAAAAATAAATGAAATCTTGAAAAATTTACAATGTCAGACCAAGAAAGCAGGGAAACATACGGAAGTGATGACAAGACATTTGAAGAGCACCAAGAAGAAATACTATTAGAAGAAGCAGATGTAGATGGAAGGATCAAAGAACCAGAGCAGGAGGCTGAGAAACGGTATACTTCACCAATTATGACTAAATTTGAGCGTGCTAAGATACTTGGTATCCGGGCACAGCAGATAAGCATGTCTGCCCCAATTATGGTTGAGTATGGGGATGAAACAGATCCTGTTGAAATTGCAAAGAAAGAACTAAAAGAGAAGAAGACTCCATTAATTGTACTAAGAAGACTACCTGATAATACGTATGAGAAGTGGGCAGTTAAAGACCTTATTAATTTCTATGACTAAAGCACTCAATATAGATAGTTTATGTACCCTGTGATAGTCTATATAGAATATTTTATGAGTGAATTTTCACTAAGCCAGATAGTTTTAATCTATAAATATACAGTAGAAATTAGATGTAATATATATACAGTAGTATACGTATGAATAAGAATATCTTTTATATCTGTATTTCTGCATATTTTCAGACTAAAATATACAATATTCTACTATATGTTAAGTAAAGAGTGCAAAGTAATTTTATAATTAGTTTTTTATGAACAAAGTAGAGGCAGTAATAAGAATACGGCCATTATCCACTCAGGAGAAGGACAGGGGAACAAAACAAGGCTGGTGCAGAATAGGGGACAGAGGCATAATACAACACTTGAATGCCCAGGGTCAAGAGGTTTCAGCACAGACATTACTGTTTGATTGGGTCTTTGGTGAAGACTCCAAGAATGAAGACGTATTCACCCATATAAATAGTACAGTAGATGAGTCACTGTATGGTGTGAATGTATGTATAATTGCATATGGACAGACATCCTCTGGTAAGACACACACTATGAAGGGTGTTCTACCAGGTGGCTACTACACGGAAATGAGTGAGAACAGAAATGAAAATGTACATAAGTCATTGAATATAGAAAGAAATGGGACAGGATGCGGTAATGACCCGGGTGTAATACCCAGGTCACTCGATTGGATATTCAGTAAAAAGACACAGCACAGGATAAGTCTGTCTTACGTTGAAGTTTATAATGAGAATATTTATGACTTACTGGGTGATCCATCAGAGGCACTACAGATACGTGAGTCTGCAGATGGAGATGTCTATATTAAAGATGTCTCTGAGATAGAAGTAATGACAAAATATGATGCAGCCTTATTATTCCGTAAGGGAAATGCAATTAGAAAGGTCTCTGCCACAAGGATGAACAGAGAGAGTAGTAGGAGTCATGCAGTCCTTAAGCTAACAATAAGACAGAAAGGGATAAGGTCTACTTTGGTTTTTGTGGATCTGGCTGGATCTGAAAGAGTCAGTACAGCGCACACCTCAGGGACAACACTGAAGGAAGGTGCCTGCATAAATAAGAGTCTTCTGGCATTGACAAGCGTAATCTCAAAGTTATCCAAGAAGAACCCACATATTCCTTACAGAGATGCAAAACTAACAAGAATTTTACAACCGTCATTTTCAGGTGCATCAAAAACTGTTTTGATTTGTGCAATTTCACCAACACCTGCCTGCATAGATGAGACTATTTCAACACTCTCATTAGCAAGTAGAGCCAGAAATATAGAGATTAAGCCAACACAGAAACCACAGGTCAGAAAAGAACCTAAAATAAACCACATGAGAATGCAAGAAATTCAAGCTACAGTTGAATTAGCTAAAAGAACTATCACAGATATCAGGAAAGACCTTAAATCTGCTGAGTCAATTATCTCATCAATACCCTGGATTAAGAATTCCTCCTTAAATGACCATATATTTGCTGCAAGTATGCTTACTAGTATACTAGCAGAGATAAAAGACACAAAAAGAGAACATACAGATAAAGTAGCCCAATTAGCAGCATCTGTACAGTACTTACTAAAGCAAGAGAAGTACATCTCACAGTTAATTGCACCAGCCCCAGATGCAGCAATCCTTCTTGAGCACCTGGCAGAAGGAGATGCACTAATTCAAAGACAAAAAGAAGAAATAGAACAGCTTAAGAAGAGTAAACACATTGATGAGACAAATATCTCAATGGCAATGGAAATGGACAGGCTTAAAAAGGCAACAGACCGAGAGAAAAGAATTCTTCAACTGAAAATAGCCCAATTAAAGTCACAAATCAAGACACAAGGATCACCAGACACCACAGAATAAAACAATGCATAAATATATCTATATATATAATAATGCACAAATATACAACTCATAGGAATATCGCATATCTTAGTCTATACTAACGGAAACAAAAGAATAAAAATTATTTTTTTTTATTACCACCATGCATATGAAAGAATACAAAGTACTCGCTTCTGAGAAACCATCTGCAGCCAACCCAGTGCCACAGATCTTTGCAAACAATGTTTTCGCCCCAAATGAAATCATTGCAAGAAGCAAAACATTCAACTTATTAAGAAAGCAGTACAAAATCAAGCTTGCCACTGGTGTGGTTTTGAAGATGGAGGAAGTACCACAGCACAATGACGGAAAAGTAAGAACTTTTGGTGTCAGAGCAGCATACATAATCAAGAGAAAGACTGTCAATGTTCATAAGGAAATTAGAGCATTAAGCAGAGCAGAGGCTGTATTCAGCTTATGGCAGGACCTTAGAAGCAGACACAGCGTAAGACCAGAGACAGTTGGAATTATTGAGGTAACTGAGATAGCCACAAAGGACATCACCAGCAAAGAACTCTTACAAATTGCAACAAACCCAAGATACCCACTCTTTGACAAGAGAATTCCACTCAGTGACCCATCCTGCAAAGTAGTTGCACTTGACAGAGCATAAATAAATTTATACTTTCAACTTAACCTTACCACCAGCCCACAGCATCACAGGATATAGAGTATTAGTCTGCTGCCTGGCATCACTCAAGAGTCTTTCACTGCACAGAACAAAATAACCGAAAATATCACAAAATACCACATGTTTATGAATACTTTTTAGAATACACAAGTCACTGCATACTGATTAGTCTATAATACACTGGAATATGCTTAGTCTTAGTGTACCTGTATATAACACGTTAGATAATTTAATTCGGGTTATTTTTAGTCACATGGATTGCGTAGATAATCAGTGTATAGTGTATTATAGACTAATTAGTGTCTAGTGTATTATAGACTAATCAGTATATTACAAAATATTTTCTACTGTAGTACAGACTAAGTATCACTGTATAGTGTAGTATAGACTAATTACTGCCTAATTCTTTGTATTACAATATAATTACTGTCTACTGTATTACAGACTAATTACTGTCTAGTATTCTATAGAATAATATTTTTTATTGTCGACAAGAAATTTAAAAATGAAATTTATTTAAAATTACTACTAGTAGTAGTAGTAGTAGAGACAACAACAAAAATAATACACTGTCTAGTACTATATAGACTAACTATCACTGTCCAGTGTATTATAGACTAATTACTACTGTCTAGTACTACGATATAGACTAATCAATTTATAGTGCATTATAGACTAATTGTTGCTGCCTAGTAGTATATGAAAACAATAACTTCACTGCCTAGTACTATATGAAAATAATTACTACTGTCTAGTGGACTATAGACTAATTATCACTGCCTTAGTGTATTATAGACCAATTCCTCACAACATAACAATTTCACTACCTTAGTGCTTTACAACATAATAATCTCACCACCTCACTGCCTTAGTACTGCCTTATTACTGCCTTATTAGTACAAAATCTTAAACTGCCATGAACCTGGTATAATTCAACGGATACTTCAATTAATAAGATATTTATTAGTCTATAACACAGCACAGCTCAACTTGGAAGACAAGCACTGAGTTTGGTGGTATACCACCAACTCTAACAGATCCATACCCTAGATGAGGTGGTATTGTTATGGTCCTTTTGCTTCCAACGTGCATTCCTTCTATTCCAAGCTCAAGTCCCCTGATTATCTGGCCATCTCCCATTCTAAAGACAAGACCTGATGACTTGTTCTTCTCAACCATCTTGTTATTCACAAATAACGTATATTTTATCTTTACTTTATCTGTCTTCTGTGCTACCTTCTTTTGTTTTGACTTGAAAGTATCAACTATCTTTATGTCCTTCAAGTCCTTTTGTCTCTCAGCTAATTTCTTCTCTTCTTTTGAGAGTTTCTTCTCTGGGGTATTTAATTCTTGGGGTGATCTTCCTGGTGTTTTGTTCTTTTTTGCTACTCCCATGATGTGCTCCATCTTCTCGTCTGATATAAAGTCATTATCATTTATTTCTTCACTCTCTTCTGTATCCTCGCAGTCACATTCTTCAAAGGGTAACCCGCATTCGTAACAGTCTTCTTCCTCTGAATCTTCTTCTGGTGCTGCATACCCTACTATTTCTACTTCTCCCTTGCCAACTATAAATAACTGAAGTTCTGCATCTTCAAAGGTCTCCAAGGATATTTCTGCTGTCTCTATCCTGTTAGGCACAAGATTAGCTAAGGTTATTTCTTCTCCATTCACTAAAAGACATAAAGACAGTCTCTCTGAGGCACAAGAAACAATGGATACTAAGCTATATACTGTAGGACCAGTCACTAAAACCTTCTCATGCTCCTTTATTCTTAGTGTAACCAAAGAAGTAGTCTCACTTGGGGCCTTCTCATATTCACTCTCTAAATATGAGATATGAACTGCATTGTTCGTTGTAGATGACAACTTAAATATTTCCCCAGGCTGAAGAATTGTATTAGCTACAATACTCTCATTGACACCAGGAACAAGTGTACATAGTATTATTCTATTCCCATGGACATCTTCTGCAATTAAAGATGTTTTTGTCTTTGATCCATCCTTTTTTATCAAAGTGAAATCATTAAGAAGGGTTTCAGTTGATGTTTTAAAGACTGTCTCTCCTAGTACTTCTATTCCTTTATGCATGTATAAATTTTTTAAATATTCATATTTATAAAAATGCCGTTATAAATAATATATTTCATACAGTATATTAGTGCATATTAGTGTATTAGTATATATTAGTATATTGATTATTTATCTATTTCCCCATATCCTGTCAATATTATATCCATTGTATACTATTATAACCCGAAATATAAATTTATAATATTTCTACTAGAAATAGTCGTATTTCATGTAGTATTACAGTGTATTAGTGTATATTAGTATGTATTAGTATATATTACAGTGTATTAGTATGGTAAAATACTCACTTTCATTAAATCTGTGACTAAAGTGCGACTAAATTGCATCAATGATTAATGCACTCTTCCAGAAGATTCCTGGTATACCAGAGACTGACTATATAATAGTAAAATAGTAAGAACAATTCAAGGAAGAAGGAATATGTCAACAGTAAGAAATACATCCATTAAGTACACAAAAGATAACAGTCACCAACCTTAGAATTACAAAAATAATACTCCCTTGACAACTACCCCTATTAGAGTCTAAAATACTACTATTCCCAGACTAGCTAGTCACCCTCCTTTAGTCACGTCAGTATTACAGTGTATTAGTATATAAGAATAGATGGTTTCAACAAGAAATAATAATTATCCCATATACCCCATATACTCCATATATCATATACTCCATATACCATACTACTACGCCCATGGTTCTAGAATATTTAATTATAATTCATTGATATTCTCATAGTCTAGTACTCTCACATACACATTCATTAATTCTCACTAATTAATATTCTAGTATATTACCATAATTATTAGTATAAATATACACTCATATATATTAATATACTTTAGTCACACTGTCTTATTCACTAAATAGTTTAAATCCTTCTGTCTCTATAAGAATATATAAGAATAATTTACGAAGAGACCATTCCCTTCTGTACTAGAATGAATTTCCTATGGATTTTATTTTTTTGCTAAATTGACTACTACAGAACAATTGTACACTATAGAGACTATTATCGAATGAATCTTTGCTTAATCTCCTTTATCTTTGTGTCTTTGTAATCGATGGTTTTATTGAGGTAGTACCTTTCTTCTTCTACTTTTAGTCTTTCTTCCATTACAATTAGCTCATTGAAAGAATCTTCTTCTGAGCAAAGAATATTTGCTAGGGTACTTAATGTCTCTGTCATATCCTGTAGATCAGATACTCTATTTACACTACTATATATTAAGTCATCGTATGTTTGGGATAGAAATATATGGTAGGGAATGAGTGAGTCATAAGCACTTGTGATACTTGTGAATGGTTCTATTCTTGGATTTAGCACTTTATCTTGATCCCTTTTGAGTGCTTTAAGAATAATATCTTTATTTAACGGCGGATTCAAACGGTGTAAAATATTTTCTGTCGGAATACTTGTCTCATACACATTTTCATGCATAAATAAAAGTTTTAATTCCATTTTATTTAACAGTGCAGTGAAAGATACTTTTCAGGGTAGATGGCACTCTCAGGTATCTCAGGCGGAGTATATTCACCGTATGAGTCCTTGCCACGTATTGAGACTGGTCTTAATATTCTTGTGGTACCACCACCTTTTATTGCCACATTAATTACCATGTTGTAAGAAATTGAAAAAAAGTCATTTCTTGATGTCTCTGAAGGAACAGTTTCATCTACTAATAGACTTATTTTTCCGTTTATTTCTGTTGTCTTACATGGAAATAGTAGGGTAATTGGGTTTATTGCATCTGTGAATGAACATAAATTCATTTCTAAATAGCACTCTATCTTCCCTATTGATGCCCCTGGGCTTAGAGAAATTTCCAGTGAATGAGTCTTACCTGCGTACAGGACTGAGTCATGTACTATGAATATTTCTGTGGATTTATTACCAAAGCAAAGACAGTTATTTATCTGGTGCTTATAATTTATCTTCTGAATATTCTCTAGGACTGGTTCTATAAGATGTATTTCCCGGGTGTATTTTGCTACTGGCTTAAATATCCCGTATATTTTCACTTCGCACCTGCTTATGTACTTATTCAAGGCGTAAATATTTTTTGTCTGGGTGATTTTCTTGTACTCAATTGTGGCTCCTTCATCAGAGACCATTCTAAAATTGAAGGGAAATGTGTGTACTCCTGGGAGCATTCTCTTTGTTCTATTTCCGTATATAATAAACCTGCCTAAATGTCTTGTTGCTCTTTCATTTGAGACTAATTTACTGTTGACTTCATCCACTTTAATTTCAGATTCTTTGTCGATTGTCAGGATAATGCTTTCAATTGAAATAACACTTGGGATCTGTAGGGTTATGTATCCTGAGATAAGTTCCCCTGCAGAATATGCCTTCTTACAATAAAATATACCAACTAGACAAACCATATCTCTTCTCACCCAACATACTATATAGAATAATCCTGCCAATCCACACCTTCCATAAGTACCCAATAGAATGCAGATGGAATTAGCGAATTGCACAGGAATAAACCAGAATCATCAGAATATCTCACTACTACGCAGTTATAATCTGCTATAAAATAGATTAATACAGTATATTTTTGTAATAAAATTATCTTAATTTCAGGAATTTCTTATCAACAAAGATTAAAAAGTCTTCACTATCTCAAGATCAGAAATTCACTATAAATACAGATTAAATTCTACTGAGAACAAGAAATAAATGACAGAGGCACTTACTAAAAAATCAAAGAGAAATTAGAAGAAACAGTCCCAGTGACAGACCCAGGACATGAATAAAAGTCCTTCTTTGAATAAGATATTATTTCTATTGGGTTATTACCCCCAGGCTATGATACTTTAGCTATTTTGGCACGTCAATTTTAATAAAGAGTGAATAATTAAGGTCTTAGATTTATTTGAGTACACATAAGGACTCTCTCTACGCCTGAAGGAGTGAATTTATAATGGATATGAGCTGATTAGTGTCCTCCTCTACGTCTTCTTTGTTTGTTGCCTTTTTGAATACCTCTGAGGCCCTTTTATGTATCTCTTTTTCTGTTTTTATTTCTTCGTCTAATTTCTCTGGTGAAACTTCCTTGGACTCCAGATATATTACTACTGACTCCAAATACTTCCCTAATTCCTGCAGTATTTCCCTGTCTTCCCTTAGTAAGGCAGTCCTTAATTCTTTTTCTCTTTCCGCAATTACTTCTGTTCCCATGGAAGTATAAATTTGTTTTACTATTTATTTTTAAAGTCGGGGCTTATCATTGGCTTAGCTTGTCCCAGGAATATACAAGCCCAGGATATTATCATACAAAAGATAGTTGTCCAAACTGTGAACAAAACTGTCTCTTTTGTGGCTTTATTTTTTATCTTAACAGACGTATTTATTATTCCCATGATGGTGTACCCTGCGACTAATCCCATTAGACTCACGAAGCCAACAACTGCAAGTGGTGGCCAGTCTTGAATTCTTAAAAACATGAAGACTAAAAATTAAATTTTGCTAAAAGCAGCAGTCACAGTCAATTGGACAATTTGGTGTATTCCCACCCCTACCAATTTTAAGTTCTTCTTGTGTATATATCTTATATCCATCACATGAGAATATATCTTGTTCTAAGGCACTGCTGCCTCTTACTTCGTATGGTTTTTCTTTTTTTGTCTTTGTCTTTCTATTGGGTTTTATGTCCTTTGGTTTCTGTGCAAATATGTCGTCTATTGGGCTAGCCATAAAATATTTTACAATAGAGATATTTTTAATTACTACAGAAAAGACCGTTAGGTTGTCATTTTATATAAATATACTGGGTTATAGTGTATTTTTACTATAGAGTGAATTATTCTGGAATATATGGTCTTAGTAGTATATTGTACTATTAAAGTACTTATTCATATACTGTCTCTAATAATTTGGACGATTTATACTAGTGAATATTGAAGGTTATATGCTAGTGGGTGTTATATACTAGTGGGTGTTGAATAAGTTTGCTACTGACTGAATATATACACTAGTGAATGGTCTTTACTGTTGACTAAATACACTAGTGACTGAATTTTCTGCTGAATTTTATACTGAATTAATTTGCTACTAGTGACTGAATATACTGAATATTGACTGAATTGACTGAATATATACACTAGTGACTGAATTTTCTACTAAATGTTATATACTAGTGAATGAGTTTTCTGCTGAATGGTCTTTGCTGTTGAATGTTGAATGGTCTTTACTACTAGTGACTAAATTTACTTTTGAATGAATTTTCTACTAGTGAGTGGTCTTTTCTACTAGCAACTGAATACACTACTGAATGGTCTTTGCTACTAGTGACTGAATTGACTGAATGAATATACTAGTGACTGAATACACTACTGAATGGTCTTTGCTGTTGAATGAATTTACTAGTGAATGAACTGATTATTGACTAAATACACTAGTAGCTGAATATACTAGTAACTGAATTGACTGTTGACTGAATACACTAGTGAATGAATTGACTAAATACACTGCTGAATGGTCTTTTCTACTACTAACTGAATACACTACTGAATACTATACACTGTGACATTCTTGAATATTTTGGTCATAGAGTATGTAGTAAGATAGACTATTCTATTTAGTAGGGCATTTATATCTGTTAATTGGTTATATCTATAGTACTAGTATGGTTATAGTGCATTCTTTTCCAAAATTAATCTTATGTTTTACAACGTATTCAGTTGGAACTAAGTCTATTTTTGTGTTTGAAATTCAAAGTACCCATAGGTTAAGGGAATATGTGTAAAAGGACACTGCACTGGTTCTATTTCTGTATATTAACCAATTAATCTACAAGAATAAAACTTGTCTTGTAAAAAGCCAATTATCTACTGATTAGAAATAAACCAGTAAGAATATTAAATGAACCAATTGAATCGGAATAATACTGCAGATAGAAGGCACTTGATTATATCTTGTGTAGACTTTCTGATTATATTTTCTATATAACCAGAAGTCATTGAAGAGACATGGCAGAAGCTGCAGAAGGAAATAACAAGAAAAAGATATGTATAATTGCAGGAGTAGTTCTTTTAATTGTAGCTGCTGGATTTATAGGACTTATGGTTATGAAAAATAAGAGCGCAGATGAAGGAGCTAACCCAACCCCCAGTGCAGCCACAGGTGGACCCGCAGGTGGGGAAACCGGTGATGGGAATTCATAGAAGCCTTAGTTTATAAACGTATAGAATCTTATTTGGTAGATATTTATAACTGTTAATAGATAAATAGTAAATTATAACAGACATAATTAAATTTCTACTACAAAATAATCTATTCTATCTATTTTAAGTTCTAGATTAAGGTCTATTTTCATTATCTATTGGATTACTTTATTATTTGACTTTGCATGCAGGTTCACAATAAATTCAGTTATTCATTTTTTGCTTTTTAACGGATTATTTCAGGTTTTCAAGTATATTTTTATTCTAACAGTATAAGATATCTCTCTTATTGATAACCTAAGTGCCTTTAGACATAGATTCAATGTGAATACTTCTACTCACCAGTTATTTGTTCTGGTGTATGACTGCCTTCTACTGTTTTGTGTTAGAGTACAGGTTCTTTTAGTGACCAATTAATTCCTAAACTCAGTGACCATTCAGATACTGTTTACAACCTAACAAATCATCCTTTACTTCTATTGTTTCTGTTGGTTTTTTTGTTCGTTTGCAATTGGAGTATTCTTCTACAAAGGTATAAATATGCAGAAGAACTGTCTTTTCACAATGGAAAAGAAAGGAAAATTAATTCTATCATGCGCATCAATCATTACAGGATCAGTGCTTGGGACAGTCTGTGTGAGGCATATGTGCAATATGTGGTTGTAGTTGCGTAATTAGTTAATTTGTTATTTGCTTGCCGTATTTTAATTTAGCTATGAATAAACTATCGCTGAATGGTAGCTTAACTGTTTCTTCTGTTTTTATGTTCTTTGTGCTTACTCCGTACTTATAAAGTGTTTGTTTTTCAATTGGAATCCTGGTTATATGTGGATTATTTTTAAGAGCCATTTGAATTACGCCTTCATTCTCTTCTTCTTCGAATGTGCATGTGGAATAGATCAGAATTCCATCTACTGCTAGCATATTTATCCCGTGAGATAGAATTTCCAACTGTTCTTGTGCATAATTCTTTGGTTTTGGAGTCTGTCCTTCTGCATATTTCACTGTGCTAGTCTGTGAGCACTCTGGGTCTACGATTATTCTATCATATTTGGCTTCTTTGTGCTTATGTCCTATACGCCTAAGACTTGTGCTTGTGTAAAATGCACTTCCTCTTACACCTTCTGCCTCCATCTTGCATCTGCACGGGTGAATTTCACTTTTTACTTCTTCCTTAGAGACAGGATATACGGGAGTACTTGTAAAGGATGCACTATCCCCTAGAAGTAATCTTACATTAGGTACTTTATACTTCTGAATGAGTGATTTCGTTATACTTAGTCTACTCCTGGAAATATCTATTCCTGTGATTGTACCATATATCTGCTTACCTGCTGGTGCACTTGCTTGCATAAGCAGTCCTGCATATACTAGCTTCATTCCAGGTGCACAGCACATGTCAAGTATTTTTGAATTCTCGTTTATCTCCAGGTGATCTATTGCTATTATTGACCACAGTGACATTGAGAGGATTTTTCCTTCTATGTATTCCTTAGTGTTAGATATCTTATAGTCCCTGGGGTATGAGAATATTTTCGCACTGTATGGATCACATCTGAACAAGAATTCTTGTGATCTGAGTGCACTTTCTACTCTTGCTGGATTCATTACGAAGAACTTTTTTCTCTTTTCTTCTTGCATTTTTATGCATTTTTATCAAAAAAAATATATATTTATACTTTTATATAGACTCTTCACTGAATATATGTATTTATAAAGGGTTTTAAAAATAAAAAATAAAAAGTATTTTATCAGTTAGGAAATACACTTAGAACACAAGTGTACAACATAGAAGGCACAGTGCACCGTATAGTATTAATTAGAATGACAAAATACCAGAAAATATACGGTTTTTATTGAATTAATCACATAATATCATGGTTTATAATAGATTATAACAACAAATACTTTATTCATTATGATAGTACAATAAATCTATCAATTCTCAATGCATATCCTTATATATTCAGGGTATATCTCTAAAGCACATATTAAAAATATTTTAGTTCAAGAAATTCGGGGTATATAGAATTATAGAGAGAGTATAGAGAGAAATATTTGAGAGAATTTACAAGATATAGGAGAAATTCACTAGACAATTCACTAGATACAGGAGAAATATTTGAGAATTTACAATAGAAAACCACTAGACAATTCACTAGACACAGAGAACTCACTAGAGAAATATTTGAGAGAATCTACTAGACACTAGAGAATCTACTAGACACAATAGAAAACCACTAGAGAATTTACAAGATACAATAGAAATATTTGAGAGAATTCACTAGAGAACATAAAGAAAATCACTAGAACACAATAAACCACAACAGAAAACCACAAGAAAACAATAGAACAATAAACCAATAATCCACTAGAAAACAAGACTGATTAGTCTATGGAATGGAACATTCAAAATATATTTTATTGAGTATACGGCAGTTATTTAATGTGGGCCAGGGTTCTGGCTTGGTTTACAGACTCAGAAATACTTTCGTATCGACTGCATGATGCCTTAAATCCCTTTATGTTGCTGGATATAGCAGGAGAAGACTCACCTGACTTGAATATTGCAGTTACGTGACCCATTTCTCCTGTTTTTCCCTTCCGTATCATAAACTGAATCGACAGTTCTTTCTCTGTGTAATGTATCTCGTAAGGAACAGAAACCCCCAACTTCTTAACTTCTTTTTCCACAGAAGTCATCCTTAAGACATAACGGATAATCACAGGAATACTTTGCACGAGTAAATCCATTGCAACTAGACCAGCACCCACAGAGAGAGCAATGAACTCTTTAAAAAGGCTCTTTGTCTTTGTCTCTGCGTATACGTCTACAATATTCGTACCATCGTATATAACTGTAATAACTAGATCACAGATTGAAAATAAAAGTCTACTGTGTGATATTTCAAGTATTTTTACTCCCAGTATCACTTCCATCCTTTGCACTGCAGATTTAACTTGCTCCAGGTCATCCTTCTGAACTTCTTCAACTAACAGACTCTCTTGAATATTTTGTATCTCAGCCTTCTCTCTTTCAATTATTTCAGTTATTTCATCATTCTTCTCTTTGAGACTGCAGAGTGTACTTGTTAATCCATTGAGTTTTTCCTTTAAGATTACCTCTTCTTCTTTATTTGTCTCTACTTCTTTCATAAATCCATTTACTTCTTCCTGGGAGAGAGACCCAATTGTCTGAAGAACCTTCTTCATTGACTTTTCTTTATTCTCTAAGCCAGACAGATCTATCTTCTTAACTCCTTCTTTTAATCTTTCAATTTTCTCAAGTAATGAACCCTTTTCCTTCTCAAAGTCATTGAATATTCTCTCTGTCTCATTAAGAAATTCCTTTTCAACTGTCAATCTTTTCTTGTGCCAGTGTGCTTTTCCTTCCTTTCTTGCATCTGACTTCATCTGTCTCAATTTCGATAGTAGTGCATTCCTATCGATCGATGAGAGACCTGTGCAATCTACTTCCCTCTCAATCACTTCAGTCTCTTCCCTTGTTCTTTCTATTTCTGCAGAAAGCCCTGAGGATAGGTTATTTTGGGTGTCAATTCGTCTCTGCATGAATTCCCGGTAGTAAATTACATTAGAAGGTTCAACCTTATTCCTTATCTTTGATAAAGTCTCCCTTCTATTCCCTAGGGACAGATTATCCAAGAACCTTATCCCTGTCTCTGCTAATATTTCACGTATCTTCTTTGTTTCTTCTTTCTTTGTTGTTTCATATTTACTTAAAACTTCTTCTACATTCACTGTATCATAGACTAAAGTATTACTGTCTGCAGCACAGACAATCTCAGATAGCATATCACTCAGAATATCATCTTTATCCCCATCTAAAGAATATTCTGGATTATTATTTTCTGCATCTTCTGGTGTATAGTCATATACATCCTTAGTAGTAGGGATTGTCTCAGTGATATTTTCCATACTAAAGTCTTTTTCATGAGTAGATATACGTCTGTCACTAGAGATTATTTCTTCCTGTATATTTACATGACTATTTCTTCTAGTTTCATCAGGAATTACTGTCTCAAATTCACTTTGTACTTTGATGGGTGACCTACTAGACTGCACTGTGCCATCAGATGGTATTCTTATATTACATGCTGTATGCTCCATTGTTCTATTTCTGTCAACTGGACACATACTCATTCTTCTTTCTTCAAAGGTCTCTTCTGAATCATCCATAATGAAATTCTCTTCTTTTTCTTCACACAAAGGAAGTGTTTCATCTTGCATTAGATCATCTTCCATTATATTCTCTTCTAGTGATATTTCCATATTCATCTTACTTGTAGTCTCCATGCTTATTCCTGTAGAACTACTTTCTGATTTACTGTGGTCATCTTTACTGTGAGAATAGACTATTTGAGGCTCTAAGGCAAAACTAACTCTTCTCACGGAAGGTCTTCTCTCTTCTATCTCACCCTGTGGGTTTTCATCCATTTTGAAGTATTGGTCTATTTCCCTTGACTTTTTCATATTTTCAATTTCGCATTTTAATTTATGCAGTAGGAAGACAACTGAACTCTAAATAAAATTAATAAGAAATAAAGAGATAAACTGTTTTATTTATAATATACACCCTAATAATTCATTTAGCCAAGGTAATTCTGCTCTTGTATTTGTCTCAATTGTGTCAATTGTCTCTTTTGTTTTATTTTCTGCTTCTGAGGTTTTCTTTCTGCGGCTTGTGATTGTATTAGATGCGAATTCCATTGTAATTGGATCCTTATTCTCTTTATCCCATTCATCCCTAAACTCCTCAGAAAAAGACAGTCTTGGTGCACGCATCCTGCGGTTTATTTTCCAAGTATAAATAGAAATAATTGGCGGGATTATTTGCCGCCACTAATCATAAAGGAATATCCAGAAGACAATCTAAAAGAATAATATCAAGTATAACCAGTAAACCATAAGAGACATAACCATATAATACATAAATATATCAAAGGAATTCACAAGACACCATATATATAAGCAAGAATAATGCACCAATTAGATTTATGTATTGTCGTAGTAGAGCATATGTAGAAGAATAGACAGAATAGACGAAGTAGAAGATATATTCAGGTAGTGATAGGAATAGAGCATGTTATTGTTATTGTTCTTGTGTACATTCTTGTAGATATTCTTGTATATTTCTGTATATTCTTGTATATTTCTGTATATAAATAGACTAATTTCTACATATTTTTCTCTATTTTTCTTCCTCTCTGTATATTCTTGTGTATTCATATAGAACTAGACTAAATTGTAAATATTTTCTTGTAGATTCTTGTACATATTCTTGTACATACTCAGATAGAACTAGACTAATTTCTACATATTCTTGTATATTCCTGTAGATCCAGATATAAATAGACTAAATTGTACACATTCTCGTATATTCAGATATAAATAGACTAATTTATATATTTTCTCCCTCTCTCCATATTCTCTCTACTCCCTCTACTCTCCATATATTCCCTCTATTATACTATTAAGATATAAATATTTTATTATTCCATGGGAAGTGAATACGAAGACGAACTGGAGTTCTTCTCATTTCTGCCAGGTGACTTTCATATGGAACTGTACCAGGGAATGAGCCGTATTATAGTGAATTCCTTGAATACAACAGAAAATATTCGGGGAAGAATGGATAAGATTGAGTCTGCCTTACAGAAGAATATGCTTATTTTTGAGAGATTCACATTAAGGAATATATTCACATTTCCTGAGGACTTCGTATACAACAGGAAGGAGTCTACTGCTAGTCCTATTTCACCAGAGGACCTTCGTACAGGAATTCTTTCACTTGCAATAAAAAAGGCAGAAATATCTGCCTTACAGGAGTCAATTGAGCAGAAGCAAGCAGCACAGACAGACCTACAATGCAGATGGAATAGTCTTCAGAGTATCCCTGGTATGCAGCCTATCTTAGATGGTCTCTCAGAGCTAAATAATTTAATGAGGTGCACTAGAGAGATAAAGAACAAGTACATTCAAGGTCACTCTGTACCCCATGGGAAGAGTACTAAGAGAGAACTAGAAGAAGAGATAAGGAAGAATGAGTGTGCTGAACTAGAAAGAAGAATTCCCATGGGAATACTATCTGCCTTAGAGAGTGCACTCTCTGGATAAATAAACTGCATAAAATAGAGGGATTTATTGTTTACTCCTCATCACTCTCCTCTGCTGAAAGTGCTTCTTCTTCATCAAAGTCACCTTCTTCCTTGAACTCACCGTATGCCATGTTACTTTCCATGAGGGCATTTGTTCTGATTCCTCTCTCCTTAGGGAGGGTGATCAGAGACTCACCTGCTGTTCCAATTGCCATTAGGTTATCTGTACGTGTTGTGTACATTCTTCCGTTAAGGTCTTCAAGTATGGAGATGGTAAACCCACTGATGTGCACTTTTACTTCTCTGATGATTCCAACGCACCCAAGGTTCTTTCCACGGAATGCGTATGCTGTGTTTCCTACTTTAAGAGGGAAAGACTCCATTACTTCTCCAGTCTCTAGGTTGAACTTTATACTGTCTCCAATGTTGATACTTGGGTCTGCGTACTTAATAGTTCTTCCATCATTTGTGTGGAGAGTAAGTATACTGCGTCCTTCTAGTCTCTTTGCAAGTACTTTGCAGATTTTGAACTTTGCCTCCTCCTTAGTGATTGGCTGCAGGCAGAATTTCTGGTTTACGTTGTAAAGAAGTCTGTAGTTTTCGTGTATCTTGTCAAAACTTATGACATCCATGATTCCTGCTGGGTACTTTGGGTCCTTTCTGATCTTTCCATCTACCTTGACAAGTCTGTCATTCAGAATGTGCAGAACTTCTTTTGTGTTCTGTGCAAAGCTAAGCTTTCTTCTGACTATTAAGCACAATGGAAGGCACTCTCTTAGCTTGTGTGGTCCACATCTTGGCCTAGGGGCAAATGTACCTCCTAATTTATCAAGTATCCATGAGTTTGGAGCATTTAGTCTCTTTAAATGCTTTCGTGGTCCGTTTACCATTTTTCAAGGGTATAAAAATTAAAAGATTAATATGCGTTTTATTTTTCAGAGAGTGGAGTAGAATATCCTGTTAAAAATGCATAATTTATACCATTCTCATAGAGTGTATTTATTAATGGAATATGTCTACCATCTTGTGTTAAATATATCTCACTCTCTTCTAATGGTCTTTCTTTATTTCTGTGCAAATTTTCTGGAATGGATAATTCTTTCAATACGTCTGGTGTTATATTGACTAAACTCCTATGGTCAATGCAATGAAGAGGGAAGAATGCGTCTCCTTGGAATATTTTATATATCTCAGTCAGATACAACTTACATTTATACCTCTCTAGTGCCTCTTTGTATACGGCTGCACCACCAAATATAATAGGCTGAAGAGAAAGACTTCTACAGATGGAAATTGCACTCTCTAAGGACTTACAGAATAGTACGGAATAATTTGGATCATGAATATTCTCATTATCATGGGATGTTATCACAATGGAAGTCCTTTTTGGAAGAGGTTTTCCAATTGACTCGTATGTAAGACGGCCCATAATTAGACCAGATGGATACTTTGTAGTCAAGTACTTCATAAATTTAAAATCAACCTGGATACTAGGCCAGGGTAGTCTGCCTTCTCTTCCTATTACGCCATTTCCTTCAGAATATGCAGCTAAAACTATAGGAAGCATTGTGAAAAAATAAACCAATTCGAAATTTAAATGGAAGACCACTTGGATGAGCTTTTTATTTACAAAACAACAGGACAGAGTATGAACAGACTGAGAGCAGAGATAAAGAAATTATTAAAGAAGAACTATCGTGTGGAGTATGAAGATTCATCTTCTGGGTCTTCGTTCATGGTTATTATAAAAGGACCAGAAAATACTCCATTTTCCCATGGAAAATACAAGATACGAATATTCCTACCGAAGGATTTTCCGTTCAAATCACCATCCATAGGATTTGTGACAAAAGTATTCCATCCTAATATTGATGAGAGTAGTGGGAGTGTGTGCTTGGATGTTTTGAACCAAGTTTGGTCACCTCTGTATGATGTTTCGAATATAATTGAGACATTTTTACCGCAATTACTTGCATATCCAAATCCAGATGATCCACTGAATATTGAAGCAGGAAGATTATACCGCGAAAATATTGTAGCATACGAAAGGAAAGTGAGTGAGTATGTGGACCAGTACGCCAGAGGAGAAGACTCTTTGGATGCAGATTTATTTGAGGAAATTATGTAAAATATGAAATTCACAGGAGAGAAACTGAAAAAGGTCAAAGGAGTGTTTACAGCCCTTTCATCTGTGATAGATGAAACCCTGCACATAGGACCCTTGGCAGTAATGGATACGGATGTGGAGATAATAACAAAGTGGGACTTTGGATCATCAGAGCTGTAGAATGTAGAATAAATTGCTTTTGTCTTGGCTCTTGTCATATTTTATTTAATATGTGGTTTACAGTTGGATTTTAATTAGATTATATTGTTAGATTAACTAGAGTTAGATAGGTATATCTACAGATATATTCACTAGTGTATTTATCTGATACAAAGTGAATGTTTCACAGTAGCCTAAGACAAAGGAAATTTCTTGTCAATTCTTGTCGAATTTGACTCTAAGAAGGTTCTCTCTAAGTGGAGTATAAGTAAAGGCAGTGAGTGAATAATTGAATATTTAGTCTACAGTATAAATAGCCTAAATAATTTGCACTTTTGTCAAATTGTATTACAACTGACAGTACTATAAAAGTAAATTTAAACTGTCATATTCAACAGACACTCTTAGTATTAGAATATTCAAAGATAAATAGTGTATAATAGAAATAACCAAGGGTCTATATGGTAAAATATCTTGTTATTAATTTGAAATTCCACCTTCTACCTTCCAGAATATTTCTCCCATTTAAGCACGTCATTATTTCTTGGCTGGAATATTTTGCATAAAATTACACACTAATAGGCTGTAGTAGACTGTAATATAGACTAATATACACTGCAATAGACTGAAATATACAGTAATATAGACTAATATACTGTAAAAATACACTAATATACTGTAATACACTGTAACAGACTAATATACACCAATAGACTGTAATAGACACTAATATAGACTAATATACTGTAACAGACTAATATATACTGTAATATAGACTAATATACTAATACACTAATATACTGTAATACACTGTAATACACTGTAATACACACTAATACACTAATATTCCTACTAAATATACACCAATATACTAATATCCACCAATATTCCTACTAAATATACACTAATACACTGCAATATTTACTATAATTAAATTTCTTCTAAGGGGAAATATATCCAAAGAATAAGAGAGTGAAATAATCCATTTCTGTTGTAATATATGACTATTATTCTCTCTTTAGTAATCTATCTACTTTATCTATGGAATATTTTGCAATTGTAGATATATTTAGTATATCCTCTATTGATGCTTTTCTTCTTGTTTCTTCCATTATATTAATGTCATTTTGTAATTCTTCTAGATTTCTTAGATTTCTTATCAATGAGATTTGCTTCTTATCTGTGATGTACATGGTCTCTGGGGTCACTGGTATCTCATATAAATGGATTCCAATTCTTTCCATGCTGGGTACTTTAAGATGTGGATTTCTTTTGCTCCCGTACTTATAGACTGCGTATATTGATAGACCATGTGGATCACAGTCAAAAAGACCAAATATTCTTATAGATCTTGCAATAGACAGGAATTTAAGAGTATTAGTACATGGATAACCCTTTCCTGTTACAATTATTATCTCTTCCATTCTATTTTTATATGCAGTATCTTGTATGATATCATTGAAGACTGCTTCTTTTTCTACTACAATTATTGCTGATGCCTTTGTGAATATTTTAGTTTCTTTCTGTATCCTTGGGATAATTGAAGTATTTTCCATCTGAACGACTTTTTCTTGGAATTTTAATGAAAATATTCCATGGACTAGTCCTTTGTACGATGGAACAATCAAAGATATCTCTATTTTTAGGCGTATCTTTATGTAATCTATCACACGCACTGTGTGATTTTGGTTCTTAAAGACTCTTTTGCATCTATAGAATATTTCTCTAATGGTTATTTCTTTGCACTCACAGAGTATCACATAATATACATTAAGCACAGGAATAGCACATTCTAATCGCATTCTACCAATAATTACGTCTTCAATGACTGCCAGAATATCATTATACAGGATATCAGAGTACTTGCACTCCTGATATCTCAGAAGAAATGCACTTTTATCCTTAAGGATGCCTGCCAGAAATGAGACAGTAAGAAGGTTCTTCCTAGTCATATTTTCCTTGCAGAGTGTTTGGTTTATATGGTAATAATCTTAAGATAATTATAAGACAGAAAGAAAAAAGTCACCAAGACTATATAATAAATATACATGGGATTACTAGAATAAACTATAACTGTAGTCATGTGAATCTATGCGTATATATTAAAGCACTTTAAATAATATCATATTAAGACAAGATATACTTCACTAATAATAAGTACTTGACAGGTCAAACAAGAATAAAAAATATTTCAATAAATAGATAGGTAGGTAGATAGATAGGTGGATAGTAGGTGAATAGTAGATAGATAGTGGGTAGATAGTAGGTGGATAGATATGAGTACTTTTCAAGTGTGTATTATTTTTGTCTTATATTTGAATATCTTTGGTATCAGTTATTTGAATATATTTGGTGTCAGTTATTTCTATCTTATATTTGTCAGTTATATTTATCTTATCCTTGAATATCTTTGGTGTCAGTTATATTTATCTTACTATTAATATTTCCATACGAGAACTAGTAGCCTTCTTCTGTACGAAAAATATTTCAGAGGGTGAAAATTGAAGGACTTTTAGCCTCAGAATAATAATGTGTAATTTTACCACAGTAATGGTATATTGCTTTATTATAGATGCGCCTATGAATAAACATGCAGAAATATGCCACTCACTGGCTCTAGGTGGAATATATAGTGTAGTAAAATACTCTCATTAGAAATTTCCACTTACCAAAGAATTCTTCAGAAATTCCTTCAGTATAAGAATGCGAAATTAACAAAAAGAGAAAATATCCTTAGAGAGAAATAGATCTAAAATGAACAAAAAGGGCAAATATTCACAGGAATAAAACTCCCTTAAGAACAGCACTATCTATACTTATAGACTAAATATGGTTATAGACTAATCTTCTTACTGAAATATTTCTACTTTTGAGTACTTCAGGCATAAATTCATTACAACCCACCCATTCCCATGCCTTGCCTTATTATTGCTTAAAATATATCCATATTTATCTTTACTACTAGTATGCAAGGTACTAATTTCCGTTGCAAATCTTAATTCTTTCAATTATCCTTATAAGGGCATCATCCTCTTCGTTCATTGCCTGGTATTCTTCTATGGGAATATATGAGGACTCTGGGATACACTTGATAATTTCATCATCGATTAAGAAGACATTCTTAACAGAGACATTCTCTAGTTCTGCTATTTTGTTCATGTCCTTACCTCTCTTATAAGAGTTTTCATCTAGTTTTGTTGCATGTGCATGGTAATATTTATGAATTGCTCTTGTCATACCCTTACTCTCTAATAAATTTGTCAGGTGAATACCATTATGCTCCATGGCTGTTGTCCATAGCATGTACGTTATATCATTTTCATGCAAGTAATTAATTAATTTGTCTAAATGTGGCCGTAAATATATCAGGTCACCTCGTCCTGGTATTATTGCATCTGGCTTCTTCTTATCTAAGTATGTGCCTTTGTTCTCTTTCACTCTGCTTAAAAGTGTTCCATTTAAGTCAAACACAAATATCTTCTTCTCTACTGTCATTTTTTTCTTTAAAATATTTTATGTCTTAAATATTTTCATAATGGTGTACTTAAGCTGGCTAACAAAAACCCCAAATATTGAAGAACTAGGGGGATTTGAAGAGTACATTAAGAGGGAAAAGGAAGAATCCGTGAGAATAATGAAGAGAAGACTTAAAAAAGGAAAAACCACAGATAGACAAATTGCTGAAGACACTTTAGGAGCAGCAAATAAACTATACGCAAAAGGAGATTTCCTAGGGGCAATCAACAAAATAAAAGAAGCCCTGACCTACCACAGTACAAATGACAATGCGTACTATCTGCTTGGTGTTATATACGAAGAACAAGAAGAAGCAGAAAAGGCATTTAATGCATTTTTAATTTCAGCCAGTATTAAAAGGACAGATATTACACTATGGAAGAGACTATATGAGTACAAGAGAAGAGAAGATGACTTAGAGTACCAAGTATATATACTGAAGAAAATAAAAAAATTAAAACCAACGAATGAAGTACTAGAAGACCTTCTGGAGATATACGAGAGACAGAAGAATCAAAGTAAAATATTTGAGATAAAAGCAGAGATGATGGGACCTGAATTTCCTGCTGAGATAATATTTGAGATTCTAGAGAATATTCGTACGTTAAAGAATAGAGTGAAAATAATAGAGATAATTAGTAGGGCACTTGATAGAGAGAAAGTATTTGCTGACTTATCAGACAGGTTTATCATAGGATATGTTGACTTACTGTTCACTCAGGGCCATTATTCCCTTCTTTCTCAACTGAATAATTCATTACAATACTGTAAGAAGACGGTTATTTGTATTAGATCTCAAATAATTCTGTTTTTTTCTGTAATTATATCTGAGATTATGAATAAGTGCCAGATTTGCACAGGAAATAGTCTTTGTACATGCAGGGATACAGCAGATATCGATGCCTCTTATAATATCTTAATTGAAACAAGCAAAAAAACTGCCATAATTAACGTAATTTTCAACACAGAAGCACTCTCAGATCCAATACATCTGCACCTAACAGGTTACCTAATAGATATACTAATTAAAATGCGTAAATATAAGCTGTCTGTTAAGTTATTACTAATTATTAATGGCCATATGGACAGAATACTTAGTCAGAAGGACAGTCTAAAGAGTGTAAATTTAATTAGAGACAGAATCCTTCATGAGAGTATAAATATTAAGAAGAGAATTGCCTTTATATACGACAGACTAAAGGAATATGATAAGAGTATCATGCATTACAAGGCAATTTTGGATGGAGGGTACGCAGATACAATGCAAAGTGTCTTAGAAGAAGTAAAAATGAGAATATCTGAGATCTACAAAAAAACCGGTAATATTGATCTAGCACTGGAATATGCACTCCAGATACAAACAGCAACAATATCAACTGATCTACAAAGAGAAGACCTTCTATTTTATACAGAAATAGGGTGCATGCATATGAGATCTCTACTGTACAAGGCCATGCACATATACAGTGATGATAAAATAGCATATGATCCATCTGTTAGAACATATTTTATCCGTTCAGCACAAGAATTAGTACAATTTCTGTTGAAAAACACTTTTGTTTTTGCAAAAAAAAAGAAAAAAAGAAGTCTTCAGGAGACAGATCATACTCCTGCACCAGAGGAACAACTTATTAGTACAAAAGAATTTGAGACAGATTATGATCTACTCCATGGGACAAGTGGTCTTGGTAAAGTATTCTCTAATGAAGTATCTGAGGAGATATCAGCTGGGAAAAAAGTCTATTTTGACATGCTTGCGTCTTTGCTTGGGGGACTTACAGTGAAAGAATGGCATGGTATTATATACAGATATATCACAGCACTGCATTATAATGGATCTAATGAAGCTGCAATTCTTCTCCTTAGGAAGGTCTTGACATCTCCTGTACTGCGCAGTTTATTCGAAGAATACACTTTTCTTCTGTGGTTGCTCATCAGGATATCAAAGGACACAAAGGACATTGAGTCATTGCATTGGGGAATTACCCATATGGTGCGGTATTATGCTCACAGGGCAGGTGTAGATGCAGTTTCCTTCTATTATTTGTGCTATTTTCTTATCAGTCAGGTGCCTAGATTTCACAGAAAATCAGAATATTACAAATTCCAGAAGAATGTTCAAAGGAATCTCAGGAGAAAGAGTCTTTCCAGGGGTACTGGTGCCCAGAATATTCTTACAATTTTATGTTTCTCTTATATGCCTAGCTTTATATACACTGACACAGCAGCCCGTTTGGAGAAATATGTTGAAGACTCTGTGGTACTCCAGGCTAATACGACCTTATTAGACATATTCAGGGCAATTGCACTATCATCACTATTTCTGACGCATGCATCCAGCAGGAAGGTTGTAGACAGGGATAGATACATTAAGAAAGGCATAAAAATACTGCAGGAATACACTATTTACTTTAAAGAATCACATAATCACAGTGAAAATAAAGTGACAGTTAGAAGTGAAAATGGATTAATTGAATATACAGTGTATGTAGACATACGGGAAGACCAAACATACGCAGAGGATGATCCAACTGAGAAATTGGGTCTACTGCAGTATAATCTTGCTAGGGCATTTCACCAGTATAAATTGTACGGTCTTGCAGAGAACCTGTACATTGAGTCTGCAAAGCACACAAGAAACAAAGAACTTCTGTCTCTCCTGCAAATCAACACATTCCTCCTGGGAAAACCATTGAAAGTATCAGTTCTTCAATGAAAATACGCATTTAATTGTAATTATAACGAATAAACCAGCAATTCCATGCATAAACAAAAGAATCACGTATATTCACCATATATTCACATGCACCATATGCTTAAAGTTGTTTTATCTTCAAATATTCCCAGTGTTTTCCACTTCTTAGTCTCTTAGTCTAGACTATTTCCCGTAAGAGTTCACAAAAACCAGTAATTCCAGGAATAAATAGAAATACACTAGTGATACAGCAGACAAAGCCATAATGTACTCAGGCATAGTCTAAGAATAAAGCACTCTAAGACTTCATTTATTATAATGTAATATTTTCTTCCTAAGCTGCTTCAATTATAGCATATTACTGTACTTCTTTAAGGGTTTTCTTTGCTCTAGTATAAATATAGACTAAATCTATTATTTATTACTGCCCCATAAGTGTACTAGTACGCTTGTCACAGCACAAAAAGAAATTCTCTCTTAAATTACGTCTAGAAGACTTTTCCACAGAGATTTCTGTCTAAAAATATCCCAAGATAATTTATGCATCAGACAACTACTAGAATGACTAGATATAACCCGATATAACCCAAATAACCCGATATAACCCGATATAACCCGAATTCTTATAACTTTGCATTTTTCCTGTCATTTTTTCTTCTTTCTGTCTACTGGAATATTTTGTCTGGCTACTAGAATATTTTGTCTGTCTGTCTAGCTGGAGTATTTTCTCTGCCTACATGAAACATTTTGTCTGACTACTGGAACTCTTCTATTCCTTGTACTTCTCTCTTAGCATTTTCTTCTTCTTTCTTGCTGCTAGTCTTGCACTTCTGTTGGCTACTAGTACTTTTTGGGCCTCTTCGTCTCTCTTCTGGATGACTGCCCGGAGTTCTCTCCTTTGGTCTCTTATTTCTGCCTTTTTGCTCCATGTATCTGCATGTCTATTCTTCTGTATCTCTTGTTTTCTCTTTCTTTCTTCAATATCCATATCACTTCTGGTTCTTTCTATTTTCCTTCTGTGCGCGCAGTCTCGTTGTTTTGCCATTGATTTAATTATTTAAATTTTTGCACCCTGCTATTTAGTGTTACTCAGCAAATAATTTTGTCGGGTGTTGAAAATATCACACATTAAAGGAGAAGAGTCTTATTATACTCCTCTCCTACATTTTACAGTTAATTTCTTCTTTATTCTTATATACCACTGTGAATTTATCCTACAAAAATATTTTTACCATGGAAAACTCACCAGAGAATGCACTCCGGACAGGCTTAGATGCCTTAGATGCAGTAACTGAAAGAATTAGCATAGTCAATCAAATTGTAGACAGTATGAGAGAACTCCACCAGATAGACCAACCACAAAAAAACCAAGAAATCTCAGAAGAATATTACTTATTTGAACTGAATAAGTGGATTACAATTAGTGCACACCAAAGCACAGAGTTAGAAATGAAAAATGAACTCCTTCTGGTCACTCAGAAGAAGTATTTAGAGTCCCTAAAGAAACTCAAATTCCTTCAGACAGAAGTTGAAGCAGCAAATGAAAAGTACAAATACTACAAAGAACAAGCAGAACAATTAAAAAGAACAAGAAATATTTCAGTTGGAAATTAAAATACTAATTATACAACTAGGAATATACCTAATAAGACTGAATTAATATGTAAAAGTATGCAAAAACTGTCTATTATTAATTCTCATGAATATCTCTATTCTAACTGCATAATACAGTCTACAATAAATTTGTACCCAAAATACTCAGAATATCCTGCCTAGTGCATTGCAGTCCATTTTATTAAGGTCTTTACATTCAATGAACTCCTTGTTAGTCTTATCATATACATGAAATATCTCATCTATACCTGCCCTTATGTCTTCTGTATTCTCATCCTTCGGGTATAAATTACTTGCAATTTCCTCTAAATCTGTTCTAGTAATTCTCCCGTCTACTGAGATTAAGTCAAAAAAGAATTTCACCTTCTCTTCATTCGTGGAATATTTACTGAAAATAGTAGCAGCAGATACAAACCCATTGAAGTCTATCTTCCCATCTTCATCACATATCTTCCTTATAACCCTCTCTCCAAATGGATTTATACTTATCTCCGGGATACATAGTAATTGGTCTACAAATATTCTTCCTATTTCTTCTTTATCTAGTTCTTTAAACCTAGTATAAAGAAGCTTTATTTGCTTAGGGGGTAACCTGCAGCCTGTCTGCCTTATAACCCTAATATCCTCCTTAGTCAATCCACTGAATACTGTTCCCATGCACTCTATTAATATTTAAAATTTAATTGCCCAAGAAATGCTCACAGGGAAAGGTGACACATATACGTATAAGACAGTGACTCTACCAAATGGAATTAGAACATTATTATCACATAATCCAACAGCAGATAAGGCAGCTGTGGCTGTCTCAATTAAAGTAGGTAGTTATTCAGATCCTAGGCCACTGCCTGGTCTAGCCCACTTTCTTGAACATATGTTGTTCATGGGAACAGAAGAACACCCAGATGAAAATGCATATATGGAATATATTCATATGCATAATGGGAATAGTAATGCAAATACAGCAGATGAAGTAACAAATTATTTCTATGATATAGATCCAGCGTACCTGAAAGAAAGTATGAAAATATTCAGTAGATTCTTTACATCACCACTTATCCGAGAAGATGCCCTAGCCAGGGAACTACAAGCAGTTAATAGTGAACACAGTGTAAATATACTAGCTGAGACATGGAGAAGATATCACCTACTTACACTTGTATCTAAGACAGATTCACCTGGTAGTAAATTTGGTACTGGTTCATCTGAGACACTCTCAACTGCCACCAGGGATGACTTGTTGTGCTTCTGGAAATATTTCTATAGACCTGATAGGATGTGTCTATCCATACATGGGAGAGAATCCTTGGAAGAACTTGAAGAGTGGGCAATTGAGATGTTCTCGGATATAAAAGGACATGAGATAGAGTATATCTGGGATGATATACCATATATACCACCAGTCTGCCAGAAGTATACACCTGGGGAATATTGTAGATTTAATGAATCATCACAGAATAAGCTTGTACTGTACAGGCCTGCAGTGCACCTTAATACAGACCACTCATCTATGTCTATTTGTATTCCACTACCTGAGTCAATCACTGGATACAGAAGAAAGACACATGAATTCTTGGTTGAACTGATTGCTGGGACAGGTAAATCTGGCTTAGTATGCACTCTTCTTAAGGAAGGTATAGCCATAGACGTATCTGCTTATTTGGAGGAAAATTCCTTCAGTAGTACACTTCATATTGTCATTGACTTAGTAGATGATAATAAGGCACAGACATTTATAATTCAGGAATTACTGAAGTATTACTTGGAAATGATAAAAATATCTGTATCTTCTGATTTATATGGTGCCTTCAAGACCATCAGTAAGAAGGCATTTGATGCAGGTGAGTCCATTGAGCCACTTGAACTTGTAGAAATATCTGCCAGAAATATGCAATTTTATCCTACAGAAGAATTCATAAAGTACAGCCATATATGGGATGGTCTGGACTTGGAAGAATTTAATAGTGTGGTAGAAGTGGCCTTGGATGTGAGTAAGTGGGTGGTCATGTACTGTGCACGGAATATACATAGTCCAGAGAATATTCTAGTTGATGAAATCTATGGAATTAATTATCTGATTGATGAGATGCCTTCTGGTGATCTCTCTCTACTAGGACAACTGAAGGAGAAGATTGAATGGTCATTTTTTGTTCCGTCTGATAAAGATGTGGCTGCTGCCAGGGAGGAAGGAGTCTCTGTTGTACTTGGATCTATTCCCACTAATATCCCAGAGTACCCGGAAGAGAGTATCTCTGTCTCTTGCATGGAAATATCTCAGCCTGGGTGCACTGGATACTTAGTACATAACCCTAAGTACAGGAATAATGCACAGATTCGCATGGTATTAGAGACTGACAGTTATCTTCTGGATGAAAAGACACATGCTGCTGCTGTAGGATACTTCCAAGCATTTGTACAAATGTTCAGTGAGAAGTACAGACTAGATCTAATGGCATCTGTGCTTACGCTTGTGACAGTTGAGTCTGCAGTTGGATTTTCAATAAGATTCAGTGGGAGTCCTGTGGTAATTGAAGATTTAATTGAGAAGTTCTTCAGTGAGTACACGGCCCGTGATACACAGTTGTTTAGTCTAGCAAAGGAATCAGCAATTTCATACTTCCTTAAGCAGGTTAGAAATTCACCTTATAAGTGCAGCATACAAGGGATAAATTACCTTGCAGGATATCCTATGTTTGATGCACACAAGCTCATGCAGGTCTCAAAGGACCTTCTGCCTGATGACTTGTTTGCTGTGAACCGGGCACAAGTCAAGGTGCTTGGTGTTGGGAACGTGACAAAAAAAGAGTTTGATCAGATTATAACGAGAATTGGGAAATATGTCACATTTACGCCTTATACACCTGCTTGGTCTGCTGTAGAAAAGGATATCACCCTGCCTACTGTGGACCTGCATAATATTGCAGTTACTGCAGTACACAGGATCTGTGCTGATAGTCTCCTAAAGGCAGTTGCACTGGGTACGCTTATCTCACAGATCTTCTCAGAGAGGTTCTTTGATGAACTTAGAACGAAGGAAGAGTACGGTTATATTGTGTTTATGTCGCATAAAGTGTTTATGCAGAAGGTTTATGTGCAATTTACAGTGCAAAGTACTCGGTCCCTTGATAATGTCACTAACCGGATTAGAGAGTTTGTTCTTGCCATGGAGAAACGAGTCTCTGAGATGCCTTCTGAAGAGTTTTTGGCGCACAAGAATAGTGCAATCCTGGCTGTCAAGGAAGAAACAATTAACTTGGAGGATTATGCCACAGAGATATTCCATTACTGGCTGTGCATGGGATTCAACTTGGAAAATAAGAATGAAATTGCTGCAGAGATTGAAAAGATATCAAAAGAAAACATCCTGGAATACTCCAAGAGCATGTCCCACCTGATGATCATACAGGCCACTAAGCCCTAAGCAAAGACTATACTCTCTGACTTCTTTCATTACAGGATTTCTTTGCAAGATTTGTACCTTTCTATGCGAAATAGAAGGAATTTTACCCTAGAATAATAAAAGCCTTCAAATTTCTTATTTTTTGTACAGTTTAAATCTTAGTTTACAAAAAAATAAACAAGAAAATATAACACAAAACGTAGATAAGAGTACTTGTCAAGCGAGTTTTATCTTTGTCACATTTTATAAGTGCTTTTGGTGACTGTTATTTTTTGTCTTTCCATTGAATATATTCTTACTATTATTGACATATAACCCACCTTCTATTAATATTTTCATATGACTATAGTCTAGTATATAAAGAATCTTTTAGAAAGTGGAAATTTGGAGTCTCAGAGTCACAATGTAATAAGATCTCACAATCTATATTATGGTCCTTCAGTGGTTTATATGCAATTTACTCTGGTTCTAAACTATATTCAAAAAGCATAAATACAGTTTAAATTTTAATGAAAATTAACGGCTTCTGTCTATAAGAATAAATGCACATCTACAGCATAAATTCTCTGGGAAATTGTTAGTTTAACTGAAACTTTTTCAACAATCACACAGTACAACAGTATATAACTATCTATAGGATATACAAGACAGTCTACATTTCGGGTTATATCGGGTTATATTTATACTCTTTGTCTTCTGCTCTGAATATTTTACTAATTGAATTATTAGAATTCTGCTGCATCTGGCTCTCTTAATATGCCTCAGTGACTAATTATTCTTAGAAGCACTCTCTAGGACATACCAGAAATAATTAACTCTATGAAGGAAGTCATTTATAAACTGTTTTCACTTAAATCTCAATCTGTTTAAGTGGTTTAAAAGAAGGTTTAAAAGAAGAAATATCTTCTTTAACTGACCTAAACTAACCTGATAATCACGAGAAGATAACTAGCCCAATTATGCAATGAATTAGTCATTAGTCTGTCTATACAATAGTATCCATAAAAACTCAAAATAACCCAAATATTCTTTACAACCCATGAACCAGAATTAAAATATTCTCAATACATCTAAATATACAGGATTAGTCTAATTTAAGAGATAAATAAATATACATTCCAGGATAACAGACAAAACAGAAGCACATATTTGAATATCACACTTATTCATTACTGTTTTAAGCACAAATTCACAAAATATTCACAAAAATCCTCTTAACCCAGTATACTACAATACTAAAATATTCAAATAAATAGAAATACCAAATATAACAGAGTAATACACATATAAAATTATCTAATAGAATAATACCCTTATATAAATACAATAGAACAAAACACAAAATATTCTTCTATTTTCCAACTACCACAAATAATTTCCATCAGAGTACTACAGTACAAGAAATAATAAAATCCAAAAAATACAAATAAATCAATTAGAATCCAAAAGTACCCAAAATACTACTCAAATAAGAAATACTACTAATATACCTTCCTCCACCATAAATACTCATACTTTCCAAATTTTTATTAATACCCATCTGAACTGACAGAAAATATTTATAATTTTATTTTTCTTTTTGCAGACAAGGGCAATGATACAAAACCAAGTAGAGTGCTATGAAATAGATGGAAACACAATATATAAAAAAGTAGACCTTCCAAAGGTATTCTCCATTCCAGTGAGAAGCGACTTAGTATGCACAGTGCACGACATGGTTAAGAGAAACACCAGGCAGCCATACGCAGTTGACCCAATGGCCGGTATGAGACACTCAGCACATTCCTGGGGAACAGGAAGAGCACTAGCAAGAGTACCCCGTGTGTCAGGAGGAGGTACCCAGAGAGCAGGACAGGGAGCCTTTGCTAACTTCTGTAGAAAAGGTAGAATGGCAAGTCCAACTACCGTCCTAAGAAGATGGTTCAGAAAGACAACCAAGAATACTAGAAGACATGCAGCAGCAATGGCCGTAGCAGCCACTGCATCCCCTGCCTTAGTTGAGAGCAGAGGACATATTATTGCCAACCAGAAGAGTATCCCAATAGTAGTCTCAAATGAGATTGAGTCTCTTAAGAGAACTAAACAGGCACTTGAACTCATCAACAACTTCTCACTTGCTGAGGAGGTTGAAAGAGTTAAGAACAGTAAGGCAATCAGAGCTGGTAAGGGTAAGGCACGTAACAGAAGATGGGTCATGAGAAGAGGAGTCCTTGTAATCTACAAGGAGGACAAGGGAATCACCAGGGCATTCAGAAATATCCCAGGAATTGACCTTATGCCAGTAGACCAGCTTGACCTTTTGAAGCTAGCACCAGGAGGCCACCTTGGTAGACTTGTAGTCTGGACTGAGGGAGCATTTGAGAGACTCAGAGAACTCTTTGGGGACGACGGTTTGGCTGCAGTTAAGACAGGATACAGACTACCAGAGTCTAAGATTAGCTGCGCAGATGTGAAAGTTCTGCTGAAGTCAGAGGAAATTGTGGCACTGTTTGACAAGAAGCCTTGCTTGACTATTAGAAAGAGAAAGGCAGACCCACAGGCAGTAGCAGCAATTAACCCGTACTTTGAGCTTTTCAACACGGTTTAAATAAACTATCATTTACCAAAATTATTTATGGGAGAGAGAAGACACGCACGAGTGACTTTAGTTAAAGTACCACGTATCTTGGAGGAATGTCTGGAGGAATATGCTGAGGCACTGGAGATAGGAACAATAGAAGAGAGAGGTGACTCTAATGTTCTTAAAATAAGCCCACACATTGGACCACAGAACTTCCCCAGAGAGTGGATTATTGAGCCCCTGGAGAATAAGACGGGAATATTTACTTTTGTACAAAAACCACACGGGGCATTCATTGATGGAGTAATAACAGATGAAGTATATGCTAAGCCAAAGATAACCCCAGAATATTTAAAGTACAAAAGAGAAAGGAATGCAGCACAGAACATAAAAGCAGACGTAAAGGCAGTAGACAGCCTGAAGGAAGGCATTCGCATGGAGAGGTACGGTGCCACAGAGTATGACCTAATGGCCCGTAAGAGAAAGAAGATGCTCATGGAAAAGAAAAGAGAAAGACTTTCAAAGACAGAAGTCATGGATATTCTGTTCAGGGCATTCGAAGAGTACCCTTACTGGTCAGTCAAAGACCTGGCTGATAGGTCTGGGCAACCACTTGCATACATCCAGGAACTTCTGCCTGGGATTGCAGTGCTGAACAAAAAAGCACACAGGAATATGTACGAACTAAAGCCAGAGTACAAGAGTGGCACTAATTAAGCAGAGTGTCCAATTGTTAGTGGGTATATGGGGTGGGAAATTTCACTTACAAAATATAACGGAAATTAACTGAAATTGACTAAGATTAACGGAAATTGACTGAAAGTAACTGAAATTTCACTTACAAAATATAACGGAAATAACTAAAAATAACTGAGATTAATGGAAATCAACTGAAATTAACGGAAATTAACTGAAATTAATGGAAATTGACTAAGATTGACTGAGATTAACTGAAATTAAAATGGAAATTGACTGTGTAGTGATAATATGTCTATTTGTATGGATATAACTCGAATGCCAGAGTATAAGATATTTTTAGATGTAGTCAGGCACTAAAATTAACTTGTTCTCATGGCTTATCTTGTTGCAATTCTATGCTTGTGGCCGTACTATGCTTGTATAGAACCATTTATGGGGAATTTCATACAGTGGGATATTTTGTACGGCAGAAGGGAAATAAATAGTCTATTTATATGCCAGAATCTATAAATATAGATTATATTTGTGATTTTGTAGGGAATTATAGCATATTAATGAGATTGGATTAATCTGCTGGCTTATTCTCTTTGTCTCTGTGGGTTCTGTCTTTATTATTTTTTTGCTTTGACCTTTCTCTTCTGCTTGTATGAGGGGTAGAATAGAGTATTAAGCAGTGAATTTTCTATATTATTCTCTGGGTCTGTATCTCATCTATTTTATCTTATATTATATGTGCTTAGTTATTCTCTTGTGTTGCCCTTTGGTATTCCCATTTTATTACTTCTTTATGCTTTTTATCTTAAAATATTCATATACTTTGAAATGTATATTTCTTTAATAAAGATGCTTTCTTATTGAATATTAGACATGTTTACTAGAGTCTTATTACTTTATATCTGGTTTATAGCTAAATAATCTGTAAAATCGCATAGATTTGAGAGTATTTTCCAGAAGATATTCTTTGATGAATAGAAATATGATTAATTATGTACTGATTTGGTAGATGTAATCTGAATAATAAAGTGTATTTGTATGCGAAAATAAACTTCTTTATGGTATATTGTTACAGCTAAAACTAGAACAGAAATGAAAAATAGACTTATACTTCTGATCTAGTTGAAAATATATATCACAGAGGCAGAGAAACACATAGAAATATCTTCATTGAATTTGCTATTTACATCCATACATAAATACCATTTAGATCTATATTTTCAGATCAATATCTGTCTATAGTTAGAATTCACAGGATTATTTTTAAATGAAAAAAGAACTTTTCTACTTCGTACTTATAGGGATATTTAAAGAAATATCCGGAACAAATTTCACTATTTCATACCCACAGGTAACCACCTTCAATACAGACTTAGCTTTACAAATACCATGTGAACCATTAAACAGCACACTCGCAAATATCAATGTAGATTATATTGAAAGTATCCCGGGAATACTCCAAAATGAAATTGATATTTCTCAAAATGTCTCTAGGATAGACGTAGACAAGGAATTCTTTCATATGGAAGACAGAAAATCTCATCATATTATCTTTAAGGATAAATTCTACTTTGGAAAACCCCTATGGATGCATAATGCAAGTGCAGGCAAGCACTTTTTGCTGAAAATAATTCAAACCAACAAGCCAGTTAAGAGTCTTGAAATGTGCAAGAATCCAGAAAGAATTACCCTTATATATGGAATGATAAAAGGATCATCCATGAAGAGCATGCCCTTTATTATCAGTTCTCTGTCAGAAAAGGGTGAAATCACAGATGTAAATTCAGAAAACTACATTCCACAAGAAATTTCTCTAACGGATATTCATACTCTCATACTACAAGGCTCTACTAGATCTATTATATCTCAAAAATACCTTCAAAAATCAATTAACTACTTGTCTAGTAGTATAGAATCAATAGAACCTTTTAATTTAAAGTCAATTAGAGAGAATCTAACTGAAATAGAGCATGTAGTAAGGATACACCTAGCATCAATTATTTATGAAATGAATAATGCACTAGATGCACTGGAAATAACTCCATTTTCAAATGATGCAATCAATAGTTTTGCATCTTATAAGAAAACCATTGAAAAAGACGACACTCCAAAGTCTCTCCAGGAAGAAAGAAAATTCGTTAAAGAAAATCCAAAAATATTCCAGCATGATATAAACACTGCGAAGTACATGAAGGTTCTTATGTACAATACAGTCTATCAGATTGTACGCCACATAAAATATTCCATGAAAATCACACAGATTTTTAACCTAGCCAATAAGACATTCATATACGACCATACTAATAATGAACTCTCAGCCCTTTATGATATTGCACAGCGTATAGATGACTTTGACCCGTACAGTATTGATAATAATGGTCTTAGGAATGTACAAAATACTGTGAAAGATGCAATCTTAATGCACTATAATCTTATGATCTTATTGAAACTTGGAATAGTCCCTAGAATGATTGAGCTAAGAGGCAGTACAAAAGACTATTATGAAAGTATTGGGAACCCAGGCAATACTAAGACTATGAAGAATTATCATAAAAATGCAGGTAGAATGGTTAGCTTCCTTAAGCATAGTTTGAGCCGAGAGAAAAGAATTGAAAATTCATTGAAAAATCAATTGAATACTGTAACTGCCTGCATAGACAGGAGGGATAAAGGGAAAGAATGTGACAGTTATGAAGAAAAAGAGAAAAAAATGAGCATGGCCATTAATTCAATGAAAAATGAGATAGTAGCAATGTCAAGCAGAAATGCAATTAGACTTCGAAAGAAGCCTTAAATACATCTGCTTAATACAACAGATTACCAGGTCTTATTAAGAGTTATATCTGGTTATATCTAGTTATATTCTAATAAGAGTATTTTCTCTAATGCACACTTATAGAAGCACTTTGCAGTCATGAAATCTGCTGAAAATAATGTGCAATTTCCGTTAGAAACGGTTTAAATAAATATTTCTTTCGAAAAAAGAGTATTTTTCTGCATATTTGTCAGTTTCCCATGCAGTATCTAGATAAACTCCTTTCTAAATCAGTAATATAATCAGTATATTCTATTGTACTTCTGGTTTTATCTGTGATTTAGTAATTTAGTGGTATAATATTAACTAGAACCTGTCAGAAGGTTTAGAAATAACAAGAAATAAATTATACAGTAGATATAATATAAACCTAAAAATACACCATAAATAACTCATTCCTGTATGATAAATACTGAATATATCTATTACTCAGATACACTATTCCATAGGGAACCATTCTGCAAGAAAAATAAATAGTTAAAGAATCTGTAAGACACCAGAGAGAAAATACATTTCAGAAGGACAATTTAACAAGATCAAATTGATTGAAATATAAATATATCTGGTTATTAATGAAAAATACCGTTATAATTAGTCATAAATACTTATCTATTCTTAGTGAAATATACAGTCTTCTAATTGGATTATTCTTTATACAGTACATCTGTAAATTAATAGTATAAATTTAAATAAATTACTGCAGTAAAAAGACCTAGTCTGCAGGATAAACTACTTAAATATTTTCATTCTCTTCAGATCTTGCAATGACGAGAAGACTAGAGAGAAAAAACTGTAAGATAAATAAAGAAAAAGAGAAGAATCATGAAAGACATGGGGATGTGTACATAAATAACTTGTGCTATGCATGTGGCCAACAAAGGCCTCGTAGAAAGAAAAGATACTTTCTAATAGGCATATTATTTGCACTTCTTGGATATTTCATGAAAATAGCGTATGAAAAGGCCTTTGAGAGAACTGTTATTATGAAGTTCATTCAGGAAATGCTAAACTCAAAGGCAATCCTGAATATGAACCTAAGTGATGACACAAAGGCAAAGATACTTTACTACGCTGAGGTGGCTGCATTTGCCCCGTATGATGAACTAAATGAAATGCCTGGGATGCAGGCCTACAAAAAAGGTCTTGTTGGGAAGCATCCAATCGTAATAATCCCAGGTATTGCAAATACTTCTTTGGAATTATGGCGTACCAAGCAGGAAAATAACTCTTTCTTCAGGAAGAGAATATGGGGATCACATTCAACCCTTACATTTATGCTGCATAACCGAGAAGAATGGATAAACAGCATGAAATTAGACACTGAGACAGGACTAGATCCGCCTGGAATAAAAGTAAGGGCATGCAGTGGATTAGAGTCTTCTGACTTCTCTATACCTGGGATGTGGTTTTGGTGGAAAATAGTTGAAAACCTGTCGTACATTGGGTACGATGCAGCTGATATTCACTTTGCAGCATTTGATTGGAGGCTGGGAATTGAGGAATTAGAAGCCCGTGATAGTTACTTTACAAAGTTAAAAGTAGACATTGAAATACTTCATGACAGAAGGAAAGAGAAGGTGCTTACAGTAGCACACAGCATGGGATCACTTATATTTCACTATTTCATGCAGTGGGTCTCAGAGATAGATGATAAATGGGTGGATAAGTACATACATAGTGCAGTATATATAGGACCACCTTTACTTGGAGCCCCAAAGGCAGTGGGTGGTTTGCTCACTGGGGAAGTTAAAGACACAGTTGACATGGGGGCCTTCCAGTATGCAATTGTAGAACTGCTTTTTGGAAAAAAGAGTAGACATGAATTATTCAGGACATGGGGTTCTCTTGTTTATCTGCTGCCAAAGGGTGGGGACAATATATGGACAGCAAAGGGCATGAAGCACCCGGACTTAGTCTCAATCAGAAAGATAACTCACATACAGAAGTCTTCTGGGGGCATGGGTGACTATAAATTCATCAACTACAAAGACGTACTCTCAATGGTTAAAGATGTTTTACCTTCCTACAATAAGACTATCCATGAGAAGATCTTAAACCCACAGAAAAAAGAAGATAAATGGGCAAATCCATTGGAAACTCCCCTTCCAAATGCACCAGACCTGACTATATACTCATTGTATGGGATAAATAAGCCAACTGAATGTGGATATTATTTTACATCCAGAAATGGTGTTATAAACATAGATAAGGAAATATCTTCAGACCAGAATAGTGTATACAATGGAGTGGTTCTAAGGGATGGTGATGGAACTGTTCCTGTCATATCGATGGGATACATGGGTGTGTCAGGCTGGAAAAAAAAGTCCCTTAATCCGCATGGAATTAGAACCATAAATAGAGAGTACAAGCACATTCCATCAACTTCTCTTCTGGAGTTAAGAGGAGGCAAGTATACTGCAGAGCACGTGAATATCCTGGGGAATATAGATTTAATTGAAGACATATTGGAGATATCCACAGGTAAATCACTCCCTGATAAAATTATCTCAAATCTTGTAGAAATGTCTGAGATAATAGATGAGAGTATGGGGAAAAAGAAGGAAAGCAGTACCAAGGACAGTAGAGTAGACACAACAGGATAGACTGCATTCAAGGCAACTAGAGTAAATAGTACTAGAATATTTCAGAAGACAGATTATTTGGTATTTTAATCTTCCAAAAATAAGCATACGCTGTAATACTTTCAAAATCACCTGAAAATAAGCAGAATTAACTGAAATGCATTCATATAGTGCATAATACTCCTTAAATATAGTAGACTACTTATATACTGCCTCTTTTAAGGTAATAATATGCTTAATTTAGACTAATTTTCAACCTTTTCAAATTATGCTTAATAAAGTACTATCTCTACTGTACCATGCACCTGATAAAAATATTCACTTTCTGCTGGTGTGACCCTCTTCTGCACCATCTTACAGTGAAGAGGTTCATTAATAGAAAAGTTCTGAAAATAAAAAAACAAAAGGCATGGAGAAAGACAGAAACACAGAAAATGAAATAAGGAATGTGTGGAAGCACAACCTGGAGGAAGAAATTGAACTTCTATCCCAGAAAATAGAAGAGTACCCGTATATTGCCATAGATACAGAATTCCCTGGGGTCATTGCTAAGCCCATAGGAACTTTCACTGCACAGACAGTCTACACCTACCACCAGCTACGGTGCAATGTGAGTCTTCTTAGCTTAATACAGCTAGGAATATCACTTTCCAACGAAAAAGGAGACAGACCCATTCCAAGCACCTGGCAGTTTAACTTTCATTTTGATAAGAAAGGAAGTATGTCAGCCAGAGAGTCCATGTACGTTCTGGAGCAGGCTGGCATTGACTTTGATAGGCTCTATAAAGATGGAATAAATATTGAAGTGTTTGCTGAACTAATCACCATCTCTGGGCTATTAATGAATAAGTCACTGAAATGGATCTCATTCCACTCTGCGTATGACTTTGGGTACTTTATCAAGGCAATCACAGGAGAAGATCTTCCTGTCTCTATGGACGAATTCTCCTACATACTCTCAAAGGTATTTCCGTATTTTTACGACATAAAGTACCTGATAAATATCATGGGGAAAAAAGGTGGTCTGCAGGACCTGGCTGACCAGCTGTCTGTCTGCCGAGAGGGCATACAGCACCAGGCAGGAAGTGATGCCTTGCTGACCCTAAAGGTCTTCCATACGCTTAAGACAGAAGTAATTCCAGATGCAGAGCAGAATGCAAAGTATAAATGTAAATTATTCGGAATTGATGCAGTCTAAGCACTAAACCACCGTGCATATAAATTAAAGGGCACCCTGCAGATCCAATATTATGAGTGGCTGCAGCTTCAATATGAATGCATGCACAGTAAAAGTCTCTCATGACAAAGAATTCTCTGAATGGAAATCTGCCCAGAAAAGACTGCAGAACACCTTGGTATGAGTATTCATGAGTCTATTGCTAGATGCAGTTTAATAAATAGCCAAGTCTATTGTAGTATACTTAACTAGGACACTGCACCATATATATTTGTTTAAATATACGCTTGTATCTGGTCCCTAGTAAACTTTGACTTAATTCTGGCTAAATCCCAAGGATGCAATAGTTCAAAATATCAGTCCCAAGTATATATTACTCCCTGTCCTACTGCTAATTCGTGTTACTTTCATAAGATTATGTGTTAATTTGCTTCTTGCAAGAAATAGACCAGTCTATAACCCGAATAATTTAATTTATGTATCCTACAGGTAATAGAACTACAATAAAATTACATATTCCAAATTAGTTACATACAAAGAATATTTACTTAGATAGACTAAATATTATGACTATTTAAGCTACAATCTATATAAATCTTATTTCTCCTAATATTTACTAAATTATTTGTTCCTGCTGTTATACTTTCCACTCAGTCTCTGCTGTGATATTTTTTCAAGAATATTTTTGTCTAGAGACACTAATACATATATGACTAGAGCTTTCCTAAAGAATAAACAGTACTAGTTCCCATATGAAGCAAAAGAAATAAGTTGAGTGGTATTTTATTTGCTTAGATGTCTATGCAGCACCAAGCAGATGGCTGCACTACAACCCTTTCAGTGTATGACGTGTTATTTGAAATATGCTTAAATAAAGAACTTATTCCTTCTCCTGTTTTTGCTGACCCTGAGAAGTGATGCATCTCGTACTCCGTGAAATATTCGTTTGTTACTTCTGATATTTCCTTGAGCCTTTGGACCATCCCTGGATCTGGGAAGCCTTTGTTCAGGAAGGATGCTGACTCTGTGGGTTTGAATAAAAGATCTGTTTTGTTCCCAAAAACAACAAGAGAGGCTGTTTTGTTTTTGGTTCTGACCTCAGAGCACCATTGCTGTGCTATTTTTATGCTAAGTCTATCTGTTATATCATATACTACAAGTACTGTATTTGCATCCCTATAATACAACGGTGCAATTGCCCCATATCTCTCCTGGCCTGCTGTGTCCCAAAGGTCCAGATGAAATGTCTGTCCATCCCTCTGGATCTCTTTTGTTTGAAATGCAGCCCCAATTGTTGCAGCTTGGTTTGGATCAAAGCCCCCACTGATATACTTCTTGGCTAGGCTTGTTTTCCCTGAACTGCAGCTTCCCAGTATTACTATCTTAGCCCTGCGCTCCATCTTTATTTACTATTAGTATTTATTTATCTATTTGTTTGCTTAAGAGAATGCTAACAAAATGCGCATTAGAAAATATCACACGCGCTGAGTCTATGAACTTGGAGCTACTCATTACAGGTGCCCCTAACACGTATCATGAAGCATCCTATCACCTTGATGTAGTGAATGCTGAGGAGAGCGAGCCCTTTACCTTAGAGTCTTTTAGAAAGTCAATTTTGGAGGCTCTGAAAGTTGGCAAGGAGTATATACTGGCGAAAGTAACTACTTCTGACCCAACAAACGCCACATCACTGTATAATTATTACTACTCTGCGTTTGAGATTAACAAAATTCTTTTTAAATACGAAGCAGACAGACACCTTCTCCATAGAATGAAGGTCCGAAATCCAATGAATAATATGTTTATTATGGGGCAAGTATATTACTACAAAATAGGATATGATTCTTTAGAGGCTGCGTTGCAGGAGTATGACCATCCTACAGCTGAGAGTGCACGCGGAAAGATGAAAGCATTCAGTGAGGTTCTTCCTATTTCTAGAAATACTCATAGTTCTTATATAGACAAGCTTAGTGTGCAAAAAGAACCAGAGCTTAGAACTATTTCAAGAGATCTATTTGAAAATCTAGCACACCCACAGGAGACTGCTGTAGATACAGAGAAGAAACTGCGAATACGTGCAGTGTACTTCGCAAATGACGGTGACTTTTTGGTTAAATCTGGTACTAGAGAGTTTTTTAAGAAGAATGCTGTGAACACAGATGACTACTTTATATTTAAACTTGAGAGAACACAAAACGACTTTTTAGCACTTTTAGACTCTCCTACAGGAAGTGAGTCTAATGACGAGGCAGAGACTTGGAAGAGAGCCCTTACTGCGCATCTAAGCTTTATATTGGTGATTATGTGTCTTCTTCTGTTTCTTGGTACGTTCCCTCTGGTTTTCTTTATTGTTTTTCCGCTTGTTATTTTATTTCTACTTTCTATGCTCTTCTCTCTCTTCTATATATTCTGTTGCAGAAGAAGAACTTTTGGAAGTATAGATGTAAATGACGTGGAAGAAGTGTAATTGTAGATAAATCATAAAGAACTCCATCAAAAATAAAATAAACCAATAATGATACGTATACAATGAGATATTTATATTTTATGTGCTTGCTGCTTCTTAAGATAATTTAGATTCTGTGCACTAATATTCTCTTTAATTCTTATAGAAATAGGAGTATGCGAATTACAACCATGGATTTATTTAAGAAGAAGTCACTGTAGATGAATTTGTCTTCTTCTTCAAATGAATAGATGAATATTTCTTCTTGAATATTAGACTTACCCATGCTAAATTTAGATCTGATTTATTCTCAATCTCTATTTAGTTATTATTTGGAGTTTCCTGCGAGTATCTTTCCCAGAGACAAAGCCAATAATTATGAACAAAGAGGGAGTGCATCTGAATGGTTAAATTAAATCACTATTATTGACATATAACCAAACATAGTGCGATATATCATATTTGTCTTTACTTAAAGCCTGGGAGACAGCAAATAATCTATACCTTACGCTTCTGTCCCAAGAAGGATATTTCATGTCTTCAAACAGAAGAAACCAACAGTTAGCTAATACTCTTTGTTCTACTGCACATGTAATATCTTAATTAGTCCTTTATCTAGCAAATACTCCTGTATATAACCTTTCTAATTATAATATTCATGCAAAGGGTAAATATTCACTAATACTAGCTAGTTATTTTATCCATATCCACTAGAATACTTATAACACGCATATTATCTATATTAGATCTATTTACATAAAGATAAAAGGGCTTAAACAGACAATCTAAATTATATAAATCACTGATTCTGTCGATACAAAATACTCTTTCTTATTTACACCCATAGATCCACTTAAACTCATAATTCCCTTTTTAGTGAATTTCCATAAAATGAAAATACAACATATACTTCTGAATTATTCTGTAATATATTTATATATTCTTTTGTTCTTACCTGCCTTAAAGCACTTACATAAAATAAATTAATTTTAGCTATTGTTTATAAAAATGGACACTCTTTTAGATTTCTATAAGGAAATCTTATCGGAAGATGCACCATTTCAAACATATTCAGTACTATCTATATCTGTGGTTTTGTTTACGGCCCTCTGCATCTTCATTACAAACACATGCATTTTTAGTGAACTAGATAAAATTACTGCAAAGATAGGATACTCTACGGTTGGGTTTAAAAGCACTTTACTTTTATTTGGGACTCTTTATGCGCCAGTCATTACTTCCTTGCAAGATATTAAACTAGGTGATGCTGTGTGGCACCATACCATTGTGTTCAGTATTACTGTCCTATGCGGGTTCTGTATTCTCTTGAAAAGAGGCAAGAAACGAGTCTGTGAAGAGAGTGTGCGCCACATAATCTTCTTCCAAACAATTGGGACTCTGGCATCTCCTATGCTGGGCATATACTCCATGCGGTCTTCCTACAGCAGCATCTTTTTGTTTGCACTTTATTTAATATACATAGTACTTTTCTCTACGCACAGGAAGGAAGTTCATATTAACCTTCTGATAGACCAGACTACGCGTATGCCTTTTCTTGCAAGTGTAGTGGATAAAATACTTAATAGATCTAAAGAAGGCAGCCAAAAAGAGTGGGTGAGTACTTTGGTCTCTTCTGTTACGATGGGGACTCTAGTTGGAAGAACCTTTTTTGGGAAAGACAGCATACTCCTTGGGGTGGGCGTATTCCTGGTTCTTTCAATTCTCTCAATGCAAACCAAAAAAACAAGTTGGTTTAGAAATGCATATTCATTTACATGTGCTTGTATTATTCTTAAAGCTGTATCGATACACATATACAGCATACTAAGGGTTCTATTTTCAAGTGTATATATGACATATTTAGGATACATTTTAATTACCAATATATATCTTCTGTTTCCATTGTGTGTGATTTTGGCTGTGGGAATGGCACAGAAGAGATATAAGCTTTGTTTTACAACAGCATTATCTATGCCAATTCATGTGTTTCTATTCCAAAAGGCAGTGTACCCTCATGTATACATAAATCCATATTACTTGTTGGTGGTGGATAGAATTACCCTGTATTCTATTATTTTTATTGCTATTTCCACCATACTTCTATTTGCAAACAATGAAATTCGCTCTGGTCTCTTTGAGGTAGAAGTTGGAGGAATTCTTCTTTCGCTCTACGTAGTGTACATACTCTGTATATTATGCCACCCAACACTATCAAAATAATCATATAAATAAATTGCACCCCACATTATATACAAGCTGTTTTTGGCAGTTACCCAGGGTACTCTTCTATTAACGTATTTGAGCCTTCTGAAGAAATGCCAATTTAACGTATAAAATACAAAAGATAAATTCTTTCATTTCACTAACTGTTTAATCCATAAGCCATATGCCACAGTGTATCTCATATAATATGTGTATTTCTAGCAGCACATATAAAAGGCCTGATATTTTAGAGATTGGAAACTCTTTATAATACTATTTCTAGTTACAGTATTTCCAGCTATATTTTGTCTTATTTATTGGTCTTTAATGCAATACTCTGCTATAATTTCTTTCTGTTGCATCCTCTAAACACTTCTCTTTACAAATTTGGTGTTTTTAAGGAGGCAGATGCTCTTTGCACTAATATTTCTGCGAGTGACTTATAGTCTTTGAGTTTAGTGGGTGCTGAAAAATAGACAGCCCCGTATGGGATTGTTTTATAATCAATTGCCTCAGGTGGAAATAAATACTCGCACACTGCAACTGAGATCTCTGGCAGCTGCGCCAGCACATTCTCTTCGATCTTTCTTCTTTTTACGCACTCATTTGAAGTGGGTCTTTTCTCTCTTCCTAGCTGTTCTTTTATTTCCTGCACACGCGCAGCCACCTCTTTCGGTCCTTTTAGCTTTGATAGTTCAATGACTATCTCTTCCACCTGCTCCAAGTAGTCATTGTAGTCCTCTTCATCAGAATAGTCCTCCAAGTTCTTTCCCATCTGCGACGAAATCACCTTCCTTATTCTGCACTCTCTTTCTATGCACACGTCCTCAAATGTCTGACTCATGTAGTTAGACCTTCTCAAGGAAATTCCGCACTCTGGACATTTATTTGGGCCATTTGCAAATAACCTTGAGACGCACATCTCGCACAAACTGTGGTAGCAAGGACTGACAAATATCTTCATGCTGGGATTTATGTATGAATTACTTTTGCACTGCGGACAAGACAGCTCAACATTTTCCATAAAAAACTAATATTTTTCGTTCTATTTGAGTACACTATGCATGCAGAGAAGTAATTTATGTGCACTCCTTTTAACTGGCAAGTTAAAGGACTTTTCTACATGAAGATTTCTATCTATTCTAAAAGAGACAGAATATGTTTTCTATCTCTTTCTGCATAGACCCTTCTGAGTATCTGAAATCTTCTTTATTTCATGATGAGTTCTTGTGTCTTTACATGTTCTTGCATAAGAGATATACTCACTGCAAAGTATGCAATAATATATATGCAGCAGAGTGTGCTTATATTCATTTGCAGTTATTCTTCTCCAACTTCTGCATTTCTATATTTTTACGTTTTTTTTATAGCCCACGTATGGCAGGAACCAGAGGAATAAGAAAATGCGCATTCATTAACAGACCAATTGCACCACATGACAAGTCTAGTGTTGTGTACACTATAGGAGTACTCGACGAGAACGGCAGATACACAGGAAAAGACACAATTCTCTCCGTGTGCGGTCAGATCCGAAAGAGTGGAGATGCAGACAAACTATTATATGCAAAGGCAGATGAGTTAATTCAATAAATAAATTCATAAATAAAATACTATTTGTTTGTTCATGAGGATCTGCGTAGGAAACTGGAAAATGAATGGGACCAAGGAAATGGTTCAAAATATTTCACATAAAATGAATGAAAGGGAGGGTGATTTGGCAAATATTGAGGTAGTAATATGTGTTCCATACACTTTACTCTATGAGGCAAGAAAGTCCTTTAGCTCAGCATTTGCAATTGGAGCACAGACTATGTGTGCATATGCAGAAAAAGGGGCATACACTGGTGGAATAAGCATGGAGCAAATAAAGGATGCTCAGGTACAGAGTGTGATAATTGGGCACTCTGAGAGAGTGAAATACTTCCATGAGACAGAAGAAGAGGTCAAGAATCAGGTGGAAATGGCAGTAAAGAATAGTCTAAGTGTTATTTTGTGTGTTGGTGAGCATACGAAAAATGGCAGTTTAGAAGAGAATTCACTTATTATTAAAAATAGGTTGAATATAGTGAAGAATCTTGGGGTTCCTAGTGCCAGGATATACATAGCATACGAGCCTGTCTGGGCCATTGGCACTGGAGACATGCCGAGTGCAGAGAGGATTCAGAGGATAGTCCAAATGATACACGACGAGATGGGGGACAAGATACAAGGGATACTTTATGGGGGATCAGTTACAAAAGAGACCGTGCAGCCTCTTCTAAGTATCAGCCATCTAGCCGGCTTTCTTGTGGGCAATGCATCTCTGACAACTGAATTTGCAGAAATATGCGAAATAGTTAGCCAAGCAAGCTGAATAAATCTGAAATAGAAATGGATTCGTCTAATTATGCGAAAACGAGCTAAGTAAAGACTATATATGCAAAATTACATGCAGGAAAATCACTGTCTTCTTGACTGCCTATTTCTAAATTGTAGTTAGCATATATCCCTGCAGAAATGATCTATTTACAGCAAATGCTATTTGTATACTCTTACAAATACTGGCTTATGAATAAAAATGATCTTTCTAACGTGCTAGTGCGAAGAATTAAGATAAACCCAAGACAGTGTTAGCGCATAATTATGCAGTAGAAACCTCGTCTTATCTACTTTATTCCTAGCATGTTCTTCAGTGCCTCTGTGTATTTTTCACTAAGACACATAGAGACAAAAAAAGCCTATTTTCATGGCAGGGCTTCCCAGGGATGAAGTAGAACTACAATTGGCAAGAACTTATAGGAAGAAGTATACTTAGAAATACTCGGTAATATTGTATACACTAACACGCCAGACTCTAAAGTCTTCTTATCGAAGAAGTATCTATATCAATGCGCACTAGCCCGCATAGTGTGCATAATAATATATTTTCTATTTAGGCTGGAAGCCAAGTAATAGAAGAACAAGAAAATTAAAAAATAGAAGAAGCAAAAAGCCCCATACAACCCAAGTCAAAGACACAGAAGTTTTATAGACTCTGTAAGGGAGAATATGGATGTTCTTTGGTCTGAGTAGCAAAAATAATATAACCTGAATAAGAGCACAGAAATTATATAAGCAATAGATGCTAATCCATCATATATGAAAAGTGTAAAAGAAGCAGTTGAGAGGAGACAGAAAATTAAACAAGTACAATGATGCGTGTAGTATTAAACACTGGGCTAGTGCACTCTAAAAATTAGTAAGTGTCTGTTTATAGGGTTATATGGGTGCTTTTTGATCTTTATTGAACTCCCATGGGATTATGTGTTTGTTTTCTAATTGCTTCTTTTGCCATACTTGTTCATTTGTGGTTCTTTAATTTGTGCAACTTTTATGATTTTCCTGTGCTTTAGTCTTTTTTTATCATAAAATCCTTCACTATAGCAATTATTATAGAAATATTATAGAAATATTATGTACACTTTGTTTTTACAATATGCAAGACAGAGAAAAAGAGCTTAAATGAAAAGAAAGAAAGACAAAATAGACACACGGCCAAATAAGACATAGATTCACAGTATATGCGCAGATACATATATCTCATGGGTTAAACACATCTGTCTCTTTAGTGAATAAGAGCACTCAGACAGAGAGTGATATACAAGGCACCATTTAATGTGAAGCTGCAGTTTACACGGAAAACCCAGAAATTCGCATTATACGATATTTCGCAGCCCATTCATAGACAAAGCCTAGTTAAATCCATTTCTAATATAACCCGAGATTTAAAGAAAAGCACATATATTTATACTAACCATAAGTATATATTATATTTTACAAATTCATGTGCTCTTAAATACTATTATCCTTCTACTGCAGGATGAAAGATGCTATACCTCAAATAATCAATAAAATGCCAATATAACCAGAATATACATAACCCGAATGCACTGTGCTCAAAACTCTTCAAATATATTCGAATTCCTTAGATGGAAAGTCCTTCTATAAAAGGGTAAGAGAAAATGCACTTTATATTTAAATTGAAATTGCTTTACTTATTAGAGCTAAATAGACAAGACTCTAATAGAAAATATTGCATTAGTACAAGTAAAATATCAACTGAAATATCCAGACACTATGAAGCCATTTAGAACACATATATTCCCTATGTATCCAGGCACATCTTACAGTATATTTTCATAAAAGCCTTTCTAAAACTCCTGATGCATCACTCCCTTATATTCTTATGCAGTACAGCAAAAAATATATTTAGCCAAAATGACTTAAATACTCATATTATGCCTAAGCCAGGCACCAAAAAATACATCTCTGGCATGGATAGAATCTTACTTCTGCAACAAGGCTTTAAATTTAGCTGCCGCAGTATAGGCATACAGAAGGTTCAATTGAAGTATTAATGCAGAAACAACTGCCTAACATAGAACCCGCAAAAGACTGTAGAAAATAGCCAGAACTCAATAGACACAATAAACACACAAAGTTTTATTCTTATTTCCATAGTATCACTTCATCTCCACAATGCCTTTATAGATTTTCTTTGCATTAAAGAAGGGATTGTACTTGTACTTGTCCATGTGCTTTCGTATCTTTATAACAGTCAGGTAAACTAACCCACAGAAGTAGATTATGAGAATAGGTGTAAACACAGGTATATTAAAAATCGGGAAGAATGTCATAAGTATCCCTGTTCCGCATGCCTTGACAGACTGCAGCCAGTACTCAAACTCAGGCAGTCTGCGTATAAATGGCTTAGACTCGTCCCCGCTCTTTTTGATTGGCATAGATACAGCCATGCCTTCCTCTTCTATGTCAAAGGGGTCAGGTATTTCGCTGTCAATTGGCGTGCAGAACCCAATGAAGCAGTGCAGGAAGTACAAAAACAAACAATATGCAACAAGCCTGTAGCCACCAGTCAGGACTATTCGCCAGACAAATATAACAAACATAAGGAGAAAGGCCGCCCACCTTTCCTTGACTAATCCAACGGACATATCCGCATACGACTGTATCATGTGCTGCAGTTTCATGTCCAAAAAAATAATTCACTTCTTTCATATATGCATATAGGAAGGCGGAGGGACCCAGTCTTGCGCTGTATATCGAGCGCATGTGGTTTAATGGTATAATTCTCGCTTGCCATGCGAGAGACCCGGGTTCGATTCCCGGCATGCGCATCTTTTTTAATTTTTTCCCAGCTGCAATTGAAATAAATGCCAGAATGCAAAAATTGTCATAATGGCTGTGCCAATGGATAGGATGGGCGCAGTTGAAGCTGCAAAGATCTCTTCGGTCGTGTTTGTGGTCATGTATAGCACTCTGTATATGACCAAAACATATACGCAGTTAAATACAGCAGAGCAGATTGCAGTGGGAGGCATCAGTGAGCTTATTAAAGCAGTTACGTGCTTCATATTCCTATATTTCACAGAGGAGTACGAAAGCACAGAATACCTGCCAGGATATCTTGTCTCTGGAATACTTTCATCTTTGCAGTCTGTGACGTGGATGCAAGTAAGCCAGGCATTCCCTAATCTTATTGTGCTTATATCCTCGCAAAGCAAGATATTCTTTGTATTTTTAATGGCAATTGTCTTTATGAGGCGGAGGTATGTGCTCCTGCAGTACTTTGCGCAATTGACTTTGCTTTTGGGGATTTTTATGCCTGTTATACTCAAGGGAACCTCAAGCCTAAATAATACTATTTTTGAGTATGTTATGCTAGTGGGTCTTCCAATTCTCTCTGCTTATACGGGGGTGGTCTTTGAGATGTGGATAGCCCCCAGGCTGAAAAGTAGGTGGAAAAGTGCAGTGAACCATGCAGCCACGAGTGCATTCTTTTCATTTCTGATTAGTGCAGTTCTTTTTGCAAACGGCCATGCGATCAGATATGAGAATGTTCAGTCAGTTGCGACACTTTCTTTGGTTAAGTCAGTGGACAGTATTGTCTTTGGGTATTTTATTATTTATTATACCACACTTGTACGTATGCTTATTATACTAGCAATTAGCCCTGTTTTGTCTATTCTCATTTCATACCAGTTTGAAGAGGCAATTACTCCAGACAGAATTATAGGGGTAGCCATTACATTTGCAAGTATTTTGTTGTTCCATCTGCCGTACTATTTGAACCGGCAGGTTAGTAATAAATAGATCTAGTATTAATGAAATTTCTTATTTGCACCGTAACTGTAAGCGTATAATATGCTATGGGATATGGATCCTTTACAATGCATTGTAAATTGGATCTGCAGTAGTACTTATTTTGCTTATTCTGGCATAAATATTTTACAGATCTACTATTATCTGGTATCCTTATAATGTGTTTGTTCTGTGTTTTGTTGTTTCTCTTGTGTGTTTTATGGAAATATCTTCTTTCAGACTGTTTATTTTCTCTGAGGATTTTAAGCGTATTTATTTCAGAATTAGTTCTCTTGGGAAAAGTACAGTATATTAATATTATTTATTGTAGGATAATCCATGCAAGTGTACGTGGGCGTATCAAGGGGATTTGGTGTTTTATTAAGACTTTTTGCTAGAATGAATACTTAGTTGCAGGTGCCATATAAAAGACATAGAAAGACTTTATAGTATCCAGGCTCTGCTATACTATCTTTTAGTTAGGCTATTTCTTTCTTTGCAGGTTTTACTGGTTTGCAAATATTTTGGATATGTGGGCACTTGGGGCATCTTGTGTGTAAAGCCTTTTAAATACTTGCTCTGATATTTCATTTATGCGTTCTTCTATTTGACTCTGGGATAGAATTCCTGTTGCAGATGGATCCATTTTCCCGTTTGATCGTATGAAGACGTAATTGAATATTGGATTCCTAAATAGAGATACCATACTATTCATGCAATTAATAACCACTTTTCCAATTGTTCCTACTTTAGCTTCTTTTTTAGGCTGCAGTTCAATAGAAAGAAGCATCATGTTATTTACCACTAAATATAAATTTGATGAGGCATGTTCTGGTTCTTTCTCAGGCTTACTTTGGAAGATATCCATAATGAAGGAGTATGTGCGATTAAAGTGCATATACATAATAAAAGCTATTCTTTTGGTTGGAGATTTGTCAATATCTATTAAGGCAGGATATATATATAATGTAGGTGTGTGATTGCTTGTGCCCATTAGATAGAAGTTCTTGCTGTAGTCATATGAGGCAAGGTTGAACATATTTTCTGAGGGAATTTCTGTTTCTGCAGTAGAAGTACTTGACTTGTCTTGTTTCTGTTCTGCACGAATCTCATCTGTATCTATTGAAAATCTTGGGGTTTTCTTTATATATATAGCTCTATACCCATTGAAGTTGTTTTTCAAAAGACTATCTGGAATTATTCCATAGTTAAAGATATTTTCAACTTTTTCTGCCCAGAGCATAGACTTAATAGAACTAAAGCTCTTTTTACATAAAAATAAGGCTGTATTAAAACACCAGTAAAATGAGCCAACAGAAGGTTCTGGTCTTAACTCTGTATTATTTTGCTGATCAATAGGCAGTTTTTTTTCCATTTTTTTCTTCATATACACATTGTATGCTAGCCTTGGGATAGGTGCTAGTTCAACCTGCTTCGTGGAGTACTCAGAGAGCGTAAAGTAATGGGGTGCAACTACTGACATGCAAACAGAAATTGTGTCTAGTGGCATGGAATTTCTGCCTGTTTCTGGCTTGGCTTCATTAGTATATGCCCATGATGCCTTCTGAATGTAAAGCAGCACAGGGCTACTCTCTGGCTCATTTTTAGTACTTTTTATCTTTCCAATAGGCAGGTTGTTTACCTCAATGGACAGATTAATATTCTTTTTTCCGTTTTTTACCATATCAAGATAAGATCCTAGTCCGCCTTGTTTATTGACGCTGTCTGAAAGGGCTTTCCTGATCATATTGGTTTTCACAGAGAATGGTATTAATATGCCTAGACAATTCATGTTCTCAATTGTCTTTTCTTGCTCTGCAGTGATGTGTATCTTATGCAGGCGGGTTTTAAGCATTGGCTCTGGTTGGTCCTTCTCTGTGCACGGGGGAATATATCGATTCTTGTAGTGAATATTTCGGCCAGTATATTCACACTTCTCTTTTTCTATCGTAGAAATAAGCGAGTTTGTGTAGCTGCTGACTTGCTTTTCATCAAATAGCTTGCTATTTCTAGCCAGGTGCTTCTCTACAGAAACATGCACAGCGTTATTCTCTACAAAAATAGTGCGTATTTTTCTCATTACTATATCAAAGAAAGCCTCATTCTTAGGTATATCGTCTGTGGACTTCTTTTTCAAGTAGTTATGTATTGTGCGGTTGATCATTATAAGAGTGCTCATTCCCTGCAGAGTTGTCTTTGAAGTGTGTTCTTTGCTTTCTTCACAGATAGACCCCAGCTCCATGTTGACCAAACACGAATCAGATGACAGCAGCAGATCAAAGAGTTCGTTATATAAGCAGAGTGTCAGATTTGCACGGAACTCAAACAGCTTGTCGACAAATCCCATCTGTATGAATTCAATCTTTAGGTATACAATGGCATTGCTTTCACTTGTTATTTTCATGTACATATTAGAGACTGAAACAATTCCATCCGTACAGATAGCAATTCTATTTTTTGGCGGTTTTTGCAGTGCTTTTTCCCCATAGAATGCTGTGGTGCGGAATACTAAACCATTCTGATACTCCTTATCTGCGCCATTCCCGGAGACAGCAACCTTAATATTTCGGACTTCTGGTGCTTTCTCATCGGAGGAGTTGCTAACTCCAGCTACTACAGTGCTATTTTCCTTAAATCCATCACCCAAAGCTATTTTCATGCCTACCTTAAAGAGGCCTACTAAGCTTCTGTTGAATGGATAGAAATAATTTGAAAAGCCTTTCCTCTGAAGTGAGAGCCCTTCTGTGAAAACTGCCTCTCCAAGCACGCCCTGTATGAGTATGCGCTTTTCTTCTTTAAGTGGATTAACGACGGACTTGTGTATTTCAATGCTGCCTCCACCCATTTCGCAATAGACAAATTTCACTTCCATAGAATCAGCCCGAAGAATCCCTGCTAATTGCGAGGCAGAGTGTTCGTACAGAGCAATTGCTGTTGGAGGAATGCAGACCAAAAAAGCCACAGATGATCTTTTTGGCTTTGGATTTTTAGGCTCTGGAAGGTTTATCTTATTTAGGCGAAATAGAACAGCTAGTGTATTTATCATAGCATTATTCCCGTTCATGTTCATGGCAGACTTACTGCCTTCCATATGCAGGTTCTTTATTAGGTCATTCACAAACGTATCAATATTCATCAAAATTGTGCTTCTAGTACCAAGCCTGCTATTAGGTCTTTTCATGCTCAGATGAATTGGCTGCAGTCTGTGTACTGTTCTTAGACCATTCGGGTCTCTAAACTCAATCAGCGAAATCTTTTCGGGAGTTTTTGCATCAGGGTCAGTATTTACAGATATCTGTATAACAGTTTGCACTGAACTCCTTATACTCCACTCATTTGAAGATGGACTAGCCAGAACATCAATATATGACTTATTCATTCCCAATGTGACAAAAACACCCTCCTGTGCAAGCACTATATCCGTGTCTATCCAGGCGATTCTCACATAATTTTCCAACTCTGCTCTATCCTTGCATTCTATTGTGCATGTTGCAGCTACGCCATTTTCCAGCTCTTCATCATAAGAAATTCTTTCTTTGGGTTCTATGCGCGCACTTGGTGCATTTACGCTTTCACTGGGAATATAACTATGGAGTGCCTGGTCAGGCTCTTTGACTAGCTGCTCTAGTGGTGATTTTATGTTAATTCCTGTAATCTGCTTATTAAGGTCTAGTAGCACCTTGTAGGTTGTAGAGTATTCAACAGATTCTTTAGTCGATGGAAGAGGTTCTAGCCACACATATCCTACGGATATGCCTAATCCTGCTCTCCATCGCATTCCAAATCCGCTCATTATTGTATTTAAACAATGGTTAGAGCTCTTTTTAACGGACACCTCTGAATTCTGCATCAAACCGGAAATATCCGGACTGTTATTCTTAAATAAAGAGGAAAGGTTTTCCATGCTTGTTGGAATCGTGAGTATACATTCCATCACTAGAAAGTTCTTGTAGTACTCGCTGTCTCTCTCTTGCGATTCTTTCCTGTAATGGTACCCAGTGCCTATGATTGAGCATTCATTATTAATAAATAGATTTAGACTTGTGCTAGGAATTCTTCCTGTGTTAATGCTTTCAACCATCCTTTTGTATGGGAATAGTTCTTCATTAAATATCAGCTTACATCGTAGCCCATTTTTCTCCACTCCTTCTATTCTTCCTTCAAACAGAGGCGTGTCCTTTATTTGCATATCTCTCTTTTGGCCTGGTATTATTCTGTTTATGTATATTGTACTGATTTGCTTAAGGATCCTATAGTGGAATGTGTACGGTGGATCAGCGAACTTTTTAAACTCATCTACACTAAAGGTGAACGCAATTGCCTCTCTGCCCATATACTTCCCTAAGGCATCTCTTATGTTCTGACTGTTCTCTGGTGTAAGTGTTAGAGTAAACTGCGCAGTGTTACTAGTATCTATTGGGTTATCCTTAGTCTTTTTTGGATCCTTTTCATTCCGGGTGTCTTTCTTTGGATTCTTTCCTGTTTGTTCTTTCCCTATAGGCATATTACTGTCTTGTGCTGTACTTCTATTAAATCCACCATGGATTACGCCTCTTCTAATAGTGTGCTTTTCCACAGACAGGCTTCCTACGCTCTTATTATCTATGTACAGGCCTAATTTTACACTAGGAATATTAGCAGATAAGCATGATGGGATATTCGTATACTGATACCGTGCTGTAACTTTTGTCACATTTTCAACCTCTTCTACAAAGTACTTTTTTATCTGAATTGGCATATCTCCTCTTGTAGTCTGCTGCCCTACTTGTGCGTCAGTGGCTGGCTGTCTTTCAGACTCAATGCTCTTAAGAAGCGTGTCTACCAGCTTCAGCCCACTCTTTTTAATGCCTGTGATTGAAGGATTCTTTCCTATGTACCATCCTAGAGTATACGGGAAAACTACAGGAATGCTTATCCCAGGAAGATTCTTTTTTAGCTTTAGAAAAACGGTTCCCTTAAAGGTAAATAATAGCTGGTTTTCAACATTCAGCAAAAATTTTTCGTCGATATTAGATGTATGCTTAGGCGTAACATACTGCATTGAAGCATTCACTGTATTATTCTTATTATTAACTACCTCTATTTCACTGATGTACCAGTACCCAAGAGGCTTTTCATTTCTTGATGTACTCACCCCTATCATAATGTCCTTTGCATAGATACTAAAGTAAGGGAGACCTAGCAAATAATTCACAGATATCTCTATCTTATCAGGATGTGTTATATCTATCTTTGATAGCTTAAGATTGCTCAGATTACGCTTCATTCCTGTAAGAAATATGATAGACCCAAGAAGAGGGGTCAAGAATATAAGCCAAAAGATGCTTATTCCAACTAAAAAGATGAATCCAGCTATTTTTCGTGTCAGACTATTCTTTCTCTCAATTGCGCCCTTTCCTATTTTCATAAAATATTTTTTATTCATTTCCTATTTATAGCTAGGAGCTGGCTTTATTGTATATAAAAGTGAAAAAGTGAAAATAAAAATAAAAATGAGCAAAGACACAGGCCATGGGATAGTTACACAGTGCATAAAAGAATGGAGGGAGTATTTGAGTGAGGAAAAGTCTGAGGTGGTAAAGAAAATACAGGAGATGCGAATTAAAAATACCTTTATCCCGCCTTCCCTGGTAGAGAAGCACGTAGTCTTAGAGCAGGAGGATGCAAAGGAGAAGAGAAAAAAGGTAAAAAAGACTGTGCAGACTGCAGAGAAGAAGGGACCAAAAGAAGCAGAGAAAGAAAGCGCAGCACACGGCACAGAAATCCAGGTTCCTGCAGAGAAAGAGCCCAAGAAAGGGCCTTCTTCAGTAGCCAAGAAACCAAGGACCAAGAAAGTTCAAGACAAGGAGGGAGTGAAGAGTACTCAGAAGGCTCAGTTAAGTGAGACAGAAGAGAAAGCAGAGGTCCCTTCCAAGAAGACATCTCCTTCACCAGAAAAGGAACAGGCTATTAGCAAAGACACATCTGAGAAGAAAACCTCCAAGAAAGCAAAAAAGCAGAAGGAGAAGAGTGCTAGTCCATCCGAAGAACCTTCATCCGTAAAAAAAACCACCAAGAAAGCACAGCCTGTCTTGTCTGAGAAAAAAGAAGACCCTTCTGAGAGCAAAAAGATAGCAAAGGATGCATCGAGTAAAAAAGAGATGCAAACTAGTAAAAAAGAAGCACAGACAGTAGAGACAGAGAAGAGTGAGAGTAAGCCCACTGAGAGCCCAGCTACTGTTCTTTCTCCTTTAAGCTTGTTTGAGAAGATGAATCCTATGGCTAATCCAACTGGACAGGATAGCCTGGTTATTCAGCAGAAAGAGAAGAAGGTTGATCCATCTACTAGTGCCAGTCCAAAGAAGCAAAGTACTAAGGAGACTGCAGAAGAGAAACCTGAGCCAATAGGGGAAAAGTCAGAGAAAACATCTGATGCATCGGTGGCACACCCTTCATCTACTAGCACAGAGCCATTAGAAAAAACAGCAGAGACATCCGTGCAAACTACAACGCCTGTAAAAGAGACTTCGAGTGGTATGCCTCTGGTCGGTATAGAGTCCAAGTCTATGCCAAAATCAGCTAAAACATCGCTAATGAACAAAGAGACACCAGCAGAGACCTCAGAGCCAAAGATTTCAATTGCTGTCGGTGACCTTGCCAAAGAGGACATTACTCCACCCTTAGATCGATCTACGCCTGCTGTCTCTACACCTAAAAACAAGGCCTTTTTGGATGGTGAGGTGGTAATGCCTTCTATTATCTCAGATGTCCCGAATAAAAAAGACACCATAAACACTAACACGGCAGTTAATAAAGAGAGACTTTCGGATGAGACAAAGGAAATAAGAAAGGACCACTTCAAGAAGTCATACAACGAGTCTTCAACTGAGATGGACAAACCAAGCAAAAATATCCACCTGTCATCAACTCTCTCAGTGGCCCACTCTGTTGATGAAAGCAATTTTGAAAGACTTCTTCCATCGAAGAACGAAATATCAGTAGAGGCTGTTAAAAAGAACCTAATCACAAGCCAGAAGAGGCTTATCTCTGAGAAGAAAAGGGACAGACCAAACCAGTCATTCGTTGGCTTGAAACCAGAAGAGCTGAAAGAGAAGACATTTGAGCTGAATAAGCTGCTGAAAACCTTCAAGACTAAGATTAAGCAAGACCACACTCCACAGCCCCCTCCTGCACAAGAACCTGCAGATGCAAAGGACAAACACTCCGAGCCAGAAAGTGCATTTACACCGGTCATTGACTTCTCAGACGACGAGCCGTCACGTGGCATTAAATACAACACAAAGTGGGTAGACAGTCCATCTCTTCCTAGAAAGCTTCTCATGCAGAGCGAAGACCAAGCAGAAAAAATCTTTGGGTCGTCTGTAAATACCAAAGTAAATCTGAAGGAGATGTTCTCCACACTCAAAAACCTTCCATCAGACAGCCCTACAAAAATGACATAATATTTGTATTTTAATAAAGATCATCTTTGCTTATTACTGGTCATTTTCCCTAAATAAGTACAACCTATCTTGTCCTGCACCTGTACACTCTCAAAAGCCTGGCAATATTTTATGTCTCAGTGTATCGATACGTTTACAATAACTATATAGAAGAATCTAAATGATAAAGAATTCTAATGTATGGATCAATCTGCTTGTATTGTTTATTTTTCTATTATTTTCTTGTACAAAAGTGCTTTTCTTGTGGCATCTTCTAATCTTTTCACATTTACATCATCCTCACTCATCCATATCTCTTTAATTGCTGATCCTCGGATAAAAATGTTATTATTTCTTAAGAAGGGAATATCTATTTTATCTGTATCTCTTAATTTAAAGTTAAAGAACGTATCTATATCCTCCAATAGCCCTGTTATTTTTAAGCTATTCTTTAGTTCTATTCTTACTCTTTTATTAATTAGCGTCTTAAAGAGCGTAGTCATTACCATAGGAAAATAAAAATAAAAATGCATTTCTAGCTTAGTCCATGGCCATCAAACAGAAAGAAAACTTCTAACTTGCAGAGACAGCCCAAGATACACTGAAAATGCACTTGCAAGACAGCAGCATACATGGTGAAAATCCTATTAGTACTCTGTTCTAGTTTTTATTATGCACTGTTCTTAACTCACACACAGGCATACTTTTGGGCTACATGCAAGTGCCTTTCAGACATTCATGAATACAATTAGCATTTGATGCAGAATTTGAAAGAGATTCTATGGCTCTGCAATGTGCCTGAGTTAAATATAAACTAATGCACTCTGTCATGCAGACTCTTTATGGGTTTTTGTAGATTCTTAGACTGTGGCTACTATTTGGGCCTGTCTGGCTCAATGACTGAGTTCTAACTCTGGCTGCAATACAGGCTACGTGGTACTTAACTATATATTCATATGGGTTTATGGATAAATAAGATGCAAAGCATAGATAATCTACCATATGCCTGTCCATGGACTGTCTAAATATATATAGATCTTCATCTTAATTAAATAGTATGTGATTTATTTGTTTTCTCATGAAGAAACTTCTACCAAGTAAGATAATATGTACACTAGGTCCAGCAAGCAGTTCTGAAGAAATAATCTGTAAGATGATTGATGAAGGAATGTCTATTGCAAGGATCAATCTAAGTCATGCAGCTGGAGAAAGCAGCCATGCAGTCCTTAATATGCTAAACCACCTTAGAGAAAATATAAAGTACTCTGCGCTCAGTATTGCTATGGACACAAAGGGACCTGAAATTCGCACAGGAATAGTTCCTGACGTAGGAATCCTGATTAACCAAGGGGACACAGTTGTCCTCACTACTGACACAAAGTACTCAGACAGCTGCGAAAAGAGTAAAGTATTTATAGACCACAAAAACATATACGACGACTTAAGCGATGCATGCCGCTCAATCTTCATTGATGACGGTAAGCTGGAGCTTGAAGTACTTAGTGTATCCAAGAAAAGAGAAGAAATCACCACGAAAGCCAAAAACAGCGGGTGTATCTTGTCTAGAAAGGGCGTAAATATCCCTAACATAAAGCTGTCCCTTCCTAATCTAACAGAGAACGACCGAAAGTCCATTGAGTTTGGCATTCAGCATGGAGTAGACTTAATATTTGCTTCGTTCATTCAAAGAAGACAGGATATAAAGGACATAAAACAGATGCTTACTGGAAGGCCAAATGTGAAAGTCATTGCTAAAATAGAAAGTACAGAGGGACTGAATAATCTATCCGAAATAGTAGAGGAGGCAGATGGAGTGATGATAGCAAGGGGTGATTTAGGAATAGAAACAGACTACTCAAATCTTTTCTTTTCCCAATGCATGATTGCGAAAGAATGCAAGTACCAGAAAAAGCCGTTTATTGTTGCCACTGAGATACTAGAAAGCATGAAGTGCTCTTTAAAGCCAACCCGTGCAGAAGTAACTGACCTTTCCTTTGCTGTTCTCTCAGGAGCTGCCTGTGTTATGCTAAGCGGAGAAAGCGCTGTAGGCATTGATCCTGTAAACACTGTACGCGTAATGCACAAAATAGTAGAGAAAAGCAGTGAGGCAGTTCTTTTCCCAGAGGCTTTCAAAGACCAAATAACCCTGCAGCCTCCCGTAATGAAGGTTCTAATCTCAAAATCAGCAGAGTCCCTTCGAAGCACACATATTTTATTTGGATGGGGGGCTATTCATGCAGACCTTGCCAGTGACAATGTACAGATCCCGAATGGGTACCAGTTAGAGAGAGTTCTTGATGAGAAATAGTCTGCAGTGAATGAGATGCCAGAATGTTTCTTGTGCGCTATCTGTTCTTCCTGTACAGAATGCATCTACTTAAAGAACTTTTCTCATTTAGGCATGTACCCACAGCCAACGGACATAAGATCTTTATAAACAAAAAGTGTCTCTAGAAACATCCGCAATAAGAGAAGGTGATGATTTTACGCAGAAACATAAAAGAATATTGTGGTAAAACTCCCACTTTCATTAACTCTGTGAAATTCCTCGTATATCAGCAACTGACTATATAATAGTAAGAACAATTCAATTCAAGAAAAGGCGGAAGATGTCTGAAACAAGAAATACAATTATCAAATATGCAACAGGTCCAAGTCACCAACCGTAAAATTACAAGAAATATCTTCTATAAAACATTTGTGATTCAATCTGATGCTGTAAAGGCATCAGAATAGATCTCTATCTGCTGTTCTTTTTGCATTTTCATGCTAGAACAAATAAGAATTAATTTCAGTGATTCAGATTGTATTGATATATCTGGTCAATAATCACTTGATCATCTATATAGCTAGAAGAGAAGAATAAATAGCTAGGTTGGTGCCTAGAGACTAGGAAGTTAAGAATAATCTACTTTCTGTAAGAGTATCCGCAAATAAAAAGAATAAATACAGTGTTTTAAAATTTTAAAGGTATGGAAGATTGCATAGCAAGAGAACCGAAAAGAGCTTTGAAAGGAAAAGTCAAAAAAATAATCGATCTAGTTGCACGGTATTTAGAATGTAGCCCAGCAGAGCTAGATGCAGAAAGAGAAAAGGCCGGATATAGCAATGTTGTATATAAAGTTTCACATGGAGACACGAAATATCTTTATAAAGAATATTTGGCAAACAGCAGGGATATAAAGGAGCTGCAGTGGCAGTTATTTTTTAAAAGCCCAAGGATCCTTTATGAGTGCAAAAACTATCGCATTGATGAATACATCGACCATGTGGCTCTGACTAAGTCCTTATTTAAAGAAGAAAACGTCCTTATTAGCCTAGCAAAAGCACTAGCTTGTATACACTCAGAGAAAAGAGAACTGCCCTCTGCTGAAATGGATATTTTCTATCTGGACAGAATGGTCCAGGAAAGAGAGAGCCTGAACAGTAAGATAAAGTTTGTTCGCTTTATGCAGATATGCAAAAAGATAGAGAAAAAGATCGATCAGCTCTATAGTGAAAGCCTTTTCAAAGACGATCTGTGTCTTTGCCATAACGACCTGCAGTTTGGAAATATTCTAATTCTGCCTGAAAAAGAGGCAAAGATCATTGACTTTGAGCATGTCTCCAGAAATATTCCAACAGTAGAGATTGCAAACCTTTTCAATGAAGCCTCGACTAATTACGCAGTCCGGGGAGCACCACTGGCAAAGAAGCAGCACTTTATACAATCTGAAAGCGCAAAGATATTTGTGAAGGAGTATCTTAGACAAAGGAGTAATACAATCTCAGTAGGAAAGTTTCTGCAAGAAGTTGAGAAGATGCAGTGTATTCCGCACTACTATTGGTTTATATGGGCTATTCAGATGCTTTTAACGAATAAGGAAAAAGGTTCCTTGGACTATTTCTCATTCGCCATGAACAGGCTGCAGTACCTGCATAGAGAGAACTTCATAACCAAAAATAATTTTAAGGAGATGCAATGCATTATTAGAAACAGCCAGTAGAATGGCTGCGTATACAAGAGAAGAATATCTTCTATACAGTATATTTTAATCTACTATGGCTATATACAGTTATATAGTGCGCCCGAATAATTTGCAAAGCATACAGTCAACTATCTTTTTGGACACACGGCTTATACTCAGCTAAACCCTCAGATACTCATGGAATTGCCATATTCTATTGCAGAAGCAGCACTCTACTATTATACTAATACCTTAGTCACTGCACTTAATGCTAGATAGTACTAGACTCTATAGTTCTTTTACAATCTGAATTTGTTCTGAACATCCTACAAGATACCGTTATGATTTAAAAAGAAATTAAAACTCTTTTAATATACGCTATGCTAATTGTTTATCCCCAGTGTTTTCTTTGAATATGCACTTTGAATAGCCCTTTTCTTTAGCTACCTATTCTATTTGTATGTCCTATTCAAGATATATTGAATATGATCCATGCAGTAGAATGATTAACTCTATCTAAGCCCGCTATTATACCTTGAGTTAAAGCCAATTAATTCCATTGCTGCCTTAAGGAGCACTATTATCAAGATTTGTCTTTTCTGAAAATACGAGTTTCTTAAATATATAATAGTCTTCAGTGCAAATAACTGAACTTAAATAAAGTCGCAAATAAAATGCAGTACTTCAGGTAGTATGGCCAATCTGTCTCTGCCTTTATTATTTTTATTAAATACTTTCGCTCTATTTATTATTAGTGGCCAAAATCTGGACAGGCAGAGGCAGCTGCTATTTAGCCAGTAAATAAAAATACAGTTTGTATAAAAGGCTAATAATGTGATGTTAACTTTAATTTTATAATATACTAGTTTTTTCTCAACCTATGCTGCACTCGGGAACAAACAGGCGTACTTCTCTATACTTATAAAGACTTGCTGCAAGAAAATACATTCTGGCATGATTAGCATGTGAAATATCCCTCCTCATCCACTTCTGTCTTTCTCTTTTTCTTCCATGACTGTCCTGTTTTCTCAAGTATATCAGAGGCCTCTGCTAATTTTTCGTCTAGATTTTGCAAGAGAGTTGTTTCACTGTAGGAAACATGGACAACTGGTGTGTTAAAGAAGTCTATTGCATCATTAATGCTTTTAAACTCAATTATTATCTGATATAGAATTTTCATCACATCTGCTTCTTTTTTTTCTGTTACTATGTACTTCACCGAATATGCCTTTTCTGAGTTTACCCGGATTAGCGAATTAAATGGAAGCGAAAAGATGACTATGTTCTCTTTTCTTGTTAGGGGGGTGTGCAGCTTCGTTCTGTACTCTACTCCTTGCAGCTTAAATGGAAAACATACTGTAATGCACTCTACCGCCATATGAAAAAACGCACAAAATAAAATTTGTAAAGGTTAAATAGCTCTCTACCAAGATGTGCGCATACTCGCATATGTTTAATTGACCTTCATATAAAATGCGTGGCTGCCTTTGTAAGTCTATCCATAACACCTCTTCCTTCGTTATTCTTTGGAATTTCTGCTGTATATATGACAGATACATGTCTATCTAGATATCTTAGACCGTCAAATATTCTTTGTGCTGCTGTCTTTGCGTCTTCTCCCAGGAAATATGCAGTATCTTCGTCCTTTATATATTCTTTATAGCTGTCTGGCAGAAGAAACCCAAATGCTCTTTTGGGCTCATTAGAGGATATTTCTCTGCTTAGAGCAGTTGATAGTTTTCCTACTATGCTTAGCTTGCTGCCAATTTCTTCAGCTGTTCCTGTTATCATAATGACTGTTGCGGATGGGGAGTAGTGTTTATATCTGGTTCCTGGTGACACAGTTCCATCCACAGTGCTTGTCCCTTTGTTGATTTCTAGTCGTGGAAGGTATTCTTTTATTTCTTCATATGAGATGGCTCCTGCCCGCAGCAAAAGCGGTGTGTCTAATATTCCATTCACAACGGTTGATTCGATGCCTTTTTCACACGCTCCTCCATCAATAATTAGCGACAAACACCCATTTAGGTCGTCAAACACATGCTGTGCTGTTGTAGGACTTGGCCTGCTGCTTTTATTTGCAGAAGGACCAACAAGCGGCTGGTTAATATGGTCAATTACCCGAAGGGTATCTTTGTGGTCTGGCATGCGGATTGCCACGTATTCGCTGCCTGCTGTTACAGAGTATGGAAGCTCTTTACTCTTTTTGAAGAGAAGAGTTAAAGGGCCTGGCCAGAATGCATCAATAAGCGCATGGTAGACTTCTGGTATTTCTCCATCAATACACGTTCTTAGAAGCTCCAAAGACGAGACATGCACTATTAGCGGATTGTCCTGGGGTCTGTTTTTTATTTCAAACACTTTTTTAATAAGATCTTCTCTCCAAACTGGCGCACCCAGTCCATACACTGTTTCGGTTGGGAATGCAACAGGTACCTTCTCTATTTCCCTCGCTATTCTAGACATGTTTCCCTCTACTTTTAATATATCCGTATGCATAAAAATTTTGCTGTAAAACGGTACAGAAATAAACTGCCTTGCTATGTACATTGTGTGGTATTTCTAGGTGCAGCTTAGAAAGAAGATGCACCAGATGGTTTTAATTACATTTGAAAAGGATCTTATTAAAATATGGCAGCAGTCTGTGGTATAGTAAAGTGCACGAGAATAAGCACCATGCCAGTAGAGCTGGTAGTGGTTGCATGCACAGAATAATACCTCTGGAAATATCTTTCTAGCACAAGCCTGCCACAATGTACATACATAGCAATATTACTATAACTGTATTAGTGTGTCTAATTGGTCATGCTACTTAGAACAACTAAATATCTGACATGTCCTCTTCTTCTGGCTCACTGTATGACAGGAGCTGCTTTTCTTCTATTTGCGGTTTATGCTCATTTTTATATGGGGTCTTTTCCTCTGGGAAATATCCTTGGCTTTGCAGCTCGTCTAAATAGGTAGCTATTTCATTGGTTTCTCTATTAGAGGGACATTGTTCCTTAAATATGCACTGGCCGCAGAGAGGCTCTCTCTTACATATAGTAACCCCATGGTGGTCAAAGCCTGGCATTACTATTCTCCAGAGCTTGAACGAGAATAGCCCTTCTACTATACTCTTGATGCGAGCTGCTTTTACATAGTCTAATTTTACATATCGATAGAGTGTATCAATGTGTTTAACTTCAATCCCCTCAAGCCACCCTAAGCGATAGAGAACCCGGCTCATTGGTATTGAAAGGCCAATCTCATTTGCGTCATTCCATGCATTATACATTATCATGTTGGCTTTGAAAGTATTTATGAGGCTGAAACCTAGAAGACTAAGCACTGTTGTGGGTATTTCATTGTACTCCACGATGTAGACAGCCAGATTCTTAATGTTTTGCGCAGCCTTAAGAGTTATTTTGTTCTTTAGACATGACTTTATCTCTATAGAAGATGCTCTTGCTATCTCAACAGGATTCAACCGATCTACTGGGCCTGTCCAGTTGTTTGTTACAAGCTTTCTAGTTGTTTTTGGTTTGATATTTTCCAACTGCCTGATCGGCTCCATTCTGCTCTTTATGGATCGCCTCCTTGCAAGAGCACAGTAGAAAAGAACATACACTCTTCGGAGCAAAGGATTTTCTATATTCTGAATCTCATCAGGCAATTCGTTATAATAGCTTCCACTGCATTTATTTTCCTTCCAAACACGGAATAGCTCTATTGCTACTTGATTTCTGTCCATGCAAATTTGTGCGGCTAAAAGAAAGTATAAAAACTAAAAACAAAAATATTAGAGACTGCGCTGATTCGAAACTGCGCAATTATTGCATACGGCTGCGAAGAAGACTATTCGCATCTGCATTATTTCTATCTTTATCAAGCTTTAAGATGAAATCCATAAAGACTTTTTTTATTTTTAGATTCAATGGAGCGAGTTAAAGTGTTTCTGCGGGTGAAGGGCGAAAAGAGAGATGGGGCATTTATGTTTTCAGAAAACTCAGTTATAGACAAGTCTGGCATGTATGACTTTGACAAGATCTTCTATGGGAAAGACCAAACAAATGTATTTCAGAGCTTGTGCCCGCTGATTACTATGGCTCTAAGCGGGTATAGTACAACTGTATTCACATATGGGCAGACTGGCAGTGGGAAAACATACACAATGGAGGGAACTGCGGACAGCCCGGGTCTTATTCCACTAACGATAAAAAAAATATTTGATGAGAAAGTAAAGAATGTGACCATATCAGTTATAGAAATATACAATGAGAAGATTTTTGATCTTCTTTCCTTGGACCAGATAAATGTAAGGGAAAGCAGTGCCGGCATAGTACTTGACAGAATACAGGCAGTTGAGTGCCCAACGGTTGATGCTGCAATGGGTGTCTTCAATGCAGGAATTAAAAATAGGCGGACCGACTGCAACGAAGTAAACAGTAGAAGTAGCAGAAGCCATATGGTCTTTACAATTTCTCTTGCAAAGGAAACCGACCACTTTTTGGCCGAATCCAAGATAACTTTGGTCGATCTGGCTGGGTCAGAGAAGCTTTCCTACGATAAGCATGGCCGAAGTGAAAGAGAGAATGCAAGAGGAAGTGGCTCTGAGTTTCTAATAAAGAAGCAGAAAACAGCAGATAAGTCCTTGGAAACCAGCAATATCAACAAAAGCCTTCTCTGCCTCAGTAGAATTATTAGCACTCTTTCAGCAGACAGCAAAGCGAAATACATAAATTATAGGGACTCGAAGCTGACCTTTCTTCTCCGCGACTCACTCAGCCAGAACTCCAATCTGGCAATTATTGGAGCTGTGCAGCCAGAAGATCAGGCAGAAACAAAAAGTACAATTGGTTTTCTGTCAACTGCTAAGAAAATAAAGCTGTCCCCAGAGCTGAAAACCAGCGAAAAAACAGCTGAAAAGCTAATAAATCAGATAAAGGCCCTAACCGCGCAGAACCACGATCTTAAAGACAAAGTAAATGAGCTGCTGGAGAAGCAAAGCAGAGGAGATAAAGAAGACTTTCTTAAAAGTATAAACAGCTCACTGGAGGAGGCCAAGCATCTGATGCGGCGAATAGACTTAGCTTCCAAAGCGGCTGATAAGATCAAAGAGCAACTGAGCACAATTAAAGCCAAGAACAATGAGCTAGGCTTTGCTGTATTTAACAAAATGTCTGAGATGCACAAGCAAAACGTCTTTTCTGAGCTAGAAATACTTCAAGATATAAAAACTAGCCAGAAGTAGAAGACTAAGCACATAGTATGCATAAAATTATAAAGATACACGCTGATTTTTCTTTGAAATTTTAGACTTATTTACTCAGCCCATAATAACACAAATTATATTCATTTTCCATCTACGCCTGCACCCTCTGTCATATATCATATTGGTCTAGGAGTAATTTTCAGGACGTCTATTCATTGTAAAGATATATATTAATTGCGCATTATTATAAATAAGGTAGAAAGTCTAAGTCATAGCGTATCTATGCATAGGCATGCAGAGTTTCTTGTACCATACTAACCTGCAGCCAAAATCCGATATCTCAAAAACCATCATCTATCTACACCATTGTTCAAAGAAAGGACTATCTTCCTTTGTGAGCGAAAAGTTAAGAATAAAAGCACTCTAGCAGTAAATCCGCTGCAACTGAGTTTTTCTCTAATTTGTTAGTTCTAAAACTGAGCATTCTTAAATATTTTTACTTTTTATTTGGCAATGAGTATGGATATGGAGAATATGCCGGCACGGCACAAGCTAAATGAAGAGTGGGTCTTATGGTTTGATTATCAGGATAAAAAATATACAAACAATGACAACTGGAGCGATAGTTTGCACAAGCTTGGAACTGTTTCAGATATAGAGGCATTTTGGAGCACTTTAAAAGAGATTGGTGATTTAGCTCTTTTGCCTGTTAGCTCAAATCTTCACTTCTTTAGAAATGGAATAGAGCCCATGTGGGAGGATCCAAGAAACTCTGCTGGTGGGAAGTGGGTTTTGGAGCTTCCTTTTGGCCAGAATCCAGAGCAAATATGGACAAACACCCTGCTGTTCTGTATTTCTGAAAGCTTCTTAGTAAGAGCTCCAAATGGGGTGCTGCAGGATTCTATTATTTCTAACTCAACAATAGATAGAGCTTTATCAGGCGCCATTTGCGGGGCTGTTTTTTCACCGCGTAAGAACTATATAAGAATAAGTATATGGACCAGCATTAAAGACAAAAAAGTCACACGCATTGGAGAGCTGTGGAAAGAGTTTGCTGAGATCCCTGGAAACGTTAAAATTTCCTTTAAAGTACACGAGAGCGCAATCAAGGGGTCAAAAGACTCGTCTTCAGACGTCTATTCTCTGTAAGAGTTAAGTTTAAATAACAAGAAGCAATAAAGCTGTGAAAAGAGTTGAAGTAGAGGTGAAAGTAAATACTCTGTGTTGCTTGGGAAAAGCAATAGAAATAAAAATGTTTGATTTGAGGTTCAAATTAATTGGAATCTGAAAAATATCTGTTCAAATATGCCTGTGCTGCTACTGATGTAATAGCCTATTATTGCGCAATTGCCTGCAGTTGTCCGCTTAAAGGGCTGCTTGCCCTTTAATTATTACGCAGAGAACACACAATTGCACAGGGATATTTCAAAAAGGGAAGCATGTCTTAAGAGGAAGAACAGTTTTAATAGAACATATACAATGGCTTGTTATTCGTATACCAAGAGGCATCCATATAAACATAATAAAAAGACTTCCTTATGGCGTTGAACAATCTCTACTACTTTTTCCAATACTGCAGAGTCCTCAGTATAAGCGCTTTTGCAAGAGCAACCACAAGACAGCTTGCGCTGGTCTAAATAGAAAAATAGACATGTTTGCATAATGCTTCTTGCAGAAAATCCATCTTTCCAGCTGTGTGCCCAATTCCTTTTATCTAGCTGCTTTAATTTATATTCCGCCCTTGCCAGCTTCTCTCTACTATAGTATTTTCGGGGAAAGAAATAGATAAACAATGAGAATCCATCGCACAATGCCCAAGTTCAATATGACTAAGAATAATTATTTAATGGAACCCCTGATTTTAGGTATAATAACTCTGCTCTAAGGCTACAATTCACATGTGATATGATCTATATTTCTGAAAGAGACTTAAGAAGAATGCATGATTTGCACACTCCCTCTGCACCAGAGCAGTTTTTGCCACAAACTTCGCATGCCTTGCTATCCATATGATATGAATTTTTCTGTACACATTTCCCTGATTTGATGATTTTCAAAATTGCTTGTGAGTTTATCTTTTCTAGTGCTTTTATGTACGTTCTTACATGCCCTCTAAACGCCCCTGGCGAGTATTTGCACTCTGTTGAAAAGTATGGTAGGTTGTTGTAGAAGGCATACATTACTATCTCTTTCTCATATAGGCCTGCAAGTGGCTTGCATCTAGGTATCACCTCTTTGGAAGAAGTTAATGTTATTGGGTGTGCGCACTTTACTAGCCTATTCATGTCTCCTCGTAAGTAGTTTAAAAGAATTGTTTCTGCTATATCATCTGCATTGTGGCCTGTGGCTATCATGTCGCCCTTTAGCAGCTTGGCTCCATCTTCCAATGCACCTCTCCTAAACACCCCACAGTACGTGCAGTTGTTTTTTCTGCCTATTTTCGTTACCACCGCATCCATTGTATAGCCATATATATCATTGTAGCTCATTATTTTTAAAGGAATAGACAATTCTTTTTCATTTATATGCACTACCTCTATTGATTTGTCTCGATATCCTGAAATTCCTTCATCAATGCACAGGAGCCTTAGATCTAGATTATAGCAATGCCTTTTGTTCAATATGTTAAGAATATGTGCTAAAACAGTTGAATCTTTCCCCCCGCTAACTCCAACTACAAGCGTTTTAACGTCTTTGAACATATCTGTTTCTTGAATGGTCGTATGCACTTGGTCTTCTATGCTCTGAATAAAACACCTTTTGCATAATTTTGTTTTCGTGGATGGTCTAATTGTTATGGCTGGCTGTTTGTTGCACTCATTACATCCCATTAGAAATAAAATAGCAAAAAAAATTGCTAAAACCAATAAAACTGAAAGTCCGTGCAGCTATTAACCTAAATATCGAAGTATATATGTACATGGTGTAACTGTTTGGTTTAGATATATAAGAATGCACCACACGCATGGTTATTCTTTTAAATAGAAATTCTTTAAACATAATTACTGCTATAACAAAATTCAGATCTCTCGATCCCAGGGCTATGAGACCACTAATATAAAAGAAAATAGTTTCAAAGAATCAGATCGACATATTTGAAAGACGCTATATAACTACAAGAAAATATTTAAAGAGCCATGGGTATCAATAATGAGGAACACACCAAGTACAAATGCTACAGTCCACAGCACCCCTAGGCATCTGAATAGTTATATAAATAAAACATTCTTAGAAGAAACTCTTTATTTTAGACTATTATATCCTGGTTAGAACATTGCCTTTGTTTTAAGTATCTAAAACTCTTTCTACTCTACCTGTCTTTATATTACTATATGCGCTTAATACTATACACTACTTAGCTTGTCTGGCTAGAAGACTATGTAAAAAAATCTATCAGCATCTGATTGCTTAGACCTATATTCTACATTGCTATTAACTTGCATCTGGTCAATACAGTGCCAGACATTCTATGCTCTACATGCCACAAAGTCTCAATTTTCTCGTTTGTAAGCCTTTCTATGATACATCTCAGCGCACTTTCTTACACATCTTGAAAGCTATAGTCTTCAGGCCTTTCCTCATATGATTTCTATTTTAATACATCTGTGTCTAGAAAATAAAAGTGTATGCATATGGGTCAATATATATTTGCATGGAGAGGTTTTTTAAATAAAATTGGCAAAGAACAGGGAAAATCGAAAAAAGCACTAAGTTTGAAGACCCTTCAACCAGAGGAGATAGGCTGGTATAGTTATGCCGGTGCACACGAGAGGTCATACGCTCACAAGAAAGATCAAATTCAGCCCAAGACATTTGAATCTCATATATGATGGATAGAAAAAGTTATTTAAATTCTAACAATTATGGGAAAGCGGCACCTATTTATACATATAAATAGTGCTGAGAAGTTCTATACCAGCCGTCCGCTGTGTCTAAATATGTGCCTCTACCTGCAGTATAGCACTGCACTAACTCTACAAAAATACATGTCTTTCCTGATTTAATAAAACAGAATTTACTGATGTGCTTTTGTAGCCTTTAAATTAGAATATTTATTTCTGTCTGGCAGATGCTGTGAGCACATTCTGGCCTCACAATTAATTTTTTTCTGCAATTTTCACAGAACACTCTTCATATACAAGCTTCCAGAAGTACAGAGCAGACAGAAACTGTGAGCATAAAAAATATGCAAAGTAGACTCTGAACTCCCCTTTGTTTATTCTTTGTATATGCTTTGTTTACTACAAAAAATATACCTGCATTTGGAAGGGCCTATTTTCTGGTCAATATTTTTAAAACATAGCACTTCTTAGCAACCGGTGTGTTTATGTTTCAGAGAAAAAAGATAAATAGGAAGAGCATTTGCGGATTATCAAATGACGGAACTAGCTTCAATACCTGAAAATGAATTGGAAGCACCTGAAAGATCTTCTAAAATTAAAGGTCTTAGGAAGCGTGTCAGATCAGTAGGAAGCAAAGCAAAAGCTATTTGTAAGGTAACAGTTAACGCGATGCGCACCCAGCTCAACACAGTTGCATCTATTTTCACCATGTGCTCTGCAAACACTGTGACAGAGGAAATACCAGATGAAGTCATCTATGCTTCGGTCCCCTCTAGGAACAACTCCCGTGTAGATCTGGCAGAACAGCCAGCGGAGACTATTGCGAGTGAGCCAGCTGAGACGAGTGCACCTGTACCAGCAGAGACTGGTGCAAGTGAGCCTGAGCTAGCACCTGCACCTGCAGAGGTAACAGAGGAGCCAGCATGCATTGCACTAGCAGAGCCAGTAACGCACACTGAGACTGCTCTGGTCCCAGTAGAAGCAGCAAGTGCCCAAGAGCCCACAGTTCCAGAAGAGACCGCAGAAGAAGAAGAGACACACCTTCCAAAGGCGGCTGCTAAGGACGACATCTCAGTGGTTTTCTGCCTCTCTGAGTTTATCCGCGAAATAGAGGACATCGTGAAAAACACCTCTCTTATGCCATGCGCCTCATACGCCCCGGGCATTATACTCTTTTATCTTAAGCAGAAGAGAAACCATCTGCACGAGCAACTGAAGCACATTGAGCTTGCATTTCATACTACTCCAGATAGTGCTTCCCCTACTGACATGGACCAAGATGTAGTTAAGTTTCTCGTTGCTGAGGCCCTTGAGCCTACAGAGTGCATAAGCCACTGGCTTTCGTCTGATGAGCCACTGCAGGCAGCATACACCGACCTATACAAGACGATTATAAAGACTTTGTTTGAGGAGAACAAGCAGGGAACAAGAACAGAAAGAACAATTGTCTTCTACTGCCAAGCCCTAAAGTACATCAGAACCGTCCTAGACCTTGCATTGCAAGACGTCGAACAGGAGCCTCTAGACCATTTGCCAGCCCCCCATCTGTTCACAGACCTTCTGAGCAATCTTTCCAAGCCAGAGAGCGTGGCTACTCTTCTGGAGGCTAGAGTGCAGCAGGCTGACGCAGAGTGCAACGAGGATCTAGATAGCGAATACATAGCAACTGACGGGGAGGAAGAGCACAATACCACAGCGGTTCCAGATCCAGCTGCCATGATGGAAACTCTCATGACAAGCCCTCTGTTCCAGAAACAGCGCGAAATGAATATTTTAGAAGGAAACATTGTGGAGGACTTTTCACACACATGCACTCCAGAGATGCAAAAACGCATGGACGCAGCACTGTCCTATATCATGCACGTAGGTGTCCCCACTCCAATTGCAAGATGCCTATCTCCAAAGAACATATAGATATCACTGTGTATCTCTTTAATAAACTACCTTACATAAATACATTCTTCAACTTCCAGCTATATTCTCTAATTATAGCTCAGCAAATTACACTTAGTGCTTATACAGGCTGAACAATGGTTCTGTTCATATAACCCTCTTCTATACAAACCTCGAAAACAGGCTAGTTCTATAAAAAGAAGTCTATTTATTCCTTTGCTGAACTATATACAGCTCTATTTCAGATTTGCATATACTGTTCTGGTGCATCTCTTACTCTGCCATTTGAATTTACAAAAATGTTTTATTCTCTCTTACTGCAGAGCAATTAGATACATATACCTCTCGCAAGCATTAAACAGTTATCCATACATATTGTAGCTAATTTATAATGTGCGGCAAGCCAAGAATAAACCCTAAGAAAATATGCACTGCATAATATGCTGACTTCAAGATAATATACTTATTAGCAGCATAGTGTTTAAAATAATAGATTTAGTCATTTATTAAATCATAAAGTTTTTCTATAGATAAAATAAATAGAAGACTCTAGTCTAACTCTATATAATATATGCAGCCAATTCGATAGATAACAGTCACTTTATGCTTGTTATTATAAAACATCATGCATCTAAGTCGCACTAGAGTTCATCTTAAAAAAGAGGCTACCCATGTAATGAATCCAGCCACTTTTTCTACAAGCCTTTCATATAGCCCGCCTCTCTTTTCAACTATTCTAAAATACCTTAGTAGGTTGTTATATTTTTGTATACTTTCGCTATTGTTCTCTGTGCATAAAATACTTTTTTCTTCTACTAGAACATTAATAGCTGTGTCTAAATGTGTATAGTATTTTTCTAGTTCTTTCTCTCTTGTATAGTGCAAATTGTCAAAATCTATAAAGCTGTAGGTCATCTTAATAATCTCTGGAGTGCGTGTAGAGTCTATGCATGCATAAATGAACCAGCCAATATATACAGAATTAAGGGCATCTGCATCGGTTGGCTGCTTTGTCTCCTCAAGTATCGATTGAATCTCTGCAAATGAGCTTATTTTGTGACTGTCTACTATAAGATTGAATAGCTTTTTGAGCATTTCGCCTCTAAACAGTAAATAATGTATATTTCTATCGCCTATAGGCGTCTGTAGGTAGTTTCTTAGGTACTTGACTATACGAGGCACAGAGTTTGTGCTTAGTATATGCTTATACGGTGATGTTAGTGCACTAGGATGAAGATTTGACTCTTTAAGATGCTTTGGTTGTGTGTACGTAAGTTTAGGATAATAGTCCTGCCAGTTAGAATAGTAGAAGACCATTGGGATCATTATCTTCTGTGTATCTGAGTCATCAAGTGGAATACTACAAAAGATATTTGCAGTAATACGGACCAAAGGAGTAGACGGACTTAAGTCTTTTTTTAGCGTTTCAAAGAAAAAGCTTAATATGACAACCTCCTTAGAAATAGTGCTATCAATCTTCCCATATATAAATATTTGAGATGGATTATTGTGTGGGTTGAGTGCTACTTTATTCAAAGCTGTTGTGATAAAATATAAAGCAGCTTGGCTTCCTATTTCTAGTTTTAGCACTTCACTGGAAATATATTGGTCAATAACACACATTGTATAGGGATTTATCAAATAGTATGATTTTGCTAGTTGTATGCTCTTCTTTTTCATGTCTATATATTTTGAAGATGTTGATGGAAGAAGAGTAAGTTTAGTATGTCCTTTTGTCACGCCTAAAGCAATGCCAGTGATTGTTTCACCATATGTAAAGGTAATGCTGATATTCGCAAAAAGATCTTGGTGCAAATTAAGCCTTCCTTCACGTTTTATATTTTTGCAGCTTACTTCTAAACTCTTATTCTGAGACAGAGACTTAAGAATTTCCTGCATTCTAAACTGAATAGAATTTTTATGGATGCAATTTGGATCTTCTTGTATATTTGCACTTTTCATGTATTCAACTAGATCCAGAATGTCTGTCTTTTTCCCTGTGATTTCTCCTATAACAAGAAACATATTTATAATCCCAGAATACAGTTCATTACCTGTTCGTATGTATAAAACCTTCTTGCTATCTAGACAGGAAACAACCTTGCACCATTGTAAGTGCATTTCAAAGTCAGTGGTTTCCGCTGGCTTAGGATACTTTTCAAAGAACTCTCTCAGTTCTTTACTTATTTCTTCTCCCATGTGGCTGGTTTGATACCTTTTTGTCTCTATGTTGTATGCTAGGCAGCAGAAAAGCCCTAAAAGAGCTGTTTCTACACAGTTGCTGTAGTATAAGGATTGGTTTGTTTCAAATCCAGATTTATCTAGTTTATAGGGCGGCACTCTAGTATATGATGGCAGCTGACTAGAATTGTAGAATGGAAATAATATAATTTCTTGCATATCCTTCACAAAATTATAGAATTGCGTAATGTACCTTTTCCTCTCATCAAAAAGAGAATACTTTCTTCGAAAGAGCTTGGAAAATATGTTTGTTTTCTGCGTAGCTTCCTTTAAGTTATCACTTTCAGATATTTGATCAATGAAAAGTTCATGCACTGCACTAACAAAGGATCTATAGTCCTTTATGTTGTCAAAAAACTCATATATGTACGTCTGTATGAGCAATCCTGAATTGTTTAGAAACTTTCCACTGTTAAACCCATCTATACTGGTGGGTATTGCAAACTCACCCCCTTCTTTTAGCAAGGGACTGTCTCTGTACTTCTTGTAGAAGTTAACAATTTTAGCTGTCTCACTTTGGTAAATGCTACTTCTCTGCTCCTCAACGCATGGGTTAATATTAATAATATGCATATCCACGTCCACAAGGATCTTCCCCTCGAATTTCTTGCTTTTTATGACAAGACTCTTTTTCTTCTCTGAGCCGTCTACACTTATCTGAACATCAATTCCTTCTGAAAGCAGCAAAAGTGCTGCTAGAATGTATTTAGCGTCTTTCTTGACGTGCTCTGCTCTTAGGAAGTTTGTAATCATGTCAAGCCTGCCTGCCTCAATAGAAAGATCCCCATCCACTGAGGGAAACATCTTTATAAGCAGTGTGTGGTACACTTTGAGATACTCATTAGTATCACTTTTTGAATTTAGGTCTTTATATACTTTGTCCTTAGCTGGTGCTCTGGTGAATATATAATTTGAAGGCGCATCTCCCTCCTTCAAAGAATAGCTTCTGTCTATCTCAGCAGAATAGAATCGTTTGTTGTATATGTATCCATTCTGGCTGCTGCAATATGCATCTAGCAGGCCAAGAGGCCCTTCAAAATTAACAAATACTGTTTTATCGCCGTCTATTGGATTTTCATGAATCTCTTTTATTCCCTGTATGCCAATCCTTGCAAAGCAACTATGTAAGATTAATATGCTTAAAAGTGCATGGAATTTCATTAAATGAAATCCTGAAATAGGCTTCATCTTTGTGCTATTTGATATACTTCTCTTCATTATACTTAAAATGTAAATTATTTTTATTTATACCATTGATAGACTCCTTATATGACCATTCCAAAGTCATAAATCCCGAATAAGCCAATAGCTTTGAAAGTCTTTGACGTGGCAAAAAGGGGGGAACTTTCAAGTCAGGAGATAGTAGTCTAGAATAGATAGACTAGTTATCATGTGAGTATTACTCATGTATTTCTGCTGATATCTGAGTGTATTACATCTGTTTCTATTTTTACTCCGGCTGTCCTTTATTCTAATTTGTTCTTCTCATTTAAGATTCTCACTCGGTCTTATAGCACTCTTTGGTTTTGTAGATTTTCTGGAATTATTTTTTTACACCGGAAATTTAGTGATATTTGGTTTAAAATGTGGGATTTTGACGTATTAGTGGATTTATATCACTGATAAATAATTGCTAGTGGTCTATAAATAGAGGACGAGAAATAAATGGCATGGCGGAGATAATTAAAAGGTCTTATAGTAAAATTATTAAAAGTAATAGCGACAGACTTATTGAGAATTCCCAGATGGAGGGTGACCAATCGGATACAGATTATTTAATTATAGATGACCAATCGGATATAAACCAAGAATATAACCCGAATACTAGCATGACTGATTCATTTTTTCTATGTATGTTGATGTGCCACTTTGCATTAACTATTCTCTTTAGTCTTTATGCTGGATTTATGTTTGGTAAAACAGACTTTTTCTGTAAATATAATATATATCCAAGAGCTTTCTTATTTCTTGCCTACGGCTGGCTCTCTACAATGAGTTATTTAATTCTCACACATACAGCATATCATATAACTAATATTTATAGAACTCATAATAACGAAGACAAAAGAAGTAGTCTAAAATTCTTAATATCTTCATTTACTTCGCTTTTAATTATAACACTAGTATTTGGTATGCTTGGTGGTTGGTATAGTATGCACAGTAGATCTAATCCTGGAAGGGTTGATTTATGTATATTATTTACTGTGGCATTCCTGTTCTATGCTTGCATTTTTTTAACAGTTGGAGAAGAACTACGTAATTTAATAGATATAACCCAATTAAAAAACACTCAAGAAGAGTATAAGAATAATATTCTTTATACCAAGTGTATTTTGGCACTTATTATTATAGCAGGTTTGGCTCTCATCTGTGGGTGTTCTGCATTCCTCTATGAATTATCTATTTACGGTCCTGAGATCCTCTGTAGTAATTAGTATAAAAGCAAAAATTAGAATTTCTGTTGTCAGTGGCTCTATATGTAGTAGTAGCTTTAAATAAACTTTTATTTTTAGTTTTCTTAGTTTGAGATAAAATAATATTGAATAGAAAACTAAGTTTAATATTTAAGAAGAACTCAGCTGAAAGATAAGTATAAAGCAGGAATCTCTTATTCAAAACATCCTTGCAAAGATATATTCAACATACAGTGGCTGCAAATATGAAACAAAAGGGTAAAACAAAGGAATTGTTTACCATCTCATGCAGGAAGAAATTAAAAAAAGCACTGAAATGCTTTCTAAAGAGGCACACAAGGTATACCATGCAATAGAGCAGCATAACTTTCATTTAGACTCTCTAGAGCAGCAAACAGAGAAGTTGGAAAATAAAAGTAGAGCACTCTCGAACAAACTACTAAAGACAATGAAAGAAATACGAAAGGATGGACGAAATACAATTATTATAGCACTCACAATAACCCTTATTATTCTTATAATCTATCTACTGTGATACTGTGCACCTTATAAATACAATCTCTAAGCATCACTTAAATAATTGTAAGCTGCTAATTTGTTGATATAATTCCCTTAATATGCACTCTGCCAGTGCAAACCAACAATAGTGTGCATGATGGTGCTCTATAGAGTGTGTTTAGTATAAGTTCAAGTGACAGAACTATCTTTAATTACCACCAGAACAGAGGTTTTCCAGGTATTCAGCATTTTCTAAAAGAAACTGATATGTTTTTACTTAGCCATGCGCATGCATACTACCTTATATAAACTCTAGGCTATAGAATATTCAAATCTTATGTTTTGAAATTCGTCCATAAATAAAGAACAAAATACAATAATTTCAGATTTTGTATAGAAGACTGCATAAGTTTAAAGAGTGCAGGATGTAGAAATCTACAGAATTTTTAGATCTGAAGCTATTTATGTATCTTAGATAAAACACATAAACTATAAGTAGTATTAGATTTTAAGTAGCCACAGTGCTTTTATATCATTTATTTCTTTGCATCTATTAAGACTAAAATAAATTAGCTGAATTTACTCAAATTCTATTCTCTTCATGTAGAGCACTTTAAAGAATTTATATTCTGTAAAATTTAGCTTTCTGTGAGTTTGGAGACAGCGTAAAAGTTTTAAAAAAATAAAAAAGTAAAATATTTCAATGGCTAGACGAGAGAATAAGTTAGTAATAAAGTTCGGACAAGTAACACCATCTTTTGCAAAACTGGTGCAGGAGTGCAGATCGTACTTTGAGCCAGGGGTTGCAAAGAATCTGAAAGAGGAAAAGAAATGGAAGATAAAGGATTATGTGCAACTTGCAAAGCACTTTACAGCCTCTCATCTGTGGGTATTCTCGCAGTCAGAGGAACACAACAATCTAAAGGTCATTTCCCTTCTAGAAGAGACAGGACGTACATTTTACTTTAAAGTCACAAAGTACCAAGTTGGTCTGGAGATGCTCCAAAAAGCATTTGGAATTGGCACCCGTATGAACGGATACTTTATTGTCCCTATTAATATTGACAAGACAGACCCAATCAATGGAATGATAGATGAGATAAAGAACAACAGCAAAGTGTCTCACTTGACTAGTCGAGTGATTGTTATTAAGAAGCTGTACGACAACAACTATCTGTTCTCGAACTACATGATAAAGAAAGAAGAAAAGCCAGGTGCTGCAAACCAAGTAAAAGTATCTCTTGTAGAGATAGGGCCTGTAATGACTGTAGAGCTACAAAAAATCGAGAAGGGTATATGCAGTGGAGATGTTGTCTACCACAGATACATTCACAAGACCCCTGAGGAGCTAAAGGAGAGAGAAAGAACAATTAGAAGACGAGCAGAAGAGAAGTTACAAAGAAAGGCCCAGCAGGAAGAGAATGTAAGAAGAAAGAAAGAGATGAACGCAAGAAAGCCACTTGTGCCAGAGGATCAGGACAGCAGTGAAACTGAGTTAGATACATCTGAGGATGAGTCAGAGGAATAGTCTCTGCGCTTGCTTACTTTGCAATGCATACCAACAAAATAATTCGACAGGAAAATTCATTAGTCTATGGTGTGCGCACAGATGAGTTTAGCCATAATCGAATAAAATAGAACAATGAACCATTTAATCATTTCGGTTATATTATAGTGAAATCTGCACTTTGCCATACCTGGTAATTGCAGTACAGTAGTATTTTAGTCAATAAAGTTCTCAGAGACACATACTTTTAAAATAAGAGCATTTGAGAAAGCACTTTATTTTAGAGACCCTGCAATAAAAAGAAAAATTAGAAGTATTGATAAATCTATAATAAACCTGAATAAAAATCATTCATTCTATTCATATTAATATGTATGTGAATATAGGTGATTTAATTCTCCTTTATATAACGGACAAAAGTATAAATTAAGAAAATTTTAATTCACGCATGGATTTAATTAATATTAATGAAAATAATATGATGGCAGGACAACCTGATAACCTTAGCATGAAAGTAACAATAGAATTTCCGCGGGAACTAACCCAGCAGCAGAGAGATCTCAAAAATGATCTTCTAACGATCTTTGCAAGTGCAAATGACTTGCAGAGAAAGATTTCCGATGCAACCGACAAAATGCTTATGAGTACAGAAGTCTGGAAAGAGCTGATCACTCTGAATTTCTCAGAAGAAGCAAGGAAAAGGAAAGTAGCACACTTTTTGGCTACAAACTGGATAAAGGAGCAAAATGATGACCTTATACATATTGTAGGTATGCTAAAGAGCAAAAATTGCCAGCTGACAGAGAAAGAGCTGAATCCAAAGCGTACAGAAGAAAGATTAGACCTCTTCCTGAAAGAAGTTGGCAGAGGTATAGCACACTGGATAGAAGTAGAATTTGCAATAGATCTAATAGTTGACAGAGACTATAAAGATACGCAACCCACAGGTAATTCATTACGGATGACAACCCAGGAGAGAAACTATACAAAGGCTCTGCACCAAGCATATAGAATGATAATCAATGAAAGCAATATGATAAAAGACAAAAATTCAAACATGCACCACTATATGAAAAGTATTCTGGAGGAATACTATCATCGGATATGTAATGTGATTAGACTAGACGAGAAAGATGTAGAAGTACAGCCAGTTGATAAAATATTCATGCATAGCCCAGATGCAGTTAATATTGAGGATATACTGCGAAGTATAGAGAGTAAGTTTGCAATGGAGATGGAAAAACCCCAGCATGATACACGTGCTTCAGTTATCGCATTACTAAGTGATTTGAAGACTATTTTGCAAAACTGGGATGACATTGTGAAGGCGGAGGAGACTGTAAGAAAACTTTTCTACAGTGAAAAACTAGAGAACTTAGTATACAATTTGAATGGAAGAGATGGGGATACTTTGAAAGAATTCAACAAGAAGCTAGACAAGTATATAAGCCAACATATAAAACGAAAAGACACTGATGTGTTAAAAGCACATGCGAAGATACATGGGAAACAAAGTAAAACAGAGTATCTTCTTAAGATATACCATAACTTGATAAATCTTATCAAAAATAACGGTGATATTATCAAGAAGGCAAAAAAGATAGAGTTTTCTACAGATATTGATGAGTGTCTGGACAGAGATGAATTATATAAGATTTATTCTTATCAAGCAGAAAGCCATGTGCAGCCATTCAGTAGAGAGCAGAAGAGTGCAGTAAATAACTACGGTATTGGGTCAAAGAGAATGCTTTTTTCATCTTTAGACAGGTTAATTTCATTATTTTGGTCAAGATGCACACCCGATGTAGTCTATGATAGCACTGCACTCCAGGAAAACACAGAAGACCCACATTTAACTAACAGTAATTTATTAACTAGTGCTGTGAATATTTCAAACCATACGGAGACATCCAGCATGTTAAATGAATTTAAGCCAGTGCTGCCACAAAACTTCTCTGAGAAAGTGAATTCAGTAGGTATTTTTCTCTCTGAACAGACATCTGAAAATACTGAAGAGGATTTGCACAGTATGATTACTGTGGAAAGTATTTTATCCACTGAAAATAGCTCAGAACGAACTAACTTTCTTCCTTCAAGAGAGCGATATAGGGACCTTTCAAACGAGATAGATAGTTTAATAGACACAGAAACTGAAGAGATTTCTCTGAAAAGAATATATACTGTGGTATTTTATGTAGTTAATTCTCTTCTACTAGGGATATCAATATACTCTACCATTCTAGGAAGCATGTTAATAGCACACATGTTTGGGTCATTAGAGAAAATATCCGTTATATATCTATTATGTGTACTTTTAGCCTGCCTATCTGGAGGACATGTAGCTTTAGATATTCTATACCTTTTGGCATCAATCATTAGAGATATACGCGCAAAAAAACACAGAATCAATACTATTCTCACTGTAGGGCTTCTATTTTTCGCTAGCATAGCCATCGGATGTGGCCTAGTCTTCCCTTTTCTATTCAATCTAGACAAAATAGACTCATATTTTTCTTGGCTGGGTCTCTCTCTTCTTGCAGCAGTTATATTTATGATATACTCAATGTGTAGCAAAGAAGAAATATTGAAGGAAATGCATAGAATAAGAGAAAGATCTGCAGTAAATCGCAAAATACCAGATATTATTTTATATGCTGTAGTAATGGTCATAGCAATCACATTAGTACATGCAGTTCAGATAGTATTACTAAATGATTTGCCTTCTTTATTCAATAGACTTTGGCAAGAATAAAGATGTTTTACTACAAGCTTATTACTGAAAAAGAGTTAGACATAATAGCCAAATTTACATATGTATTTGAAGTGATTCGGGTTATATCGGGTTAAACCTAAAAGCATTTCAAGTTTATTTGCATATTTGTATAAATATGCTTGTATATGCTAATTATCTATACCTGGGAGATTTTCTTTTTGTTGAATTTCTGTTGCCAACTAAGAAAACTAAAGATAAAAATTTATTTAAAATTGCTACTAATAGAGCCACTAGCAGTACTTTTTTATTTCCACAGAATATATTTTAATTCTTTACTGTACTCTGTAGCCTTCAATACAAAGAAAGAAAGAAAAGTAAATTTACTTCAAGACTTATTTGTTGTATGGTATATCATACAGGTAGAAATAGTAGTCCAATAAGAAAAACATTGTATTAAGTAAAGAACTTTTATTATGGGAACCCGGATACAAGGATACTCTGTATATTGAAATCCTTCTAGTCTAGGGATTCCTGTAGTAAAAAGAAACTTTCAAAGCAATTCTAGTTCTTGGCTATAGAATCTACTTGGCTGGCAATTTTAGAAAAGAAAATGCCTAATTTTTTGCTAAATCCATAACACCCACATCCAAGGAAAAAACTCAGTACTATGACAATTCCTGATGCATATATGGTATATTTAATATAGCTCTTATATTCTTCATAGGTTTCATCTTTTATCATTGCTATATGTACTAAACTATACACTGCTCCCATCATATCAACAGCGACAAGCATAAACGACATACACAACAGAGAATATGCACATACAAAGTACCTTCTAAAATTGGATATATCAGGTTTATGTTGAGATCCAAAGGATAGACCAGATCCTAGTGCTACAATCAGAGTGATACTCCAAATAGGGATGGTGCGTTTTGTAAAAATACTTATATTTCTACTGTTAAAGTTAGCTGGCTTATAAAAATTAAATAGTTTTCGTAGCATATGGACAAAGACTGAATACATTGGTAGAAGGACCAAGCCTAGTAGAAATAATGTTTGAAGATTTGAATACGAATGACTACTATCTAAAGGAAATCCTTTAATAATAACTACTCCAAATAACAAAAAATATCCTACAAGTAAAACTGAATTTATAATACATGCACCAATATAGATCTGGTATTGCCATTCAAGATATTTTTTGTTACTTATTTCCAATGCTTCATCTGTATTAGAGTCTGTGCCATCGATTAAAGTGTTATCTGGAGTACTATTATCCGAAGGAGTGACATCGATTAAAGTGTCAATGGGAATACTTTTATTCAAAGGAGTATTAGTGCTTTCCATGCTATTTATTTCTCTTCCTCTATTTATAGACAACAACTCATTCATTTATCAGTAATATGAGTTAATTAACAAACAAAATATAGATAGTAGTAGTAATATGAATTAATTAACAAACAAAATATAGACAGTAATAGTAATATGAGTTAATTAACAAACATAGCCTCTCATTTACTTAATATTTTTCTTATAGAAAAGTCTCAGTAGTCCAGAAAATACTACAAAACCAAAGAGTACTATAAGACCGAGTGAAAATCTTAAAAGAGAAGAACAAATTAGAATAAAGGACAACCAGAGTAAAAAGAGAAACAGCCGCAATACACTGAGATATTAGCAGTCTTGAGTAGACAATGTACTGACTAGTCACTGCCCCCATGAACCATTGGCTATTCATTAATAAGACATGGAATATTCTGCTGCTTGTATAGTTGTAGTGATATGTGTTTATTCGTACTAAGTGCTGTAATTAAACTTGGTCTCTTAAAAGGAGTCATATTAAACTAGTATTTATTTGAGAACTCAACTCTTTAAATATTTTGGTCTTTAATTTAATTTTAATATTCATTGAAATAAACCAACTATTACGAGTGTCTCGATGTAGTAATATGTTAAATAGATTTGTATCTTCAGTTTTCTTTACTGTCAGCATGAACTAATTAAATTATGCTGTGTATTAACAAGCACAAATTTAATTATTATTGTCACCAATATCATTATATATCATATTCTATGCTGAACATAATATTCAGATTAGCTGTCGTAGTATTCGGGTCTGTACGCATAGCACTAATTTACAACTGTCATTAGAAACTATAGAAGAGAATAAATAAATTTTATGATGACTAGAACTAAGTCTAATATTCCAGAGGAATTCGGGTTTAGTAGTCCTAAGAATACTTAGTATGACAGTACAAAGAGAAATATTTCAGTGATTACAAGGATACTTTGGTATTTTTATTTCTTTTCCATTCTATGCCACTCATTTATCTTTGACACCATTGGATCTAGTGCATTACTGCTTGTTCTCTCTACAATATATGGCTGCAGCCACTTGGACAGTTTTTCCTTATATTTTACAAACCTTTTATCCAGCAAGAGAACACAACTATAGTCATTTTCTGCTCTAATTGATCTTCCTATTGTTTGGTTAACTGCTTGCATGCCTTTGTCTATAAAGTAGTCTTCTCCTCTGGTCTTTTGAATTAAAAGAATTTCCTCAGTTGGCTTAGGCAAAGGTATACCGCAAATAATTAGAACTCTACACAAATCATTACTAAAATTAATTCCTTCACTGAAGTTTCCACCCATCACACACACCATAAGCACCTTTCTTTCCTTTTTCAATCTCTCTTTATACTCCTGCATAGATGCAGTCCCTTCAAATAGTATATTTACATTACTGATTCTTTCTCTTGCTGTATACAATTTTAATATGCTAAGAACACTTTTAGACTGAACAAATAGTAATATTCCTCCTTTTTCAATCTTCTTATAGTATAGCATTGCCAGACTAAAGGCCCTCATGACCTCTTCATTTCTTTTATTGTACACAAACGAGTAGTCACTGCAGATGGCTACTTGGATATTTTTGCATACAGAAGGATATGTTCTTTTGGTTACTTCTCTATTAAATAGCAGTGATATATCTGAGGACTGAGTCAATGTACCACCAATTGCCAGAATACTCTTAATATCCATAAAATATGAGAGATAGTCTGAAGGATATATATTTTTAAGGGTTATCTGTCCTTTCTCCTTAACTATATAACTGTGTCTGTCGCATTCTCCTAATAATCTGACCAATTTACACAACCTTCTTAAAATATCCTCTTTTTTGTTCTCTACATCATCCGTGCGCATGGGAAATACTTTACTGGGTAGAAATGGATCTATTCTTTCTGCTATTTCTAACAGATTTATATGATCCAGCTCTGCATCTATCAAGAATCTATTTATATTATAAATCTCAGCTTGTCCTGTATCCGTAGCATCTTCCTTGGTGCTTCTCTTTAAATACTCAAATACACCAGATACAAAGATGAATAGTTCTAAGAAATCCACTTTACGTTTACCTTCCTGCTTATTCATGTACTCACTGTACACTGGGATTATCTGAGATAGTTCTGATTCACTTATACCTGCAGAGTACTCATCTAGTACTGTGCTGTATAAATTATGTGCTTCATCAATTATTAGCACAGTTTCACTCATCTGTATCCCGAGTTCACTAAAAAAGTCCTTCTGTAGGAGAAGAGAGTAAGGAAGAATTATAATTGAAGCATTTCTTGCTTGGTGCTTCAAATAGAAGTATGGGCACACTCTGCATGAATTTCCCAATGAGATAGCCTCTTCAATAGATATTGTATTCTTATTGGATCTCTCTGCCTTTCCTTCCTGTAAATTATTGTAAAATGAACACTTTCTATCCTTAGTGGTTGATCTGCACATATTATTTATGTCTTTGGAGGCATTCACCTTATAGTTAATACAGGTCTGTCTTCTAGACCCTAGAACTACCCCTGATGTATGCATTCCTGAATATTTATTTAATTCTTCTAATTCTTTGACTACTTGGTCTAGCTGTGTATGAGTACGGCAGGCATATATAACACGCTTATTTGTTCTGTTATATAAGCTTTTTAACAGATCTGCATTAGCCTTTGAAACTCCTTCTGTAATAAACTCACTATCACCCAGGTACTCCATTGCAGTTATTAAGCTGGAGAGAGTCTTTCCTGTTCCTGTTGGACTCTCCAGTATACCCAGCCTGTTATTTCTAATTATTTCAGTTGCATCTTTAATAAAGTCTTTCTGGCCTTGGTACAGTTCATGTGGTAAATTAAATTTATCTTTAATCTCCTTATCTCTTTTTTTTATCTGCACTATATCCTTACTATCTAGATTTAATTTAGTTCTCTTTGCTTCCCCTGGTGTCTTAGCCATTTGAATAAAAATATAAAATGGTCTTTATACTCTATCCTTTATAAGAGACTTATGCTAAACATCTACAGTGCCAGATATTATTATTCCTGTTGTATTCTTGTGCATTATAATACTCCCGGATATATTTATATATTCCTGTACTACTGCATAAATTACTGTGCACTCACCAGAAATTCTTTTTAGTAAATTTGAACTCTTTAGGGGAGAACCAGAGTGGATGGAAATTCTTTCTATGGCAATGAAGCCAGCTGCAAAATAATATCTATAAGAGAGGTTATTTATTTAATGCATGAAGCCATTGATGAGATCTTTGGCCATAATTCTGCGCACTCTTTTGCTACTGGTCCGGAAATGGCAGTTCCCTTTATTTCTCCCTTTGCGGTGATAACAACTGCTGCATTGTCCTCGAATGAGATGAACACACCATCCTTTCTTCTCCAGGACTTTCTCTGTCTAATAAGTACTGCTGGGACAACCTTCTTTCTCATGTCTGGCTTTCCTTTCTTAACTGATGCTACAATAATGTCTCCTGGTGCTGCAAATGGAAGTCTGTTGAGTCTTGACTTGCATCCTTTCACTGCAATAATCTTCACAACCTTGGCTCCTCCATTGTCTGCACAGTTAATAACTGATCCAACCTGCACTCCGGCTGTTATTTTGTACCGGGATGCAATTCTTTTTAATCCAGACTTTTCGTTCTTTCCTACCATTATTTATTACTGGGGGAGTGAAAAAAGAAAACTAAAATGAAAGAGAATAATTTTCAGCAGGACTTCCAAATGAGTCAAAAGATTGGGGAGGGTGCTTTCAGCTCTGTATACATAGGGGAGGAGAAGGGAGAGAGAAAAGTGGCCATTAAGAAAATTAACAGAACCACATCCCCAAGCAGAATAGCAAATGAACTTAAACTTCTAATAAGCCTACAAGGAATGAAGAATATTATTGAAGTAATTGACATATACAGGTCAGATAAAGACATCTGCATTGTATTCCCGTATGTAAAGATCAATGACTTCAAGGAAATACTTGAAATATGTACTATTTCAGATATAAAGTGCTATATGTTTGAGCTTCTAACAGCAATACAAGGTGTTCACTCTCATAATATCATTCATAGAGATATAAAACCAAGTAATTTTCTGTATGATTTAGAGAAAAAGACAGGCTGGCTCATTGACTTTGGTCTTTCCCAGAAAATAGAGAAAAAAAATGAAGATGTTGAGACAGACCAAACAGCAAAAAGACGGAAATTCTTCTTTAGCTCGCATTTGGCTGGGAAGAGTAAGCCTATTATCTCTAGGGCACCAGGTTATCTGATACGAGATTCTCGTCCATCTATGACTGCATCTAGATCTGGTACTCGTGGATTTAAGGCACCTGAAGTACTCTTTAGAGTTGAGGCACAGACAACAGCCATAGACATATGGAGTGCAGGAGTGATCCTTCTCTCACTTCTCTGCAAGAAATATCCCTTCTTTACATCAAAGGATGACATAGGCACACTTGTTGAGATAGGCACTGTCTTTGGGGATGAAGAGATGAGGCAGGCTGCAAAGTTCTACAAACGAGTTTGGAAGAGCAATATAGAAGCATGTATGCACCCGGCAGTTCCCTTTGAGAAGCTTGTTGAGATGGCAATTAAGAAAAAGCCACATTTCCCAAGCTCTGTATTCGACCTACTAGAGAAAATGCTTATGTTAAAGACATCAGAGAGAATAACTGCAGATGAAGCACTAAGACACAAGTTCTTCAGTGACTAGTATGAATTATATCTGACTAAGTCTTAAGTAAGTCTACTGTGCAGTATTAAACTATGCCAGATATCATTAAATAAATACAAGTGTTTATTTTGTCCTGTTCTCTACTGTTCTCTACTGTACTCTACTGCACTGTATCCTTTGAGACTGGATTTTTAGCTGCAAATTATTTTGTCCTGTTCTCTACTGTTCTCTACTGTACTCTACTGCATTGTATACTTTGAATAAACCACAGAAACTCATATATATATAGTGTGGTAAAATTCCCACTTTCATTATTCTGAAGCCACAAGAGTCCATCAATGATAATTTCACTTTCCAGAAGATTCCTCGTATATCAGAGACTGACTATATAATAGTAAGCTAGTAAGAACAATACTGAAAGGGCGGAATATGTCAACAGTAAGAAATATATCCATCAAGTACACAAAAGGTCACAGTCACCAACTGAAAAAATATGATAATAAACCTTCCTGCACAACTACCCCTATTAGAGTCTAAAATACTACTATCTCCAGACTAGCTTGTCTACCCCTTTAGTCACGTCAATTCCTAGTATAGACTACCTTCTGCTGTATATTTGCTTTAAGTGCTTTTATTCTAGCATGACTATATTATGAATTATAGCCCTAATAATTAAAGAGTTATAGTCTGCAGTACTTAGACAATATTCTGAAGGAATTGCAGTATAGTAATATATCGATAGATATAACTATCTTACAGATTAGAGTAAATATTTATGTCTAGTGCAACCAGAAACCCGATATAACCCGAATCCTTTAAAATCTTTATTAATTCGCTTCTGTTTGTGCTGTTGAAATATCTCTTGTTGAAAGTACGCCTTCTATTATACCAGGAAGGCATACAAAGTGACCAAATGCAAAGGACTTTCTCCAGATATTTAAAACCTCAAGGGGACTGTATACCATTGGAATCAGGAAGTAGCAGAAGATGAAGATATGTGCAGCCCATCCACATATCTCTACTAATATTTTAATTCCTGGAATATTTCTTCTCTCTATTGGAATATCTTTAACAAAGCCTAGTAAGAATATTGTTGGAACTGAGATGAGTATGGATCCTACGTGCAAAGGGAAAAGCAACAAATGCGCATATGATACAATGGATACCTTAACATGCTCCTTGATACGCATATCCATTACATCACTAGCACTTATTTCAGTTTCTTTCGTTTTTTCTGGTTTTGAACTGTCATTTTCCTCTTCTTTCTTTTCGTCTGATGTAAGCATTTTGTTCAGTCTGTGCATAAACTTTGATCCTTGCATATTCCACATCTCAAAGAGTTCTTGTGCCTTCCAGAATGTCACAAATGGAAGTATTCTGACATTTCTCATATTATTAATGAATGCTGCCTGGTAGATGCACTCCTCAGAGACCCATAATGCTGCAATGTAGAATAATTTGTATATGTAGAACCCAGAGAAGTCTACATCCACCTTAACTAGCTTCATTGTATGGGCAGCTGCATTCATGATTATTTCATTAACTGCCTGGTACGAGATCAAAAATATAAATGCCTTTAAGCAAGACACTGTAGACCCAACTATTAGTCTGCTGTATTCTTGCATGACATATTCCTCTTTCCTGTTAGTAATCTTCTTCTGATCCTCTGTGTTTCCTACGATCTTTTTAATTACGGTCTGGCTCTGAGACTCAACCAAGTAGAAGTACCCAGACTCAAGCCACAGCTGATATGCACTGAAACTCATCACAGGCCCATACCTAATCCCAGGCACAAAGAACATATACCCAAGGTACGCCATAAATCCATGTGTTTTTGGCAGATATTCCATGCTTACGTACATATATTTCATGAAGAATCCTGTGAGTGTCAGAATAACAAAAGGATTATTCTCTTCCGAGTCCTGCAGGATATACATAACCACTAAATGTACAAGATTTACAGCTATGAATATTTTTGTTCTTAGCTTTTTCTGCTTAACCGGCATATAAGATAGAAGCAGATTAAGTGGAATACCTGATAAGGCAACTAGGAAGTTCTGTATTTTATATATTGCTGAAAGGACAATTAACCCACTCAGAATATTAAATACTTCCCGGATGAAGAACCGGTTTGTAATATGCGGTGTAACCATCCCAAACAGAAAGGCAATCAGCATCCCTGTGACTGCATTTGTCTCCTGTACTGTCATCTTAGAGAAGCAATGATTCGTTACTTCTGTTATTTTTTCCATAACCCATTTGGATGTAAGCATGTTGTAGTAAAAATAATTTTTTTTATACTTAGTACACTATCAAAGACAGTTTTTGTAATTTGTGCCTATTATGCTGCATTTCTACTATATAGATATATAGAAAGGGTCCTAGTGTAATTGTATGGTAGTTGAATTCGGGTTATATTCGGGTTATATATAGTTTTGTACATGGAAATTGATTAGTGTTTGGTTACATCACAAACAATATTATCACAACAGATCGTAATATGACACGTAAACAAGTAGAGCCCCCTTGTAGTGTGTTGGCCTAGCCAAAACCCAGAAGGAAATAACTAACATCAATCTATATTGCTGATCCGGAGAGAAGGTTTCAATACCCTTGAGGTAAGGAAAACCAACAATGGTTAAAATAGAATATATTTATTTTAGTACTAGATACTCTTTCATATTATGATAACCCGATATAACCCGAATTATGAAGTAATTCTTCTACTACAGAATGAAAAGACACTTCTTATAGTTCTTATTGAAGTAAAATCACATATAATTAGTCTTAGGCCACAGAATATCATGAATAATAAATTGGATTTCTGGAAGATTCTTTGTCTACTAGGAGTACTAGTACAGAAAGAGTAACAGCACATTGGAAATCAAGTACATGCATTCCTGTCCATATTGGTGATCTTAAATTACTTGAATTTCCTTCTAAGAGAGCTAGTGTAATATTACTATATACACTATTAAATGGACCTGTATTTATTTCTGCTTCATACGGATAGAAAGTGTCTATTTAGTTGGCTTCTTCTTAAGGCAAGGGAAACCAATAATTCTCTTCAAATAATTTCCCTTTATACTATAAAAATAAAAGAAATCCATATATAAATAATTTGGGTTTTATTTTGTAGGGTTTTATTTCAGAAAAATAGAAGTATACATGAAGAAGTATAAAAATACAGCAGAAATAAAGACTGTATGAGATAACAGTGTAAAAATCACATATTAAACAGACAAGATACATACTGCATTTAGGTTATAAGAATATTTACAGAATGCATCACTACACATTATATACTCCGAATTATATATTACATAAATACAAAGTATCTTGAATAATATACAGAATAATTAGAGATCAGATAATGCCTAATAAAGCACAATTGTATAAGGTTCTTGTGATTCTTCTGCTTTGATTGTATAATGCACAAGATTCTTCTATGTAACTGGTTTTCCACAATAAAACCATGATAATTTCAGCCTGCAACTGATTTATTTTCAGATGTATGAAACTACCATAATATCCTATTAATAAACCTGCAGATATAGTATAGTTGTGGTAAAATTCCCACTTTCATTAACTCTGTAGCCAAAGTGCATCAGAAACTGACTATAAAATAGTAAGAAAAATTCAGAAGAGGTGGAAGATGTCAACAGTAAGAAATACATCCAATAAAAATACAAAAGATGACAGTCACCAACCGAAAAAATATGATAATAAACCTTTCCTAACAACTACTCCTATTAGAGTCTAAAATACTACTATCTCCAGACTAGCTTCTATCCCAAGATATCCTAAATATCTAATATTATTACACTCATATACTACAGTCAGAAACATCACACCAAGAAAACTAAAAAGTACTATAGACAGATGCTTTATTAAACAAATAGTCATATTCACAGATATTAAAAATAAATCTATATAATAAACTCCTTCATATATATATAAATACACTTCTATACAGTGTATTATACAGACTGTATTTCTTCTATAAGTCATTCTTATTTTTTTAGGATTTCTTGTCTATTCCCCAGAATATGGAAATATTCACAAAAATTTTAATTCAGAATGTCATTGGAAATAACGTGTGGAAAGAGTTCATCTGCCGGGCTGCATGCTGCCTGTGCAGAGATTGTTTCAATCATAAAGAAAGACACAGAGAACAAAATAAAACTAAAAGACATTATACAAAAGATGGCGAAAAAGCACGGTCTCAAAGACACACCAAAACTCTCCCAAATACTTTCTACTGTCTCAGAGGAAGACACAGCAGTTATTTCCAGACTAAAAGTAAAACCTGTAAGAACTGCCTCTGGAGTGGCTGTAGTGGCAGTAATGGCAAAGCCCCATAGATGCCCACATATTGCCATCACAGGAAACATATGCGTATACTGCCCAGGTGGCCCAGACTCAGACTTTGAATACAGCACGCAGTCGTATACTGGGTACGAACCAACCAGCATGAGAGCCATTAGAGGCAGATACGATCCATACAGACAGAGCACAGACAGACTCAATCAACTAGCACTCCTAGGGCACAGTGTAGACAAAGTAGAATATATTATAATGGGTGGTACATTCATGTCTCTTGATAAAGACTATAGAAGCTGGTTTATAATGAAGTTGCATGATGCCCTTACAAGAAGGGAGTCGTATACACTGGAGGAATCTATCTTTTTCAGTGAAAGAAGCACAAGAAAGTGCGTAGGAATAACGATAGAAACAAGACCAGATTTCTGTATGGAGAGACACCTTAATGATCTTCTATCATACGGGTGTACTCGGCTAGAGATAGGAGTACAAAGTGTATTCGAGGATATTGCAGTAGATACAAATAGAGGACACTCTGTAAGAGATGTATGTGAATCATTTAAACTCACAAAAGATACAGGTTATAAGATAGTCACACACATGATGCCAAATCTACCGAATGTAGACATGGAGAGGGACATTCTTCAATTCTATGAATTCTTTTCAAACCCAAGATTTAGAACAGATGGACTAAAAATATATCCAACATTAGTCATACGGGGAACAGGACTGTACGAGCTTTGGAAGAATGGAAAATACACAAACTACTCACCAAATGAACTGATTGACCTACTTGGCCATATATTTATAATGGTACCCCCTTGGATACGAATATACAGAGTACAAAGGGATATTCCAATGACTCTTGTAAGCTCAGGGGTAGAACATGGGAATATCCGGGAAATAGTACTTTCAAGACTGAAGGAACAAGGATTATCCTGCCGAGATATCAGAACCAGAGAGGTAGGAATTAATAATATACATACAAATGAATTACCAGAGAAAGTAGAACTAGTACGCAGAGACTATGTGGCAAGTGATGGATGGGAGACATTCCTTTCCTACGAGGACACATCAAAGGATATTCTTGTTGGTTTGCTGCGCCTGAGAAAGTGCGGGCCATCTACCTTCAGGAAAGAACTTCTTGGGAATGTCTCCATAGTCAGAGAGTTGCATGTATATGGGAGTGTGGTGCCAGTTAAGGGAAAAGACTTCTCAAAGTTCCAGCACCAAGGATATGGTAGAATGCTAGTAGAAGAGGCAGAGAGAATTGCAAGAGAAGAGCACGGATCTACAAAGCTAGCAATTATCTCTGGTATAGGAACCAGAAATTACTACAGGAAGCTAGGATATGAAATAGATGGAGTATATATGTCAAAGGACCTGGAGTAATTCTACTACAATAAATTTATAAGAAATATACAGAACTAACAAGAAATGCATAGAATACAAGAAGTCTAGACAGATGGGTATATTACCGTACTATATGGTAAATATATTAGATATATTTCAAATGAGATATAACTGAAATTATTATTCATAGAAGCACTGTCATAAAGGACTTCAAATAGAACAGATTCTTACAAATTCAGTTGTCTTTTAGTGAATATTTTAAAAGACTATTTTAGATTTCAGGCATGAATAACAGTCTACTGAATATAGTATAACTGTTAATTTATGTACACTATGTGAGATAGAAGCTTCTGCTACTTTTTCAGTAAAGAATATTTTCTCTACTGCAAGGATCCTATAATAAAGTAATTATAATGAAAGAATTCTCATAAACTGGTAATTCTATCTGGTATAAGCAATATATAACCTAAAGCACAGAGTTGTCAGTTAAGACAAACTCATACAAAGGCCATAATCAAAAGTATTTTTATAAGGGAAAAAGATCTTCACCTAGCAAGATTCTGTTTATATTAGGTTAATATATTCTGGCTGTGCTGGCTTCATCTATTAATACAATATACATACACAAAGGAACTTACGTTTGTTTCAGTTTTTCTTAACTTAAATAATTCTTAGGAAAATTAGCTTATTCCTTTAATAAAGAGCTACTACACAATACTCTAGAATGTATTTGTGGATATGCAGATGTGAAAGTACCATATACAGATCACTTTGGTCTCAGTGAAAGGATTTGACAGCAGTGCTGACTATTTTTATCTTTTTGTTTTTGCAGTGGCATGTGGAACAAATGGCTTGATAATGTATTGAAAATAGTGCCAATATCAAACCTGTTATATTTAATGAGTTCAGATAGAAAGCAGACAAAAACACTAAAGAACATGCAGATTAGACATGAAAGTGCAATGAGTTCAATGCTAGCAGTAAGTACCATAACTGCTCAGAAACGAAAGACTATTTTCGATAGGAATTCTTTACTACTAGACCAAAAGTACAGTCCAGTAGAAGAAATTAAAGAAATAGGAGAAGATAAGACAGAAACTCCTTTAGTCAAAGAGTTAAAGAAAGCCTTTCAGAAATCCGAGAATCCAGTTACTGGAAAAACCGCATAAAGAAAATATTTTGAATGAAAGTAGAGAACTCGTTAAATAAAGAAATAAGGAGAACAACCTAGCAGTCTTGCAGAGTTATAAAGGCCCCAGTATAGTCAGATTTAAATATGATATATCTTGGTGCAGTAGGTCTGTCTTATATAACGCACTGAATAGTTTGTTCTGTCGTAGGATATTTAATTTTGAAGGTACTATAGTGGTAGTGTGGTAGTATACTATTGGAAATAGTAGAATGGTCTATTTCCTGTGAGAATTTAAATGTGCCAGTACCCAGGCAGACAAGAATAATAAATTAGCGCAAGAGAGAATCCTCAGTGCAGTTACCCGACCTTCTGTGCCCTTCAATGCACATACTTCTACGGAGGCAGTTCTATCTTACGCAAAAAATGCACAGTAAAGCTCTTTGATCCGATCCACTCCAGAGATACAGCTGTATCTGGCAGAAATGCCTTTCTACCGTATATCTGAATATGTGCGTGCCAGGCTGCTTCCAATATGCAGGATATTAAGAAACAACCGGTGTGCACAGCGTGCGCCTGGTGCAGGCTGTCTCCATGATAGTTGTAAATAAGTTAATTTTGTTTATTGCGTTATATGTAACGCTAGATGCGAAATATTAGAGTGCCTGCCGCATAGTGGGCTTATTATCGTCTTCCACCTGTTCTTCCTCTGCTGTTTCCTCCTCCAAATCTGCTGCTACTTCCCCCAAATCTGTTTCCGCCTCCGAACCTGCTGTTTCCGCCGTAGCTGTCTCCGCCTCTTGAGGCAAGGGCAGCCAGGTCTTGTGGTACTTCCTGGTTGGAGTCCTTTAGGATCTCTACGTATTTTCTAGCATTTGATCTGTCGTCCTTAGGAGAGAAGAAAGTAAGTGCAAGACCTTCCTCTGAATTTCCTCTAGCTGTTCTTCCTATTCTGTGGATGTAATCTTCACAGTTAGTTGGGAAGTCGTAGTTAATGACTGCCTTTACGTCCTTGACATCAAGTCCTCTGGCAGCTACATCTGTTGCTACAAGGATGCTTCTCTTTCCTGACTTGAAGTCCTGGATGATTCTGTCTCTCTGGTTCTGTGGTTTGTCTCCATGGAGTGCCTCTGCTGGCCATCCGTACTCCTGCATCTTCTCAACCAAGTCATCGCATCTTCTCTTCTGGTTGCAGAATATGATGATCTTTGGGTTCAGTTTCTCATCTCCTGCTACGTCTGCCAGAACATCAGAGAGCATCTTGTCCTTCTCCCAGTGGTCTACAATGAATGTCTTCTGTGTGATCTTTACGTTAGCTACAAGCTCTGCTGATCCAATCTTAATCTGGATGTAGTCCTTCATGTAGTTTCTAGCAAGAGACCGCACCTCCTTTGGCCATGTGGCAGACCACATGAGAGTCTGTTTGTTTGGGTTTGTCTCTGGGATGATCTTCTTGAGCTGTGGCTCGAATCCCATATCAAGCATTCTGTCAGCCTCATCAAGAACCAGGAAGGATACTCTGCTCATGAAAACAGCCTTCTGCTCGTACAGGTCGATAAGTCTTCCTGGGGTTGCAATGAGTATTTCAGCACCTCTTCTGATGGCTCCCTTCTGTGGGCCTGCTGGTGCTCCTCCAAAGACGGCTACTGTTCTAAGACCGAAGTACTTGGCGTACTTGCATGCTTCTTCCTCAATCTGTGAGACAAGCTCTCTTGTTGGGGCAAGCACAAGCACAATGGGTCCATCTCCCTGCCTGAGTGGCTTTTGTGCCTTTGCGTGTATTAAGGCTGGAAGAATGAATGAAAGTGTCTTTCCAGATCCAGTGTTTGCTACTCCCACCATATCTCTTCCACTGAGTGCTAATGGCCATCCCTGTGCTTGGATGGGTGTTGGCTCACTGTAGCCTGCGCTCTTGAATGCTGCCATTACGCTGGCTGGGAATCCAAAGTACTCAAACTTTGTGCATGGCTTAGGGACACCTTCTCCTGTAATGGTTATGTCAAACTTGTTTCTTAGTTCTTCAACCTCCTGGTTAGTCATCTTTTCCTGCTCGCTGTGCTCTGTGTAGAACTCCTTTTCAAACTCAACTGGGCCATTGTCCTGCATTGAGTCTCCAAATCCTGCTCTGCGGGCACCCCCAAATCTTGAGTTCTCTTTTCTGTCACCAGAAGAGAAGTCTCCTCTTCTTTTTGTTTCTCCTTCATAATTGTTGCTTCCTCTGTAACTGTTATATGCCATTGTGCAAGGATAAAAAATTTTTTCTTTTATAGTTTGAAAAATAAAATATTTTCTGTTTCCATGGCAGTTTTATTTTGGCTTAATTAATTTGGCAAAATTATCTATACAGTTGCTTGAAATATTTGGCAGAAAATTCGTTGCCTTTTCAAAATCTGCTCTTTAGGAAAGACCAATCAGAAAGGTCCATAAGTCTATGCATAGTAGTATATGCTGTATAATCATTACTAAGTAGTCTTGTATACTGAAATGAATGCATATATTTAGTTTAGTCTCTGTGATATACTAAGGCTTAGTCTACTAGTATATCTGGCAGCATATGATATAATTCAAACAAGAATATTCTGAGTGACTATTAATGAAGAAGTCTTTTTGTAGTACTTTTTTAGTCCTTTTTTAGTCCTTTTACAGTGGTTTTCAGATATATTTAACTATATATTTAATAAAGTATTCTATGCCATTTATGATATGCATTAGTAATTGACTCTGATGCACCTGGGGAGTAATCCATTCATAATATAACCGAAATTGTTAAAATCTTCTGAAAATTCCATATTTAAATATATGTGAGTAGAGAGTGCTAGTGAAGTAGTAGTAAAGTATAAATAAAATCTCTACATATTCTATTATACTTTATTTTTGGCAGATTCAAAGTATTCTATTCACTATTATTTCTGTGCAATTAAATTTGGTCTGATTAAGTGAGACCTATATAGACCTATCTCTTAGTTTTCTTTAATTCTTTATAGCTTTATTATTAATGAAATTTCTTTATAAATATTTTTAGTTATTAGTATAAGAATAAGAATATATTTATATGGATATACTGCATACTAAGTGGGTTAATGGAAGACATTAGCTATATTCACAGTGAATTAATACAAATATAGTCTATTTTATGCAAAAATATCTAGTTGTATTTCAGTGGGATAAATATTCAATAGACTGATTCTTTCATGTGCTGGGTTATTTAGTCTATTTTAAATGGATATCTCTTTGTGTTTATTATTCTTGCTATATTACTTCTTTATTTTAAATTCCTTCAATTTTTATTGATACTTGAATAAGGCTTCAGAGTAGAAGAATTTACATAGAATTAGAAAGAGTTAAAAAGTAAAGTAAATAGAAGGAATATATGGTATATACAGCACAGAAGAGATATTTTATAATAGATTGAAAATATACTTTATTTATATGTTAAGTTGCAGTAGTAAGAAAGTACCAGAAAATAGTAATATTACTAGAGTCAATCTAATTCTAGTTATATTTGCATCTCATGCACTTTATTCATGTACATTCATTATATAACCCGATATAACCCGGTATAACCCGAATATACCGATATAACCCGAATAACCCGATATAACTCAAATACACTTGTACATTGTAATTTCAATAATTAATTCTTCTGGTGTTATGGAGTGAAGACAAAACCATAGAATTAATAACCAGAAGATAAATATACACTAGAATATACGTATAAGCACAAGAGATGTACTCTAACTAAGTACAATATAAAGTACAATTTAATATTTATGAATACATGCACTAATGAAAACACAGAAAATATAAACAAACAGATGCACAACAAAGGAATTGTTTAATCATATATAGCCCATATAAGTACATAAGGCATAATGTTTGTTTTTATAGAATCCAGTGATGATAAGCAGAGAGGACGTAAGAGGTGAAAGAGACAGAAGAAAAAAAAGAGCAGATGCAGAGAAGTTAAGAGAAGCAAATGACAGGAACAGCATCAAGGAAAATATCTTATTTAAGTTTGATAATTACACCAGGAAAACAGACAAAAACATAGCACTACTGCATAATATTACATTTGAAGTTCCAAAGAAAAGGCTTATTGCACTGATAGGAATGAGTGGGGAAGGAAAGTCTACTCTGTTTGAGAGTATTTCTGGTCAGTGTAATAGATCGCATAAGACATTCGGGACTGTTTTGGTGCAAACAAAAGAAGGAATTTTTGTAGAAAGAAATGCTGAGGAGTGGGTGAAAAGAGTAAATTACCACAGGCAAGAAGTGACACAGTACAAGAAAATACCAGTATATGCACTCTTGCAGTCTGTAGCCAAGTGCTATGGTAAGGACATGGAGATGGTCGATAAATTACTTGTGCACTTTAGGATTGCAAAGACAAAGCACACAATGTTTGCGATGTTATCCGGAGGGGAACAGAAGAGGGTCATGACAATTATTGGAATTATAAGCGAGAGAGAGTTAAACCTGTGGGATGAACCACTTACAGGCCTAGATTCAGAAATAGCCAAGAAAACCCTTAGGTTCATGAAGGAAAGTGAAACAACAAATATTGTAAGTATCCATCAGCCATCAGATGAGTTAATGAATATGTTTGATTGGGTTATATTTATGCATGCTTCAACTGTCATATACGCTGGACCATATATTCAAATGGAAACATACTTCAGGGAAAGACGTATAGTTAACAGAGAAGACACCATGATCATAAATTACTTAATGAGACTGAGTGCAGATAATCCAGACAACCAGACAGATATAAATAATATTGAGTCACTGAATAGTATTACGAAGGAAATAATTAAAAGACCCAGGGGAGTACGTAGATCTGGAAATCTCTTCATATCAAATTCATTTGGTTTTAGTTACACACGGGTTAAAGAGATTCTATCACGTTCTTTATATTTTGACAATGGCTTCAAAGGGTCTTCATTGGTTTACGAGATGATATACTATCTATTCAGTATATTTGTCTTTATAATGGGGGTTATGGTTGTAGATAGGCTAATTCTATCACAAAATGAAGGGTTTTTAAAAAGAAGTATTTTTGATCCAATTTATAGTCTACTGGATATTCTAAATATAATGAAAGAGAGAGGGAGTCTGCCTGAGTACTACATGGAAATATTGCAGGAATGCATTTCTACTTCTGCCAGTGTAAAGTGGCTCTTTGGGGCAGTCTCATTCTTCCAGACAGAAAGATCCATTATGTTCATTAGTATGGCAAGTTTATTCAGTAATATAACGAACTTAGACTACTTCAGGCTCTGTCAGATAAACATAGCAGAAGGACAGTTCTCAGTGCTTGAGTTCATTTTCGCACATATAATTGAAATAGTCTTCCGTAAAGTCACAATTGCCTTTGTGATTTGCGTCATCTACTACTCAATTGCATACAAAACCATCGTAGGAGAAGATATTCAGCACATAATAACCCCAAACTACTCAGATATTGGGCTGGTATCCATGGTAACTTCTGTTATTATGGGGATATACATACTAAGCATACAGTGCCTGCCTATTTCCTCTAAGTTACATATATATGTTGCCTTTGGTCTTCTTCTTCTTACACAGACAATTATCAGGCAGCTTGACTCCCTGGAAATATTTGTTGATACAAACACAGCCAGCCTGCTGAATGGCCTGCTTAAAGGGAATATAAGCCTGGAGAACATGAAAATACCAGAGCCCCCAGAGCACCATCCATTTTATGACACAAAAATATACATGATCCAGAAGAACCAATTCCTGGATAAATTAGCAGAAACCATGGGCACAGAAAGCACAGAGAATATAAAGTATCATATACTGACTGTATTATCTAATGCACTTAAGACTCTGTATAAAATGGGACCATTTGGTGTCCCAGAAGAAATTCTTACAAAACTAAGAATCTACAGAGAGGAGATTTACAGTGTACAGAATGCAAATAAACTATCCTTGCGCATAGCAGGAGACCTTCAGCAAATGGAAGATAATCTTCCAAAGAAGGAGTACATGGATTATATCTATAAGACAAAGTACATTGAAAGAATGAGCCGGCCATTTAGTATCCATGAAATGTTTGAGCCCACCAAGGAAATAGATACAGTAGGAAAACAGGACATTGCAAGGTCAATTTCACGGGTATTTTTATTACCCATGATATTCCTGACATTTGCATTATTCCTTAGATACAGGCAGTTACAGCCAAAAATAAGAAGTTAATTTGAGCTGTCTTTCATTTCCACTGGAATATATGTATTAGTGCATATTCAATTGTATATTCAGTAGGGAAGACATTAGATAGTACTAGAATAGACTGAAATCAGATAAATATGTGAGTACGTATATAAACCAACTTATTCTTGTTAGATATACTAGTGAATTATATCATATAACTGTAATTTACTAAGATATATATCCAAGATATTTAGATAACTGAACTACTTGGTAACTGTATACACCGGAAATAAACTTGTTTTAATTATGTTCTGGTACTTCTTGCAGTCTGCATATTTTAAAGTACTTCCAACTGATTTCCTTTGAATTTTATACGTATACAATATACCATTTATAGCTGATTTATTCCATTCTGTATACGCCTTAAGTACTATCTCACTGATATAACCCGATATAACCCAATATAACCCGAATAAAATATATGAGACCGACTACCGGATATGGCAAGTCAAATCTGAAACCAAGATCCCAGTGAGACACGCAGGACATGAATAAAAGTTCTTCTTTAAGTAAGATGTTGTCCTTCTTAGGTTATTACTTCCAGGCTATGATGCTTCCACCATTGTGGCACGTCATACTCTATATGCAGTGTATTAGTGTACTAGTGTAGACAAAACAAATATTCATGTACTCTGAAAAACAAGGGGAAAGGGGTTTATAAGCACAAGACAAAGAACTCACTTACTTCATAGACTGAAATAGTACCTGGCCACAGATAAATTCACTACTGAAATTATTCAAATAGTTCCAGTAGACACTCACTCTGTACTATTCTCAATGAAAAATTAAATGAAATGGCAGTTATTTTAAGAAGACTGCAAAAATTGCAAAGAACAAAAAGCTTAAATAAACCAGTCTAACAGACACAAACATATTATAACCTAGCGTAAATGAATAGAGACAGCAGTATACAGCAAGAAGGAGTGCATAATTGGCAATTTTAATATTTCTGCAGTTTATTCATGTCCATATAATAGATGCACTACAATCCAATATGAAATGCATACGAAGGACACTCCCCAGAGACCTCCTTACTCTGGCACTCATCAATAGTGAACTTATAATGCGGTAAATCGATTGGAGTACTTGCAAATTCACCCATTCCTTCTGTACTTAAAGTATTCACAGTACTATTCTCTACTGCACGGCTATCCATCTGAAGGACTGTAGATTCCCCAGAGACCATCTGATTTCCATGAATATTCTGTACATCCAACCCACTGGGTGCTAATTTCTCTACATTAGAAGGAGATTCAGGTAGATTAAATACTGGACTAACTGTACTAATATACTCAGAAGAAGGACTCCTCTGGTCCTCCTGGGGATTATTCAATATAGCCTCATTGACAGAAGAATTTCTTTCATCCGGAAAGAATGGCTCATCTTCATTCATAGGATCCCATCCAGTAGAAGGTCTCTCGTATACAGAGGACCCTAACCGTGCATTTGGATTGAAATTCATTCCTCCCATGAATGGATGGTTCATTTCATTATACGACAAAGAAGAAGTAGCTCTAGATGGTCTCTCATTATTTATGAAAAGAGGATTTGAGGATATATTAATGTGGTTTACATCATGGGCAGCTGGTAAAGCAGGGGAACTTTCCCCACTTGTCTGTGCTTCTGCATATTCTTCATCTGCTTGCGTATATGGAAAGTCTTCTGGTACATCCGGTGATATTACAGTCTCAATTTCCTCTTCATCACTTGCACTCGCATCGTATGAGAGTCTCTCTCCGTACGGTGCTACAGGAGGAAGTATCCCTTTCTCTAAGTTCCTGGCAATTCTTCTTGCCCTGGGTATTAGTACATTGTATACACATCTGAGTACACTTTTCAATTCTTTCCTTTCCATAGGGGTATTCTTTCTCTTAAAGAATTTCAGTAATCTTTTCTTGTCTATTCTCATCTCTCTGGTTTTCTGCATAAATTTAAATTATTTACATCCCCTGCAGAAAAAGTAAAATGGGTCGCATGCACAATCAAGGAAAAGGTATCTCAGGCTCAACAACCCCATACGTTAGAGAGAGCCCAGAGTGGTTAGACGCAAACATTGATGAAATAGAATCTAAAATAGTAGCATACGCCAAGAAAGGACTAACTCTCTCCCAGATTGGAACTATTCTTAGAGATGAGTTCCAGATTGGTAATATGAAGTTCTTCAGTGGAAGAAAGCTTCTTATGATCCTTATGAAGAACAATCTTGCCCCACAGGTGCCAGAAGACTTGGCAGCACTGGTCAAGAAGGCAGTCAGCATTAGAAAGCACTTAGAGGTCAACACCAGAGACACTGACTCAAAGTACAGACTGATTCTTGTTGAGTCCAGAATCAGCAGACTTGCTAGATACTACAAGACAAGAAAGGTCATCCCAGCAAACTGGATTCCTTCATACAGATCTGCAGTCAAGAGAAACAGTGGTCTATAAATAAATCCTCTATTTATGATTCTTTGGGGCCGTTATGAGTTGGTGTTTTTTTCCCTTTATTTTAATCCCCTGCATGAACAGAGAAGGCGGAAAGAAGAAGCCCCTGAAGGCAGCAAAGAAAGTAACAAAGGAACTGGATGAGCATGACTTGGAGTTCCAGGAGAATGAGAGAAAGAAGAAAAGGCTTGAGCAGGAGATGAAAGAAGCACTTCTGAAGGGTAAAAAGAAGAAATAAAAGTTCGTTGGTTTATTATTATGCAGAGACAGTCTCTTCCTTGATTTCTTTGACTTCCTTGGTCTCTTTCTTTCCGTATATTCTACCGAATGAAGACTTAGCAATAATTTCTATTTCTCCGCTCTCAACAATTTGGTCAAGAATGTTCTTGGCAAGTGCAATTTCAAAGTTGTTTCTGGCAGCAATGGTTGCTGGGGTGATGAGTGCCATAGAAAGGATTTCCTTCTTTATCTTGTTGAAGATATCCTGTGTGATGACGGAGGTCTTTAGCTGTTTGGCCTTGCTCTCTGTCTTTGTCCACTTCTTGGTTTCTACCTTCTTTGGTGCTTTATCCTTTTTCTTTAACTGTGCCTTTGGATCGACTTTCTTTCCTGCCATGGGTCAAAATTAAAAAGAAAATTTATGTGCTCTGAATTTGCATAAAAGACAAAATAGTTATATAAATAGAAGAACACTTAGAGTGCAGTAATAAGACACAGAATCCTTTAATATACAGTGTGCTTACTTAAAATTGAAATAATTACTCAAATATCAGCATATGAGACACTTGTTAAAGAACTCTTGCAGGGAAATAATAGAGAGTGAGTGAGTGAGAGAGAGTGTAAGAGAGTGAGAAGGATACTTTCTGTTGTAGTGGTTGTAAAAATACTTGAATATTAGGGTATTCTTGGTCTGCTGTATATCGGGTTATAATTTGGGTTATAAATGGCTTTATTATTTTACAGCACACTTTGACAACATAAATGAGAAATAATTGAATAAATAGCTAGTTTACTGTAGTGACTGCACAGCAGACTGGCTGAATTTTTAAAGTAAAGTAGATCTCAGAGTGAATTTAAGAGAGATAGTTCATTATTGGAAGAGCCATGGGGGATATGCTGGGAGTATGGCTGCTGTGTACTCGCAGAAATATCGTGCAAATTGCTCAGAGTTTGGAAGTCTCTCAGGGAGGGACCTAGAGTGCTCTAAAGAAAGCCTTTTTCCATGTTCAAGGACCCTGGTGGTTATGTACCAGTAGGCTTGCTCATCCTGCAGGAATTCCAGCTCCTGAAGAATCCTGTATGGCTTGGAGGTTTCATCGATCACAACAAACCGGCGTGACTGGGTTTTCATTTCTTTGCTTCTGTTTGAGGACTCATAGAGACAGATATAATACAATTTGTACAAGATGGAAATCACGGGCGTAATGCAGTCAATTATTGAGGCATGCGGGCTGTGCTTCTTCTGGGAGGTTGAGTATATCTGAATGACTTGCTTAAAGGTTTTAAGCCTAATGGCCTGGCAGAATTCTACTATTTCATCTATATAGAATATTTTGTCAACGTATATTAGCTCATTAATAAGAAGGCACACTTCATTTGTTATTGTGTGGGTGGATGTTCCATGAAGATACTCTGCAATGTGCGATAGAATATTTGTAGTTCTAAGGAAGCTTAGGGTATGCGGTGACTTAAATCTGACCGTAAGGGAGATTGTATTGATCAGATAAACAATCCGGACAGCCACTCCTGGCTGGTGGTTGCCTTGTGCAAGTTCTTTCAGGATCTCTGAGTGCACCAAGTACTTATACAAGGAGACAAGAATTGCAGAGTTATTGGGGATATATTCAATAACCCGGATCATCTCCCGAAGGACTTCAAGGCAGGCAAGCCTATTTATTGCATCACTCTCTACAAATATCACATCGAACAAAGGAAGGACTCTTTTTTCAATCTCCTTGTAGAAATAGGAATAGTGCCTTCCTGTTGCATTCATGTACGCTGAGTCTCTAAAGACATTTCCTGTGAAGGAGACAAAAAGATAAAGAAACTTTGAGAGATTCTGAAGATCTTTCTGTGCCTTCTTAAGCCTAGTGAAAAACTTCAGGATCAGTGAGATGCAGTTTCTATCTGACAAAAACTTAATCCACTGGATGAAGTTGTGCTCGCTCAAGGAGAAAAAGCAAGGAAACATCTCCACAATTCCATTGCAGTCTGAGCTCTTCAAAATCTCCTCAAAGTAGCAGAGACCGGTTTTCTTTGAAATTATCTCAAGAACGCATGCGGGTGCAGACTCCAGAAGAAGCTTCATTCCATCTGTATATATTTCATAGCACATGGAGACCACGCCATCAGAGACCTTCTTGGCATGGCCGTTCTTCCGGATGCTGCGCAGCCCAAAGATGTATTTCTCTGTGCACAGACTGTTTACCATGTGCTTCTGGAAGAGTGCGTTCTTTATAAAGTCAAGTGCCCCTAGCTTGGTGGTTTTTGGTCCCTCCGTGTACGCCTCAAGAAGCACATAGTCCACGATTGAGTCAAGCTGTGTTTGAATGAAATTATGAATATCCGCGGGTGAATCAGTCTCTTGGAGGATTTCAATGGTTCTTTCGATCCCAGCCATCCAAATAAAAATATGCATGGATGTTTATTTAAATAGAGTGGGCTGAAAGGATTTGCTTAAACAAAGCGTCAGCTCCCATTTTTGTTTCTTCCTCTGAGTAGCTTGTGCTGCAATATCTCTGTGCAATTCGCACAGCCACATCTGTGCGTATACGGGGACAAATCATCCGAAGGCACCCAATGATTGTGCGCTTGAAGTGAAGGGAATACCCACTATTCCCATAAAGAAGGTGCATGACTTCGTATGCCAGGTCGTCAACAAGAAGAATAGCGCATATTCCATCAATTGATTTTTTTGTTTCTATTGCCACATGGATCTTTAATAGCTCCAAGAAGTACTTCTTAATTAGGGATATTTTTTCAGTTCGAAGAACCCTCGGTAGTTGGTGCAAGGTGGCTTCTATTTTCTCTGAAGGTTCGTTCTCAAAATTACTGTCCTTCACAGTAAAATAGTACTCTGTTAGGGTGGTTATGCATCCCGGCATATCTACGTCTTCTTCTGGGCTTTCATCTTCTTCCTGTACAATCGGATTGGATGGAATATCGTGCGAGAAGTATGCAGACTCTGGTGAGTCATAAGAAAGTATTCCATCAGTCAAGAACTCGCTTAGAATTACAGCTCTATCCCGGAAAGAACTTCCTCCTTTACTGATCCGGTCAACCACCCCAGGAAAGTACTCAAGACAGTACTCTTCTTTTTTTTCAATCTCTGCTATCTTTATAACTGAAAGAATAAGCCACCTATCATACTCTTCAGAATATTCAAATTTAAAAGAAGAAGAAAGTGCATTTGCCAATAATCTGTGAAGATAAAGAAGATCTTCCCCTTGCACTTCCATCTTAACTGCTTCTATAATTAATCCAAGTGACTCTCTTTTTTTCTCTTCACTGTACAGAATATTCTCTTCTATAAGGGCAATACAAAGTGGATATTTTTTACTATTTTTAGCACCAGAAGGACATACAGAGGGCTCTATTCCTTGTGCACACTTATTATAAGAATATACACATGCATATTTCTCTAAATTTACATGTGGACAGAATATGCTTAGTCTTTTAGTCATTTCATCTGGGTTTTCAGCCTGCCCCTTTATAGTCTCTATTTGTGCTACTATGATATTTTGGCAGGCATTTGTCTCTAGTGTGTCTGGTAAATTCATTTCGCCTGCATATAATTAAAATTTATTTGTATTTATATGTGGGACCAGTCTCGGCTAATGGAAGATTCATACACGCCAGATGCAGCAGAAACCATCCAGATTTCGTCTTTGGCTCTTATTAAAATGCTTAAGCATGGAAGGGCTGGAGTGCCAATGGAGGTCATGGGGCTCATGCTGGGTGAATTTGTAGATGAGTATACTATCCGGGTGGCAGATGTATTTGCCATGCCGCAAAGTGGGACGGGTGTGAGTGTGGAGGCAGTTGACCCGGTTTTCCAGACAAAAATGATGGATATGCTGAAAATAACCGGAAGAGGAGAGAGTGTTGTGGGGTGGTACCACTCCCATCCAGGATTTGGGTGCTGGCTGTCGAGTGTGGACATAAACACGCAGTCTGCCTTTGAGCAGCTGTCAAAGAGGGCAGTGGCTGTGGTTATAGATCCAATACAGAGTGTCCGTGGGAAAGTGGTGATAGACGCATTTAGGCTTATTCCCATGCAGAAGTCCATAACAGGAGTAGAACCCAGGCAGGTTACCTCAAATATAGGATATCTGACGAAGCCAACTCTTGTGAGCATGATGCACGGACTGAACAGGCACTACTATTCAATCAACATACAGTACAAGAAGAATGAGCTTGAGGAGAAGATGCTCCTGAGTCTCCATAAGAAAACGTGGACAGACTGTTTGAAGATGGAGAACGTGGTGGAGTTTGAGAAGAAAGCAGAGAGAAGAAAGAAGGCGATTAAGGAGCTGGGGCACTCTCTGAAGAAGAGGGTTGAAGAGGAGAAGGCTGCAAAGGAGCAGAACGTGGAGATGGAGACAGTGGGGAAACTGGACATCAGAAGAAGAATCCTGCACGAGTCAGAGGCATTGATGAGCGAGAATACCATGCAGCAGTTAATTACGCATATTCACAATAGAATATTTTCGTAAATAAACCATCCTGTCTATCTGTGGCACTTTAGTATATAGTAGACTGCTTATGCAGACTATTCTTGTATTTTTAGTGATTTAATTATATTATTTCTACTTTCTTTATTTTCAGACGAAAAGAAAACCCATCAGATTATCTGGAATATTGAAGGGTTTTTCATAAATTTCAGATAGAGGCAAAATATATCTCAGAAAATGCAAAGTGCAGTAGGCATGTAAAGACAAAATAACACATCTTCTGGACATACTATGGCTGGTAGAATTTGGAGTAGGATATGTGATGATCGCCATACTTTATGGTGTTACAAATTTATGTAATATCTTGCAGGTGGTCTTTTTATGTATGGAGTATAAAGCATTAGTAAAACAATAGTAGTATTTTAGCACAAGCAGACATTTATTCCCGGATTTTGAAGCTAAAGCATATTTGCATGCCTCTGTTCTGCAGCTGCATTAGAATAGACTTGTCTACTCCTAAATACCAAGCATGCTAGCACATATTTTCCTAGAGGGTGGTGAAGAGTGTGCTTTAGCTTAAAAAGTAGTAAAATTATCACTCTTGCATGAGTGTGCTGCAGGCTTATTTAACTCTTGCACAAAATATCTCTGAATATTGTGCACCAAAATACTCTTAGATAGCTTACTTAGAGTCCATTCTGAAGTAAGCACATAAAAGAAAACGCAGTGCGCATAAAGCGCTTAAAGTCATTCTATCTCACAGGGGGCTTTAAAGTAATTACATCGCAGATATCTGCAGGTGGATTAGAGACACCAAGCGGTGTTATAATGATAACCTGTGTGTCAATCCGTCTGGCAGTCTCAAATATCAGATTTAGAGCAGCCTTTCTGTTCAGTGCATCCATGAACACGTCAAATTCATCCAGAATGCGCAGTGGAGAAGTGATCAGTGGCCAGAGCGAAAGAAGGAAACACAGCCCAGAGAAAGACCTTTCCCCGCCACTCAGCGAATTCTTGTCGCCTTTTGATGCCTCTGTGACTTTCACCCTTATGTCAAGCACTTCTTTTTGGTGATCAAACTCAAGAGAGCCCGAGTACTCTCGCATGCTCATTAGGTCAGAGAAGTTCCGTATGCTTGAGTTGGATATTTTGTACGTGAGGTCCTCTCTTTTGCGCACTCTCTCCAGTGTTCCCTTCTCTATTTCTTCTATTTCCTCCTGGTTCTCCTGAAGAAGCATATTTATTCTGTCTATCTCGCACTCTAGCTCCTTTTTCTTCTCCAGCAGCACCCTTCTTTCCTCCTCTTCATCCAGAATCGTGCTGTCCATGCCTTCAATCTGGCTCATTTCATGCAGAGCTGGCTGCGACGAGTATGCATACGACTTTGCTGTTAGGCTAATGATTTCACCCTCAATTTCATTTGGCTCCCTCTCCACATGCAGGATATGCTGCGAAGACAGATCCATTGCAGTGTCTCTCAGGCAGGCGCACTCCTTATGGAGCATTTCCAGGTGCGAGTTCATCTTATCTATTCTTCTCTGCAGGCTTGCCAGTAGTGCTTCATTTTCCTGCGATGCCTGGGTTATATTTTCGTGCTCCAGAGTGTACTGCTTTATTTCTTTTTTGTGCAGTGCCTCTTCTCTTTCCTGTGCACATTTATTCTCCTCAAGGATCCTTACTATTTCTGCCTGACTGGCAGCTATTTCATGAAGAACTTCTTTGTACGTCTCTGCTACAGACACTTTCTGTTTTTCAGCTGCGTCCATCATCTGAATAGAATTCTTGTACTCTATTTCCAGTACATCCGTCTGCATGGTTTCCCTTCTTTTTATCTCTTCTTCGAGTTCTGCTATTCTGTCCTGAATTAAAGCCTGTTTCTCATGGTGGCTGGCCAGTGCACTCTGTATCTCTCCTGAAGATGCAATGAGAGTGTTCTTTCTCTGAAACAGCTCCTTCTGCTGTTCTTTCATCTTTTCAATCTCATGAAGCAGCTCTGTCTCGCTCTCCTGTGAAACAAGAAGCTGTTTCTCGCGCACAGTACAGCGCATGTCGCTTAAGCTTGTCCCAATGTACTGGATTCTGTCTGGCGCTGGTGTCAGGAAAAATTCAAACCCGACTTTCTTCTGGAGAAGGGTGTATGCACTTTGCCTGTTGTCCAGAAGGCCTATTTTCTCAATACCCAGAAGAATAATCAGCTGCTCAACAACAAGCGGGTTGCTGTCCTGTATCTGCGCAAGAACTGTTGTAACAGGAGAGGAAGACACAGAGCTGGCCTGCTGCATGATGCTCTGTGAGACTTTGAGGGCCTTTTCCAGAATTCTGTCGTCTTTTCTTATAGCATGTGGGGTTGTAACATATATTTGGTATCTGTGCACTTTGTGCTTTGCAAAAATTCCCTCCAGCCGCGCCTTCACGTTCTTGCAGTGCAAGATAAACCCGAATATGCAGCTGCCCAGAGCAGACTCAGTGGCTCGGGACCACTTTTTATCCTTCACATGTATTTCCAGGCCAATGGGTCCTGTGACTTCTAGATTCTGTGCCTTTATTTCGGCAATGGCAGCTTCCATTGCAGGCCCGTAGAATTTAATTGGGCTCTGCTGCTTATACGACTGCAGAATAAGCTGTTTCTTCTGGCTGCTCTGCTCAAGAGACTCAATCTCTTTGTGCACCTTGGAGATAGTTAGTTCCGTTTGTGCTTTCTGCACTGCCAGCTGTGCCTGTTCCTTTTCATTCTGGTTTTTTTCGTTGTTCAGCTCCTTAAGGGCTGCTTCTAGACTCTCTTCACTCTTTTTCTGGTCCTCAGAGGTCTCTGCTGGTCTGCCTAGTATTTGCTCAATCCTGGATACTTTCTTTTTCATTTGTTCTATGTCGTATTCTGACTGCTCAAGTTCTTTTAATATTTCAACTTTTCTTCTTTCATTTTTCCCCAGAGTTTCCTTTATCTGGTCAAGCCTGTCCTGCCGCCTAACCTGGAGGGAGTTCTTTTTCTGCGCTAGCACAGAGAGTTTCCCTGTGATCTCCTCAAGTTTTGCAAGATTGTTCTTTTTCTCCTGCGACTTAGATGCGTATTCATTTAGCATATGCTCCCTCTCTCTTTCTGCTGCGATTCTTCGCTTTTCTTCCTGGTGTGCCCTTCCCCAAGCATATTCCACCTTTAATCTTCTAATTGACTCTTCTGCAGATATGATTGCATCTTTTATTTCCAGCCTGTTTGCCACTGCTTCTAGTGTCTTTTCTTTGTTCGCCTGCCTGGTAGTTGCAGCCTCCAACGACTTTTTTATTTCCTGCAGCAGGAGCTGGTCGTGGATCTGGTTGTTTTCAATGTTCTCAATGTCTGTGGCAGACTTAAAGAAGGAATAGATGCTTTTTAAGTTGTGCGCCTTCAAGATCTTCTTTGCTTGGTCCTGCGTCAGAAAGCACAGTGGATTTCTTAGGTTTATTCTTAATTGCTCTATCAGAGCATTCAAGTCATCCTGCGTCTTGCCAGATGCTTCTCCGTTTGTGGTTATTCGTATACGAGAACTCTCTGGGGAGAGTCTTTTCTCAATTACGATCACATCTGGCTGGAGGCTTTCTCCTTTTACTTTTAGCTCTACTCTTATCACAGAGTAGTCTTCTCCTGTTTTGATGTACTGCTTATAAGAATGCCCCCGCATGGCTGTTGCGCGAACGCCAAACAGCACCCCCAGTGCAATCATAATGGCAGATTTACCACTTCCATTGTTCCCCACCAAGCATGTTACTTTTTTAGTAAATGCCACATACAAATTATCATGGCACATAAAATTCACGAGCTGAATATTCTGCAGAAAGCATCCAGTTTCATTTCGCATAAAAAAATATTCTGTCCTGCATAAATAGACATCTCCTGTAAAAGTGCTACAGCCAAAAATTATGCAAAAAAGTGCACTGTAACAGTCATAATTATCCAAGGAATTTCTGTGAAAAGGACTTTATAGAAGATAAATGCCTTCAAAAACATAGATATAATAGAGCCTTTCTGAAGACTAATTGTACATGGAATATTTTAGCTTGAATTTATCCGAAATATCCTCTAGCAAAGAGTTCTTCTATGGTAGTAATAAAATCGGGAAAAACTATTTTTGCATGGACATATGCGAGAATAATGAGGTAATTGAGTTATCACAGTACTACCACAATGACAAGGTCATTGCCCTATCAGAATACGGGAAGATCCTTTTTACTGCCACCAAGCACCACCTGTACGCATGGGATGACAAAGAAATTTCACTTCTTGCAGTATTCAGAGTGCCAACAGCAGAGAACTCAAGTGAAAAGTATCAGCTAGAGGGTCTTCTTGCAAACAAAAATGACCACAGACATGATTTGGATAGATTTAAATTATTCATGCTAGAAGAAGAAAGACCTCCTCTCTACATATTCCTGCCTAAGGGATACTACATAATCAACAGACTCACTATAAGTGTTCACTTGCAAAAAAGATTCATTCCATACTGCCACACAAAAAATGGTTCATTCGCAGTAGAGGAGGATAATACACTCTATTTCTATGGAAAGAAGAAAATTCCACTTTTAAAGCTGCCAGCAGATGATATATGCACAAAACTCAAGTGCATAGGAGAAGAGCTGTATGCAGCCACAGAAAAAGGACATATTCTAAAAATAAGCATACACAGTGCAGAAGACAAAGCAGTTGAAATTCCCATGTGTGCCCCCTGCACAAATAAAGTCATTTTTAATCTGGAGGACCACATAGTCACTAGTACACTTGCATTTGCAGGCGCAGAGTGCCCAATCCTTGACTTCCATCTTCACCCAATTATCATCGCATATTTTGGCAGAAGGCTGTACAGTCCTTTAATCGAGTGCAAGGAAAAAGAGCAAATCTTGAATTTTTATTGCATGCATTCTCTATTTATTGTTTTCACACCCGCGGGAGTTTTATTACTGAACGAATCCCTTCACCGTCTTAATAGAAGCAGAGTTCATGGAGAAGCTATTTCGCATATGGATAGGATATTCATATCCCAGGAGGTTGGGACACTTAATGAGATACGTATCTCTTCACTTTGACTCGTCCGTGTCAATTAGCATGACCAGCCCGGAGAGTGCTTCGATTTCTTCTTCTGAATAATTTATTACAAGGCAGTCCTCAAACATTGCTTCTTTTCTTTCGCCCCCATTCGTATTAATCTCATTGTATGCTACATCATAACCTTCCCCAGCACCATCCAGTAGCATTCTTGGGACAGCTTGCCTCTGCCGGTGCTTTATTTCTTTGCTCATGAACTTAACTGGTCTGTGCTTCTTGTGTATCTTCAAGTACAGCCCGCATGCATTGCACAGGTAGTTACCCGTCTCGCTCCTTCTCCACAGTGGAGTTATGTTTGTCTTGCAATTTTCACATGTTATGTCATCACCTTTCTTATACTTTATCATCTTCTGCTGATTGTAATGTGATCAATTGTTTTCGATTTAATCAAGAAATTTAAATTTTATACTTTTCACTGGTTGATCAATTATGTGAAAGATAGTTCGTGGTTGCAGACTGGGCATCTGCAGCTTCTACTTAGAAGCCATGGATCAATGCAATTGCAGTGGTAGTAGTGGGAGCACTGGAGTGTACGAATGAATTCTGAGTCCATAAATTTTTCGAAGCAAATAGGACACTCTTCGTACTTTCGATCAGACGCATTGATGTTTTCGTACTTCTGTAAGAGCACAGTTGATAGGTCCTTTGGGCGCACTAGTTTAATCTGTGGCTCATCCAGTCTTTCAAATAGGCTAGGGAACACGAATATCATTAGAATCAGAAAGAGAATGTAAAGTATTTGGACAATTGGCAGGGACCCTCTTACTCTATTGGTTATTTTTACTGTGGGGAAATTTGCACTTTTTTTGTACATAGAGACAAGTCTATCGTATGTTGATGGGTCAATTGGAATCACATGGAATAGATCGGTGGAAGTGTATTCCATATTGGTTCTATCAAGGATGAGCATCCCAGAAGCACCCATTTCCTTGAGGTTGCTGTATTTGGAGAGCGTAGAACACCCGCCTCCTTTTTTTACCATTCCCAGCCACTTTCTGTCGATCTTCATGGGGACAATTTGGCAGGCATTCTTGCTGTCCTCAAGGACTGTAAGAGGCACCACTGCGTACTCTTCTGTGCTTGGTGTGATTACGACAGAGGAGAAAGAGAGTTCTGTGCAGACTGCAAGAATAAAGAAGAATCTACGCTTTATATCCATTAATAATTATGAGGAGGATGGTTTTATAGATGTATTTGTTATTCTGTCTGTCCATGGATACAGTATGTTTCAGTTCCATTTTGTCTGAGTTTTGTTTATTCGATTTTCAGGAAACCTAAGCATCCCTAAGGCACCCATGCAGACTGAAACAGAAGATTTAATGCGAGAATGCGAGAATACGAGAATACGCAGTGCATGAAGATGCATTATTTCATTCTTATTATTCCATGGGAAATATTGGCTGTAAGATATTCATCACATGAGAAAGACCATTCGATCAATATTTCCGTATAGAATGATGTTTCATTTTGTATGCACTAAGACACTCATACATGGAATTTAGTTCAGTATTTGTGCTATGACTAAATTATTCACAAAGAAATAGCAGACCCAGAATTAGCTTAAATTTACACAGTATTCATATTCTATTAGTGATTCCCCCTTATATGCACTCTAGTGCATCCTTCATATACGCCTTAAATAACTTAAGTCAGTCAATGTTCTCCAAGGATATACTTACTGGGAGAAGTCAATTAATTGCACTATTTCAGTTGAAATATTCATTTATCTTGCAAGGGTGCATCAGAATATGCTTAGACCCACTGCACAGTGCCCCTTTATTCTCATATTATTTTTGCAGTCTGATTACTCCATACTATAATTTCACTCTATGCAGTAGAGAACACTCTGCACTAAATCTAGCCCACATACTACTGCAGAAATATCAGAAATATCACTCCCTAAGAATCTTCACTTTTCAACTATGCCATTGAATATGCACTCCTTCTTGTGTACCCCCTGTGATACTCTTCTGCTGCATGAAAGTTCTTTCCTGCATAAAACAAGATGGAATTCTTTAAGAAGAATATTCACCAAAGCATAAAGAATATAATTCAGTATAAAGGGAGATTACACACAATATCAATAGAATAAATATCCTACATCGTATATAACACAAATTGGATAGAACTTTTTTCATGAAGGAAAGACTCTTTCTCTCATAAAGAACTTAACCAGAATCCCATAAGAATCACCAGAAAGAACAGAAATATGCTAATATTAGTGGTATATGAGCCTACAATGAATATATTCCCGTTAGACTTACAGATACACTAGATTATCAAGATATAGTAATACTGATGAATACAACTGAAAAATACCCTTCTCACAAACGGACTAATAACTCATTCTTAGCCTGTCTCTGATCAATTACTATTTCCCTAATAATACTCCTGTCTCACAGTACGGTACTAAATATATAATTTACTCTTTATTTCCTTTACTTAATTTACTATTTGCCATTTAATATTTTCATTTGCAAGTCATCGCACTCTTTCACTAGCTTCTCATTCTCCTGGGCTAGATCTATCACAGCCTCCTTGAGTTCCTTCACTTCCATGTTCTCCTTGCCTTGCAGTATCTCCAGGCACAAGGATATGTCGTACTTTAGGTTATAGTCCATGGTCTGCGCATTCATCATGGAGAGATACTCTAAGACACCCTTTCTTTCATCTTTCTTTTGTGTCTTTTCTGTGGTGCATTCCAGTCTATCTTCATTCGTCTTCTCCTCAAAGGGAATTCTGGCCATCCTTTGCAAAAATACTTTGGTACTTATATAGTGAAAAGGCGGGCTATGGCCCGGGTATTTTATTGCAAGTGCCTGCCAAGCACAGAGGACATGAAAATATGTGTGCGCGCTAATGGTATAATGGTAGAACGCAACCCTTCCAAGGTTAAGACCCGGGTTCGATTCCCGGTTAGCGCACTTTTTGTCCTTTTGTCCGTTAAAAATTAAACAAAAAGAAGACCTCTACAGCCATGCACTCACTCCGAATATAATCCGAATTTATTCAGTTCTGGTCCAGATGCTCCTCTTCCTTCTGTCTTTCTCTTGGGGGCGCGTATAAAATGTAGTCACCCAGGTCAATTGCCTGCTGCACAGTCATATTGAACGGGTACAGGACTGTATCTAGCTTCTCTGCTGGGTATAATCTGGCTCTTGCATACTTTGTGCCTTTGTAAAGGGAATTTCTTCTCTCCCAGATGTATTCTACGTATGCATGGTGGTGCCAGAATATTGGATCATTTGTGCTTTGCATGTACGCCATGTCTCCGTATTTTCCCCCAATGTTTAGGTGCACGAGTGCATGGGGAATCAGCTCCAGCTCGATTGTGAAGTCATAGAAGGAGTTTTTCTTGTTGATCACTGTGCTTATCTCTACCGCATCATAGAACGGGTCTATTTTGGTGCTTTGTGTGCGCTGCAGGCAGTGGGTTGTTGGTTCATGGACAAGAAAGCACCGGGTGATGCCCCAGTAGAATTCCTTCAGCATGGGGGAGTCACTTGGTCTCTCTGCATCAATGGTCCAGTCCCAGTACGGGACAGTCATATCCGGGTTGTCACTGAGTGTCTGCAGAAGATATTCAAAGTATAGAAGGAAAAGTCTGTGCCATGGAAGGAATTCAAGTGAATTATGCGCGTAGTCCTTTACTGTGTAGTGCACTCGTGCTAGTGGCTCAAGATAACCATGTGCCCTCAGTAGATTAATTGCTTCTTTATATTCCTTCCATTCTGTTTTTGTCATATCCCGAAACTCTTTCCTTATTCTTGGTTTTCGGATTTGAGGAATATACAGGTGTGCTTCATTTATGGTTAGCAAGGGATTCCTTGGTCCTTCGTATATCTCGTCTTCCTCCTCCAGGAATGGGCTTGCGAATGGATTTGGGTTGAAGGGAATTGATGTGTGAATCAAGGCGTGCACTGCTGCCAGTCCAAGGATCAGTACATTTTTCATGCAGGGCTTAATTTTTTCTACTAAGAAATATCAGACCACAGAAGACAAAAATAACCAAAATAGATAAATCCTGGTCTATCATGCGTAATATGCAGTGTGCACAAAAGAGAAAGTGTTTTAGTCAGGAGATATCCGTATATAGCCAGATCTAAATAGTTTTCAAGTGAGTTTTGTTTCTGTTATATGATAGAATATATTTGGGTTGTACAACTCTTTCGGGTTATATTGGGTGCACTTATTATTCTTGTTGGATATTGTAGTAAATATCTCATTATTAATTTGAGACTCCAAGAATTTTCAACTCTCACTCTCCAAAATATTCTTTATATACAAGAAGACTACTAATTCTAAAAGGATATTAATAGAAGCAGTATATGACAACAGTAAGAAATATATTTAATAAAAGTACAAAGAGTCACAGGCACCAAAGACACTTACAAAAAGTGATAAAAATAGAACATTCTTGACAACTACCCCTATCAGAGTCTAAAATACTACTATCTTCTGACTGAAATATTACTTCTTTTTATGTACATCAATTAGCATGTGCTTCTTCTATTAATATTTTCATTCAATCTAGTAGGGTAGTAGTCTGGTGTATGAAAATATTTCAGAAATTAAATTTATTATTGACAGACTCTTGTAGTCTCAGAATAATAATGAGAGATTTTACTAAAATATTCTTCTGTAGAGTAGAGAAGACACAGAATAATTCAGATATTCAGATATTCAGATTATTCAGATTATACTAGTCAAAATATACAATATATTTTATTAAGAAGGAGTATTATTACTGTTTCTTGTTAATATATTTATTACTGCTTTCATGTACTGTTTACTGTTAATACATTTATTACTGGTTATATTCTGGTTTTTAGTGAAAATATATCTATTGAATTATTCTTGCATAACTAATAATTAAATTCTTGTCTCTAGGGAAATTTCAGAGAATTCTTTGCATAGTGTAGAGGTAAATTCTTACAAAATCAAAATAGAAAAAATACCAACTACTATGCCTGTGATACACGAAATACTCATTATTTATATCGGGTTATATCTTCGCTCAAACGTATTAAAGCAATAAACTCCTACCCCAGGTTAATTCGTGTTTATATCTGGTTTATTCGGTTTATTCTGTTCTATTAATATATATTTCACTCCCTAGTCTATTTCCCATCTGTACTAGACTAGCAGACAGAGGCATAGAAGTATTATGACTCCTTTTAAGAGATAAAGTTTGATCGATTATCTTATCCAATAGATATGACTTTCATTAAAAATACATCTGTACTACGTACGTTGTCTATCCCTTTATGCTTTTCAGGGGCTTAGTGGCCCTGTAGACCATTCTCTTAAAATCTGTTTCATTCTCTTCTATGGGTACAAATGATCCTTTGTATGCATATTTCTTCATGGCTGCTGTGACAAGCATTCTCTCCATGTTTATTGTATAGAAGCCAACTGCCACTCGCCTTTTTATCTTGAACTTCTGGAATATCTGCAGAATCTCCTCTTCATTCATTCTGTCTGCACTGTACACGACTAGAATATTCTTCTTAGAGCACAGTCTCAGAAGATTTCTTACATTATATATCCACATTCTTTTAGTCGCTGGGTTAATGTACCCATCCATGTCTATGGTGAAGTATATCCCAGCATGCGCTGCACTGGATATAGATCCCTTTGTGTACGCTCTTTCTCCTGTCATGTCCAGCTGCACTGAATGAATCTGCCACTGTGCACACCTCAAGAGATCATCACTTGTCTGCACGAATATCTCGCATATGTCAAACTTGCAGGATATGCTGTATACACCTCTTGGTTTTACATTTGGTCCCATCCCATCCAGGATTACTTTTGTAATTCCTGCAGTTCTCTCAGGTCCATCTGCTTTATCTAGCAGATGTCTCCTGTAAGAATGTACAACAGGAAGGCCTTTGTACAAGGATAGTGAACTATTTCTACTAGAATCCATTTTAATTATTTTCGGATGCAAAATATTTATAATTCTTCTGTTTTTTCAAATTATGTCAGCAACCTGCACACGTGCACTCTATGTCTCCAGGGACTTATTTGAGATAAAGAATAAAGACAATTTGAAAACAGTTCTGACAAGGGGAACAGATGAGAATAAAATAAGTGTCTTATGGCAGATAATTAAGGAGACAGCCATGGGCATAAACCATGAGAATCTGCTCCTGGCTCTAACCATGGCAATTCCAAACACAAAAAACAAAAGGTTAATTACGATGTTCTATCTGTACTTGGAAAGTGTGAAGATTGAGGATGCAGATGGAAATATAAGGGATGAGATACTGATGATATGCAATATGATACGGGGTCATTTGGCTCACCCGAATGAGCATGTCAGGGCCCGGGCAATCCGGACAGTTGGGAAGTTCAGGAGTGCTGCTATTTTTGACGTCCTGAAGAGTCCTTTCATTGAGAACATAAGCTACTCTAATCCAATTGTAAGGAGTGCTGTGTATGTGGCACTAAGGGGACTTCTGGAGAGTAAGGAACTGTCTGGGATATTTGCAGATGCAGTTCCCTTGTTGATTGAGCAGGTTCTGAAGGAAAGAGACTCAGTTTGTCTCTCAGAGGGATACAAAACCATAGAAAGCATTGATGCAGAGGCAGCACACAGCATATACAAGAAGCTTAAAGAGACAGCACATGAAGGCCTGCAGGAATGCTTCCTGGCAACAGCAGAGAGAGAAGATAATTTGCAGCAGATTCATGAGATATTCCAGAGTGCATCCACGCGCCTGATTGAGGTCCAGGCAGCTGTGACTCTTGTTAGAGTGGGAGATGCAGAGATGGTGAAGGAAGGCGTTGAGAAACTCCTGGATATGTCAAATGAGTACTTGGATGTGGAGTCAAAGAGTAAAATCATTGCTGCATGCCGCAGGGCCCTGAAAAGAGGCCAGTTTACATTCGAGAATATGGGCATGAAGATAGTCCGTATGATCACACCTGCAGTGGCTAAGATTAAGATAGAGTTAGCCCGGGATATATTCCAGTTCACTCTTGATGTCCTGGCAATTGCAGAGGCAAAGGATCTGTTTGCCTTTTTGTACCACGGACTCCTGGACCTCCCAGAGAAAGACCTTAAAGAAGCATCCACAGGACAAGACAGAGTCTTCTACATGGAAGCACTTGGTGAGCTGGCTAGAAGGTACAAGATATGCACACCAGAGCTTATAACCTTGGTTACATCAATGCTTTCAGCAGGCATCCCTGAACTGGCCCTGGAGGCAGCAAATTTCATTGACTCTCTTGTCTCTGTCACAGGTGCAGAGAAAGAACTCGCTATTTCAGCAGTGATTGGGTCACTGTCCACAATAAAGTACGGAAAGATCCTTAGAAGAGCATTCTCCTTGATATCTGCACATGCAGATGGAGAGAAAGCACATGCTGCTGTGTGCATGGTCCTGCAGTCACTTTCCTCAGATGAGGCAGGCCTTCTTCCGCAGCTGAAAGATGCACAGAAGGGAAATCCCTCAAAGATCTTCCCGGGTGTGCCCATAGCCGCCTTCCTCCTGGACATGGCACAGAAGGCACAGGACCTGCCGCACAGCAAGCAGCAGGAAATGATTGCAGACATTATGGCGGCTGCCCTAAAGACATACGCAATAGGCCACAAGACAGAGAGCATTGACGAGTCCTCAAAGGTCGCTCTTCTTCGCCTTGCAAGCCTCCTTGAGAATGGAGGGGGCGTGCTTGCAAAGACAAAAGTGCAGAAGCAGGCAGGATCTGGGCACTTGCCAGGCAGAGTCTCTGAAGGGAATGTGTCTGGCAGTGCATGTGTACAAGATGTCTATAGCAGGCCTGTGTTTTCACTGATCTCAGAGCACTCGCCCGTCTGCAAGACAAGCGATGTGCGCAGATTCACGGAGGAAGTCACACCGCTCTCTCTGAGTAAGCTGAAGAACGTCTTCCAACTGACATCTGCAATTGACCCGCTGTACTGCGAGTGCAAGATAAATACATCTCGCACAGAAATCACCCTGGACATTCTTCTTGTGAACCAAACTGACATGCTCCTGGAGTCCGTTGAGTTTGACATAGTCTCCAGCCAAAACATTAAAATGGCAAGTGACATCCGCCTGGAGAAGCTTAGGCCGCACATGGTGTGCACCTTGGAGGCCACTTTGATCATGGAGGAGTCTGATACTGGATACATTGGGGGAGTGATTACTGCAGGAAAAGTCGGAAGAGAGAACTACTTCATGCAGAATCTGCAGGAGATTCGCTTCAATCTGTCTGATATGCTGGAGAAGAAGAGAATAGACGCAGACGCATTCCGGGAGAGGTGGCCAGCACTTGTCTGGGAGAATCTGTACAAGATCACTCTGAGCACAGACAGACTGACCCCAGCACACGTAGTTAAAACAGTCACAAAGGCCATTAGAGGAACAGTCATTGAGGCAAAAATGCACGAAGGAGGGACACTCCCAGGAGAAAGTTCACCAGATATTCTAGTGCAGAATATATACACAAGAACTGCACAGGGTACAGGAATATACCTTAATGCAGCAGTCACCTCAGCAGACGAGAAAATAACTGCCACCTTTAGAATAAGAGGCAGCAATGCACGCGTGGTGAAGTCTCTTTGCCAGTTGGTCTCTAAGGAAGTAAAAGCCCTTGCGGAGTAGACTGCCAGTGCAGACTATTTGTATCTTGATGGAGTATACGGGAGTGCTGAATAAATTAACGTAAATATAATTTTTAAATTTTTTACGCCCTTGTAATGACAAGTACAGTCGCATCTTCAAAGCTGAAGCTGAAATTTAATGGGCACACAGAAAGAGTGACAGATTTAAAAATACAGGAGGAGAATGGAAAGAAGGTTCTATACACAGCCTCAAGAGACAAGAGCATAAAGGGATGGGAATTTGTAGCAGACACAACAGGAGAAGTATTCGCAAAGCTCTCAAAGGTGTTCAATGGGCACGGTGGATTTGTAAACTCCATCTCTCTGGCAAAATCCGGAAAGTACCTCATCTCAGTGAGCGCAGACAGCACAATCCGATCATGGCCTATTTCCAGCGAAGAGACCAAGAAGCACGCAAAGCACAGCGAGAAGGCATACTGCGTACTGGCCCACTCCACTGGAGCAGACGAGTCTGCAGAGGAGTACATTTTCACAGGAGGAGTGACCCCAGTATTAAACATCTGGAATGCATCCCTTGAGCTGAAGAAGAAGCTGAAGAGAGAGGACGACGAGACTGCCTCCATCACTGTTATTAAGGCCATCCCAAAGAAGCCAGAGCTAGTGATATGCGCATACACAGATGGAGCTATTGTCATCTGGAACATAGAAACAGGAACAGTTGAGAGCGCAATGAAGGGACACTCCTGCATCATTGACTCTCTGGTTGTCAGCCCAGATGGCTCTCTGTGCGCCACTGCTGGAAGAGACAAGACTGTCCTTCTGTGGGATCTCAAGGAAAATGGATCTAACAGATGCGAGATCTCAGTGGGAGACGCAGTTAACTGCCTGGAGTTTGCACTCTCTGCATACTGGCTGGCTGCAGGAACTGAAACATCAATTATAATATGGGACATTCTCGCACGGGATGTGGTAGTTGAAATTCCACACCCAGAGGACTGTAAAGGATCATGCACTGCAATTGCATGGCTCGATGGTTTCACTTTGGTGGCTGGATACTCAGACGGATCAGTCAGAAAGTACACTATTGCTATTGAATAGTAAGTTGGTTAAGCAGCAGATGAATAAATGGGATTCATAGGTTTATCTTTTACAGCATCTTCAGGCGCACTGCAGCCAGTCTTCAAATAAATCTGGATATTTATAGCTGCAGAATATCCCAAGACCAGGTATATCTACAGTGCACCAGGCCACATGGATACTTCCATGGGAAATTAGTCTTAGTCTGCACTGTTGTACTGTCTTGGTATATTGCGTATTTAATTATCTTTCTTTTTTTGCTGCATGTTTGCGTGTTTTCTTAAGTGCGCTTTGAGAGCCGTAATGTGCATTGTGGGAGGACGTCTTCTGTGGAGTGTGGCTGCAGAATTATCTGGAAGCTTCATGAGAAGACTGCACAATAGGTCTTTGCTTAAGGTACTTTCTGGGAAGTGGGCCATCATCACAGGGTGCACTGATGGAATTGGCTTGGGAATAGCCAGAGAACTGGCTAACAACGGGATTAATCTGATCCTAATCAGCAGATCACAAGATAAACTGAATGCTGTGATGGAGGAGCTCTCTAAGAAGGTGAAAACAGAAAGTGTCAAACTCGATTTTGAGCAGGAAATTGACTTTGCAAAATCACTCTCTCAAGTAAAGGCACATACCCCGCATATTCTCATAAATAACGTGGGAGTGAATGAATCTGGACCTACTTCCTTTGTAGAGCACACAGAAGAAAGCATTAGAAGAATTCTCCAGGTCAATGTCACGAACACATTAAAACTTACGCAGGAGTACATCTCATGGGATAAAGCACCAAGCGAAAAAAAGTACATTCTTTCAACTGGCTCAATGCTAGGACTAATCCCAAGCCCATTCCAGCAAGTATACGCAGGAACAAAGGCCTTTTTACAGCTGTGGTCTGAGTCCATATCAACTGAGCTGCCTGGGTACCACACTGAAGTCTTTATGACAGGCCTTGTGTGCTCAAAGCTCTCAGGAGCAAAAAAGCCTAGTGTTTTTGTTCCTGCAGCAGACACTTACGGCAGGTGCTGTGTGCAGTCATTTGGGACATGCACTGTAACATATCCTTATTTCCCACATGCCCTTCTTAATATACTCGTGAATATGCTTCCTCGGCAGGCAGTGTGCTTTGCCATGGACAGATTTGGAAGGCACATACGAAAGATCAAGCAAAAGGCAGCAAAGAAGAAAGTATAAAGAATAATCTATACAAATAAACTATTTTCATGTGAGTTCATACTGCAGACTTATTGTCTATACTGCAGTCACATAGTGACTTGTATCTCTGTAATTTAGGATATTTTGACTACACCAGAATATGTGCTTATGTGTAGGTTCTTCTCTTCTTATGTGTCTTGGTCTATTCTAGCCGTATAGTGTGCATCTTAATAATTGGTGAGTAATTGGCTAATATTTAGTCTGGCATAGCATAGTATCGATACCGAGTCTGCATTATGACAGATTTATGTTTAAATAATTTCTCTTCACTAAAAGATAAACTGTAATAAATTGGGAATAAAAATGAAGAAGATTTATTTTTTCTTGGATTATTTGGGGTATGGTAAATAAAACACATATTCTTTTAATTGTGAATTTCATTGGTTTAGATCATGCTTACAGTAAGCCCTTTTGTCTATTTTTGCTACATCAGGATATTTTAAAGAATCATTAGATCTATTATATACATATACTGGAAATACAACAAATGGAAATTTTAAGTGACTAAAATAAGTATATTAGACAATATAACTTATGACATATAGGTATTACAGCACAGAAATCAACTCTCTAGCAGCACACATCATAGCACGGTTATTTATAGATTTTTTAAATGTATTTCTAGTTGATTGATTTTCGCAATATCTATTCATAGTGATTTCGAATATATTATTCAGATTCTGCGAATATAACCAGAGATTATTAATTTTCTGTCTTGTATGCGATATTATGACTATTTTTGTGGGTAGTTGATTCTTCAGTATGCACAGTTGGGAGTATTAATTTTCTTTCTCTTTTAAAATTAAAATGTCAAAGTTCTTCGCCGGACTGGAGGATGCCCCACAAAAGAAAGTAAATTCAGCAATGGCTGCACAAATGAACTTTTCTGAAGAAAGCGACGATGACAAGCCAGTTATCTCAAATAAAGAAAAGAAAGATGAAGAAATATTAAAGATATGCGAAGAAACAACCTTTAAGAAGCCAAAGGACATAGACCAGTTCTTTAAGAAACTGACAAAGTACACAGCACACTTCACAAAGCAAGGACTTCCTACTGTGCTAGTAGAGTTTTTGATCGAGGTAGAGAAGAATAAGTCAACACCAGCAATTTTCAAGTCAAAAAAGGCCAAGTTCTTAGAGAAATACAATGAAGTAGAGGTTATTCTGAGTACAGTTGAAGAGAAGAAAAAGAAAAGAAATTATCTTGAGGAAATAAGCAAAACATATCTCATTGATAACCTAAATAAGAGAAAAGAGGCACTTTTAGAGATAGAAAAGATACCAGATCTATCAGAAGTAGAGATGCACAGAATCAATTTGTATCTGATAAGCTGCATGATGGAAGAGAGTATGGAGGAGAACTATGCAGAAATAATGAGCAGGTTTAAAAATGAGAAGGATTTCATGCAGGCAGATGAAGAAAAGGAGCTTCTGAAAACAAGAGTAGGAAAGTACATGCAGAGATTACTAAAGTACATTCAAGAAGAAGATGCCCGCAGGCTTAACTGGGAGAGTACATATAATGATATGGTAGAAATATCAGAAGGACTAAGAAGCATAACAACCACCCCCATGGAGAGCATCCTTGAAATAGATTATTTCCTGAGGTGTGATGTGAATACTTCTAGGCCACATCTTTCTGATGAATTTAGAAGCAAGCCCATTACAGAGCATGAGATCAGTATCTTTAAGGCTGTTGAAGAGATGCGAGAATTGCCATTGGTGCAGGCAATTGCACTATACAGAAAACTTGCAGAAGACTTAAAGAGTGAAAATACGTGTCTTCTTAAATGCGCAGAGGAACTGGGTCACAGGGCATTCATGGAGAAAGATTTCCCAAATGCAATGGATCTCCTTGAGCATGCATACAATAACAAGACCCTTTGGAGCAGCGAGAAAACAGAAACAATGCTTTCTGTGCTCTGCCTGTGCTTTGAGGACAAGATGCGGGATAGAGAGTTCTTTACTGTTTTCAAGAAGAATCTTCTGGTAGTTGGAGACAACCTGCTTCTTCTTAGGTCAGTAAGCGTAAAGATGGAAGTAGCAAGGGCATTTATCCTTTTGCGCCTAGGCAAGCACCAGGAGGCGCACAAAATTATTGCAGAATTGCTTCCTGGATTCCAGTGTGAATCTCTTTTGCGCGCACGTGCAATAGAACTACTACTCACTCCACAATAAATAAAGGATTATGCGTACTTTTAGTGCCTTGCAGTACATGCATTCTTCCATGCAAAGTGTTTAACTTTATCGATAAAGATCTACTAAACAGACAGTGCAAATTCACATCGAAAATTCCTTTGACTGCAGGTAAACAAAAGGTTCTTGCAGTAGGACAGATTATTCAATGAATTTCTGGATACTACAGCAGAAGCAGCTGTTTTGCAAGTAAAATTCTTAATGAAAAATAAATGAGTTTCTGGATGAAGTAGCAGTGACTAAGTTGCATCTCATAATAGTACAAACAGTGCACTTTATAAGTTGCAAATAAATGGGAAATTATTCTGATTCTTTTTAACGGAATAAATGCTTTCAAATATACTATAGACTAACCTCAATATTCTTATTTTTCATGCAAGGCATAGTCTGAATTTATAGTAATTCTGTAATATGCACTGTAAAACTCCTTCTCTTTGGATTTTGTCTATAGACCAAGATACTTCTGTTATTTTCTGCATGAATTCTTTGTTCTTTGTGAGTGGGTGCAATTGGCACTTGTGCAAGTGCTTCAGTGTATCTCTGATTACTTTAAATGCTGCAAATTATTTTTGTTATATGTTTACTTTTATAGCAATTGGTCTGCTCATTCCGCTGTGTGTTGCCTTCTATATTAGAAGAACAAGGAAGGAGATGAAGATTGAGATGCTGTCGTATGACAACAAATATTTGAAGGAGTATTTGGACCTGCCTAGTGAGAGCACACAGCTTGATCAGTACAAAGTCTTAGCAAAGGCCAGCATATATCTAATAGAGAAGGAAAGCGAGATTGAAGACGAGTCTAAAATGATCTACTCACTCTTCTACTCGCGTATGATAAGCAGCACTCTATGGAACCATCTGAAGAAAATCAAGGAGGAGCTAAATCTGGATAAAATCACAGTAGAAGCAGAACTAGGGCGATTTTCAAAGATTGACAAGAGCAGTGCGGATATTATCACAGCAGAGAAATACAAAAAGTCAGTTGTAGATGCCCCATGCAAGGAAAAAATGACAGGATATATCTCAGAGTCAGCTAGGGATAAGTTGTACTTAAGGCTCAAGGAAAAAGAGTCTCTTTAAATAAACCTAAATGATACTAATAATGTGCTTACTAAATGAAATATTCAGGTTATTCAGGTTATACTAGGTAGCATATCACTTATGACTAAGTTTTCTCTTTACTCTGTGGGATCCAGAGTGTTTTTGCAAATTGTGTATTTTCTATTGCACTAAAGACAACTAAGAGTTAATTTCTAGCAGAAAGACACAAAATGTAACCAGATATAACCCGAATAACCAGAATAACTTAAATAAAGAGACTAAGCTTGAATATATTCTACTTGGGTTAATTTGGGTTAGTTCTGGTTAGTTCTGGTTCAAACATATTAAAGCAATAAACTCCTACTCCTGTCAGTCGGATGTCAACTTTAAGGATTTTTCGAGAATTGGGGGCCTTCTTCGTATATGTCTACGTCCCAAGTTAGTCAGTGGGCAAATACGGTTCAGGCGGTATTAAATTTAGAATTGTCTCAATATTCAAACTAAGTGCTTTCACTGTTATATTTTAAGAGCTAGTCTATTGTCTGAAGAATAATTTGAATTTCCAACTGTGAGTGTTATATCTGGTTCGTGTTATATCTGGTTATATCTGGTTATATCACAGGGATATTGATTATTTATGGCGTACATACTATTATATACGGGCTCTTATGCACTTGTCTACATAAATGCATTTTGGTTATAGAAATATCTTGTGTATCTTTGAACTATTTTGTTCATGTGCACTAATTATGTGCCCTGCTGTATATTGGCATCCTAAGTTTAGAAGATTTCCAGTGCTTTGTCCTTCTATAAATATTTTCTCTTTTCTGTTTTTGCATGGCCATTCTTAATATGAAGATACTCTCGTTTAAAACCTACAGAAAAGTAGAAAGCATTCCTTTTTCGCCGTTTACATGTATTGTGGGACCAAATGGCGTAGGAAAGAGTAATTTGGTTGATGCACTATTATTTGTGCTGGGTGCAAGTCCGCATGAAATTCGAGGAAGTCTCCCTGCCAGAGACTGTCCGCCCCCAACACAGATTGAAATTTCCTTCCGGAATAGAAATGGAGCCATTATCATTCTAAAGAGAGAGCTTGTTAATGAGATATCTGCCTTTTACATAGACGGCATGAAGGTGTCTTTTTCTGAGTATGCAGCGTACCTGGAAAGCCATAATATTTCAACAACACACAGGAACTTTCTTATCTCGCAGAATGAAGCACTGATAAAATCTCCAAAGGAACTATCTAGATTCATTGATGCAATATCAGGCTCATCTGCCTATAAAGAGATCTACAAAGAACTGAAGGACCAGAAGGATCTCCTTACAAAGGAATATAGGGAGGTTTTAGAGAGAAAAAGGGCTGCAGAAATATCTGTTAAGGCGTATGAAGAAGTGGTAGATATGCAAAACAGACACCGTACACTCATTGCAAGAAGAAGGACTTTGGCGAGTTCAAAGATAAAAAAGAGAAGGGCACATGTGCAAGAAGTAAGAAAAGGCCTAGTATCCAGGCTTAGCACAATTAAAGGAAAGGAGAACAGTGAGTCATTGCAAGGCCTTCATAAGGAAATAGCAGTGACTCAGGCAGCTCTTATTAAGTGCAGAGCAATTAAGGCAGGAATTGAGCACAGAAAGGAAAATAAAAACCGAGAAGCACAAAGGACACACAGTGCAGATGAAAAAGAGACAGAATTGCAGAAAGTGAAGGAGCAAATAAGTGAAGCAAGAGCACAGATTGATGACTGTGAATGGCGGATTAAAAAGACTGAAGAACTTTCCCAAACATATCCTGGGTGGAATGAAAAGTACCAAAGGGATGTTTTAGTCCAGGCACTCACACAGATCCAAAGAGTAGAAGATTCAAAGAGTATTTTGCAAATGAAAATTCAGTTGGAAGAGATAAGAAGGGAGATAAAGGAGACAGTGCAGAAGGAAAGAGAGCAAAAGAGCATAGAAGATAGTGAAGCAGGAAGCACTCATTTGGCTCATCTAAACCAAAGTCTTTTGGAGACTCTAAAAGAACTCTCCAGTAGAGTAGCACACAGCAGGGATGCAGATTATAGTTCACGGCTGGGATATCTTGTCTCCAGAATTAAGGGAAGCATTCCGCAGATTGTTGGGAGACTGGGTGATCTTGTTAGTTGCACAGACTCAGCATACCAAACAGCCATTAATGCACTGATACATGCAAAAAGAAATATCGTTGTAATAGAGCAAGAGAAGCACGCACTTCCAATTCTTAATGGACTGTCACAGTCTGGGGCTGGCAGAGTGACTATTCTGCCTATTAATCGACTTAGTTCAAGCACTCCCAAGCATCCTTGTAGTGAGAAGGAAAATGAAGATGGTTCTTTCTATTCAGAGAGTGATACTCCAGTAGGATATATCAGATGCAGTGATGTAATTAGACTAGTGCCTTGTGTGAAATGTGATTCAAGCAGGCTTATTAATTATATATGTGGAAGATCACTTATATATCTTGGCACTGGGTCTCCTAGTTATACTGCAGAGAAGGTTGTCACTCTGGATGGAGTAATTATCTCTAAAGAGGGAATGGTCCGGCGAGTTGATGTGCATGGCTCTGAGAGTGCAGTCAGGGGTTTGGAAGAGAAAAGAGATAGGCTCCTTGAAGAGATAAAAATGGAAACGCAGGCGCAGAAGACAGCACAGAGAGAGAAGATTTCTGATGAAAAAAGTGAAGCAGTAGAAGCACTTGAGAAGAAGTATATAGAAGCAAAGACAGAATTATCACAGGCAGAGGCTGAAATAAAGGAGCAGATCGACAAGATAGTAGCTAACTCTCAAATACCACACAGCATAATCAAGCAGGCAAAGGAAGAGGGAGTAATTGACTCTTCATCAGCGCATAGAAAGGCAGAGCAAATAAAAAAGAAAGAACTCTCCTGGAGAAATAGACTGGATGTTCTCACTCAGACACTAAGCAGACTGGAAAAAATACCAACTACCTTGGAAGTAAGCACAGAAGAAAGCACAGAAGGCATAGACCAAGATATAATGGGATTAGAGCAGAAACTAGCAGAACTATCAGGAAAGATAGAGCCATCTGCAGAGATAGAAGTAAAGGTGATTAAGGAGCAGATTCTTGTGCTGGATGATGAGATCGAAGAGATAGAGCAATACATGGCAGAAGAGGGCTTGTCTGAAGAGACAATCAATGAAGCACCAGACTCAGTCGATGAAGATGACTTGGAGAAGCTTGAAAGAGAAATTGCAAGTCTAGCAGGATTTCTCTCAAAAAAAGGAGTTGTCTCAGAGACACACCAGATGTATGCCCAGCTGGAAAAAGAAGCAGAAGAGAAGAAGAATATGCTATCTGAAGTAACCAAAGAATTTCAGAAAGTAAGAAAGGAGAGAACCTCTCTCTTCCTTAGTGTATTTGACAGAATAAATACACTAATTAATCAGCACTATGCCAGGCTCACAGAGAATCCTGCAGGACATGTTCGTGCGCATCTGGGGCTTGAGAACTCATTAGAGCCGTACCTGGCAGGAATACAGATATTTGTGATGCCGACAGGAAAAACATTCAGAGAGGCTAAGTATCTGTCTGGTGGAGAGAAAACAATGGTTGCTTTGTCTTTGCTGCTTGCTGTGAATTCCATATACCCTTCACTCTTCTACATATTCGATGAGCTTGATGCTGCACTGGATAAAGACAAAATATGCTCTCTTAGGGAATCACTGCAAGAAATAAACGCGCAGTTTATTGCGGTCACCCACAGAATTGAGCTATTTGAAAATGCAGATACTCTAATAGGGGTTGCCCGCCCACCAAAAGGCCACTCCCAGATATTCTCTCTTAAGCTTTAGACTAGATTTACACATCTAGCAGAAATAATATTACATATTACAGCCTGCACTGCTTTGAACTGCATGACTAGACAACAATGGATGTATTGGATATATTAGTCAGAATATGTTCACTCTGCCATTTCTATTTAGGCAGTTTTATAAATACTTATAATCAAATGCAAATATCCGTTTTTCTTATCTAAATTATCTAAAATGCGCTTTATAAGCACTCAGATACTTTTGTGCAGAAGTGCCTCAGCAAAAGAATTCAATGAGTCTTTCATTCTTTATATCTGGCATAAATAAATCAAGTGAACAGCCTTGTTCTCTCTAGCTTGTAGTAAGTCTATAGAAGAAATCTGAAATATGAAAAATACCATATATCGGGTTATTCAGGTTATATCGGGTTATTTTGGGTTATGCTTAAACAACTATTTACGGAATATTCTAGTGCCTTTCTTGCAGACTCAATCGATCTAGTATAAAGTGCAGTCTCTTGCATGCACAATAAATCAGAAAATAAATGCTAAATATATCATAATTCACCAATTAAATTGAACTATTCTAAATTAGTAAGAGTGAAAGAATAAACTTATTTTACAGTTTCCTACATGCACTGGGCACCTGCATATTAATTGTCTCTTTTCACTTGTTAATTTGACTATTCCAGGCTATCCCAGTGCCTCTGTATAAAAATATTAATAATTGCACCCACTGCAAAAAGAAAGAGAAATGGAATACGGCAGAGACAGACCATACGAAATAGGATTAGTGAATGACGAAAATACATTGACAGATGATCAGGTAAAAGCATTATTTAATGAGTTTATTGATACATTTAGAATAGGAGAGGACTACATATACAGAGAAGAACTAGCAAAGAATGAGAAGTTGTTGAGGGTTACTGTAGAGCACATGAGTATATTCGATACAAGATTATTTGAGAGTGTAATGAGCAGACCTCTTCACTATCTGGAAATATTCCGGGGCTCAGTCAATGCCTCTGGGAAGAAAGAAAGACACATTGAAATTGTCTCGCAGTCAACTGTTACGCCAATAAGAAAACTTGACTCTGCTCACATAAACAAAATATCCACAGTCCGTGGAATAGTTCTATCTGTGTCCAGTGTGTGCTCCAAGCTACTTGCACTGTACATATTCTGTAGGACCTGCCTAAACTCAAAGGTTGTGAAGGATATGCTCCCAAGGAAGTGCGAGTCATGCAGTGGTACGGACAGCTTTGTGGCATCGCCAGAGAAAAGTATTCTGCAGGATATTCAGTACATAAAAATACAAGAAGCATTTGAGGACTTGCCAACAGGAGAAATAGCCAGGCACCTTATGATAACTGCAGCAGATGGACTAGTGGACAGAGTTATTCCTGGGTCTTCTGTTACGATAACGGGCGTGTACTCTGTTGGAAATACGAAAATGAATATTCCTTACATAAAGGCCATGGGTATCTCAGTGTGCGAGCAGCAGATGGGAGTGCTTTCTGCACAAAGAGCAGTAAGGAAGGTGCAGAAGAAGTTCACTAGTCTCTCCCGCTCAATAATTCTGAATAGCATATCCCCTGAGGTATTTGGTCACAAGGATGTGAAACTGGCCCTGGCGTGTGCTCTATTCGGCGGTATACAGAAGTCATTTGAGGATGGAATTCGGGTGAGAGGTGATATTAATGTGCTTCTCTTGGGAGACCCAGGAATCGCAAAAAGTCAGTTGCTGAAGTTTCTCTCCGGTGTGTCCACCCGAGGTGTGTACACAAGTGGAAAGGGAGCAAGTGCAGCAGGTCTTACTGCGACTGTGTGTAAGGACAGGCTTGGAAACTTCTATCTAGAGGGGGGTGCTTTGGTTTTGGCTGATGGCGGGCTCTGCTGCATTGATGAGTTTGACAAAATGCAGGAGAAGGACAGAGTGGCCATACACGAGGCCATGGAGCAGCAGACTATCTCCATCTCAAAGGCAGGAATTGTCACGTCGCTTAACTCAAGATGCGCTGTAGTCGCAGCTGCTAACCCGATATTCGGAAGGTATGATGAGAATAAGGCACCTGGTGAGAACATTGACTTTGGCGTAACCATTTTATCAAGGTTTGATCTGATATTCGTTATCAAGGACTCCATGACATCAGATAAAAAGATTGCAGAGCACGTGATAGGCAGGTTTATGAATAAGAACCAGGAGATAGATGGGCATAATATTATGCAGCACCTATCAATAGAAGAACTTAAGGATTACGCAGAATATGCGAGAACAATCAACCCAGTGATAGAGGATGAAGCAGCACAAAGACTCCGGGCATTCTACATACAGACAAGAAAAACAGCACATGCCTCCCGGGAGTCAGGAAATGGAAGTGTGCCTATTACAGTGCGTCAGCTAGAGGCAATTGCAAGAATCAGTGAGGCACTTGCAAGAATGGAGCTGGAGAGCGTGGTGACAACTGAGCACGTTGAAGAAGCAATCAGACTCTTCACAGAAAGTACGATGAAAGCCGTTGCCATGGGGCATTATGTGGAGGGCATGCCCAGACAGGAATGGATCCGAGAATTCTCGCAGGTTGAAGCAGCCATAAAAGTCTGCCTTCCAGTTGGCCTTTCCAAGCCGTACAGACACTTGGTCAAGGAGCTCTGCAGGAACTACAACGAAGGAGTTGTCATGCGCTGTCTGGATGGTCTGATTCGAAAGGAAAAGCTGTGTGTGGCAAATGGCGGAAAAACAATATTAAGAATGCCATAATGCAGCTGTAAGAAAAATAGCTCAGTCACCTTATACGCCACGCACTCTTAATAAACACACATGTTGCATGCTCTGGGTAGCATATGACCGCGTGGTCTAATTTCATTTGGATAATCTGCAGAAATAAAAGTGTTCCAGTATGCAAATTGTACGAAGCTTTAAATCCACCATAAAGAAGAAGTAAAGGCATACTTATTAAAGAAATAATAAAATGGCAAATCCCTTTGGATATTTATCTTTCCATAGTAGACCTTCTGTTTATTACTTTCTTATTGCATCTTTGATTGGAGTAATCTATACGCAGACTCCAAAACTAAAGATGTAACAAGAAAGGTAGATACGGGTTATTTTCATGGTTTCATGTACTGTTTACTGTTAATATATTTATTACTGTTTTCATGTACTGTTTACTGTTATATTCAGATTTTTAATGAAAATATATCTATTGAATTATTCTTGCTTAACTAATAATTAAATTCTTGTCTCTTGGGGAATTTCAGAAAATTCTTTGCATAGTGAAGAGGTAATTTCTTACAAAACTAAAATAGAAAAAACACTATTATGTCTGGGTTACACGAAATACTCGTTATAAAAACAAGTTATATCTTTGTTCAAACGTATTAAAGCAATAAACCCCTACTCCAGGTTATATTCGGGTTATTCGGGTTATTCATGCATCATGCTCCATGCATCATATTCTCTACAAAATGACTATTCTGATAAATGAATTGATTTCATGCATCTTCTGCACAGAAAATACTTTTACTACTCTAACTGTATATTTATTTAATCTATCTATACTCTTCTATGGCATGTTCCCCTTTTTGTACTCTGTTGGTATTCCGGAATACCCCTCTATTAGATCATCATTTGCCTCTTCTACGGTGGATTCTATCGTTATTCCAGATACTTTTTTAAGATATTCTCCAGTCTGGAAGTACTTCTTTGCTTGCTCTGCAGTGCATACTTCGTCCTTGGACAGTCGAAGGGCATTCATTGTGCTGGTTATTTGCAAAAGAGATGTACTTCCGGTCTCTGAGGCTGTTTGTGTTTCAGTTTTCTTCTTTATCTCTTCGGATATCCCATGCTTTGCTACTTCTAGATTTGTCGAGTACCGCCCATCCCACTCTTCTCTGAATGCCATGAGCAAGTCAAATGGCCGCAGGGCAATAATGTTCTCTTCAAATCTAAAGCTAGAGAAAGGACACTGTATCACTATAAAGGCATCCACACCCACAAAATTCCCTAGCTTATTTGGCTTCAGCCCATTGATGTAGAAGTGATAGAACTTCTTGTTGTTCATATCTAGATATTTTGATACAAGATCAATTAGATCCATGTGGTCCCCTGAAGTAAACACGATTCCTATTTTGCTTGCACTCTTTAGGATATCAATATTTGCCATTTTTGCAACTAGTGCTCGGGTCTTTCTTACTTCAAGTGTTTTTGCGTCTTCTTTGATTTTCTTCAGCAGCTCAAGCCTCTGTGTAAGAAGCTTCTCTTCAATTAGAATACAACTGTAATTGTCTACAAAATAATCAATGAATCCACGGTCCTCTGAGAGAACAATAATTATGCTTCTTTCTTCTGCCTGCGAGTACTTCCACTCTTTTACTTCTCTGCCTAGTACTCTTCCTAAATATTCTTGAATTTTTTCGTACGCATGAATGTATTTTACATCAATAGCCAGATATATTTCACATTCTGGCGGGAAATAGGGAGTATCTGTAGTTAGTGAAGATGCATCTAAATCTACAGATATATTGCACTCTGTGATGTACTGAATCACTTTGTAACTGTCTGTTATCTTTTTGCTTCTTGATAGGTTTAGCAAAGGACAAGAAAATGATCTTTTTATGATGCACTTCACTTGTGCATGCTGCACGGCCACCCAGTCAATGCAGCATCTGTCTGAGTCTGCTAGAATGTGCGACTCTATCTTGTGCTGCAGCAGCATTCTGCTTATATCACGCCCTGTGCTGTAACTATTTTTTGCCACTTGTATTCCTACTTTTTCTTGTGGAATGTCATCCAGCCACTCCCCGTGACATTTATCTGCGCAGGCAGTTTTGACTTCATTACTAAGAAAGTATTTCATTACTTGAGTGGGTAAATTTTTTACATATTATGAAAGCCAAAAGACTTTCTATTTTCCATAATGGAGACAGCCAGGATGGATACCTTATGGAAACACAGAATACCTCTCTTCTTTTTGACCCGCCTTCAGTGATTTTAGACAAAAACATTGAAATAGGCAGCATTTTAGACCGAAAGTACATTGAAATTGAAGTAATCAAAGAATACCCTCCAAACATAGCTGGAATCTTCATTACAAATAGCAATGCACTTTCTGTATTTTTTATTGAAAGCAATGTAACAATATACCTAACTGACTATATATATTTGCAGATGAAAGAAAGACTAAAGTACTATAGGTCCCTAGGCCCAGTCAGCCAGTGCACATCTGCCCCGCAGGCACATACAAAGATAGTTTCTGTAGCAGAGTACAAGGACATTTCAAAAAGGATTAAGATCATTCGGAATAACCAAATAATTAACTTCACATATCTATCCATTACTGCACGTGCTGCAGGAACATCTCTTGGGTGGGTAATGTATGATATTGCACAAGGCAGAGAGAAAATATGTGCATACACATACGGTATTCCCGGAGGAAGTTCTCTTTCGCATGAAATGAAGCCACAGAATCAGCCAACTCCTCTATTTGTCAACCAGTTTCGAGCTGCGAATGCACTGACTATTCAGGATTTATCAAAGGCAGTTACCACTCTATCAAATAGCAAAGAGTCTTTTGTGATTACAATGGACGTGCTGTCTCATTCAGTAGAAATGGCTCTTCATATTCTCAGCTTAGTCAAGACAAGAAATATATACGTGGTGCACCCAGGATTCAAGCGCATTATGCAGCTGTACGAAATGAAGAGAGACGTCTTTGCTGAGAAGTTTGTTTCTGAGCCCTCTATTATATCTACTCTCTTTACCACGCCAAGGCTCAAGCCATCAAGCCTATTCAAAGCATCCAAGGCCATGGCGAGTGAGAGCATAATTATTCTGTGCGAGCCAACCTTCTACAAACTATTCTATAAATCTATGCCTGTCATTCATCTTTCAGACTACGGCATAAAATTCACAGGCTGCATGGAAGATGCACTGAAGCTGCCATGGATATCCCAGCTCTGTCTTAACAAGCTAAAGAAAGATTGTGCCATAGAAGAGAAGATTAGTGTCCCAGTTGAAGATGTCACGGAAGAGGGCCTGCTTATAGCCGAGAGTGCATTGTTCAGCATACACCTGCATAACACGCATAATATTAATGTGGTTTCCAAGAGTAAGGAGGGCCTTTCACTGCACTTTGCAGGGGACTTCAAGAAAGATTTAATAGGACTTTCATTGGATTGTAAAGAGTCAAAACTGCAGAATATACTGTCCCACAATGCAGCAAGCCGACTTGTAGTTAATAGTACTTTGGTTTGTCCAGTTGAAGATGCAGTTTTCAAGATAAAGGAAGAGGGTGGGATTGTTTCTGTAAAGAAAGAGCAGCTTCCAAGAAATTAATAAAACCAAAATATTTCTGTGTGCAGTTGTTTTATACTTTTAATATCTTTAGTATATTTAGTATCTTTATATTATTCTGAGTCCATTCGGTGTTACAAAAACATATATATAAGTAGGTTATATTTGTTCTATCTTCTTTTCTATTTACTTGCAATATACTGCAAGCCATTAAGAAAAAAGAGAGTTTTAATAAATATAACCCGATATAACCCGAATAGAAGTGTTCTACAGCACTTTATTATTTTAGAAACTGTTGTCGATTAGAAAACTAAAGATGAAAATTTATTTAAAACTAGTAGTAGTAGAGAGAGTGTGACAACAAAAAATAAGAAAGAATTTCTTATTTAGCCACATGGAATAATATAACCCGATATAACCCGAATAGAAGTGTTCTACAGCACTTTATTATTTTAGAAACTGTTGTCGATTAGAAAACTAAAGATGAAAATTTATTTAAAACTAGTAGTAGTAGAGAGAGTGTGACAACAAAAAATAAGAAAGAATTTCTTATTTAGCCACATGGAATAATATAACCCGATATAACCCGAGTGTGCTTAGTGCCAGATTATCGCATAGAATACTTGAGGCTTAAAATCTTAACTGCCACAGTAAACCATTAACACAACCCGAAACCATTTATTAACTGTGAATGAAATCCTTCAGATTTACATACTAGCTGTATTTTCTCTGAAATAATATACTTGGCCGTACTAAACTTATTTGTAATTTATGCCTTGCCCTCCATGCGTAGGCCTAAAGCCAATAGCCTATTATTAATACGTATTTATTGGAAGCACAATATAACTAAAAATAGTCAGAAGAATTAATTAATTAAATTTAAGCACAAACAACAATTGCTTCCCATAGTGCATTAGTGTACAATTTAAAACAATATACATCCATATTACTAGCCTAGATATGAGATTTTGCACAAAAAAGACAGAAAATCAATAGATATCCTACAGGTTTTAAATAGAAATAACGAAAATATATGAATATTCAGGGGATGTGGTAGATTTCCAGATTATATTAAAATGGTTTAGTCTTAAATGTGTTAATAAACCACTAGTTTTTTTAATTATAAAAATTAATGCATAAATACTCAAAAATAAAAATAATTATGGAAAATTTAAATATAACAGATAACAAGAATGAGCATACAGAGATTGACATTGGAAACTTACCAATTGATGACATAGAACTAAATAGTATTGCAGAGGAAGAAAAGTCTGCGGGCATTCTCATGAAGATGGACAAGTACGAGCGGATTACAGAAAAGGGAGTCCCTCTACTCAAAAGAGTTTCTTTTTCTCTGCCAGAGGGGAAGATGACTGCACTGCTTGGTCTGAGTGGAGATGAAAAGTCTGCGCTAATGGAAGGAATGGCAGGGCTATGTAGTCCCTCGCACAAAACATACGGTGAGGTGTACGTTAAAGGAAAGAGCGGTGCACTTGAGAAAAGAAAGGCAGAGGAGTGGTTCAGCCGAGTGAACTACACACAGCAGAGCACGATGGAGTACAAAAAGATTTCTGTATATGATATTCTGTGGTCAATTGCAAAGTGCTATGGAAAGGAGGAGCAGGAGGTAAATGACTATATGTCAATGCTAAGGATATCAAAAGTGAAGAAAGTGCATTTTAACAACTTATCTAAAAGTGAACAGAAAAGAGTTATAGTGGCTGCAGAACTACTTTCACAGAAGGAGCTCAACATATGGGACGAGCCTCTAACAGGGCTAGACTCAGAGATAGTACATGTAATTCTTTCTACAATGAAAAGCGCACAGAACACAAACTTGGTAGCAATGCATCAAGCATCAGAAGACATAATGAATCAGTTTGACCTGGTTCTTCTTATGCACAAGTCCACTATTGTGTACTCAGGACCAGCAGAAGAGATGCAGGCATACTTCACAGAAAAGGGAATAGAGTTCCCAAGTGGCATGTTTTATGTGAACTATCTAATGCAGCTCTGCGCTGAGAACAGCGAAAATCACATAGACATTCACAATATTGAAATACTCGACGTACTAGCAAATGAAATCATCCACTCGCCATGTGGAGAGAAAGCTGGGAAAAACAATCTATTCGCAAGCAGTCAGTTAAAACTGTCCTTCACAGGAATTGTGGAAATACTTAAAAGATCACTATACACGGACAGATTCTTCATGGGTGAATCCCTCATTGGAAGCCTGTTGATTGTTCTATTTGCCTGCATAATCTCAACCATAAGCATATATGCAACTCTATACTATTTTAGTTTTGATAAATATCCAAGTAATGTATATTATTTATGTAAAAACATACATGCGCTTAGATTTCCGAAAATAATCTCTATTCTAAAAGAAAGAGTCTCAGAATCCAACTATGAAAAGGATCTTAAGCCTTTATATATTACAGCCTCCAATGCAGGATGGGTGTCTATCCTTACAAAGATATTTAAACCTGCAATTTTATTTGCTGGGAGTGTGTGCTGCTTAGTCATCCCGTCTAGCTTCTTGAATATTTCCTTTTTCAAGAACTGCAGGAATAATATACAGGGAAAACAGTTTACAGCAGGCGACTTTATAGTAGCACAGGCTATTGATATTATGCTGAAAAAAACCCTTTCTCTTTGGGCAGTTCTAGTAGGAATGTACTTTCTTGCCTACTCCCTTATAAGCGAAGATATGCGAGGCGGGATTATAATTGGGCACACTTTACCCATTCTACTTCTACTGTTTGCATCGATCCTAATAGGAATGTACTCGCTTGTCTTTCATTTTGCGCCAATTCCTGTCCAGAAATTCTCTCTAATTGTGGGTGTTTATATAGGAATAGTGTACCTCCTGCCTTCTATGATATTCAACGGATTAAGCAAATCTCAGATTTTTGACTACAGCTACTTCTTCAAATATTCTATATCTATTTTCATAGATGATTATCTAGAGTTTTTCAACTGGGCCATATTAGAGTATAATATGGAGTCGCATATAGTATTCAAAGTGGCATTATTTATTTTTAATGCTATAATTTCATTAGTGCGATTCTTTTTACACTGGTGCATTCCTGCAGAATCATTCTCGCAGATTTTAGAAAAGTCTGCATTATACATGAATGCATTCCCATTTCAACCAATTGACACTAATGATATTTATTCAGTTTGGACTAGATATTTTACTCAAAATATAAATGACATTCTGACAGCCAGAACCAATCAATCAGATGACAGTTTAGTTTATACTGATGATATGATTAAAATTGCGTCTGATGCAATTAAAGACCTGAATAGTATGGATATTAAGACCCCACACGAAGCCTTTGACAATTCAAAGCCCCTTCCAAATGAACTCTTAGAACATATTGTATTAAGTATGCTAAGATTTTTGGCTCCTGCATGCATTCTTCTGGTAGTATCTGCTGCTTGCATGTATATTCGCATGCAGCCCAAGCTAAGAAACTAATTTCTTTCTGGCTCAGAACAGTTTAAGTTTGCATAAATAAAAGCTTTTTATTAATTGGTTTATGATAAGTTCAGGATATAATATAGTTCAATAGCATAAAATTGTTTGACTCCTTTCTATACAAGAAAAACCAATAGGGTTGATATCCACTTTTAAACAGGGGGTTTATGTGATTAGTCTGCTTCTTTCAAGCTTTAGAGAGTCTTAGTGCATGTTTTGCATTCCTTTTTATGGCTTCCTCTGTAAATGTGTCTATTAATTTTCTTTTAGTCTCGTGAAATATAGAGGGAAGAAATCACTGTATTATAGATGGTTCGATCTTCTAGCAATCTTATCAGCTATCTATAGCTTTAGATCGCTCTATTCGATTAAGCCATCCATGAATAGTTCAGAGTGTTCGATTAAGCCAAGAAGGCACCAATAAAAGCTGTTTGTTAAACTGTACTCCTGATGTATATTATTGGTTGTTTAATAAAATAGTGTATATATACCTCAACTCATCTATAGAGTAGAGTAATGAAAGCAATAGTTAAGTTTTTTATTTCTGCTATGGCATTGCTAACCATAGGTATAGCTCTTGGCGTATATATATATAACAAAAAAATCCATTTAAAGAAAAATAATCTGCAGGATAGTGGCTCTACTCATAAACCGTTAGAAGGCCCTTCAACTGTTAATAACAATGAGAGAAAACCTACAGATCTAACTAATAATAGTACTCCTGCAGATGATTTAAATAGTTCACATAAGGAAGAAATCTCAAGTAGTGTATATATGGACTGTCCTGAATATATTTCTGCTACAATAGAAGAGGGTGATAAAAAAATGGAATCTAGTGAAAACAACCCTACGTCCAAATCTATAGAAGAACAAAAGCAAGAAAAGAAATCATGGTTTTTTAGTATTAATCTTAAATCAATCTTAAATTTCTTTCGTAGTGGATCTAGTACTAAAGACATTGCAAAAGATGCTAGTATAGAAACTATTATGAATACAGAGGCGCCTTCAGAAGAAGATGAAGAAAGTGGTATGACTGAAGAAGAGAAACTTAAAGATATACTTGGAAAGATACGTATGGCATGTGGTACTGTTTATAATATACCAGATGACTATATTAGTAACGAAGAAACTCAAAAAAATATTTTAAGCTACTTTAATGAAGTTGTAATAGAGGAGTTTTATAAAGATCGCAAGCATAAGTACATAACTTTGAAGGATCTTTTAATAGAATTAAGTAAGATACAAGAGAAAAGTAATGATATTTTACCTATAGGTTTGAGATATGTGTCTTTTAAATGTCCATCTTTATTTAAAGAAGATAAGTATATGCATCGCTTGTTATTGGGCTACTATAACAGGAAAAATGGCTCTCTAGATAAATTAAAAATAGAAGGCTTTTCTCTAACAGATAAGGATTTTGGGATTTCTTCCTTCAGTGAATTGCTACGCAATATAGAGGATCTCTGTCTTTTAAATACAGTGGTTTCTATCGATTTACTAAGGGCTATTTCTGAGATGAAGAATCTTCAAGTTTTAGAGCTTGGAGAACAAACTAAAATACTAGAAGACAGTACGCCTGAACTAAATTTGTCAAATATTCAGAAACTATACATGCATGATATAGACAGCACGAGTGCACAGAAAATTCTTCAATTATTGGGCCCAAGAGATAAAGATTTAGATCTTACTATAACCCGAATTAATTTTATTCCAAGCTCTGTTATTAATAACATAAAGTGTCTAGACAAGATTGAAATATTTAAACTTAGTAATACTACCTTTGAAAAGGAGCCGGATTTCGGGTTCTTAGAAAAAATGAAGAGCCTAGATGTTCTTAGACTATACAAAATCAGGTACTCATCTACAGAAGAACTAAATGAAGAAAACATAAACGAAATACAAGAAAAAGTAGACCTTTTAAGTCCTACTTCGCAACAACTAGATGAGAAAAATGATTTACCGAATAATAAAGTATCACTCTTGGCAAAAAATAACATGAAAATAGGAGAACAACTAACTGCATCGCGTATTTGTGTTGATGGAAAGTTATACAATGACTTAGGACTAAGCAAACTAAATGTTAAAGAGAATGCTACTATAAATGTCATGTTTCATACTATTTTACAAGAAAATACTTCTTCACCATATAGTATAAATTTCAGTATTTATAAGGAACTCAGAGAATTGAATATATATATAAATTCACGCATAACACCTTGCAAGGCTATTATTAATATACTTAAGGGAATATCTTATCCATTCACAGAGTGTTCAGATGTAGAAAAAATATATGTGATTATGGATGGGAAAGAAGACATCCGAATTAAGTTTGCAAATAGGTTTTTAAGTAAACTAACTAAGCACTCTAGAGATAAAAACAATGTAAAGAAGATAATTATTGAAGTAAGAGGGTTATGCGATATTAGTACAAGCGTTGTTGACGCATTTAACCGGAAGTTTAAAAAACTTTATTTCTTAGAATTAAAGAACATATCTTTAACTGTATCAGAGAAGTCTAAAGAAAATACTGAAAATGGCTTAGATAAACAAACAAGCATATCTTATGAAAAAGTCAATGATTCTATCAAAGACTATTTATTTAGAAGAAAAACCAAGGCTGGTAATCTTGAAATGGTAAACCCGAAATAGAAGACTATTTTCTTTGATCTGCGTGCGTATTATTGTAGGTTCTTCTGGCATATGCTAATATACATGTCCTTGCAAAATCATAATGGTTGCTGGTTTTCTCCTCCTTGAGGGGATGAAACCTCCTTCTGGCTCAGCAGCGTAGAGAGTATGAATTATACTTTGTATCTTTCTGAGTTACTTCCCTCCGCGTTTGCAATGATTATTTTTTCGTATGGGCATGGTGCTGGTTGTAGTTCCGAACTATTATTATAAATGGAGGCGAGAAATAAATCATCTTTAATTTAGTATGACTAAGCTTAATGCTTATTTAGAAAGGCTCAGTTATTATAACTATGGAGCATCCTCTATTTCATAATAGCATATACCTTATCTACTCAACATGCAAAAATGCCACAATACTGTATAAGAGAGCCGTGCTCTGAATGTGTCTTGTGCTTATGTTTTATAAATTTCTTAATTATCATGCTATGCCCAGATATTTATCCATTCTTACCACTGCATAGGCTGGCCTTTCATGGTACTCCATGGCATGGAAAAGCTGTATATTAGGAGGCAGAACGCACATAACAGATATATTCATTTTTCTCATAGAATGAAAAATTACTAGAAATAGCGAATGCATACAGCTGGTGGGATTGAAGATCTGCAGCTCTAGCTTTGTAAATATTGCATGTTCTGAATATAGCGTATTTATTTCATTTTAGATACTCTTCAGAATATCCTGTACATCCTTGCTTTCGTAATTGGAAATTCCTTCGTTTGTTATGATTGCTATGCTAATATCCTCTTCATTGATTGCCACCTCTGTGAACTCCTTCAAAGCAAGAACCGCAATCACCACTGCATCATGGATCTCTATTTCAGACGTGCATCTTTTTCCCAGAAACTGCGAGCATTCTTTGTATGCCTTGCCAATTCCAAAGGAGAAGCTATTCTTTATTGAGCCAGATGGATCTATCTGATAGAGAAGGGGCTGCAGCACATAGGCATCTGTCTCCACAATCAAAGGCCTTCCTTCTTCATCCGGCTGTATGTCCTTCTTTATGCACGCATGCCCTGCAAACAGGCAGATGCACCCGATTGGCCTTAGTCCTTCTTTTTGTGTTTTTTCCTGGATGACTTTTGAAAACTCTTTCATGAAAGTGTCTATGTATGGGTACACACCATATACCTTTCGGTAGTCATTAGCAATCTCCCTTGCTACTTCTAGAGCATTCCTAAAGTCTCCACTTAGCCCTGAGAAGGTTCCAATGATTGTATCGCATACCTTAAAGACTTTTTGTACTCTTTCCTTCTCTACCAAAACAGAAGGTGTTTTCTTTATGGACGCCAGCACAACACCATTGACAGCACGTATTCCAACCGAAAGTGCGCCGTTTTTTGCTGCTGTTAGAGCCCTCTCGCATTGCGATAAGATTCCCTTGCTAGAGAAGGTTGTCGTGGAATAGCTTAGCTCATCGTGCATTTTTAATTAGCAAAATATTGCAAATTTGTAAATGGAAGAGGCATCCCAAAAAACAGTCACAAAAACAGAGCTGACTTCCGATGAGATAGCTCTCTGCCGGGAGCTGCTGCTTAAGCTGAAGAAAAGCACACACGCAGGGCCGTTTCTGTATCCAGTGGATCCGCAGAGGCTGAACATTCCAGACTACTACGAAAAAATAAAGGAGCCTATGGATCTCTCGACAGTCTCAAAGAAACTTGATGCCAACGTTTACAAAAGCACTGATGAGCTGAAGGCAGACATAAATCTCATGCTTTCCAATTGCTATACATACAACCAGTCTGACACTGCGGTATGCAAAATGGGGCAGGCGCTGGAAAAGTATTTTAAACAGCTCCTGCAGAAAGGAGCACTTGTACGGAAAAGAAAGGGCGAAGAAGAGGCTGAGAAAAAGAGAAAGGTTAAGACAGATATGACTGAAGAGGAGTATGCAAAGTGCCTAGAGTCTCTTAATGAGATAGTTAAGGCAAAGTACAGAAGAATTAATTGGCCATTCCTAGAGCCTGTAGATGAAACCCTTGTCCCAAACTACTACACGCTGATCACACATCCAATGGATCTATCTACAATGCGCACAAAGCTTACAGGGCATCAGTATTCAGGAATAGACGAGTTTTTGAATGACTTTGACACAATGGTAAACAACTGTCACTCATTCAACGCAGAAGGAACAGATGTGTATGTCTGTGCAACAAAGCTAAATGCACAGTTTAAGCAAATCTTTGACCAGAAAAAAAAGAAGCCTGATGACACATCGGGGCGAATTTCTATGCTCCGTGGGCTGATTACACAGTATGAAGCAGAGCTTAGGAAGCTGGAAGAAAAAACAGGCACCGAGACAGTGGAGTTCGGATACGAAGAAAAACTGAAGTTAAAGAAAATGATCGATGCAATTCCTCTTGCTAGACTGGCTCCTCTGCTGACCTACATCCAGGAGAATGTGCCCCATGTTATGTTCTCTGAACTTGATGTTTTAGAAGTGAATCTGGATGTACTCGATCAGAAAACACTAAGAAGTCTTAGCAATGTTGTACGTGAGGCGCATGTAGAGGTCCAAAGAGTGGAAAGTGACTCAAGCAGTGAATGAGCGTTTAAGATATTATAACTAAACATAATAAATACCATTTAAGAAAAGAAGCCGCTTAAACATATAAATTTTTTAGTGCTCTGCTCTAGTAGATTCTGGATATTTTTTTCTGAAGCAGTGCAGCGGCAATATTTGAGATAGAGCGGCTAGTGTGGTCGCTCTGTATATCTGAATTGCACATGCAGTGAATATAAAGTGCATCTGTATAATTATATGTGCTAAGCTAAAGACATTCTGAGTATAATACTAAGATCGCCAAGGCAGAGACTTCAAAAGTACAATGTTCATGCGAGATACTCTATTGCATTTACATGCTAACACTATAATGCTGCTACTTATAAAAAGCGTTCTACTAGAAGAGCATAGAAACAAAACTAACTATTTAAGCTATATACAGGTCTATCATTTATATACCTTCGGTGCAAATAGACTTGTACTTTTTATTTTAGGAATTCTTTACTCATTACCAGATATAACCCAAATTTAATTTACTGGCCACTAATTAAAGGTTTGTTTTCTTTAATTAACCTGAATGCATGGGAGAAGAGCTTTAGTCACTTTCGCATTTGCGTTTATAATACGCATTCATATGATATTGTGTGTAGAAGAGGCAGATATAGATAAAAAGATTCTTGACAACCTTCCAAACACAAATAGCACAGAAGAGCCATTCTTTCTAAAGATAAACAATTCTCTTACTGCAGATGTGAATGATGTTTTGGCAAATCAGAAACACATAGACAAAACCCCATTTTTAATACACGTTACAAATGTATCTAAGAAGCTGTTTGCTGCTGTTGATAAGATGCGCACAGAAAATCTATCCAAACCATGCATAGCATATATAGATACTCCTAGCAAGATTATCTCGGGCACATGGAAGAAGAAACTTCGGAACACCATTACGCTCCGTGGTGTAGCCATGCTCTCCAACAAAGTGATTGTTAAACATAAAAATGGAAAAGACCAGCTAGTTGACTTATGTGGTGTGCCAGAGGAGAAAGTAATTGTTATTGAGAATGAAACTGCGGCAGACACATCTGAAAAAGTAGATGTTGCATCTGATATAAAGAAAAAGAGCCTCTATGTAGCAAATAGTCCATACTCTCTTCCAGATGGATTATATGTCCTATACGCAGGTGCAAGCCTGCATATTAACGTGGATATAAAAAACAAGGCCATTCATAAGATGTATATTCGCGCAGTCAAGGAAAGCCCAGAAAGAGACACCACTGGTCTTTGCAAGAGAGGCCCATACAGCAGAAGAATGTACGAAGCATTTGCTGAAGTTTCTACAATGAACATTGCCTTAAGCATTACAGACACTGACATCTTCCAGATCAAGCACGGAAAATTGTTTGTACAATCTGGTGGGATTGAGATGGAAGTAGATCGAAAAACCATGAGCATTCAAATTCATGCCCATACGCATGCCTTCTATCCGCTTGGCTTAGTAAAAGAAGTAAAGAAAAAATGGATGTTTAAAGAATGCCTCAATAAGTTCCGTGTGAACCATCCTCTTCTTAAATACGACAGCTCTGAAATGGTATATCTATACAACCGACCTCGAAGGCATCTAGTAGAATTATTTGAGCCGCACACCCGGTCAAAGCAGTCACCTCTCAAGAGAGTTATGATAAGTGGGATTTGGCGTCCTTCCGGCCTAGGCATGGTATCAAATAGATTTCTGCTTGAGCTTGCTGCATACCAGGATCTATTTGTTAGAGCAGATGCATACAACCACTGGGATATCACCAGCCCCCGTGGAATTAACTACTTCCTCGCTCAGCTCTACTTGCTGGAAAGTGGGCAAACATCGAAAGCAAAAGCAATGTATCCAGAAGGATCTTTCTCCACACCAGGGGTGGAAATCCAAAATAAATTCCCTGCTATTGCTCCTTTGGTGCGCAGTGGATATCCCCGAATATTCATGCACTTGCCATGGGAGTTTAGCCACATTCCGCATGCGTGGACAGAGCCCATTCGAAAGGCATCCTCTGTCCAGATTCTGGTGCCTTCTGAATTTGCCCAGAAGGTGCACATGCGGGCAGACATTTCAAAAAAAAGAATTCACATAATACCGCACGGTGTTGCATATAAATCTCAAAGAAACATGTGGCTGCTGGAAAAAAACCAGAGCTCTATGTCAATAAAGTCTCTCTTTAATGCACCTGATGACTACGTTAGGTTTGTTATGATCAGCGGGTATTTGAAGAGAAAGGGCATTGACATTGGAATCCGTGCATACACAAAAGCCTTTAAGCACTCCGACAAAGTGGTGCTTCGCGTGCACTGCGCATATGGAGACCGCCCTGTGTCAAATTACCTGAAAACGCTTATTCAAGAAAACAAGCGAAGGCGCGGCCCAAAAATAATATACACTGAAGGATATATGTCAGACAAAAAAATACGTGGGCTTTTAATGCACGCGCACTACAATATAGCCCCATATAGAGGTGAGGGCTTTGGCATGAACATTCTTGATGGTGCTGCGCATGGTGCTGTTCCCATCGTAACCAAAACACAGCCCGCCACAGAGTTCTGCTCGAAAAAAGGAACATTCTTTATTCGATGCAAGCCATGCACTGTGACTGGCCTCCCTATTAGAAAGTATCTCACACACTATACCATGTTTGGCGCGCTGATCAAAAAGCCCCCTACCTGGTATAATCCCAGTGAGAAGCACTTAGTAAAACTCCTACAGAAGGCAGCAAAGATTGCGCATTCTCCAGAGTATACAAAAATGAAGAATGCTTCTGTTGAGAGCGCATCCAAGCAAACCTGGACCTCTGTGATTTCCCAGCTAAGAAATTTACTTTTTTCGAAAGAAGTGAGTAAGCTTAGAAAATCTTAGAAATAAAAGCTTTCATGTAAAATATTTTTATATATAGAGGTTTCTTTCTTAAAAAAGGCAAGAGAACAGGAAAATCCAGAAAAGGAGAAAAATGAAAGAACCTGCATCGGATAGAGTAGAGCATGGAAAAAACAAATATGTTTCTATGCGCCCATCCAGAGCACGAAAAAGATATTAAAAACAAATTCAGATATAGCATTTTGGTTATATTGATAAGATGTGTATTGAATAAAGAATATGGGTGGCATGATAAAGAATACCACTGACGTGCCACGATGGCGGAAGCGTCATAGCCTGGAAGTAATAACCCAAGAGGGACAACATCTTACTTAAAGAAGAACTTTTATTCATGTCCTGCGTATCTCGCTGGGATCTTGGATTCATATTTGACTTGCCATGTCCGGTAGTCTTTCTCATAAATTTCATTGCTCGTTCCATTGTCCACCCTTTGCAGAATTGCATCTGTATTTATAGTAGGTTCTTGACATTGAGATAGCGATGAATTACAATCGCTATCATTTTATTTTTGAACCCCCTGTCGGTATAAGAAATTTCCGAAGGAGTGGTAATTTTACCACATTCTGCCCTCTTTAAAGTAAATTATTCCGCTAGACGAATTTGCTTCATATTGCATTTGATGAGTTTCTTGTTCTTTCCTTGAAGTGTTAGTTGGTGACCGTCGATCTTCACCACGGGAAAAGGACCTTGCCAGAGGTCCGACAGTTTATCCCCGTTTGGGTAACACTTGTAATAAACCCGTTGATTTAAGTTTATTTCCCTTCTGTCTGGTTGTTCTTTTAAGCTCAGCTCCTCCTGTTTTTGGATTCGCTCTTTTATTTTGTTCAGTCTGTCGTTCACATCGATGGGTGTCTTATCTGGATCTAATGGGTGGTATCCATAGACCAATTCAAACGGTGTGCATTCGATTATTCTGTGGTAGGTGTAATTGAGTCGTCGGTGTATTTGTGTTACTGCTTGGTTTATTTTTATTTGTGAGTTGTGGCTCAGAATAAATCTAATATCTTGATTTATCCTTTCTGATATACTGTTTCCAGTAGGGTTGTACGGCGTACTATTAACCTGCCGTATATTCTGAGTCTTACAATAATCTTTCGTGGTTTTTGATGTGTATTGGAGACCTTGGTCATGCAATACTGTTTCTGGTACCCCATGTGTATTAATCCAGTCTTGTAAAGCCTTGATTACTCGATGGGATGTAATTGCCTTAGTTGCATACACTTGAGTCCATCTTGTACATCGATCTGTTATTGTGATGAGGTATCGTTTCTTGCCGTCTGTGGGAAGTACGAATGGTCCGAATATATCGGAACAGATATGCTTCATGGGTTTGCTTGTGGATAGATGTCCTAATGTTTTCGTTTGACATAGTGTCTTACCTATTATGTTGCGTTGGCAACTTTCACACTTTTTTCTTTTCTCTTCCACGATTTTGTGTAGGTGTTTACTCTTCCAATGAGGCTGAAGAGTTTTATATAGCTTACTGGAGCCTGGATGGCCTAAGAAGCTAGATAAAATTTCCACTCTCTCCTCGGGGTCTTCAATTTTTTGCACCTTTTGTATCACATTATCTCGTTGTGTCTCTTCTGGTAATGTTTTTTGTCGCTTCGTATACATTACGGTTGCTAGCTGTACGGTCTTGTTCTCTGCTCTTGATAAATAGTCTGCTACAAGGTTTTTATCCCCTGCGATATGTCTCATCTCCATATCATACTCTAATGTCATTATCTTCCATCTTTCAGAGCGAGAGCTATCAAGTGGTTTTCTTGCTAGAATGTTCTTGTTATCCGTGTGTAAATATATTTTTCTTCCTAGTATTAATATTCTGAAATACTGTAGAGCACTTATTACTGCTAATAATTCTTTTTCCATGATAGTGTAATTCTTTTGTGCTGGGTTTAATGATTTACTAAATATTCCAATAAGTGTATTTCCTTGTGTTAGAATAGCGCCTATTCCTTTGTCACATGCATCTGTATATAACTGGAAAGGTTCCTTTGGATCTGGGTTGGCTATTATTAATTGTTTTTCAATAGCATCGAAAATCTTCTGTCTTACTTTTTCATCCTCTTCTGTCCAGCTAATTGGTTTATTCTTTATATCTTGTCTTTTTCCTCCTTTTAACTTTTCAGTTAATGGCTGTACTGTCTGCGATAGATTTGGGATGTATGGTCTAAACCAATTGAATATGCCTAATAATTTCATGATGCCTCTCGCGGTCTTTGGCGGAGGTTCTTTCCGTAATTCTGCTATTTTCTGCGTGTCTGCTTGCATTCCTTTTTCTGTAAGAATATTTCCCAAATATGTTACTCTTCTTTGCAGAAAATGACTCTTTTCAAAGTTAAGTTGAATGTTATGTTCTGCTAGTCGATTTAATACTAGTTGAATGTGTTGCAGATGTTCCTCTAACGTCTGTGAGAATATGAGGATATCATCCAAGAATATTTTGACAAATGGTAAATCTCCAATTTTATCAAAAATTGTTCTTTGAAAGAAAGCTGGTGCTCCTTTTAATCCAAATGGCATTCTCTTATAGATATAATGTTGGTTGCGAATAGTAAATCCTGTATATTTTCTGCTAGATTTTGCTACAAGTACCTGGTGATAACCATGCTTAAGATCTATCTGTGTAAATAATTTCTGATTTGGTGGAATTTCTCTGAGGAGTTGATACACATCTGGAAATATAGATCCTTCTTCTTCTGTTATCTTATTAAGACTAGAATAGTCCACTACTAGTCTGTGCTTACCGTTCTTTTTTCCTATAATAAACCCTGGGGAGATATAGTCTCCGCGACTGCCCTTTTCAATAATATTCTGCTCTAATAACTCTTTAATTTGTGCGTCCACAACTTCTTCATAGTGAGCTGGTACTGGGTATCCTTTTAAATATATGGGTTTGGTTGAGGTAAGTGTTAAATCATATACTGTATTTCTTATAGGTTCCTGGGTGTTGATCTTTGTCATCTGCCCTTTTATCATGTTTCTTATCTGATGCTCTATCGGAGTGTTTTGGAATTCTGCTCCTAAGTTCAGTGATTCTTCTGGCCTTTCTGTCTGATGTAATTTCTCTTCTATAGGTTTATGGGTGTTGATCTTAGTCATCTGCCCTGGTATCATGGTTCTTATCTGATGCTCTTTTGGAGTGATTTGGACTACTGCTCCTGAGTTCATTTGTTCTTCTGGATTCTCTTTCTGAAGTAATTTCTTTCCTATAGGTTTATGGGTGAGGATCTCTGTCTTCTGCCCTTTTGTCCTGGTTCTCGTATGATGCTCTTTTGGAGTGTTTTGGTATTCTTCTCCTGAGTTCAATTTTTCTTCTGGCCCTTTTTTCTGAGTTAATGTTTTTCGTAGAACTGGATCTGATGACTTGGTGTGATATGCTGCCACGTCAATGTCTAACTTTTTCTCTGGCTGTTCATGGGTCTTATTTAATTCTTGTTGCTTATCTAGGATGGTATTCCAAATTTCCTGTCCTTGTTCTTTGATCCATGACCAACTAAGTAAGTTGACCTTAATATCTGGTATTATTGTAAACTGTATCTCGTACGTTTTGTTTATCTTGCCAATATGTACTTCTGCCGTGATTGTCTTATGCGGTAAAGTTATGGTGCTGCCGATTCCTTCAATTGATATGTCGGTGCGCTCTTTCTTGATTGGTAGATTTAATTTCCTTGCAGTCTCTGAATTTAACACGTTGAGATTTGAGCAAGTATCCAATAGCAATTCAACTTCTAATCCTTGTATTCTGGCACATACATGTGGAAAAGGTTCTTGTTGAATTAGATTAGTAATCTTTATTTGATGAACTGAGCTTATTAATTTTTTGTATCTTCCTCTTTTGTTTCTTTCTTACTCTTGTAAGTAGAGTGAGGTGCTTTCTCTTGAGAATGTTTTTGACGGAGGAAACATTCTTCAGTCCTATGTCTTCCATAGCGTTTATGTAGAGCACAGTAGGGTTGGCCTTTATGGTATGTCGGCTGAGTTGGAGTATATGATGTCATAGTTTTGTATAGGGTTTCCTTCCCTTCATACTTGTGCTTGAGTTCCTCCAGTAATCTGGTCTCGAAGTCTTCAAGTATTTTCACATACTCTTCCGCCTTTTTATAGGGTGTGTAAGTATTGCACTTGACTGTGTCAAGAGTGAGTCCGTCTTTAAAGGCTGTATAAACTAATTCCTGGAACTTCTCATCGGGTATAGTTCCTCCTTGTACTCCTGAAATTCTCTTTTGTACTGCTTCATAGTAGTCTCGAATAAATAAAAAATTTTCTTGTTTCGGCACAGCGTGGGTAGTGTCTCGATGTTTCTTCTCATAGAATTTACACACTGCATCAAGTAATGCATCTAGTGCTTCGTGTCCATGTAGACTGCTTTCCACTTCCGCTGGTACTAAGAAAATAATAAGTTGGGTTAGATCCTTATCTAATCCTGCCATGTTAATAATAGATTTTACTTCTTCTCTCCACACTCTTATTTTTGGTTCGACATCTGGTGTAACTCGAGGTATCTTGATTAATATTCCATTTCCGGTCTTCTGGTCTGCTTTGGTAAAGCGACTGCTCATTACTTCTCGGTATGTGTACTCAATGCTATAGTTCTCTTCGTGCTTGATGGCTGCCCTTGTTTGAATTACTACTTCCTTTTTTCCTTGGCTTTTTTGTTTAAAAAATGAATTCATTATGACGTGCCACGATGGCGGAAGCGTCATAGCCTGGAAGTAATAACCCAAGAGGGACAACATCTTACTTAAAGAAGAACTTTTATTCATGTCCTGCGTATCTCGCTGGGATCTTGGATTCATATTTGACTTGCCATGTCCGGTAGTCTTTCTCATAAATTTCATTGCTCGTTCCATTGTCCACCCTTTGCAGAATTGCATCTGTATTTATAGTAGGTTCTTGATATTGAGATAGTGATGATCTACCATCGCTATCATTTTATTTCTGAACCCCCTGTCGGTATAAGAAATTTCCGAAGGAGTGGTAATTTTACCACAACCACCTTAAAAACACAGTTCTAACCGCCAGGCTATATTTACACTTCTCTTTTCAGAGCTCATGAAGGGTTTAATAAATCTTAAAGATCGGGTTTACAAGAGTAAAGAGAAACCAGAAAAGTTCTACATAGTAATAAAAGAATATCCAAAAGAAGAATATAAAAAACTAAATAATTTTAGTAATACTTCAATTACAGAGGCATTATGCCATAATACAAGCATATGTACAAGAAAAATAAAAATAAGAGCACACCACCAACTATGCAATATAAATACTACTATAATTGACCACAGATAATGTAGAAACATATTATGCGCAGTCTATAAAATATGTTATTCCATTCTAGTATATGTTTGTATATAAGAAGTGCTAAGAAAGTTAGACGCAGTATATACAGTGACTTCATATAGAATGATAAATAAGTTTCTTTATAAAGTCTTGCAGATTTAATCATATGATAATGGCACAAAAGACCATAAAAATGCAGTACGCTAATATATCTAAATTATATATGTAGTAAAATCTCCTATGATTATTCTGAGACCACAAGAGCCTGTCAATTTCAGTTTCTGGAATATTCTTCATATATCAGAAGGACACTATATAATCGCATGGAAATATTAAAACAAGAGGCAATGTTAACAGTAAGAAATACATCCAACACGAATAAGAAAGGTCACAGTCACCAAACACATCCGCACAGTTCTGATAATAAACCTTCTTGACAAATACATTATCTAGCATAGACTATTATCTCTTGGCTGAAATGTCGCCGCCATTTGGGAACATTAATATGATAGATACATAAAGAAGCCATTTATTAAGGAATCGACAATGTATTCCAGTCTGTTTTATGAGAGAACTATACGAGTGTTTTCTAACTATTGGTCTGCAGTACAGGAGAATAGAATGAAGATAATCACTGGTGTATTTACGTATGTAGATTGGATAAAATCACTTGCCCAACTAAAACGCAGAACTGGTTTTGCTTATTGGATGATTATAAATTACATGCAAGTGACCTATAAAAAAATGATCTATTTATAGAAATAACGGATGCAAAGGATAATGAAGAAAAATAAGAAATTAAAACCGTTAAGAAAGAAATCTTTTTTTGATTTACAAAGAATAATCAGTAGACTGTTTTTGAGTCTAATGATAATGCAAAGTATTCTTGCAAGAATCGATATGGAAGATATAAAAACAATCAGTGAGACTTTAGTTGGCGAGAAGCAAGATGTGGTTATTAACCCAAAGGGACCATTGAATCTGCTGCGTGGATACATTGGAAGCCGGAATGGATACATGTACAACAAACGGTTTTTTTCTTCTGAAATAGACACAGACTATGCATTGACCAAGACGGAAGTATCCATTATGTTTGGACAAGAGTACGACTTTACAAGAACACCAGTGAATGACAGCGTATACAAAGATGTGGTTACAGAAGTTCCAAATGGAAAGTATCTTAGCTCTTATCACGTACAGCTGATAAAGATGTTTCCATCAATTGAGGAAGAACTTTCAATTGAAGCAGGAAGGTCGAATGCACTTACAAACTTCCTAAGAGCAGATCATGTTAAAAAGGATGCAAAGTACATACTTGCTGCGCTGCTGCTGCTCTCAGAAGGTGTTGACATTAAAATAAATGTAGACTACAAAGGAGAGAAAAATAATCTTGTCATAAAAAGTAAGACATGCAAGGAAAAAGTATTTGTGGATGTAGAAATGCATATGGAAGGAATAGATCCATTTACTAGGAAGTACAAAGAGGATATCTACCAAAGTGAGACAGCTGGAATTGTCAAGTTCTATATACGGTGCAGAGACAATCCGCTACTAAAGAAAGGAGGAAAATTTGCAATGCCTTCCACTATAGAAGAGTTTGAAAGTGGCTTATTTCTGAATAATGCAGCCTTCCTCATACAGACATACATATACGAGTTCATTGACACAGCAGAGAGTTACAAGGACTTTGTGAATGCAGCGCATGAATTGCTGGTTGATCAAGTAGCTGAAAAGGAGAACCCAGAGCAGACTAAGAAGAAGAGCAAGAAGGGCAGAATATTTGATGAGCTTTTCGTTGCAAAAGATACACTTAGTGAAAACAAAAAATATATTGAATCGTTCTGTGACCTTGTAAAAGCTACAAATGAGAATGCTAAATTTCCCTTCTGCAATGATAGTCAGTTGCCGCGGTTTACTAGAGTGCCGCGTTGTAAACTAGACAAGTCTGGCTTTGAGCAAAATCAATCCTTGTACTATAGTGACTGCGTAGAGTCAGCCCTTCTTGGAATGTTCTGCTGCCTGGCATATAATCCAGAGACAAGGAAGTATGAAACTAGCCATATGGGAGGAAAAATAAGTGATGAGCTGAAAAACTTCTTTAAAAAATATCCTAAGCCAACAGAGGCCACTAGCATTGAAATGCACAAGCAATGGAGTAAAGTTGTTGCTTGCTTAAAGAACGACAAGATTGAGTACAAGAAAGAGAAAAATGAACTTATAGCTGGGGTTGGAAATATACTTCTTGCTATTTCAGAAATAACAGGACAGAAGAAAGAAATACTAAAGCTAGTTGAGAGTATAAAAGCTGCATGTAAAGCAGGAAAATTAGATCATAAGAAGGAAGTTTATATTGCAGATAAGATAGAATCAATTATTAAGTCTTTGTCACTGAATAAGCATGTGGAAGTAGATTGTAACAGAATGCGGCTTGGAAAGAGGTCAAGTGGAAAGGCAGATATTTTAGCTGAGATTAACATTACTTACACTTTCGATGGAGCATCTAATGGAATTTCTTTGGATATAAAACAAGGGCACGCCGAACTTTCTCTTATTTCATCTTTAAATTCTAATCCTGCACAAATTAAAGAAGAGTATGAAGAAGTAAAAAATATTTACAGTGGCATAGACTGCTATATAGGATACATTGTGGATCAGTACGTTAGTGCAGAGTTAAGTGTTTTATATTTTTGCAATTCAGCCTATATAGATAATCGTAAAAAAAGCTTAAACTTGATTATACAGGGAGAATCTGAGGGCATATATAAAATATTCCTATTAGGAAAGATGTCTAGTTCTTATAGTAAGAGACAGATTATAAGGAGTTTTATAAACAGTACGATAGATAAGGAAGTAAGCCCAACAAACCGTTTAACACGGTTTACAGCAAACCTTTTAGGAAGTGTTCCGCTCAATGACGCTAACACAAGACTTATGATGCTAGCAAACTTCCCGTTTCATGCAAGCTGGCAGGAATTCTATCCAAGGCTTGGATTTAAGCCATCTGAGAATATTCCAAAAGAAGATTGTATTTGGAATGGAATAGCAACAATGAACTTATACATTACTCTACTAGATTTTAGAATGCCTAAAGCCTCAACGGTCATATGCAACTATATTAGATCAACTTCGGATAACGCAAGGATGGAGTATTCAGGACTAGATTGTATACGTTCAAAACGTCTATTTAATTATATTCTGTCCAATGGAACAATAGAAGACTTGGTGAAAATTCAATCCACTTTGAAAGAATCTATAGAAGATTGTAATTTAAACCATGTATATATTTCCTGGCTTATCTATATGTGCTCAGGTGATTGTGGGTTTACAACAGAATTTATTAAGACAGTTTATGACTTTATAGTCTTTGATAGCCCTCCAGACATAAATGACTTTAAAAACATTGGAGGAACAATGGATGATTTTAAAGAGTATATAAGTGTTTTAAAAGAAAAGAAAGCTCTTCTATGCTCAGAGGATGACATAAAAAGTATAGAAAAATATAATATACTTGTATCGGACCTTGTAAAAGGAAGCATTAATGATATGACATTCACTATAAATCCAAGGTTTAAGAGAAATGAAAGAACATAGAAAATTCCAGAACTCTAAAAGTATAGATTAAAATTATTCTTATTCAGGGTGCGGAGCAACAAGACAACGGTACAATCAATAGTAAAATAACAATGACAGAAGTAAACAACAAAGTAGCAAGAGAATGCATTAGTGCAAAACACAACGGCCAGCAGGCATCACATAAACCATCTACCAACAAACAGTTCTTAAACAAATCCCTCTCATCAATTACTATTTATCCGCCGGCACGGACCCGGGAATAGGGCGTCTCAATTAGGTATTTATATTCGAATAAATTTCTCAGTGGCTTGTTTTCATGGCATTTTCTAGCTTACATTGTGCTCTAGTATTATAAAGTAGTTTATAGTTGGGAAGTGTATGCTGCAGTACATTCTAAAAGAAGAAAATAAAAAACTGAATAGTTTTAGCAACACTCCAACTACAGAAGTATTTGGGCCGTACTAAATGCATCTGTACAAGAAGAGTAGAAATAAGAGCACACTTCTAACTATGTAACGTGTGCACTTTAATTTAGATAAATAACACACAACTAGTGTACTATGCTTTTTAAACAAATTAGGTAGATAGAATAGTCAAAATGAATATAGCCAGAATTCACACAAACAGCATAGGTGTTAAAATAAAAGGCTAAGCTAGAAGTAGATTTGACCCATAACTATATTACACATAATTTAAAGACCCTGTGACAATATAAATGCTACTTAATTAGTCTTTGCTCCACTGTGCTAATTATAGTGGAAGAGTGCATTATAGAATATTTACTAAAAGACAAATGTTTTTTCGATCTATCTATTTTTTATTCTATACATGTGAAGAGAATGGCTAAAATAAAGGGCCCTTCTTAAATCAATTAAGAAAATGCAGTGAACTTGCTGTAGATTGCATGTCATGAGGCGATGCAGTAAATTGGCTAAATATCATGCACACATTTTATACAGAATCTAAAGAGGTCTCGCCGGATGTTCTGCTCCTGGACATTCTATGTGCATATCTGCTGACTCTTCTTTTTACATACTCTGCATACATAAACACCCGATCCAGGTATAGGCCAATGCAGTATCCAATAATTCCGCAGCACATGCACAATAGAATCAGCACCATATGCTCAGGTATTTCTTGCAGGATCTCAAACTCCCTATTTCCAGACTGTATATCATCGGGGGAAAATCCATCAATATTTGCAATTTTGTCTGTATACATACCACGCTCAGCACGCATGGCATTTTCTCCTAGAAACTTAAGAGCTTTTTTCTCTGGAAGCCCCTTTGCAACTGTCCACAATGCTAAGCAAAGCAGCATGATGCTTATATTTGTTGATTTCATGCAAACACAACAGAGGTCTTAATTAAAGCTTGAATTGGCATCTAGAAGCTCTATCAGAGTAGAAGAACTTCCTTAATGGAGCCTATTGTTAGCCAACTATGATTGCAGCTGTTTTGTATAAATAAACAGCCTGTCAAACTTTGACACCTGCTATGCTTGCACTAAACTAGTACTGTGAGTAACTGCGCACACAAACAGGTGTCTGAATAAAAATATAGCATAGAACGAGTAAGAATAGTTGTATACGGAAAAGCCATCTATAATAGTCTATTTATTTTCTGTCTACTGCTCTCTACAGACTGGAACATTTTCCTTCTCTTCTGTTCTTTCCTCAGCTCTTTCCTCAAGTGAATCTCTGATATAGCTTAAGCGCCCTTTCAATTCGTATATTTTATTTAGGTCTACCTTCTCCTTGCTGATCGATATTAGTATTCTCTTGAGGGAGTTTATCCGCTCAGTGTGCTCGGACACCTCCTTTTCTCCATCCTTGGAAACCACCTCCATAGCAACAGATTTGAATACATCTCTTCTCCATGAAATAACCATCCGGATTGTAAGAATGACTTCGTACCGCATTTCTTTGTTCTCAAACATCTCTGTCAGCACTTCAAGTAAAGGAATAATGCTTCTGTCTGGAAGACTTCGGACCATCTTTTCCTTTGTTTCTTCCTGCAGCTCCAGAAATGTGTATAAAAAATCTCTGTTCTTGCTGATAACAGCCTGCTCTAAAGCTGTGCTGTGTCCCGCTTGCATGCCCGACATTTTTAAAATTTTTTCGTGCTCTTTTACTTATGTAATCCAGCTGCTAAAAATCCTTTCTTTCCATGCACGGCCTTAGACTGCACTGTGAAGACAGCACGCACCAGAATGCCAAATTGTACTATTCTTCGTTCTCTAGATCTTCCTCTAAATCTTTTATCTTGTCTTCAGATAAATTCTTTGCTTTTCTTCCTCTTGTTATGGTCTTCTCCCGTATTTTACCGTGTATTCTGTAGTACAGGCCACATGCATTGCACACAACTATATCCCCAATCCGCCTCCATAGACTTGTCTCTCGTGTTTGGCAAAACCCGCATACCTTCTGGGACTCATGTATGCTAACTCTTCTTGTCTGCATTGTGTCCATGTAGTACCGAATGAGTATTTTCTTGGCCTGAATACTTTTAGTCAGAGTAGACGCAGGAGGAGAATATTTCACCTTTTCTGGCGACTCATACAACATCTCTATCTTCTTCCGTAGCTTTTTCTGATCTCTATCGCTTCTTATCTTTTTCGTATTCATGAAAGTGAATTTTCAAAAAGGATTTCATTTATTAGAATCTTGCTTTGCAATTGGTTCTTCGGGCCCCTCTTCGTTTTTATCTTTTCGATTGTTCTTAAAAAGCTTTTTTGGCCTGGACATTCCCCCGTGTGTCCGAATATAAAGACCGCACGCATTGCAAACCATCTGATCACCATGCCTGCGCCACAGAGGGGTCTTCTTTGTTCCACACTGCCCGCACTCAAAATTTAACTGCTTTACATCTTTACGCTTTTCTTCACATTTATTATTTAAAGTACAATGAATTATTTCTTTACATATCTGTGTGCACACCTCACTTGTGTCGCGTGGATGAAAGTGAAGTTTGATCTTCGGGACTGCGTTCTCCTTTGATAGATCGAATCGAAGTGCCTGCAGGCCAATAGTCATGGCGAGCAGCACCTCACAAGTTTCATTACTTCGTTCTAACCCAGATTCTGGACTACCACCCGAAATAGATGCTTTATCAGATTCTATGGGTCCATCATCTTTTTTTAAAGTATCTTTTGTTTCCTCCATTGCACTCCATTTTTCATCCGGAAAGAATTAAATAAACCAAAAATTTGATATAAAAGTGAATGATTGTATGCTGATTATTTACTCAAGTGATGTGCTTAATCCACATCAGACATTTGAATCGTCTCTGTCTCTTCTTTCGAAGCATTTGATTCTGTCTGTGCGTTTTAAGTTTTTGTACTCTTTTAATTTTTGGTCTTTTTTATTCTTGAGCTTTCTTTCTTTTAGCTGCGAGTGTCTATCAACCATTGGGTCCTCATGCTCTTTCACCTCTATTAGCCAGTTTCTATCAAGGTCATTTTTACTTCCTCTTCCAAAGGCAGGCATGTACTCCCTCTTTACCTCGTCGTATATTCGCCCCCCTGACTTATTCTTGCTCTTCACAATTCCCTTTCGTGCTGCAAACTGCTCCCACTTTGTCTTCACTGACTCCTCTGGAAGGACCCGGGCCCGTGGAAAGACTGTTTCTTTGGAGTACTCTGGCATGTGCGCAAGTATTTCCTTTGGGAGAACATACTGCGTGGCATTGTGCAGGTCGTATTTTGTGGGCAGCTCCTTTAACTTTTTGAAGAAACTCAAGGCAAGCCCTTTGTATTTCTCAGAAGGTGCCATGCTTCCACTTCCTTCTGATATAGCTATGAACCTCTTTGTATCACACACATCTCCCAACCGCATTATTAAAATTTTTCTAGCCCACTGCAATATATAGCTCTCTTACTGCTGCATTAAATACGCTACATTTTGAATCTACCCACGCCCACTGCCCTCGCATATACCTCAGTGTATTCTGCATTTTCTCAAGTGCATGCTCATTTTCACTTATTAGAAATACTATATAAAAGACATAAATTTCACCTTTGTGCACTCTGCCTTCTATTCAGAATGCACTATTCTCTTGACTGCTGCAATTTGAATAGATCACTGCACTAATAGAATTCACACTAAAAACTCATTAATACTGTGCATATATAACAGTAAAAGTGGATAAAAGTGCATATTTACCCTAATATGAGCCAATACACGATAAAAAGAATGTTTATAATGATAAGAGGAATGAAGCTAAGGGTTTTGATTGTTCTTATCAACTCAGATAACTGTCTTACAGCTCCATTTTCACTCTTTCTGCATATACCCAGATTATTAAGGAATCTGTCTTCGTTCAGTATGCACACACTGTTCCCAAGCATGGTAAATGTGTAAAGAATAGTTCCAAGCCCAAACATAAAAAAAATAAACTAGAAGCACTTAATAGACAGAAATGCACAGATAAATTCCCAAATAATAAATATATGCTTATTAGTGAATTGCTTGCAGTGGAGTGCTTTGCAGATACTCTTGCAGGCTAAACCAGAATTAAAATGCCATGAAGAAGACTGAGTATTACATATTTATCGATACATTTTGGTCAGATTTATTATATGATATAGATCTTTATATGAACACTTCCATTGTAATCTAATCACTTTCATGTTCAGAATACTTTCTATCTTTGATATGAAATTCCTTCCAGATGGATATTCTTATTTCTGTGCGCCTTTTTCTTCTAAGCATATTCCTGCACTCTTTCTTGTGCATTTAGAAATATCTTCGTACTTAGCTCTCTTTAATTAGTATCCTGGAATATTAGAAGCTTTTTTTGTCTGGGAATTTGTCTCTTTGCCCTTTGTGCACGTATTTTGCACTTTTCCTGGTATAGTACAGTCACCACGGCAGGCGCAATGAGTGTGCAAAATAGCTCCCAAAGGGCCATTTCCCTTGGGGTGACAAACACGGATATGTTACTTGAAAGAATATTCAGAGCAAGAGAAATAGCCCGCAGTGCATATACATTTGCACTCACTAGGGGTAGCTCATTTATGCCAAGCTGCAAAAGTATAAAGGCAATATTAAACCCGCTAGCACACTCTATCCTTTCTATTCTAGAGGAGAGCATCAGACCTGCAGAAATACCTGCACCTTGTCTGAGTGTTTTGTGCGATGAAAAAAGAAAAGAGCATGCACTCAGAATAATCCCGAAATAGACCATATATACTGCCCTGTATAGTAGATGGTGTAGTAATGGGGAGATAAACAGGATATGAAGAAGGTATATTTGAAATATTCTGGCTGTTTTTCTTTGTGTGCTGAATATTCTCTCCCACACTAAAACTAAGGCAGCATACAGAATAGATACATATTCCATGTAGTTAAGGGTTCCCCATGTCCTATCAATAAAGTATAAAATATTCGCAGCAAAAAGGACAAGCGATATCTTGTTGAACACTCGCCACATCACAAGTATGTCTGTCTCTGGGTAAATCATTTAATTTAATTTGCAGCTTAAACAAATATAAACATCTTCATCTGATCATATGTGTACAGGTTTATTTTAAAAGTGCAAAATATAAAGGAAGACACATGCATTCTACAGCACATCAAAGGATGTATATACAGCAGAGTGATTAAATATAGTGGATGTGTAGATCTGGTCATACGAATATGAACAATAAGAATAGGGATTTTCCTGGGTGATGAAGCTGAGGACGTGAAAAGATAAAGTGTGCAGATGGCAGTAGACTGTATGCTCGTATTTATTTCTAATTTAATTTTCTGTTACATTTACGATGTCATCCCTGTGGTTGTGGCCCTGTATCACACAGTCCGCCAGAAATATTATATTTCGAACCTCTATTTCCTGCAGAATCAGCTGTGTGTAGACCACGCTGTAGTCATCGTATATATAGAATGACTTGTTGCAGAGCCTGATCTCCTCCCGAAGCAAGGCATCCTCTACACCCGTCTCATTCCCAACAATATTCCGGTACTTGATATGTGTGCTAAGCACTCCCTCCAGCTCACTTGTATTCTTGCAGTTTAGCAAGAGTTCTTTGTGCACATTCGTGAAGCTGTTGCACCGCGGGAAAAGACTCATCTTCTCAGAGGTTGACATGTTCCCATTCATGAGCGCATAAAGTATCTCAATGATTATCTTGTCTCCCTCAAAGACAATCAGCTCAGAGAGGCAGAGATCATTCTTCATGCAGTAGTCATACACAAATTCAATATACCTCTTCTGCAAGACACTCTTCACATACTGAATATCCCGATTAAGAAGGTCAGAGTCAAGGCCCTCCACATACTTACTGAGTGACGTATTCTCCAAGCAATACTTCCATGTGTCCTTGGCAGACTGCGTCACTTTAATGAAATCCAACCCAGGATATCCCCCCAGTGGATGCGTGTCAATCTCTGTCTCCAGAAGCTTAGGACTCTCCTTCTTGCAGGCCCAGAGGTATATGAAGTTGTCCAGCTGAAATTTCTCTTTATAGAAGTCAATTAGAGCAGAGGATTTATCCGTTGTAAAAGACCGGGTTATTTTAATCTGCTGGTCAATGCACTTGTACATGGCAGACTTAAATGAAGCCAAAGACGTCTTTGACTCCAGCAAATACTTCCCATATATTGTGCTTTGCAATTTCACCTTTAAATCATCCAAGTCATTTGCAGCCTTAATTATTCTGTAGTGTTCTTCCCTCAGAAGCATGTTTTTGTTCCCATGGACATAGTTAATTATGCCAGTCTCGCCGTACATCTTCTATTGAAAAATAATAAAAATATTTATGCTGTGCTTACAGAGGCACTAGCAGCCATAAATATTTTTATTATTTTTCTGGAATGGCTTCTATTTCTGTAAGTAAGAGGGCCCTTCTAGCAGGAATTGGCAAATCGTACAGTGACGAGGAGATGACTGATATTCTGTTTGATTTTGGCTTGGAGTTAGATGAAATCTTAACAGAAGATGGGGAGGTGAAATATAAGATAGATGTACCTGCGAATAGATACGATCTATTGTGCTTGAAGGGATTGGTGTATGGCTTATTGGCGTACATCGACTCAGTCCCTGCGAAAATAGTTTCAGGTAAGAAGATATACGAGGCAGTGCATGGGGACAGGCCAGAGAGCAGGCCGTATGTTAAGATGGCAATCCTAAAGGGTGTCTCTTTAGAGAACGGAGGATACTCTGATTTAATTAACTTCCAGGACAAGTTGCACCAGGGCCTGGGGCAGAACAGAAGGCTAATGGCAATTGGGACGCATGACTATGACAAGACAGTCAGGCCATACACGTACACTGCAATGGATGAAGATGCGATTAAGTTTGTGCCTCTCTCGCAGGAAAGGGAATACACCAGGAAGGAACTGGATGTTTTGTACAAAGATGACAGTAAGCTGAAGAGTTACTTAAATTTATCCCGGGAGAATAATAAGGTGCCTGTGATACTGGACAGTGCAGGAAAGATCCTTTCCCTTCCGCCTTTGATAAACAGCGAATTTTCAAAGATAACTGAAAAAACAAAGAATATCTTCATAGAGATAACGGGAACTGACCTTGTAAGGGTCTCTACTGCAATGAATCTTCTTCTGCACCACTTTTCAGAGAGTACAACGGAGATAGAGGAAATAGTTGTTGAAAATGGAGAAGAAGATGTGCAGGCAGCAGCGCACTTCAGAATTACCTCAGAAATAGTGAAGAAAGAGCTGACACTGTCTCTCTCTTTGAGCGCAGTGAAAACCTACATGGAGAGGATGATGCACGCAGTAGAGGTGCAGGAAGGCTCAACAGAAGCAGATTGGTGCATTAATATTATTCCTACACAGCTTAGACCTGATATTATGCACCAGTGCGACATAATAGAGGACATAGCAATTGCGCACGGATACAACAACTTTGAAAGAACACTTGGAGACTCGTACACAGTTGGGAAGGAACTGCCTATAAATAAGATGGCCCAGAGTATTAGGCAGGAGTGCGCAAGAATGGATTACACAGAACTATTTACAATGGCACTTCTCTCAGCAGAAGACTACTTTGGGTTTAACATAGAGAGACACATTAAGGTAAAGAACCCAAAAAGCACAGAGTGCGAGGTACTCAGGCAGCACTTGATTCCATCTGTGCTAAAGTGCCTTATATCAAACCAGTATTACCAACTGCCAATTAAGGTCTTTGAGGTGTCAGATGTGGGTGAGTTCGTGGAGAGTGATGTGGGTGTGAGAAACAGAAAAAAGCTCTGCATGGGAATATGCGGAAGAACAAGTGGCTTGGAGTCACTGCATGAGGCATTTGATGTGCTCATGAAGAGACAGGGATTTAATGTAACATACAAGAATGAAGACTGTGCACCGTTTGTTAAAGGCAGATCATGCAAAGTGCTTTACAACGGAAAGGAGATTGGATTCCTGGGGGTGCTTGATATAGAGATACTTGCACACCACAGAATGCCATACGTGTGCTCATTCGTGGAGGTGTGTCTGGACGAACTAATGGAGTAGCGCGGTGCTAAAGCAGCAGCGCATAGAAATAAATATATTTCATCTTGGTAATTAATATTCAGGGCATAGACATATTCATAGCAGACCTGCATGATATCCAGGTAGCACCCACATTATATCCAGCAGTAGCATGATTGCCACTAACAAAAAATCCATGCATTTGGGGAATATGTGAAACTATTTATAATCTAGCAGAGGCACATAGTCACTCCTTATAGTTTGTGCATTAAAAATCTAAAGATTAAAGAGCCTGTGGTTGGTGCATATTTATTGATGGGCACAAATATTATTTCTGTAGTGCATGCACTGAGACTCTTTCTATTCGGAAATCTGCAAATCAAAGAGACAGAAGTATTATGGTCCTGTAAAGGAGAACATGAATTTTAATGATTTATCTTCTCTTCAGTAGGGTTTTATGCATATCCGTTCTGGCTAGATTTTAATTCAATAGTCTTTCACTAAAAATTGGAAATCTATAAGTAGTATTTTTATCTTTTCACTTCTCTATAAGTATTTATTCATAAGGTATTTCTTGCAGAACTGAAGCATGATATCCTTCTGCACTGAATATCCTGCAATTTCAGTGCACTCTCATTTTAGTGCGTGCTGCATGGGTATATTCTAGTTATATGCCATCTGGCCACACGGCTCCCACTAAAATAGGAAGAATAATTGTTGCATCAGCATGGACCTTGATTGAGTTCGTGTGCTTCTTAATTTTCCCCCAAGAGACAGACTCATCCACCTGCGCGCCTGCATCACTTCCATCGTACTCCTGTGCTGTGTTAATGAGCACGCAATGGTCTAGCCCATTTCTAAACAGATTTGCATTCAGAATGTGGTGCTTTATGACACCTGCCCCAAGAACAAGTGCCCCTGTGCTTTCACTGAACAAGCCCTCCCCGTTAATCCGTGCAATATCTTCTACGCTATCAATTACTAGGTCTCTTCTCCTTGTGAAATATGTAATTATATCTCCAATTGATCCATCCGTTAGTGCAGGACAGTACACTGGAATATTATTCTTGTATGCCCAGTAGTAAACAGACTCTTCAGAAGCCACCTTCTTGCCTAGCTCGTATATAAGCCTAGAGGGTGTTATAATTGATATATCTCCTACTCTTCTGTATCCAGTACCCAGGCCCTGCACCTCAGACTGTGCATCAGGCTCTTCCAGCTTGCCTTCAACAATTTCATTCAGAAATTCTTTCATCCACTCCTCAAAGACAAAATAGTTTTCATTTGGGATAAGTACATTTCCCACCCGATTTAGACCCTGTGACCTAAGAGTGGCTCCGTCCATGGAAAACTTCCCTAGCCTGGATGGCTTCAGTGTCTTTATGATATCTTCCTCAATTCCGCCTGCTGTACTGACTAGCACATCCACAAACTTATTTCTCACAAGATATGCTATTATGTCCCTAAGCCCTGAGGATATCAGATTACTCGTATACCCCAAGAATATCTTACTATTATTCTTGCGCATCCTTTTTAGCTCCTCAATTGCCAGATATAAATGAGATCCTTGGAAACCAACGGTTTTATATCCAGAAATCCACCCAGACAGATCTATCTTTGAGAATCCCTTCCCAGAGACAACCTCCATGCCCTCAATCTCCTCAGGACACTCTTCAATATCTGAGTCAGCCAGGTCCTTAACACTTCCTTTGTTCACAGCGGCTGCCGGTCTCTCCATAAAAAAATTAATCTTTCGCACGAACTTGTTTCTGCTTGCAAAACCCCCTGGACGTATATCCCTGCAGATTCAGCCACATAAAGTACCCAAAGAGAGAAGAAATAAATGCAGCCAGAACAGAAGACCATACTAAAGTGATGTAAAAGTAAGCAGAAGAGTAGGACATTTTAAGTTCAGGGAAATCCTGTGAGAATCTAAAGTAAACCAGAACCACTCCCCGGATAAACTCCAAAGACAGAAGATTCATGAAGTACGGGTAATTCTTCTCCCCAATGCAATTACTCAGCCAGTGACAGTGATGGTCCATGACAGAAATGCATCTATCACACTCCCTGCAGTGAGATGCACCAGAGGGCCTAAATATCCCGCATGTCTTACAGAATACTTCTGTGTGAAGTGTCTGCCCCTTTCTTTCAAATCCTCTGCCTAGTATATTTTTATCGTCTTCTACTGTTCTGTATGCAAATCCACTGAAAAAAACATGTTTGTGGTAATTTGAGTTTCGCCTGGAAAGAACACCCGGGTCCATCCTGCCAATGATTATAATTAGCAAGGAGGTGGTGACTGTGAGACCAGAAAAAAGATATAGTAAGGGACCCTTCAGAAATGCAAGACCCAAAAGGGTTCCCATCACCTCAACTAGTACAGAGAAGAATGCTCTTTTGTCCATATATTTCGCATGCATTGCTTTGGTAAATTTGAATATTTGAGTTTTTATTGGTAAATTAAAACAAAAGAAAATTGGTCTATTTACGAGGGGCTTAGAAGGGCACTTGATGTCGGGGAGACAGGAATAGGTGCACTTTCTAGGAGGGATTCCTGGATGGGTGCAGATTTCTGTTTTGCTGCTACCTTTCTGTACGTCTGCCTCTCAAAGTTAAGGAACAGTCCTATAAGAATTATCACATATACAACATTGAAGATAATAGCTGAGTATTGGTAGAACCTAAGGGTGGGTTCTGTGCTAAAGGTAGACTCTCGGCTGATATATATGGCACCAAAGAAAAGACCAACAAAGAACTGGGCTATCTGCATGAATGTAATAAGCCTCTTAAAGGGCGCCCTGATGCCAATGACTGTCATTGCGTAGTATAAATACATTGTGCTATGGATGAAGGAATTTAGCACAACCCAGATCCAGCCAGAATACGACTGCGACAAGGAAACAAGCCAGCATGCAACAATTGCGCCTGCATGGTGGTACATCTGCAAGAAAGAACTTTCTTTGTGGCTTAGGAAAAGTATCAGTGTATCAACCACTTCGTAGTATTTTGAGATATAAAATATCCAGATCCACGGGGAAAGGCCTCTTTCCATTGATCCATCTGAGTCAGATAGGAAGGCTTCAAATGACATGGTTGAGAACCCAGTGGAAATTACCTCAAAGGTCTTCTTGAAAACAAGCATGCTAAAGAGGGACATTCCCATGTTGTGCAAGAAAATCATGGTTTTCAGTTGCATGCTCTTCTGTGCCTTGCGTGCCACAGTTTTTTCTGATGCACTTGATTGCGGGTTTAGAATTTCCTTCTTTTCGTGCTTTTCTTTGATGCGCTTGTTATTCCTAAGGACCCACACGACATAAATAAGCGCACTGAAGACAGGCACCTCCCAATGAAGTGATACTGATTTAAGCCATCCTAGCAAATTGTCTGTGCTCTGCAGACTATCCATTTGTTTTATTTGAATATTTTTTCATAATAACCCGAATTAATTAATTTAAAGCCATCACATTCTAATTAAAGCACCCTTAATATACGGTTTACCTGAATAACTCGAATCCAAAAAGCACACCCTAATAATATTCCTGATATAACCCGAAATCACCCGAAATTATGAAGAGACCAAAATTCACTGAATTTCCAGTCACTCCATGCATATGCATACCCAGGATATTCAGTAAATTTAGGTGCCAGTGCAGTGCACAGTAATTAAGAAATCAGTCACCCATCCAAAAAATATTCCATCATGTAGACCATAATATTGTGTGTGCGAAGTCTCATTCAGACGCACTCTCATGCGATTATTTTCGGATTATTATAATTTGCATGAATTCCTGCACTTTTTAATTCGAGTACTTTCATATTTCCATTATAAACTAGCCTAATAATCTCCTTGGAGAGTATAACCCGAATATGCATAAAGTAAGCGAATATGTGGATTTTCACTGAAATTCATACAGTCATATTTAGGGGAAAGAAAACATGAAATATTCTTTGGTAATCCCCTGGATTTTAATGAAGTTTAGTAAAACTTTAAAGGAAAAGCAAGTGCAGGAATGGAGAGCTAAATATCTGAGCTATGAAGAGTTGAAAGAAAAGATAGATGCCAGCCAGGATGAGTTCATCCAAGAGATCAATAAAGAAGTAGAGAAAGTGGATGTTTTCTATAGAATTCTGGAAAGAGGGATACTCCGGGGGCTCGTTGACCTATTAGAACTTTTCCCAGAGGAAGAGTTCCCATATGCATACGAGATGGTCTATGAGAATTGGAAGCTGGCCATGGCTAAATCAGTGAGTGTAAGACACAAAAGAAGCAGGCAGGAGAGACCGATTAAGAAGTCAGCCAGAAAGGTAAGGGAGAATAAAGTACTAGAGTTCTACGTGGCACTAAACAAAGTCCTCCAATACAAGCGCATGAACATAACGGGATTTAGGAAGATCCTGAAGAAATACGACAAGAAGAATGGAACAGACATACAAAACATAAAAATGGAAGAGATAAGGACCAGATCTATCTTCATGCAGCAGACAGTTGAAGAAATCATTGAATTCACAAGGTACCTCCATAAGGAAATCACACCAAACAGGAAAAGAGACAGAGCAAAAAGACTTGTTGTAGACCTAACAGAAGAAGATGCCCAGGGAGATGGAAAGAGCTTTTCATCTGGGGCCATGATGAGTGCAAGTATATTTCTTATGGCAATGTCACTGCAAAACACAGAGGGTCTCATGCAGTATGGAATTCTCTATACTTTTGATATTCTTTTGCTCTCTTTAGGGGCTTTGTTCTATATATGCAGGAAGAACCTAGTGAATTATACACTCATTCTGGAGCTGAACCTAAAGCCAAAGTTCAAAATATCAAACTACTTCCTGATGTGCGGGATTGTCTTCCTGCTGCACTCTCTGGCTGGATACCTAAGCGTAAATCACTGGGTTGTATATATCCTAACAGGAGTTGTTTTCCTTATGCCCTTAGACTACTTTTACAGGGAAATTCGGGTGTATTTATTCCGTACAGTGGCAGATGTGCTTGCATGCAGTGTATTCGGGAAGGTTCATTTCAAGCACTTTTTCATTGCAGATTATCTCATAAGCATCAGGGCTGCCTTGATGCTTGCGATTATGGCGGGCCTGCAGGGACCACCAAGCACTGGTGTTCAGTGCGTAGTCCATTATATGCCCATTATCATTCGCATATTCCAATGTATTAGAAGACACTTTGAAAAGACAAATAGACATGCATTCCCGCACATGTACAATACATTAAAATACATCATCTCTTTCGGAAGTGACACTTTATTGATCTTATCTGATACTGTAAATATCTGGATACGCATGGCTGGGCTAATTATCACACACGTATTCGGGCTGATGTGGGATGTGTCTGTGGACTGGATGCTTTGGAATAGGCCGAAAGTGTACGATAACACAGTCTACATATCCGCATGCATTTTTAATTTTGCAGTACGCTTGGCGGCTGTTGTAAGTCCTTTAATGTTTAAGATAGCAGGGCCATGCGAGGTAGAGACTAAGCTTAAGATTAAGCTGGCCCTTTGCATACTTGAAATTGTAAGGCGTCTTATCTGGGGAATTATCCGAATAGAAGTGGAGCACTTGAATAACTGCAATAGACTGAAGGCAATTAGTGGGCCATTGAATGACCTGTTCTACTTGGAGGATGATCGGTAGATTATTGCACCAGTGCGCTGCATAAAGCACTTGCCCACATAACCCGAAATAACTGAAATTCAATCAAAACCTTTTATTATCAAATTATGCAGTAGAGACATACTGTAATAACTGTTATATCTGCAAGTATGCCCAATTGAATTTGGGTTATTTGTACCAGATATCCACAGTTATTAATAAATAAATTATAAAGAAGTATTTGCAGGAATGCAGAAACAAAGACATATACTTTAAGTTATTTGGTTTTTTTGTTTTTTTACCTTCAGTGAAGAGGTTTATTTAGTTCTATTTTTTATATTCACATGTATATGGGCATATTAGTAGGTTAGTCAGTATATATGTGGTTTATTACTAATTTAGTTCGGGTTATATATATGGTTTTATTAGGAGTTTAGTCAGTATACATGTAGTTAGTCAGTATATATATGTGGTTTATTATTAATCTATACGCCTTTATTAGTAGGTTAGTTTTAACTGTGCTTTTATCACTAGTCTAGCCATATATACGCCTTTGCTACTAGTCTACTCCTAACTGTATCTTCACTATTAGTCTATTAATCTGCCCACATAAGCATATACTCCCATAAACAGCACGATATAGTCACCTGGGCACAGAATTAACTCACTTTAAGTATGAGAATTCTTCAGAGTGCTTATCAATCACTTCCTGCCAGTCACTGAATAATTTTGCATTCTCCTGGGTGCAGACTGCAGGATACAAGTGCTCTGCCTTATACTCATCACACCCAGCATTATCAATTACGCCCCTGGATGCCCCGAAATTCTTATTATAATTTGTGAAGTAACTGTGCGACAGAAGAAGCAACTCCCCAGGGACCTTAGGGATATTCACTTTCTCAGGTGACATAACCTTATCAAGTGCCTCCTGCACATCTCCCACAGTCTGAATCCTTTGGGCTGCCAGGATGGCAAACCCAATCATCTTCCGGATCTGGTGAATCATGAAGCTCTGGCCGTGCAGTAAAACCCTGCACCACTTTATTCCATCAGATAGATACTCTTCAACTTCTATCTTTTTTATAAACCTTTTTGGGCCTTTCTCTTGGTTTGTTGCTGTGAAATTATGGAAGTTATGGGTTCCTTGCATCTTCTTCAGACTCTCCATGAATATGTCTCTCTTCCTAGTGATATCTTCTGGTGCATCACTCTCTTGGGTGTATGCACTAAGGGGCACAAAATATTCATAGACCCGGGACTCACACCTATTCTTAGCATCAAAGTTCTTTGTTGTTTCAACTATCCTGTGCAGTGTTATATTATGCATAGGCAGGATTTCCTTCAGTTCCCTCTCCAAGTCACTAATACTTCTATTATCTACTTCAATCCTTAGTGACAGCACAAGCATAGCTGCATGCACACCTTTATCCGTTCTAGATGATCTTTGTAGACCTACCTTAGAATAGTCTTCTGCATTCCTGTCTGAAATATATTTTAGACCATATATTTCATCACACACTGTCTTCTCAATTGTCTTTTCATCTTTGTTTATCTGGCTGCCTTTATATCCTATTCCATTATATCCTATAATTAGTGCAACTCTTTTCTTTGTCATTTAAAATATTTTCATGCTCCCACATATGTATAGAAAGTATTTATATAGAGTATTTATACAAGAGTATTTATATAGAGTAAGTATATAGAGTGTTTATTTGTTAGTATACTAGTGTATTTTAGTGTATACTAGTGTATTTTAGTAAGTGTTATTTTGTCATTTAATGGTTTACTAGTGTATGTTAGTGTATTATTATTTGTTAGTTCGTTAGTTTTCTAGTGTACTAGTATATATGTATTATTTATTTTCTACTATACTAGTATGTTAGTGTACTAGTAGACTAGTATATCTTAGTATACTAGTGTGTTATTTTACTAATTTATTTATTCACTAGTGTACTAGTATATTTATATATTAGTCTACTGTACTAGTCTACTAAAATATACTACTCTACTAAAAATATTAAAAGCACTAGTAGCTTACTATTCTACTAAAAAGCACTAAAATACACTAGTAGAATAAATATAACATAAAACCATCTTTATCATAAACTCACCATAAATAACCTACAAATAACTCACTATAAAACTACTACTAATAACTCATCAAGAAACTACTACAAAATCTACTATTAATAACTCACTATAAAACTACTAATAATAATCTACTACAAAACCACCATAAATAACATACTAATAACTCAATTCACTACAAATAGCTCACTATAAAACTACTAATAACTCATTAAGAAACCAAATGGCACACTATAAATACCTTTATTATCATATCACACTAATTGTATCTCTGCCTTAATGCGCCTTACAACTTCCCTGGCAGTAGGTCTTTTCTCTGGTCTTTCTTCTATCATCTCCTTAATTATACTGTACATATTTGTGCTTATCCCAGATTCATGCACAATCCTTTTCTTTTCTTCCCTGTGTATCTTACTCCAGTCTACACCCTTAACAGGCAGTACTTCAAAGAGTAGTTCTATTAAGATTAACCCAGCACTATAAATATCACTTGCAAATGAGCATGTATTCTGCAGTAATTCTGGTGCCATGTATAATCTATCACCATCGCACTCTATTTCCGTCTGGTCAGTGGCTGATCTACTAATCCCAAAGTCACCTATTTTCACTGTAAATTGATCATTCGCATGGTGCAAGTATATGTTATCTGGTTTTATATCTAAGTGTATAATATTATGGGAGTGAATTGTCTTTAAAGCCTTCAGTATCTGCAGGATAACTGAATACTTCACAATATTAGGATATTTTCCCTTCTGCCTTATAATCTCACGCAGTGTACCTTTGTTACAGAATGCCATCTGTATATGGAGTAGTGAATTTTCCTCCCAGGCCTTGATTATTCTTGTTATGTAAGAACTATTCCTAAGTCTATGCAAGAACTTCGCCTCTCTTATGGTAGTGTGCCTCTCCTTATTCGATGTCCACTTTCTCCTGGATATTTTTATGATTGTAGGGGTACTTTCATTTAGTGTTTCCTCTAAGGGTCTTTTACTATTTCTGCAGAAAGTGCATATTTGCATTATCTCTGGTAGACTTTTCTCTTCAACTAAATGAACTTCTGATTCAGTTCCTGTGTAAATTGTTGCCTTTATTAAGAAGTGCGATGAAAGGTAGTTTATCACAGGGCATACACCTGGGTGCCCTTTAATTACTGCTTGGGCTGATTCTGTGATGATTTTCGTTTTCTCTTTTCTTCCTCTTTTCTTACGGAACCATTCACTTTCTTCTGTCTCTCTATCTAAATCTTGGAATATTTGTGCACTTCTGAATATCGCAGTGTTCTCCTTCATGGAATCCTTGTACTTTATCGTATTTCTCTTTATTTTCAGCTTAAAAGGGGTTTCTATATTGGCGATGTGTTTGACTGGGTGCTTCTTCTCTGGTGTCTTTGGGGTAATGAAGGGTCTTTCTTCATTTTCTGCATTTCTTGCTAAAAGTGCTGTTATTACGACATCTTCTGGTGAATTTTCTTTATCATACGGGCTATCATCTGTATATTCTGAATTATCATGTGTTTCTGCTTGTTTATTAGATATTTCGTCTGTATCCATCGATCTCTCATTCTCTTTCTCTTTGTGCGTCCATCTTTCCTCCATAAAAAGAACAAGAAAGTTTCTGCAAAAATATCCCGAATAAATTTATATATTATAGGATTATATACAGTGGAATATACGTATATTATATGTATATGGTGTAGTGTATAATGGTGAAGTGTCTATATGTATATAGATGTGTATATGGGAGAGTATGAAAGTTGCATGTGACAAGACTTATGGCAGATTGTCAGAACTATTTCCACTTTGTCAAGACTTAATCCACATTTACTTGAAAGTTACAAGACTTTTTCCATAATGACAAGACTTATTATGCGAGGACAAGACTTAATCCACAATGACAAAACTTATTATGCGAGGACATGACTTAATCCACATATACATTACTTATTACTCACTGTCACAATTTAATCCACTTATACATAACTTATTCCATCTATGGCAAGACTTAATCCACCTTTACTTGAAAACTACAAGACTTAATCCACCCCTCCCTAAAACTGACAAGACTTAATCCACACATAAAATCACCCAATATTTATACCCCAATACAATTTCTTCTACAATAATGCACAATACCCCATAATAACCACACATACGCAGTCACACCCAAAGAAAGGACATATCCCCATATAATTCTACCCAAATACTATCCCAAGTATCTGCAAGGCCACTCCCCACCCGTAATTAATGTGCCGACTTAGCTCAGTTGGGAGAGCGTTAGACTGAAGATCTAAAGGTCCTTGGTTCGAACCCGAGAGCCGGCATCTTTTTGTTTTTTCACACAAGACTTAATACACTTTGTTCAGAACTTATGACACTTATTACAGACTTAATACACTTTTACCATAACTTATGGCACTTATTACAAGACTTAATCCCCTCTAATAATAACATAATTAAATACTTCCAATACTCCCCCCTTATATCTCACTAATAATTAAATACTTTTAAGATAGTGCCCTTATATCTCTCTATAAAATAATAACCCAATACTCCCCCCCTTATATCCCACTAATAAAATAATAACCCAAGGTAGTACCCTTACACCCCACTCTCCCCAAGGGGGTACCCTTATATCCCTCTATAAACCCCACTAATACACGTATATAAAATAGACTAACTTTGAATTTATTCCGAATATCACCGCAATCACAAGGCACTCGCTGCCTTCTGAATGTATTCCACTAAGGGTCCCTTCTTCTTCAGCTCAATTGCCCCAATGCCCATGGGTAATAAGGCTCCTTCTCCCTTGAGTCTTTCAAATTCAGTTCGCTTAAACTCAGTGAACCCGTGCATTTCATTCACCTGAATGATCTGCTTCCCAGCGAACTTGTGCATGGCTCGTCTTAATCCTTCTCTGACTCTTTCTTCAGTGCCTTCTCTGCTTCTAACGGAAATTAGTGTCTGTCCTATTTCCACTCTGGCCGTACGTCCATTTGGTTTTCCAAATGACCCTCTCATTCCTGTCTGCAGTCTATCTGCACCTGCACATGACAACATCTTATTTATTCTTACGACGTGGTGAGTGTGAACCTTAAGCCTGAAGTGGAATGCATCTTTATCTAAGTGCGTTGATAAGTACTTATTCAATGCAATACGAGATGCTTCTAAGGCTTCTGCTGAGATTTGTTCTCTTTCCATTGAAATTAGATTAGTGCAAAGAGGCAGTTCTAATACTGTTGCCTTTCTCTTGCCTGTGTCGTATTTGGATACTTTTGAGTCTGGGACTCCCCTGCAGAACCTTGACTTAGGGTATGGCTTATTCTTAATGTATCTGTAACATCTTCCTGGTCTTCTTCCCATTGCAGGGGAGAAAAAAATGAAAAAATATATATTACATATTTATAGAATATTGACAGAATATATTCCACTTATTACAAAATATATTACTCTGGTGACAAGACTTAATCCATTTATTCAGAATATATTACACTGGTGACAAGACTTAATCCACTTATACAGAATATATTACATATGTGACAGAATATATTACACTTATTACAAAATATATTACTCTGATGACAAGACTTATGCTTTGTGTATTCTCTGAGTCTGACAAGACTTAATCCATATTTCTTCCTTAAATGTGCGTAATAAATAATGTCTAAATATATGACTAATTATAACGGGTTATTATTTATAACTTATTACACTATGTGGATTAAGTCTTGTCTGTTTTGGGATATGTGGATTAAGTCTTGTCAAGTTTATAAAGAGTGGAAAAAATAATGTATATGTGGAATATATTATGACAAAGTGGAAAAAGTTATGCAAAAGTAGAATATATTCTGTCATTACGGATTAAGTAATGTATTTGTGGATTAAGTCTTGTCATTGTGGAATATATTCTGTTAATTATAGGATAAGTGGATTAAGTTCTGTCGTATTTTATAAAAGAGGAATATATTCTGTCTATTTCCCAAATATTCCAAATATTTCTCAAACTAATTTATTCATCTATGATGGGTCTTTGCCTAGCACCCTTTGCGTGCGTTATTTTCCCGTCAATTGATTCCACATACAACAGATTCTTTTTCTTTTTCTTTAAGATCTCCTTCTCTATCTCTGTTGTATCTGCATCTCCTTCCCACAGGAATTCACTTGGGTTATATCTGGCTAGGTCCCATACAAATTCGCACGGTCCATTTCTTATGGCCTTCTTTCTGCTGTGAATTCCTGCTAATTGTGTCCCATCCATTTGCGCAATTGAATTATTTGCAGAATTTTCATTTAAAAATTCAATAACGGCATATTTAACGGTTTTACTTGGCATTTTTATCTTTTTAATTTCCCCAAACCGTGAAAATGCCAGTTCAATTAGTCTTCTGGTGAGTGTCCTTGGGACATGTTTAATTTGTACGGCTGCGTGCATGCTTAAAAATATTTGCAAAAAATGCACAATTCTGGTTATATCGGGATACTGTGTTGGAGTTAGTCTGTACTGTGGCATATTTGTGATTAATTAGTGGAATACGGTTGGAGTTAGTCAGTAGTGGGTTATAATTAGTATATTTATATATGATGTGTTGTAGTTAGTCAGTAGCGTGTTATAATTAGTCATATCTTGTTGTATTTATGACTAATAATATACTATATATGCTATATACGGGATATATGTATCTTTAGAGTAAGTTATATTTATTAAATGTTCGCTATGCAGGAATAAGACAGATTGGATGTAGTTAGGTATATATACGATAAAACACTGATATAAGTGGGTATATGTGATAAAATACTGTTAAATATCATTATATGGGTGTTATGTGGATATATATGTCTAATTCATCTACTAGGATTATTCACACCAATACAGCATACCAATACAACACACTAGTACTAATTACAGCGTATATAACCATAGTATACCCAAAATATTCACAAATACAACATATATCCTACAATACAACATACTATTACTAATTACAACGTATACACCCAAAACTAGTCACAAATACAAAATATATCCATAATATACCCGATATAACCCGAATCAATCATCCTCTATATCTCCATCTACATCATCTGCATTAGAATATATCATATCCATCATGGAATCATCGTCTGTTCTTTCTTCGTCCTCTGAGAAGAATTGTGGTGCATGTACTTCTGTTGTTATTATTTTATACTTATCTATGAGCCTTTTTAATAGATCATTTCTTATCTTCTGGTTATCCTTTGTTATATTCGGGTTATTCCTGGTTATCTCATGGTGTGCCTGTTTTATGTCTCTGGATATTTTATGAATTTGTGCAATTGTGTATGACACTAATACGTCTAAGGCAGATGCCTCTGAGGAGGTGAATCCTGTGGCTAGTAAGTCCAGGGAAATAAACTGTGTGATTAAATGGGATACTTCTTTCTGTGTGATGAATAGATTTGGGATTATTCCGCTGGAATTTTTGAAAATTCCGTTAGAATATTCTATGTGCATTTGTGTGTTTAATTTATCAGATATCTTTTGTGCTGCTGTATTATTATATGCTTTATAGCCTGGATGACGTATTTCATTCAGTCCATATAACTCGCTATAACTTGAGGTGTCCCATAAATCACTCTCACACACTGGGAAGCTATTATAGAAGTGTATGTACTCTGGGAGGTATAAATCTGTTGTTTTTAGGTCATTTAGGGCCATGTTCTGGTATCTCGGATTATATCGGGTTATCTCTGGTTTTTGTGAATTATTTCCAGAATTCTCTGGGTTTTTATACAGCTGAAGGGCCTTAATTGCACCCACTTCCATCCTCCAATATTCGCACATCCCCTTTTCGTTCCGTTTTTGCGTAAATTCTCCAGGATTCTGCAAGATTGCAGCCCGCATCCCCACCATCTCCTTGCGAATCACCTCAGATGCCATAAAATGCGGAATATCCGAGACCTCCTCAATTTCCACCTCCCTCTCAGAGAATAGATCCTGCAATAAAACCACAGACCGCTCCTTCATCTTTTGCGCATACATTGCATACGCATTCCCATGCGAATTATTAAACTTAAAGCAATTCTCCCAAATTAGCTCCAAATCTGCTGTAAACCCATTTATATCCACATATTCTTGCAGGAATAATTTCTTCCCTATTTTCCCCAGGTCCATTGGTTTTTTTATCATGTTGTAATACTCAGGTGCCTCCCTTTTGCTGACTTTATTTAAAAAGGGCATGGAAAAGGGCGAATACGCTTTCAACTTGGAAAGAACCTTTTCCATCTTCGAATACATTCTCTCTTGTTTATCTGAAAGATCTTTCCATTTACTTTTTGTGTGCATCCTGTGAATAATCCTTTCTAATTCTTTTAATTCAGATTTATTCGGGTTAAGCAAGGTTGTCAAATAATCTGCCCCAATTGTCTTCTTATTTTCGGTCTCTTCCTTCTTGTACGTGTATCCGTCGTATTCTACAGTGAAGTATTCCATAAAAGAAAAAAGTAATCGTTTATTAAAGAGGCAATAACTTATGGTCTAATTTTAATTGGATGCGCTCCTGGGAGAACTTGTCATCTGGTGAGAATCTGGCAGGATGCCCTGGGAGAATGTCTGACTTTATGTTTTGGTCGTATAATTTATAGACCTTTTTTCCGTCTTCCATTTTATATCCAATGTACGCCATGGAGTGAAAAGTTTTATTATTGCATATATAGTGTATTGAAGGATTGCTAGTGGGGAATATTGAGTGTTAAGGGGATTATTAGGAGGTTATTGTGTTTATAGTGTATTATTGGAGGGTTAGTTGGTTTTTGGTAAAGAGGGAGTATATTAGTGAAGAATTAGTGAAGAATTATTTACTGAAGGATTAGTTAATGATTGCTTAGTAAAGCTAATACTGAAGGAAGAACTAGTTAATAATTAGGAAGGCATGGTTAGTGAAGAACTAGTGAAGAATTAGTTAAATATATTACAATAGAAGAACTATTAAATAATTCATGGTGCATTCGGGTTATAATCAAAACATATTTATTGAATGGTCTGCTCCACTAATAATTAATGTCTTCTGGTGTGCTGGGAAACAAAAGAAAAAGACAAGAGTCTTTTCTTCATGAATTCGGATTATATTTGGATATATCACTGTATGCACTAAGATAACATATATTTAACTAAAGATCAATAATTTATTTAACGATTTGTCGTTTCTATGCGTGGCTTACTAGATTACTGGCCTTGCCTGCAACTAATCGGATGTCATTTACCCCTAGCATGTTACTCAACTGAACTGCCCCACTGTTTATTGTTCCATCTTGTTTGTTTTCTGACCTCTTGTCGCCTGATCTCTTCTTGCTTGGCTTTTTCTTAACTACGTTAGAGTCTGCTTTAGAACCTGGCTCTGAAAATGATATTTCCACATTCCTAATGTTGTTTGTTTCTGTGTTAGCACTGTTTTTCGTATCTGGTGACTCTGCGGATTTATCTTTTGATCCCTTCTTGGATTTACCTTCATCTGCTGGTACTGCAGCAGCTGACTTTTTTAGGTTCTGGGTGACCATGCTGCTTGCTACAGAAGTTGATCCCTTTTCTGTACCCCCAAATATTTTTCTGATTACGAATATGGAGATGGCTATCAGCACAATCACCAAGAGTACTAGTCCTACGATGTACATGATTTTTGTCTTCTTTCCCATCTTAGAGAACCTTGAGTTACCACTTCCCTCTCCGGATCCTTGTGAAGTTGCAGCGCCTGTGTCTGAGTTGTCTGCCATTTTTATGCATGCGTATGCCTTGGATTATATATCCCACTATGAGACAGCTGTCTCACCATGAAACTGCTTTCATTTTAAAATATGCATCTGAATGAATTTTGGTTTTACTATTTACGAATAGTTTTTTGTGTTGTTTCACAGTCAATGGCTAGAACAATTAAAAGCCTACTTTTAGCCGGAGACTCGGAAGACCTTGAATCTGCATTGGAGAATCGGGTTAGCGCACTGTTAATTGAGCCTGCACAGAGTGACAAAAGACTCCTGCAAGTAAATTCGGAAGAAATGAAAAAAGAGAGTGTGTTCATACAAGGAAGAGAGACTTTGAAGAGGATATCTTCTGTGATCGATGAAACTGAAGATGTAGAAGACTTGAAGAAAGAACTTCAGCCAATTCTGCAAGAAAACATGTACTTAATAAATAAGAAAGAGTTCTTGCAATTTATCTTGCAAATTCCAAAGGGGTGCGCAAGAAAATAGAAGGAAGCCATTCCTAGCCTGGAGAACTATTGGTTTCAGGGATTATTGGTTTCAAAAGTTATTAGGGTACATATTTGGGATAATAAATAGTTAAGCTAATAATTTAGGCTAATAGTAGGGCTAACAGGCAAACTAATAGTATGTAATACTTTAGGTTAATAGTAGGGGTAACATACTTCAGGCTGATAATATGGATATAATTGGGTCATAAATATCCTGTTTAGTCTTTCAAGAAAGCATTCATTTTATCATCCGGTTGTATTTGGACACATAGACTATCCAGTCCCTTTTATTGCATGTATTACATAAAAATCTATTTATATTCAATATAACGAATAGATATATAATAAATCTGCTGTATTAAGTGTCTTTGAGCTATTTATGACTTGTTTATCTTTTACCTATGCTGTGCGCCTATAATTAACTTACACCTGGATTAGCCTGAATTGGCTCTCTGTATAAGAAAGGAATATGCAATGAAAATTCTTTGGTGAAAATATGCAGTGGGACCGATTTGTCAAAAAGGAAGTGCATTGTGAGAAGGATAATTGGCCCATTGGAAGAGAGAAGGAATACTTGGATAGAATATCTGTGGATGACAAGAATGACTGGTACTTTGAAGTAAATGGTGTAAAACATCTTCTTCCCATTCAGAACATAGTCAGAGTAACAAAGGCGCAGGACACAACAGAAGAATATCTGATAAATAACAAAAGTGTTGGAATAGTTTTAAAGCCATCTGGAAGAATAAGGAAGTTTTTTAGGATACCATCTGTCACTCCTGAATCATTGACATATTTTGGAAACAGCTTGGTTGCAGGGCTTTCCCACAGCAAGGAAGAAGTGGTTTCCTTTACAGTGGGGGGTGTGAACTCAGACTCAGAATTTTCAATAACAAATATGGGGGTGGCAATTCGTCTGGAAAACTGCACAGAGATGTCAGCTGATGAAAATGGACTTTATGTCCTGCATGACGGCGGCATTTGCACACTCTTTCCGGCTGAGTTCTAGAGACTCTTTTATTTATAAAAATACATGCAGTAGTCTGGTTATTTCAGCTGCTTAAATAGAGTTTTATGTGCCTATTGGTTTGAAGTGTTTAATTTGCTTTAAGAATATACGGAAAGCCTACTGTCTGGTATTTAAGTTGGATATAACCTAACTGTGCCATTCTTAATGATGGACTAGCATGTATTTCTAAAATAAGCACTTGCCGTGCTTGAAATGAAGTAGAAAAACCAGCTAGAGAATAGCACTCTAAAATAGAGAATGTTTGTCAAGGGAGTTTTATTCTTGTAGTTATTTAGGTCTGTAAATGTACTGAGGTCTTTTGTCTCTGCGCTTGGTCTGTTCTTGACTTAAGATTTCGGGTTATATTAGCAAACTCATGAACTTGTAATAGAAAAGTAGAGAATTTATAAGAGTATTCAACTGAAAGCAGTAATAAATTATAGCCCAATACATCACGAGCTCTTTTTAACTTATTTTTTTGGTGCAGCTCAAGTTAATAAAAATAGCACTCTGAAACTAGTTATTTACATGCAGCTAGGAACTGACACCCGCACTTTAATCAGAAATGCCATATACCCCTAATATAACCCGAATATTTAAATAAATATGTGCTTTTGTTACTGCAATATAATGTGTAAGAAAGGGTTTTTGTTATCTTTATATTGCGCATGCATTGTACATGCATCATATAGTATTTTTGTTTGCATCCCCAACCTCTGGACAAGGGTTCTTTAGAATTTGTACTTTTTCTGATTTTCCCGATCCTTTATCTTTTATAAGTAGTAATCCTTCCAAGACAAAAACTATTATTAAAATGCAAATTGTACAGCTTATATTCACTGAATCTATAAAAATAAAAGACAAAAAGAATTAGATACCAGAATATTATTATAGCACACCTACATATGCATATAACTCAAAAGACACCTTCAACTAAATAAACAAAGAAAATAGTCCTATTGCTAGCCATATACGAAAGAACCCCCCATATTATACCATACTATTTTGGTTATATCGGGTTATTCTGGTTATACAGTAAAATATCACAAAAGCTGCAATATACTACACTTCTCCATGATATTATACAGGGTTGCCGCAAACATAACCCGAAACACCCTAGATATACGCTAAAAAAGAGCTTTCAATACAACCCCCAAAAACACATCCACAACAAGTAAAACAAATAAATAAACCATCTCCCAAAGAACTTTCTTCTCTTTATTATCTTACCACTGCAAAGCGCACCATTCACCCATCCACAAAACACCCACTCTCCTTAACAAACACCCATTTTCCTTCAAATATTACACTCTACCTCTATCTTTCCATATTTATGTTTATTATTTTTGCAGCATCCTTTAATAGAGAGGATGATTAAGGGCCTGCTCATTGTTAACTCATACGGTGGCTTAATCTACAACCACATAAGCACACAATTCTTCAATGAAGAGATTAACATAGACAAAATAATAGCCATGGCAAGCACAATATACACAGCAATGGAGATACTTATACACGAAGGCCTATGCAAACTCATAGGGTGCTACAAAAGACTCAGACTATCCCATGAAAGGCTCTCAATTACAGCACTAAAAACACAAACAGGCATGATCTTCATTATAATCCATGATAACACAGATAAACCACAAGATATCCTAGCATACACATCAAAAGCACACAGTCACTTCGTAAACACAGTCTTATACAGCCCAGAGTACTACGTAGAGGACAGAATTAATAAAAATTTTTTTGCACTGGAAGATGAATGAAAGCCAGCCAGAAAAGAAAACACCAAAGCAAGCATTCATAGCAAGTGCAAGCAATCTTCTTGCAAACCCAAACGACAAAACAATGGGAGAGCTAAGAAGGTGCACAAAATCAGTTCTAAAAAGAAAGGAGAAAGGAACAATTCGCCTTGTTCTTCTGACACTCGCAAAAGTCTTCTTCAATTTACTGCCGTCTTACAACATAAGAACAAAGGACCACAAATACAACGCAGCCTCAAAAATAACAAATTATGAATATCAGCTGATAAAAGAGTGGGAAGAATATTTAAAGCTCATAACCCGGTCAAAAACAGAAGAATCATTTGAAGCAGCTGCAATTCTTCTGCCACAGTCAATTCTTTTCAACAAAAGCATGAAACTAGTTGGGAAGGTAGTAAAGGGAACTGCACTAAAAAGTAAAGTAGGAAAAAAGTGCCAGAAAGTATTAGTGAAGATCTTTAAGTGCGACAAAGGCAATAGAATAGTAAAGATACTTGAGGTGATGAATCAGATGAACATGGAAACAATCCCAAAGGCAGCCATTAAGGCACTCTTCCACATATCAGATGCAGCCTTAACAAAGCCAGAGAAAGTTGAAAGATTCGCAAAGTCAGAGATGAGGAAATTATCCGTTGAAGAGAAGGCAATTAAAAAGGAGGCACAGTTGCACTTCCTGCCAGAAGAATTAAAAGCCTGGAAAGGCATAAATGAAAGGCTTCTTAGAATATATTTAATGATCCTGACAGTAAAACCAATTGAAAAGCATTACTATGCACTCACACAGATACAGAGGCTGCACATCCCAGGGCACCTTAAGGAAGGTATATTTATCATGCTAACAGAAAAGGTGTTATATTTGAAGAACGAAATGACCCCTAGGAAAGCAGCTATTCTAGCATCCTGCTACATGACTATGCACATGATATACAAAGAAGAGATAGAATATTCATTCCAGATAGAAGAAATTGAAAAGATCCCAGTTGAAGTGCTTTTAGAGATGGATGAAAAAGAGATAGAGATAGTCTATAATGCACTCGGCAGGATTGACAAGCACAAAGGGACACCTGGAATAATGAAGATGCTTTTGACCCGGGGAATGCACAGGATAGATTTACAGCTGGCAGATCTAATCAGGCACTTAATGCCCAGGGAGGGACCAAGTGCATTAGAGAAGGTGTCTTCAGAAGGCATGTGGGAGATTCCAATTCTGACACCGCGCCCCAGAATTTAATTCTGGCCATATTTGGATGCAGTGACTTCGAATTATATTTTGCACGGAAAAATGACAAGACTTAATACGCACTTTACAATAAATTATAAAAAAGATCAAGACTTATGCTACTTTTCTAAAATATTGCAAGACTTAATCCACCCTAACCCAGAGCTTACAAGACTTTTTCCACTTTGTCAAGACTTATGCTACTTTTCTAAAATATGGTAAGACTTATGCCACATATATTTATGTATTACAACTTTGTGCAAGACTTAATCCACTTTTTGCAGAACTTATTACATGAGAACAGAACTTATGCCACTCAGACAGGACTTATAGCGCACTGACAGAACTTAATCCACTTCACCAAGACTTATGCCACTTCATCCCAAGAATGACAAGACTTTTTCCACATAACCCGAATAGTCAGACATAAATAGACCAATTATAAGTGACCAATAAAATATAATAGACAGAACTTATTACACTATGTGTACTAAGTCTTGCACAAAGTGGAAAAAGTCTTGTCAATTCCTCAATAAGGTGGAAAAAGTCTTGTCAGTTTCGGGTTAGCATGGATTAAGTCTTGTCACCGAGTAATAAATTCTGTCATTTTATATTTAAAAATAATAAGTCTTGTCACTCTGCCATAAGTCCTGTCCAAGTACCATAAGTCCTGTCAATATGGATTAATTTCTGTCAAAAAATAATAAGTCTTGTTTTCCCTTTATTCATGTCTCTAACTGAATTTAAACAGATTCTTTAGGCTTCATTTCATCGATTATCTCAGAATATGCAGTCTCAAGGGGTCCCTGTACAGATTCCACTGCTTCCCCTTCGTTTTCCATTACTTTTGGCTCACTTTGCAATAAGTCTTGGCCTGTCTTGTATAAATTTAAGAAATGATCAGCACTGTCGAAGTATTTCTTCTCGGATGCCATCTGCCGCATTTGCAGATATTTTATTCCTGGAAGGGGCTGTGAGTCTACTCCTTCGTGGTTTTGATTGTTTTCTGGTAAATCTGGCTGTGATTTGGTTATCTGGCTATTTACCGTTATTTTTTGTTTTTGTTTTAATACTTTTTGTTTTATTTTCTTAAGCTTCTTTAGCAGCATTTTTTTGCCCCTTACAAAAATTTTTATTAAGAATATTGCAAGACTTTTGATACATAGTGTAATAACTCTTGGAAAATATGACAGGACTTTTGATATATGGTGTAATAAGTTATGGCATATGGTGAGGTGGACTAAGTCTTGTAAATTATTGGGTAAGGTGGAAAAAGTAATGATAAAAGTGGAAAAGGTCTTGCAAATCATTGGGTGATTATTTATTATTATTGGATGAGGTGGCAAAAGTCATGGGCCAATAGGAAAAAGTCTTGCACGGAGTGGAAAAAGTCTTGTCAGTTTTAGACTGAAGTGGAAAAAGTAGTGGATAAGTGGATTAAGTCATGTCAATTTATAAATAAGATAGATTAAGTCTTGTTACTATGACATAAGTCTTGTCAATTTATCGATAAGGTGGATTAAGTCCTACCCCAAATTCCATTACTTAATCCACTAGTGCCATAAGTCTTGACATATATTACACAATTTAATCCACAGTGTCATAAATCCTGTCATATAAGACTAATTCTAACATAAATCCATTACTTTTTTCGCCCACTCCATAAGTCCTGCCAGTTCCACCATTAATTAATCCACAGTGCCATAAGTCTTATCCAAATTTACAAGACTTTTTCCACTATATCCATAAGTTATGCAATATTTTTATGACTTTAATAAGTATAATAAGGCAGTTAGGGGTACATGTAACAGAGACAAAGGAAGTAATTGGGTACATTCTAAGTGCAAATAGAAGGGAATGGAAGTTCATTGCAAATGAATATGCAACTATCCATGATCTATGCACAGAATTACAGTCACAGACTAATATTCCTGTTGTATCTTATACTAATATGCGGATTATAAATATAAAGCAAGAAATACTGCTGCAGCACAAAGAATTATTAAAAATAATAATAGAAATAATAGTAGTGCAGCCAAGACTTATTACGCAGGCGGAAAAAGTAATGGAAGATAAGACAGAACATATTACACATAGTGTAAAAAGTAATGAAGAAAAAAAGGGGGAAGTGCAGCTATTTAGGATTGGAAGGAAGAAAAGGACTTGTAAGTTGTGCAGAACTGGGATTGGTGAATATAAAAGGAAGAAAGACCCACTTATATCTACATATGAGAACATTCTGTGTGAAATGTGCTATAAAGGGTTTCACTGGGACATAAAAGGAGAAAGAAAGTACGACTATTTTAAATATGAAAAAAAGGAATAAGACTTATGCCTTACTGGATTAAGTCTTGTAAATCTTGGCAGAACTTATGGCACTGGTGGAAATAATCTTGTAATTTTGGACAGAACTTATGGCACTATGACAAGACTTAATCCACCCTGTGCAGAACTTAATCCACCTTATTGGGAAAATGACAAGACTTATGGCATGTATATTTATGTATTACAACTTTGTACAGGACTTAATCCACCTTATCCAAAAAATAACAAGACTTAATCCACCCTATCCAAAAAATGACAGAACTTAATTCCCATATAAAATATCCAAATACAATCATTAAAGTTTATTTTAGTTCTCATTGCTGCTTGAATTGCTGTGCTGGACAGATACAAGATATAATGCATGTATGCTAGCTGGGAAATATGCTAATAGACATAACAGAAGATTGATTATTAAATCAATCCCACACCCAGACACTAAGAAGACAGAAACAGGCGGAAGGAATATTGCTAGAAGTATTTCAAGTAACGTAGCACAAGACATAATAGAATCATAGTAGATCAGGTTATATACTAAATTTAATTAATTCCAGAACGCAGTACGGAAATGAATAAATAGAACCCAAAACCCGAAACATGGTGTAGTAAATAATCAATGGAATATGAGTCATAGCTTAAGATCTGATAAATAGAACCCGAAACATGAAACATGGTATAGTAAATAATCAATGGACTATGAGTCATAGCTTAAGATCTGATAAATAGAACCTGAAGATATTCTGAATGAGTTCTAGAATGTACTATATGCATATTAATATATGTATGGTGATAGATTAATGCATAGGCCTGGGTCTATTTTGTAAATTAATTCATTAAGGAAGTTGTTGTTTATTTTGGTGAAAACTGGCGAAAACTGTTAAAATATAAGGGTATTTGTGTATATGGGAGGGTATATTTAGGGTATATTGTTAAGAATAGGCATATTTTGTTTGAATTTTGGTTGGTTTATTAAGAATCTGTATATGGCAGATAAATTGTTAATAATAGGTGTATGGCAGATAAACTCTGGTTAACTTCTGGTTAATTCACTAAAAATATGCATAGGACAGCTAAGTTTTGGTATATGCTGGTTAATTCATTAAAATCTGTTAAATTCTGGATATACCTTGCCAATTTGCTAACAAATCACTATATGCCAGTTAAAACATGTTAAAACCTAAAAGTCTGTTAAGGAATGGCCATATGCTAGTTAACTCATCTTAATAGCTCTAAAAGGACTTACAGAACAGAAGAATGGCATGTACGTATACATAACTAGAATAAATTATTTGTATCTGTGGAATTAAAAATACTACTGTCTATAGCATTACTTGTATTACAAGAATTCTTAGTATTTTTAACGCGCTTTCTAGAGCGTTTTCTAGGGCGTTTTCTAGATCGCTTTCTAGAAGGCTTTTCTGTTTGGGCTTTTGGTCTTATGCATGTGCACCAGTGAATTTTTTCCTGTGAGCTATTCTTTGAGGAATTATTGTGTATACAGCTATAACACATGGGTTTAGCTGGCATATTATTGTTACTTGTTGAGGCCACACTCTCTGTACTATTTAATTCTGCCGGATTCTGAGTATTTATGCTTGGATTTTCTTCTTTTTCAAATATCTTGTTTGTATCTAATGTAAAGTTTAAAAAGCCATACGCTAGTGCATAACTACTACATCGGTATAGATGCCCATTATGTACTTTTATTTTCTTTATCTCACGAATTGTTTGTTTAAAAGCACGCCGACCCAAATATTTTCTTTCTTCTGAATCAAGTGGATCTAAACTCGGGCTTTCTATTTTCTTCTCTATACTAGAATTGTCTTTATTAGCAATTGGTGAGTGGACGTCTATAACTAAGTTATTTTGCAAGCTGGACTCATTTTCTTCTACAAGAAAAGTGCATCTGTACGCATGTGTCCACATAATAGTGTTTAGAGCTCTTAAGATATACTGCATGCTAATTTTAGAGTGCTTTTTTATTTTTGCAAATATTTTTAAACTAAGAAAACTAAAGATCAATTAATTTAAAATTACTACTATATAGAGCTACTGTCAACAGTAAATATAGATTCTTGAGATTCAGTGTAAGTACAGTTTTCTATTTTTCTGCATTCTTTGCTAATTTTACTTGTAGCAACCTATAAGTAGCATGTTTGCTAGGACTGCTACTTTTTGCTCAAGACTTTTTAAATAAACTATTGGGTTGGGTCAAAAATAGAAGTATTTCTCTACTAAAAGCTCGCACTATGCTTAATAGAAATAAGAAGAAAATATAGTATAGGCACAGCCTGCATATATGTCTATTTAAATCAGCATGATTAAGTTATAAAAAGAGCAGAATATTACAGGCTAATTAATAGCAAGGATGTGGCCTAAAACATCTTAAGAGACAAATGCATATTCCATAATTAAAGCACTATCTTTAGTATGCAACTATCCAGAGGATTTTCTTTACTGTATGCCAGAAAATATGTCTATAGCCATATATGTTACAATAATACTATTAAAACATCTACTTTTGATCTGGTTATATTACTTATCTCTTACAAACTTAATGTGTTAAACTACTTTTCGTGTAATCAATGGAAGCATGGTTCTTTGAAATCTGCAGTTTTTTTGATTTTCGTGTGCTTTGCCCTTTTTTTTCAGAAACAAACCTTTCTTTCTTATACGTGTGTATGTAGAGCTGAAGAATTATTTTTTGCACACATATGAAAAATTAAATAAAGAAATAAAGAAAAGACATGCAAGTATAGAAGAACTATCCAGTAATTTAAAAGAGCTACAAAGAACAGAAACGAACAAGTTTGGTTAATATGACTAACGGGCCTTTTCAGTGATAGTATATAACCACTACTATAGCGCACTTTGTTTTAGACTTTAGGATACATCAAAATATGGGTATAGCGTATGTTTAGAAGTGTTTGTCGTATTATGCTTGCTATTACTGTTGTTATATGCCGTGTGCATCTTAGTATCTATAATAATACGTGATAATTTGAGTTAGATCTGGGCTATTCTATACATCTGAAATTTGATTCGTATTACGCACTCAGAGATTCTATACACCAATTAACACAGTATATGGGCTCTGCTTGTCTTATTACGCCTACAATAAAATGATTATAAATAGCATATACTTTTATTTGCCTATTCTGAAGATGTGGTGTCATTATGATATTGGCAAGATCTATAAATAGACAATAAGAAATATCGGGTTATATTCAGATTATTATGAGTGAGTCTAATATTCTGAAGAGGAGAGCTCAGCCATGTGCAATATTACTAACCAATTGATGAAAATTTTAAAGACCGTTAGCTATTGGTAATTTCATTTGGAAATACTTTGGTTAATAATGAAAAATTTGTAATTATTAAATATTTAAGATGTCGAGTAACGTTTTACTACATATTATACTTGCAGTCTTTCTACCACCAGTTTCTGTATATGTAACTTCAGGATGTGGTTCACAACTGTGTTTGAACCTATTGCTATGTCTTTTCTTGTTCTTTCCGCATATTCATGCGATATACTTATTTATTATTCAGTATAAAAACGAGGAAATGATTGATTTCAGAAATATGTCTGATGGTAGAACAAGATACAACCCGAATGCAACAGAGCGCAGAGGACAAAATAACATAAACAGTCCAAACATTCTAGCATACACTGTTGTAGATACGAATACACAAGATAGGGGAGATGATAGGCCAGATACAGCTAGCAACTAGATTTAGTGAATTTACTAGTGTAGTGTATAAAGGCTCTGCGTTTTAGAAGAATATTATATATAGCTTAAACAGCTGTATTTCTTAGTGTCTTTTAGTGATGCAAATACTTTAACTTATGTATACTCTTGCTAAGATCTGAACTTTTTATTTGCAGAGTTTCGTATGACTCCCGAAATGTACTATGAGAATATTATCGCATAAAAATATATTTAGAAGAAATTGGTGAGTGGCATATTTTGTGGCTTTTCTATTATATATTGAATAACTATGCTTCCTTGCATAGACACCTGGCAGTAATAATGTAATGCTGCTTTAATTTGTGTGATATTTTTGATGAATAGTGATCTTCAATAAGCTTAGAGAGAGACACATTTTCATAAAATAGCTCAAAAGAAGAACATAAAAAATAAATAGTTTTAGTGATCCTATATATATAGTATAAAATATTTTCACTTAAATATATTCATACGTATAGGAATAAAATAAGAATAAATTGCCAACCTATATTTATAAATCACAATTATAGTGTTTGCAGTAGTTAGAAAATATATCTATATTGATAGACAGTAAAGTATATTTAGTAAGATTTGCCAGTTTAATGTACAGGAGAATAGTATAAAGATGATCTTACTGGTGTATTTACATATGTAGATTGGATACAATCACTGGGCCAAATAAAGCGCAGAGCGGTTTTTGCTTATTGGATGATTATAAATTGCATATAATTGACCTATAGACAAGTAGATAAAGTGATCTATTTATAGAAATAATTGATGCCAAGAATAATAATGAAAAGCGAAAAATTAAAACCGTTAAGAAAGAAATCTTTTTTCAATTTACAAAAAATGATCAGCAGACTACTTCTAAGCCTAGTGATGCTACAGTCTATTCTTGCAAGAATATCTGTAAAAGACATAAAGACAGTCAGTGAGACTTTTGTTGGCGAGAAACAGGATCTAATTATTAACCCAAAGGGCCCATTGAATCTGCTGCGTGGATATATTGGAAACCGAAGCGGACACATGTACAACAAACGGTTTTATTCTTCTGAAATAGACACAGATTATGCGTTGTCTAAGAAACGACTATCCAGTATAGGCGAACAAGAGTATAACTTTAAAAGAAAGCCAGTGAATGACAGGATATACAAAGACTTGGATACAAAAACCCCAGAAGGCAGGTATCTTAGCATGTATCATGCCCAGCTGATAAAGATGTTTCCGTCTGCAGATGGAGACCTCTCCATCGAGGCAGGAAGGTCGAATGCACTTACAAACTTCCTAAGAGCAGATCACGTTAAGAAGGATGCAAAGTACATACTTGCTGCGCTGCTGCTGCTCTCAGAAGGTGTTGACATTAAAATAGCAGTAGACTGTAAAGGAAAGAAAAATAATCTTGTCATAAAAAGTAAAACATGCAAGGAGAAAGAGTTTGTGAACGTAGAAATGCATACTGCAGGTATAGATCCATTTACTAATGAGCACAGTGAGAGTATCTACCAAAGTGAGGCGGCTGGAATTGTCAAGTTCTATATGCAGTGCAAAGACAATTCACTGCTAAAGAGAGGAGGTGAGTTTGCAATGCCTTCCACTAGAGAAGAGTTTGAAAGTGGAAAGTTTCTGAACAATGCAGCCTTCCTTATACAGACGTACATCTACGAGTTCATTGACACAGCAGAGAGTTACAAGGACTTTGTGAATGCAGTGCATGAATTGCTAGTTGATCAAGTAACTGAAAAGGAGAACTCCAAGCAGACTAAGAAGAAGGGCAGAATATTTGATAAGCTCTTCCTAGCGAAAGAAGCACTTAGTGAAAATATAAAGTACACTGAAAAATTCTATAGCTTTATAAAAACTATAAGTGAAAATACTAAATTTCCCTTCTGCAATGCTAATCAGCTGCCGAAGTATACTAGAGTGCCGCGTTGTAAGCTAGACAAGTCGGGCTTTGAGAAGGACCAAGCCTTATACTACAGTGACTGCGTAGAGACAGCCCTTCTTGGACTGTTCTGCTGCCTGGCATATAGTCCAGAGATCGGAGAGTACCAAACCAGCCACATGGGAGAGGGAGTAAGTGATGAGTTGAGAGACTTCTTTGAAAAGTACTCTAAGCCAACAGAAACCACTGACTTCGAAATGCACAAACAATGGAGTAAAGTTATTGCTTGCTTAAAGGATGAAAAGATTGACTATGTGCAGAGTAGAAATGAACTTTTCCCTGGGGTTGAAAATATATTTCTGGTAATTGCAGAAATAACAGGCCAGAAAGCAGATATATTAGAGCTAGTTGAATGTATAGAGAATGCATGCAGAACAGGAGAATTAGATGATAAGCAGGAAGTTTATATTGCAGATAAGATAGAATCAATTATTAAGTCTTTGTCACTTAATAAGAATGTAAAAGTAGAATGCAGTCGAATGAAACTTGGAAAGACGTCAAATAGCAAGGTAGATATTTTAGCTGAGATTAACATTACTTACACTTTCGGTAAAGTATCCAATGGAATTTCTTTGGATATAAAAAAAGGGCATGCAAATCTTGCTTTTATTCCATCTTCAAATACTAGCTCTGCATATATTAAAGAAAAATATGAAGAAGTAAAAAATACCTACAGTGGCATAGACTGCTATATAGGATACATTATGAATCAGTATGCTAGTGTGGAATCATATTCTTTAAATACTAGCTGTGCAGTCTTTTCAATTAATACTAAAAAAATCTTAGACCAAACTATACAAGGAGAATCTGAAGGCATATCTAGAATATTCTTATTAGGAAAGATTTCTGCCATAGAGATTAAACGCTCTATTATAAATAGTTTTATATTTAATACTATAGATAAGAAAATAGACCCAAAAAGCACTTTAACACGGTTTACAGCAAACATTTTAGGAAGTGTTCCGCTCAATGATCCTGAAACAAGATATCTGATGCTAAAATACTTCATATTTTATGCAAACTGGCAGGAATTCTATCCAAGACTTGGGTTTAAGCCATCAGAGAATATTCCAAAAGAAGATATTATTTGGAATGTTCTAAAAAAGTTGAATTTACGCAAAAATACTCCAATATCTCTTCCAGCGCCTATTTCATTAAAAGCAACATGCAACTATCTTAGATCAACTGCGAATGACCCGAGAATGAACGATTCAAGAGTAGATTTTATAACCCGAAAGTCTCTACTTCATTTTATCGTGTCTAATGGGATGATAGATAAGTTGGTGGAAATTCAATCCATTATCAAAGAATCTACAGAAGACTATAATTTGAACTATGTATATGTTTTCTGGCTTACCTATGCATGCTCAGATGTTAGTAAGTTCACTCTAGAATCTATTAAGACAGTTTACGACTTTATACTCATTGATAATTATCCAGAACCATTTTTGTCTAAAGAGCTAATAATACTTGAACCTTCAAAGTATCTTGAAAATTGTCTAAATACTTTAAAAGAAAATAAAAGACTTTTCTGCTCAAAAGATGACAGAGAAAGTATGGAAAAGTATGATGCAGTCTTATCATACTTTTTGAAAACCTGTTCGTGGGTCAAGAAATCTAAATGCTCACCCTGCACTATAAGTTGATGCTAGTCATTGACCTCCAGGGATTTTCCTGCAGAAAAGCACGCTACAAGGGGATATACTTGCTTACATATAATTCATTTTAACTGGATTAGACTCTTGGCCTTTATTCGTTCAAGGGCGAATAGTTAACGAGGGTTCAGGTAGTATAACGAAAGACATCTTTCAGATGCTTCTGTTTTTGTCTAGAAAACTCTATTCTGGGTAGGCTATAAATAAAGGACAGAAAATAAATTGGCCCTATATTTTTGTATGATTAAGTGTAGCATTTCATAAAGAAGAAATCAGCTATACTTTTAAACAGCTTTTTAGTCTTAAGATTTATATTTGAATATAGCCCGAATATATCAAATATGAAGATATATTTAGAATAAATTTCTCAGTGGCCTATTTTCTAGCTTATATTGTGCTCTAGTATTCTAAAATAGTTTATAATTGAAAAGTGTATGCTACAGTATATTCTAAAAGAAGAAAATAAAAAAATAAATAGTTTTAGCAATATCCTAACTACATAGGTATTTGGGTTATAATTTGGTAGCTTTCTTTATAAATCACAATTATAGTGTTTGTAGTAGCTAGAAAATATATCTATATTAATAGACAGTGAGAAGTATATTTAGTAAGGCAGGGACATCATAGCTAAGTCTGTTTCTGAGCACTAGCAGGAGTGTTTTCTATTTGCCAGTTTAATGTACAGGAGAATAGTATGAAGATAATCACTGGTGTATTTACGTATGCAGATTGGATAAAAGAATTGGCCCACCTAAAACGCAGAACTGGTTTTGCTTATTGGCTAATTATAAATCGCATGCAAGTGACCTATAAAAAATGATCTATTTATAGAAATAACGGATGCAAAGGATAATGAAAAGCGAGAAATTAAAACCGTTAAGAAAGAAATCTTTTTTCGATTTACAGAAAATGATCAGTAGCCTATTTTTGAGCTTAATGATTTTGCAGAGTGTTCTTGCAAAATTAGCAGTGGAGGATATAAAGACAGTGCATGAGACTTTTGTTGGCGAGAAGCAAGATGTGGTTATTAACCCAAGAGGCCCATTGAATCTGCTGCGTGGATACATTGGAAACCGGAATGGATACATGTACAACAAACGGTTTTTTTCTTCTGAAATAGACACAGACTATGCATTGACCAAGACAGAAGTATCCAGTATAGGCGAACAAGAGTACGAATTTACAAGAACACCTGTGAATGATAGAGTACACAAAGACTTGGATACAAAAACCCCAGAAGGCAAGTATCTTAGCTCTTATCACGCACAGCTCATAAAGATGTTCCCCTCAGTGAATGGAGACCTCTCCATTGAGGCAGGTAGATCAAATGCACTTACAAACTTCCTAAGAGCAGATCATGTTAAGAAAGACACAAAGTACATCCTCGCTGCTCTTCTTCTTATTTCAGAGGGCGTTGACATTAAAATAAATATAGACCATACAGGAGAAAAAAAGAAACTTGTCATAAAAAGTAAGAAAAGCAAGGAGAAAGTATTTGTAGATGTGGAAATGCACACAGCAGGCCTAGACCCAGTTACTAATGAGCACAGTGAAAACATCTACCAAAGTGAGGCTGCTGAAATTGTCAAGTTCTATATACGGTGCAGAGACAATCCGCTGCTAAAGAAAGGGGGTGTGTTTGCAATGCCTGCCACAAAAGAACAATTTGAGAGTGGGAATTTTCTGAACAATGCAGCCTTCCTTATACAGACGTATATATACGAGTTCATCGACACAGCAGAAAACTATAAGGACTTTGTGAATGCAGCGCATGAACTACTGGTTGATCAAGTAACTGAAAAGGAGAACCCAGAGCAGACAAAGAAGAAGGGTAAAAAGGGCAGAATATTCGATGAGCTCTTCCTAGCAAAAGATGCATTTGATGAAAACAAAAAATATATTGAATCGTTCTGTGGCCTTCTGAAAGCTACAAATGAGAATGCTAAATTTCCCTTCTGCAATGATAGTCAGTTGCCACGGTATACTAGAGTACCGCGGCGTAAACTAAAAAAGTCTGGCTTTGAGCTAAATCAGTCCTTATACTATAGCAACTGTGTAGAGACGGCTCTGCTTGGACTGTTCTGCTGCCTGGCATATAATCCAGAGACAGGGAAGTATGAGACAGACCACATGGGAAAAAAAATAAGCAAAGAGCTAAGAGACTTCTTTGGAGACTATCCTAAGCCAACAGAAACCACTGATTTTGAAATGCATAAGAGATGGTGCGAAGTTGTTGCTTGCTTAAAGAATAAAAAGATTGACTACAGGCAGAGTAAAAACGAGCTTCTCTCTGGAGTTAGAAATATATTTCTTGCTATTTCAGGAATAACAGGCAAGAAGAAAGAAATACTAAAGCTGGTTAAGTGTATAAAAGCTGCATGTAAAGCAGGAAAATTAGATGATAAGCAAAAGGAAGACATGTCAAATAAGATAGAATCGATTATTAAGTCTTTGTCACTGAATAAAAGTGTGAGAGTAGAGTGCAATGACATGGCACTTGGGAAGAGGTCAAGTGGAAAGGCAGATATTTTAGCTGAGATTAACATTATTTATACCTTTGGTGAAGCATCTAATGGAGTTTCTTTGGATATAAAACAAGGGCATGCCGAACTTTCTCTTATTTCATCTTCAAATACTAGCTCTGCATATATTAAAGAAAAGTATGAAGAAGTAGAAAATACTTACAGTGGTATAAACTGCTATATAGGATACATTGTGGGTCAGTACGTTAATGCAGAGTTAGATGCTTTAATTTGTAGTGATTATAATCGCAGTAAAGAACTTAAGGAAATATTAACCCCAATTATACAAAAAGCATTAGAAGGCATATCTAGAATATTCTTATTAGGAAGGATTTCTGACATTGATGTTAAAAGAATTATTATGAATATTTTTATAATTCGTATCATAGATAAGGAATTAGGCCCAACTAACCCTCTAACACGGTTTACTGCAAACATTTTAGGAAGTGTTCCTCTCAATGATTATGCATCAAGATGGCGGACAATGATAGCCCTCCCGTTTCATGCAAGCTGGCAGGAGCTCTATCCAAGACTTGGGTTTAAGCCATCAGAGAATATCCCCAAAAGAGATCCTATTTGGTATAGCGTTTCTATGTTAGATTTAAGTAGTGTTTTGCTAGCTCTTCCAGCGCGTACTGCACTAAAATCCATATATAACTATCTTGAATCAACAATGAATAACAACATAATATCTTGGTTTAGACTATATATGATGCGCTCAAAAGATCTATTTTATCATATTATGTCTAATGGGGCGGTAGATGACTTGGTGAAAATTCAATCCACTTTCAAAGAAGAACCTGTAAAAGAATGCGATTTAAACACTATGTATATTTCCTGGGTTTTCTATGCATGCTCGGATGTTAGTAAGTTCACAGAAGAATTTATTAAGACAGCTTACGACTTTATAACGGTTGATAATTTACCAGATATATGTAATTTTAAATTGATTGGAAGATGTAATGTGGATGCATTAAAAAACTTTCTAAGTGTTTTTGAAGAAAAGAAAGCTCTTTTCTGCTCAGAAGATAACAGCGAAAGTATGATAAAGTATGAAAAATTAGTATCATTCTTCAAATTGGCTATTGAAGATAAAGGTTTATATTTGGATCTAGGTTATGGCGAAAGAGCAAGGCGGAGATATAATTTCGAATAAATTTCTCAGTGGCTTACTTTTATGTAACTTTCTAACTCATATTGTACTCTAGTGTTTTGCAACAGTTTATAGAATATTTACGCTGCAGTATATCCTAAAAGAAGAAAATAAAAAATAAATAGTTTTATTAATGCTTTATGTAGTAAAATTACTACTCTTCTGAAACTTTCTTGTTATTATGGTAGACTCCGAAATAAAATGACTATGATGAAAAGATTATTTCTACCTCAGAAACATATTCTGAGCATAAAGGCATATCTGTGCGTGCAATATATGCATAATTTGAGATCAACTTACACCAAAAACAACAGCAAGTGCCATGTGCAAGAGATCAATAAAAGCTCTTCATTTAAAACAATGCTTTTCATACTGAGCTAATACTTCCAAAATATAATGCATCCGCTAGCATGCCACATTAGTTCGTTCTATTCCACCTCTAGTATTTTTTCAGAGATACGCCACTTACAAATGCAAGTTATGCTGGCCTGCAGAAAGAGTCTTTACAATAAACTCCTTGTTGTCTGTAGAAGAAGGTCCATTGTGCAGTGGCAGAATAATAGGTGAAAATTATCAGATTATGGTTTATTTGAACATTTGTGCAGAAGAGGCAAATTCATAAATTTAATTTTCTTTTGCATGTGTGCGCGGGGGCAGTCTCCATGATATTTGGGCAACCAAGAGAGACAGCAAAAAATACTTTAAAAGCATCTGCCTGGCAGAGGGGCTGCTATTGGATGCGGCCCCATTACTCCTGAATTTCTTCAGTCTTTCTTCTTTTTACAGACATAAAGTCTTCTGTTCCCGGGATGTAGCATACCTTCAGGCGGTCCTGCGCAAAGAAAGGCTCCAGGCCAAAGGATGCCTGTGCTTTCCTCTTGCTGCAGAGACTTCTTTTCATAAAAGGCTGCCTATCCTCGGTCTCCTCTGTGCTATACTTCTTTACATAGCTGATCCAGGCAGGCCCTGCCTGGGTGTGGGGCACGCGGGATGCATGGACTGTGCGTGTGTTGTCTAGCCCCGTGGAGATTTCCATGCGAACAATGGGTACTCCGCGGATCATCAGCTCTGAGAGGTTTGATGTTTGGACATGCTCTCTATTCTGCACTCTTTCAAGCATTTCTAGGGATGCCTTGTTCTCAAGAGCTGTATCTATCATGGACTCGACGTTCTGGAAAACCCCTAAGATGCCAACAAGAGAGGCGCCTGGCACGCCAAGTCCCTGGATCATTTTCTCCTCAAACTCTGCTGCGTCTATTTCCTCCATAACATAAGCTCTGAGCGATGAAAGAATCATTTCCTGCAGAGACTCTGCTCCCTCCTGGGTGTTATCACTGGTTGATGCACGCTGGATTCCCAGGTCTTCAGCCACTTTGTTTTGCCCTGGCTTTATTCTCTTTCCGTGGATGGCCTCTGCAACTCTGCAGCAAATTGTGGATATGCCCTTCAGTGCGCAATAGATCTCTGGTGTTCCCAAGAATACACTGCACTGCAGCGGCAAACTCATAAATGTCTCAAGAGCGCGTGCCTTTTCTGCACCTGCTTCCAAATCCATGCTGTCAGAAATAATTGATAGAATCTGCTCACACACAGAGCGCGTTCCCAGAGAGAAAGAAACTTCTTTCGACACATCCAGCTCCTTGGTGAACTGCTTAAGAAGCGTTGTCTTTCTCTCGGTGCTGCGTATCTTGTAGCCACGCACATCTAGCGACTTAATGTAGTTTCTGTCCACGGTGGATCGCCATATTTCAAGAGACACTGTGCGGGCCTTGATCCACTGGGCCTCAATAGATCGAAGCTGCTTCAGAACAACAGGAATTGCGCGGATTGGGTGTGAAATGATTCCAAGAATGATGTCATCGCAGGAGGCTCCATACACAGCGCCTATTATCTCCTTGTCCAGCGCAGAAAGCTTGAGCACTGGAAGAGGGCACTTGTTGTGCTCCTTGGAGACATTTGCGTCTGCAATTACAATTGCCTCGTACTCCATCAGCTTCAGAATAAAAGAGGAAACCCTCTCAAGAAGAACATCGCACTCGTACCTCTCGTCCTCTACACGGAAAAGCGCCTCCTCGTGTGCATTCTTTTTTGCAAAGATAAATGTAGAGCTCTCGCTGGAGAAGGTTGGGCACGCAACATACCCTGTGTTTAGAACTGCTGCATCATCAGGTGTTTGCCCTGTGTGCATGGACTGTCTGTATTTCTCTGGAAGAACTCTGTATGACCCCACCTTTTTGTATGTTTCAAGATTGCTCTGGATGTGGGGAGGCACATTGACTTCTCTATGCCCAATGTAGTACCGGAAGAGACTAAGCAGAGAGGCTGATCCCCGGAGAAAAGGCTCTACAATAAGAAGAAGCGCATTTGTATTAAGAAGGCCCTGGTTAAACATATTCAGCGCCTTGACAAACTCTTTGTATATTCCGCGCCTGCTAAGAAGTGTGCGTATGTCATTCAGCATGGAGAGTGAGTCTGCTGGCGGGGGAAGAAGCTGTCTCTGCCCTGGGCGCATGGACTTCTTTTCCTGCTGGGGCAAAAACACCATAAACTCAGAGATAAGAACAGGATCATCCTTCAAAAGCACCTTTATGCTTGCAAGGATTTCTGGAATTGGCCGATGCTCTTTGCTGTTTTTGTATGACTGGACTATCCGAAGGAACTCAAACCAGGACACTGGGTTGTTTTCCAGATGTTTTCGCACCTTATTCAGATAGTTCACAACACGCCCCATGTTATCCTGGTCAGTGCGCGCAGGCTGCGACTTAATTCCTATCCCCAGACCCTCAAGATCTCTGCGGGGGTCATACTGCATCTGCGGCGGCTTACTTGCTGGCGGATACTCCCGGGGTGGCATTCTCTTGGGCTGCTTGTCTGTATCTGGTCTCTCGCCATGCATCTTCACCTCGCCGGAGGGAAGTATCTCATACTTCTTTGGAAGGAACTGGTTAAAGCCCTGTATGAGCTTCTGGTTCCCATTAAAGATAGAGAGCATAATCTCAATAACCGTCTTCGCATTGATGTGTCTGTCCTTATAGTCCTTCATTGTCTTCAGGAATTTGTTGTAAACTTCCTTGTTATTTTTGTACTCTTCCTTCACAACGTCCAAATACCGCATGGCATCTTTTATCTGTATCTTCGCACTTCCCCCCACCTCTGGCATGAGAATGGCTGGGTTACTGGGCCCTGGCATGCCTGCATTGCTTGGCGGATGCGCTGGCCCGTGGGCACTTGGCGGCATGGTGTGCCTCTGCGGATGCGCCATAGGGGGCTTTTTGTCTGATGGCATTCTACCAGAAGAGTGCATCTCTCCCATGTATGGGTGCTGCCTGGAGGGTGGGTAGTACCTGGTCTGTGCATGTGGCGGCTGCCTGCCAGGGGGATACCCAAGAGGCGCCTTTCCAAATGGATTGTACGGAGTGTACCCATTGGAGGGATGTACCCTGTATCTGCCACCTGGTGCTGGGGGCATGTGCATATGGGGCCTGTCTGGTCTGTCTAGTTTATCTAATGGCCGCTCTCTGTCTGGATGTCGATATCCATACATCATCATCCCATTTGGCATTATATTTGGCGCATGAGAGGGCTCTGCTACAGGTGCTATTCTGTTCTGTTTACTTTGCGGTGGGCTGCTCTGAGAGGGCACGCTCTTCTGCACTGACTGTTCTGGCACTTCCGATGCTTTTAAGTTGAGTGGAGGCAAGACTGTCCGCATGTTTTTAATTACATCTGTTTTCTTTTGATCTTCCATACAGGGGGTAAAATATAAACAAAGGAATAAAATATTTACTATTCAATCTTTATCATGGAACCAATAAATGTCAATGTAAATAAATAATCAATAAAGACAAGAGAGAATAATAAAATAGCGCAAGAAGATGATAAAAGTGTATGGAGAGTGCGCTGGTCTGTGTTACAGGCCCACACGAAGAAGAAAAATTCAAATTAATAGGGCAATATTGTTAATAGCTGGAATGGTGGGGTGCGGATGGCAGGGAAATCTGGGGTGAAAAGTGTCTAACCGCTGGCTTTCTTAATGCTTGGTGTGGGGAGAGGTGCAGAGTAAAGAATAAGGGAGGCAACTAAAGAAGCTAGAGGGATCCTTTGCTAGAATGTATAAATAATGAAATAGAAGAGGCGTTAGTCCATATAGACCCGAACATATGTCATAATTAATAAAGAAATGAAGCCTAATAAAGAACTATTATTCAAAAATCCAAAAAGTAAAGCAAGGGGAAAAGAAAACTAGCAGTTCTGCAAAGGACCAATTATCATTATTACAGAGCAACGAATACTGTGTAGCAATCAACCTGCTCTAATGAGATGCTGGGAATCGATTGCTACAGAAATAATGCAGTGAAGGCAATTTATTTACTTGGGTCAGCGGCTTCGTTCATGGTCTTTTTCTTGGGTTTAAGAGACATCTTGTCTGTCTCCTCCTCGATCTGGTTTATTATGTTGATGTTCTTATTTAGGAGAATATTTATTTTGTTTGGAATGCCAAGATCTAGCATTGAAACAAGCTCGTTGAACTCCGTGATGAGCGATGAAATGTCTCCAATTGAGGAGTAGTTTGGCCTTTGCTCTGCGCTGTTGTAGTTTGCTGTGGCTTGCAGCTTTTGCTTTAGCTTGTCAATTTCTGCCTCAAAGTACTCTAAAACCTTTTCTATTTCATTCTGTCTCTTGAGCTCCTCCTCTACTTCTTTGCTTACCTTTATGTACTTTCCTCTGCTGTGCAAAATCACCTCTTCTACTTCGTAAACCTTCTTTGAGATCTCCTTGAATTCAGATACATTCTCGTTCAGCTCTGAAATCAGCTCCTCCAGGATCGACTCTACCTTCTTCTGCAAGTAGTGGTATGGCTCTTCTGTTAGCTGCATGTGGAAGACCAAAAAAATTCCTGCATTTATTCTGCAGAATAGCCAGAAAGAGAAAAGAAAATATGCAAAACTGCATGCACTGCAGGGGAGGTGACTCTAGAGGATGGATTCGGGTTATATGGTATTATTAATGGCAGTAATAATTAAAGATGAAAATATGACAACAAACGCATTTACTTTACTATTACTTAGAGAAAATGACAAATTAAATATATAGAGTTCTCTTTAGAGAGTATTAAAAAAAGAGATGAAGTTTGCATGTTTAGAGTACATCGCCTAGAAATATATGCATTGGTATGAAAATATCAAGATGATAATAGAAATAAGAGATACTCTTGCAGGAAATAGTGGGTGCAACTTGAATGCAGCCTGAATTTGCAAAGAGATGTATCCTTATGAAGTCATTGGTAATATTATTTGGAGTGTTGGAATGATGAGGATGCAAAGTCTATTAGTTGGTGCTTACTAGATCTGTTGTAAGAATGGGCCTGTTGCTAAATAGATCTGGCTTTTGCATGGTGAATGCGCGTGAATTCTTATGTTATTAAGTACTTCTCTTCATAAAGGATTATCTTATCCTAGGGATGCTTCTTGCATGCAAGTTATATATCATGTGCAGTTCTAGTATTTCATTTAATTATGTGTATTGTGCTTAGTTTATTTTTTTGGGTTTCGGGGTTATATTTGGAATATAATGCAAATTTATGTCTCTAGAGCATGCTTCTTTTTGGAAAAGGCTGCATTTAAACAGACAGATTGCTTTGAAGCATAACTATTAGGGCTAGTTTGGGGGAATAACATACTATCTTTCAAGAAAGTATCCAGATAGAACGTAAAAAGCTTAATAATTCAGCGGATTTGCCAATGTCTTGAGAAAGTAATTGAAAATTAGCACATGTGGTGCATTAAGAGATGCATCCTTGATTAGAAAGTGGAAATTAATAGTGATGTGTTACTTCTGGGAAGAACACATTTATAATTCTTTTTTATTTCGTTTTAAGCGCCTTTTAAATCATTGCCAGCCCCTGTGCACACAATGTACTGCTATAATGGTATAATTTCGCAGTATTAAATATAAATATTTATCTAGTATTGGGTGGGCTTGTATTTCAGTTATTTTATTTTTTATACTTCTCCTATTACTGGAAATTTCAAAAAAGTATTTCTTTTAATATAAGCTTCTTACTACAACTTTCTTACTACAACTCTGCAAAAATACATCTATAATAGTCTGTTAGGGCAAGATATTATGTGGTTTACTGTGTAATATACAGAGAATACTCAATAATTCAGATTATAGGCGAACTATGGCATGTATTAATTTGTATCTACACATATTGCGCATGCTATGTTTATTTCCTTGTGGAAGGCTAGAAATATATACGGGTTTATTCAGTTCTTTTTCCATTTTACTTTATTTTGTCTTTGGTAATTATTAATCCCTCCATAATGTAAATTTATTTTAGAGAATCAAGTACAGTTTATATTTTTGTAAAACCCAGAGTATACATTACAGCTAGGAAGATGCGTGCTGCATAAAAACAATAGAAAGACTGCTTTCTTTCACACATACACAGCCATAATAATCCAATATGTGCTAGAGATATCTACTAAAGAAAGTTCTCGTATATTCAGAGCAGAGTTAAGAATAAGAGTGCTACCATAACAGGGAAAATAAACCCTGCAACATTCGGGCATTGGTATTCATATGAAGGAATAAGCAAAGAAAATAGTCTAACCAATGGAAATAGCTAATTTTAAAGAGCAATAGGCAGGGAATTCTCTGTATATGTAAAGCTGTCATCCTAGATTTAGTGGCTTAGAAAGAAAAAGGCTGTGCATATATTGCAAATAATAATTGGTATAGAGTTTTGCACTATAGAGTATGTCTGCCTGTATAAAGTTTATTTGCCTGTCTATAATTCTTTCAAAGTGCATAATTGTACTTAGAAGCTAGTGAGTTTCATTAATGTGTTTCTGCAAAGTTCTATAAAGTTTATACTAAGGTCAAATATGAAGGGCTCTGCTTTATTTTATTAATATTCTTTGCAGTGTCTTACTATGCAGCTTATTGCATGCTCTAGCGAAGGAAGGTTTCAATCTGGGAATGTCTTTACAAGAAGAGAACCTGATAGCAAATAAACAAAAATTCCCTTTGTTTCTACTTAGTCTCTTTTTTCTTCTGCGCATTGAACTCATTCTTCATCTTCCGCAGCAGACACACTCTCTCAACAGGAGTCTTTCCCTTAAAACCCTCAATTTCTGAGACAAGTTCTGTGTTGATGTAGAAGTTATGCTTTTTCTCTTCCTCTACAGTTAAAAATATTCTTTCCAGAGAAATGCAGGCTGGGTCTGGGACAAGCGTTCTTCGGAATTGCAGGTTACTCTCTCGGTACTCATGTCCGTAGTACACCGCCGTTGCAGGAGGAAGGGCTGCAAGTCGGGAAAGAGCAGCATACATCATCTCTCCCGTGCCCTCTGTGAAAAGTCCGCACCCCAGGTAGAACAGAGTGTCCCCCACAAAGACTGCTTTTTGCTCGCGCTTTGTGACATCGTGCACAACATACGCAAAGCTATCCTGGGTGTGGCACGGAACGTGCATGCACTCGATCTGCAGAGAGCCCACTTGAATAATATCCCCGTCTTTGCATGTCTTTGTGCAGTATGCCTTCTCAGAGCCTGCATATATTTCAGCCTGCGGAAACCTTCTTTTTATTTCCTTGTTCCCAGACGAGTGGTCCTCGTGGTGGTGCGTGGTGAGAGACACAACTGTAGCCTCTAGTGCAGAATGCCTTTTTGCAGCCTCCTCTATTTTCATTGGATCCACTGGGTCGACAAAGATAAGCTCACTCTGCGGACCAACCACCACGTACATTAGGTTGGTTTCTCTTGCACCAATGGGAACTATCAGCATAACACTGCAAAAGTTTTCTGCTTTCATTACAGAATGAATCACAGAGTTATTGAGATAAAGCAGCTGAGGGGAGAGTGTCGTGTTGTTGAGGTGGAGCCAGACCACGCAGTGTACATTGCAGATATATCTGAGTCGCAGGTGGTTATTAAAGGAAAGTGCATGAAAGTGGTTGCGATTGATGTGCAGAAGAGCATGATAGCAGTTCATTCAGTTGCTGTCACAGTGGAGGTCGCCCGGGCAAAGGCGTCGCTGTTTGTTCTGGGCGCGTGCCCGATGGCAGTGCTTGAGCAGTGCGTTGAGTGCCGCATAGGCGTGGTGGGAAAGAAAGCGGAGATGCGGCTGCGGAGATGTGCGTCTCTTTCACTCGTGCGCCTAGAGGGTGTAAACATGGAAAAGGAGACTCCCGAGTCGCTGGATGAGATGTGCCGGAGCAAGAAAGAGGAGCACCTTCCAGACGAGATGCAGATTCTTTTGGAGGAGGGTGCTGTGAAGAGCAGTATAGTAAAAAATGGATAAATATATAAATAAAGAAAGAACAGAATCTTTATAATAGGGAGGGCTGTTTATGCCCAATCAGAGAGGAATTTAGAAGATGTTTCCTTCATTAGCAGTCCTATTTATCTGTGGTAGTTTTTTAAATTTCAGCGGGTTGTTGAAGATTTTCTTACGGCGATTGGGCTTTCTGGCCTTTTGCAATGCAGGATCCTCTATAGCAGATGCTTCTGAAGAGTTCTGTGCGGTAGAATTAACATATGGAGAGACATCTTTTGCAGGAGTGGATGGAGTAGTAGTGGGAGTTTTTGCAAAAGTAGTGGTAGGTTCAGCAGTAGTAGGTTCACTAGGAGTAGTTGTCTCACTAGAAGTAGTTGTCTCAGTGGGTGTGGTAGGATCACTAGAGGTGATAGCAGGTTCACTGAAGGCAATATTAGTTTCACTAGAAGTAGTTGTCTCTGTGGGTGTGGTAGGTTCTGTAAAAGCAATATTAGGCTCAGTAGGAGTGATATTAGTCTCTGTGAGTGGGGCAGAATCACCAGAAATATTAGGCTCAGTAGGAATGGTTGTCTCTGTAGAGATGTTAGTTTCAGTAGGGGCAGTAGGATTACTAGAAATAGTTGTTTCTGTGGGGGTAGTAGGTTCATTAGAGATGATTGTTTCTGTAGGAGTAGTTGTCTCAGTAAGGATGGCAGGTTCACTAGAGACAATATTCAGCTCAGTAGGAATATTAGTCTCTGTGGGTAGGATAGAATCTGTAGAATCAATATTAGTCTCTGTATGAATGACAGATTCACTAGAAATAGTTGTCTCAGTAGGAGTAGTGGGTTCATTAGAGATAGTTTTTTCTGTAAAGACAATATTAGTCTCAGTAGGAATATTTGTCTCTGTGGGTATGGTAGGATCTGTAGAAGCAATATTAGGCTCAGTAGGAATATTTGTCTCAGTAAGTGTGGTAGGATCTGTAGAAATGATGGCAGATTCACTGGAAATAGTTGTCTCTATAGAAATATTAGGCTCAGTAGGGGTGGTAGGTTCTGTAGAGACAATATTAGTATTAATAGGAATATCTGTATCACTAGAGACAATATTAGTCTCAGTAGGGGTGGTGTGTTCTGTAGAAGTGATGGCAGGTTCGCTAGAAATAGTTGTCTCTGTAGGAGTGATATTAGTCTCAGTGGGAGTGTCTAGACTAGAGGCAAAAGAACTCTTACTGGTGGCTGGTGTCTCGCTAGAAGACTTCTCTTCAGAAATAAGCGCTTCTGTGCGTGGGCTGTTTATCTCTGGCAGTTCTTCTATAGGAGGTGTTTTTTCTATATGCGCTGGATTATCAGAGACAGTGGGACCTTCACTTATAAGAGTCTCTTTAGAGGGGCTTGTGTTTGCTTCAGGCTCTTTTCCACGCGAATCAGAAGGTTCGTTGTGTACTTCAGGCATATTCGAGGCCTCTGTCTTGTTTTCGGGTAGGTCATCAAGAGAAGTGGCTGCTGTGCCAGGAATAGACGGTTCCTGAGGCGGTGGAGTGGGAGTTTCTTCTGCAGTAATTGTCTGCTGTGGGACAGGTGTGCTGGTGTCTATCTGTTCTTCATCTTTTTGGCCGACTGTGCCTGGCTGATATTCTGTGGTCGTGTGTTCTTCAGTGGGGTATTCGCTGAAGACAGATGAAGCACCGCTTCCTTCTGCTCCTGCATGGTCCTGCAGACACTGCTGCAGATCCTTCTCTGCACGCACATTTCTCGCAATCGCCCTGCTTTCTGCCTCTTCCAAGGAAGCAGCGGAGGCCCCGATCATGTCAAGTGTCTGGCTGGCTGTTTTGTATTTCTTGCTGTGCTCAGGGCCATTTGGAGTAATACTGGCACCACTGGCTGTGCTTGTTCTTGTCAGTCCTTCTCTGATCTGGGTAAGGGTTTCATCCAGCTGTGCGCGTATATTAACTGTCTCAGACACTATTTTTTGTATGGCCTTGTCCTTGCTGTCCAGGTCTGCCTCATTTGCTATTCCTGTCTCTTCAATCTCTGCCAGAATATGCTTTATTTCGCTGCTAAGATCCTGCAGTGTCTGTGCATACTGATCTTCCATGGACACCTGCTCACATATTCCTTCCTGCACCAAGGGCCAGTAACTGCAGTGATTTGCTGCATCTTCGTGAAGACGCGCAGCTTCTTCAGAGTACTCAAAGCACTTGCTCTGGGCTGTGCCGTTTGAAGACGCAGATGCATTTGGGTGCAAAGCCTGGTCTACGCTCTTGCACACAGAAGAAAGCACAGTCTGTGCAAGGGAGAGCGAGGACACGCCTGCATCTGAGAGCATGTTTACCTGACACGCACTTTCAAAAGCAACTGTCTGGTTCAGATGCGCATCCACCTTGCGCGTGCTCTGTCCGATGTGCTCCAGTGCCTCGCTAGCCTGGGATGCAGCCACTTCGACTGCTGCCTTCTCCTGCACCAGCATGGCTCTGAGCGGCTCTATACTTTTTTTTGAGTCGCAGCCTTTTTCATCTGGAGAGCCTTTCAGAAGACCTGTGTTTCCTGCGCCAAACCCAGTTTCCTCAAGAAGAGCGTCTATTTTGGCTTGCATATTCCTTCTGCTGCCAAGATGCACGCTTTGTTTCTCTTCATACTCCTCTATAGCTGTTTTAGTCTGTGCTATCTGCTTGAGGATCGCCTGGGTGTCTCTGTTCAGAGCAGACACGTCTTTCTGAAGGGAGCTAATGTGGGTGTGCGCCTCTGCAGTAGTATTCCTTTCCTGGGATATGCGGCTCTCAATTGTAGAATATGTAGATGATAGCTTGGTTGTTTCGTCCTTTAGAGCGCGCAGTGTGTCTTTGAGAGATTCTATCTCTGCAGAGGCGTCTTTTTCTTTCTGTCTGCTGCTATGTATGCGGTCTGCAACTTTTCTCTGTGCAGATGGCTGCAGCAGAAAGTTGTTGGCTGGGTGCAGAGTACTTTGCGCATCTAGCTCTGCTGCGTGCGACAGCTGTATGTCTCCTGCTGCAAGGCTTTTTCTTAGCCAGGCTGCAGCATTGGCCCTAGCTGCATCGGGCATATTGTTAATTGCGCTAATTACTTTGCTGTCAAAGGATTGCATCATGTCTTGCTCCCATGTTCGAGGCGGTGGCGTAGGATCTATCCTTGCAGAAGGTGCTTCTGTGGTCTGCGGAGCCTGCTCTCGCCTGCTTCCACCAGTATTCGCGTGGGATCTGCTGCTGGAGGGGTGCTGGTTCTCGCTGTGCACAGATCCTCGGTGGGAAGAAGGCGTATGTGCAGTGTGTGGTTTGTTTTGCAATGGCTGTCCTCTTTCCTGCTGCACTGGCTGTTCTCTTTCCTGGTGTATATACTGGTCAAATGGACACTTAGTGTCTTTTACGCGCATTCTCTGCTTCGCATTAGCTCTATTGTTAATCGTATTAATATACTGCATAATTCCATTTGACACGTTATCAACAAACTCTATCTCGCTGGCCATTACTGCCATCCCGCTCTTTAAAAAGCCCTGTGCTGCAGGCATATATCTCTTATCTGTTGGGCCTTTTGCAGACAGCAGACTCTCAATGTTTTCTGCCTCTTTTTGAAGATTGCGTTCGAACTCCTG